ACGCGCACTTCGGCGCGCTGCGCGGTGGGCAAAAGACTACCTGGATTCGGATTGGTGGAAGTGTTGCACCTCCCTTACGTGCACCCTCACATCCCTTCTTCCTGCGGAATATGTGGCGTTCACTTCGCCTCCACGCCTTCAAGTGCAGGCACTGCAGGACTTAACAGGCCCGGCGACCAGCAATCGATAGGGCTCGACAGCATCCACCTGACAGGGCACCAGGACTCTTGCCCCGGCTCCTCATTCAATGGTTATCATGGGCGCAGAACGACGGCGCAAGCGGCGCAGAGGGGTAGAGCACTCGCCGTGGAACCTGGTCAGGATCCAACGTGGGATAGCGAAGATTCATCGGCCTTCAGTGTGTCGATGTTCACTGCCAGAACCCGTGCAAAGATGATGAAGGACGTGCGCCGCGAATTTGCCGAACAGGCGGGTTCCATGATCCTGAGTGAGTGTGCGGTTGGGAGGACCTCGTCCTGACCACTTGACCTGGCTTTTCAGGCAAGCAAGTGCGGCGCAACTGAGTTTTCCGGCACCGCAGAGATCCGCGCCCGAGAACCGCCCGCATTGAATGGATGCATGATCGCAATCACTCCGGCGCAGCCAGGTAACGGTACAGCCTGCGCGGGGCTGAACGCGCTCCACAGTTGGGCTACCGGCTAGTCTGGACTTTTGAGATATCGCATCCGTGCAGTCTCGTGATGGACCGCCCGAGCTCCCAGACACCGAATGGGAGGGCTCCGCTTGCCGGAGCTAGTCGCGGAGCGCTCGGCTTATCCCTGCACTGCCGGCTGCGCGCGTGGTCGAGGTCGCCCGCGATGCTCGACATGCTCGCCAGTCGTTCCTGGGGCCCTCCCGGTCGCCGGAAGGATGGGGGACCGGGCGGACCTGATGTTATTCAATCGCTGGTCAGCTTTCCGCTACTTGATGCACAGGACATGCTCCACCTTTCCAGTCCCGAGGGCACCGATCATTCTCCTCCACTGCGGCAAGCAGTTTCGGAATCGAACTCTAGCTACAGAACATCTCCGGCCGGATGGGCAAAGACGGGGCACAACATCGCGCTTTTGCCTGGGGACGCGTTTACAGTAGCGACATCGGGACCATAAAGACGCGTCCTGCTATTCAGTCTGGGAAAGTAGCGAAAGGACATCCGGCTCAGCCGGAAGGACGTTTGAAAACTCGGCAGGCGATCAAGAGATAAAGGACGTGTGAGGCAGGGACGTCCGAAAATCGAGGAACGGCTATGCCGCAACTGCTCAAACCTTAGTCCCGATGTTCTCACTCACCGCAGGCCTCTGCTCACCACCACCCAAGGGGACACGGCCTTCTCTGCTACTCCGTTCGACCTTCCCAACCGTACCGGCCCAGGAATTTCCGGCGAACTGGTGCCTCGCTCTTACATTCAAACCTTCCATCATTCACCGCCTTCCGGTGCTCAGCTGGCTGAAAGGGGATCACGCAACCCGGGGCAGACTTGGTGGAGAAAGGAAAAGTGGGTTTCAATCGCATTCGGACAGTTTGAGACACCATCGCACTGATCAATTGCGAGTAGCCAGCTGCGCTTTAACAATGCAGCAACTAAACAGCGGAGCTCCCAGGCTAACACAACGACTTATTGCAGCCTAAACTCGTGCGTCCGAGAATCCAGAATCTATAGCGTGTGATCTGTGATCAGTGATCGCCGAGCGTTCTCCAGGTTGCAACATGCTGCTCCTGGTGCAATGCGCACCCCCCCGCCCCCCCCGCCCCACCATGTCACTTCCGGATGACCCCGTTTTCGATTTTCGGCGAGCTGTAGCGCGCACGGCTGCGCACGGAGATGCCAGATCCTCTCAGTGGACACCAACATACCAAATTGCTCAGCGTAGCTAGTGCAAGGATAAACTCAAGCAGGTGATCTTGAACGCTGGGTAACTGGGGGGAGGAGAGGGAGTACGACGCGCTACGTGCCCAACTTCATGGGTCTGGGCGACGTGAACGACCATCCGTATTGTTCCATCGCCTTGATACTGAAAAGCTGGGCACCCCAATAGTGGGCCGGTTGTGTCATGGGACATCAAGCACTGAATTGCAACGCGAGGCAGTTACCAGAATAACATGGTCATCACTCATGGGTTGCGCTCATCAGAAAGATGGTGCTCAGCGGTCTCCAGAAGATCCGCGGTGTTTAGACGATCCCCGACATCGTAGGCAGGGCGTGGCACGCCACCGAGAATGTGAAAGGAAAGTCCCTCTATTCCTTTGGGGCTTCTGCATCCCTATCAAGAATGGCACAGTTGAGAGTGTGACTTCTGTCGAATGTGGTTGCGTTTCGTGGTACCCGGTCAAAGTCTGTGCGAGTGTTTGGGCGGACCCACTGTGCGTGAAGAAAATGGCAGCGATGCCACATCGCGCAACGAGTTTCAGACAATGTCAGACAGACCAATGCACACAGGACTGCGTCAGGCAGTCCGGATTACTGTGACTGTGTACTGTAAACAAGAGCAACTCTCAGGCATCAAAGGGTCGGCGTGAAACTGGCAAGGCAGAGAACGGGGCCTGGCGGATGGCATGGCACCATCATCTGATCCCGGATGACGGCAGCCAGGACACGAGCGACAGGACGACGTGGAACGGAAGTGGTTGAGATCGAAAGTCAGTACGATCGGCGCAACGGACACTGTCCGACGCCGTGTCAAAGTCCCAAATCTTTGGAGGCCTGAATTCTCGAAGCACGCGCAACTGCGAGCCGAACTGATCGAGCAGGGCATGTATAGAACCAACATACCGATTGTACTTACCTTCGGAACGGGCTGACGACTCCAGTGTCCCGAGAGACAAGCAGTGTTCGACGTGCCGTACATCGCTTGGGTTGTGGGTTGCGCCATCGGCAGCCCCCAACTTTGTCGGTCGCGGTCCCAACAGAAGAGTCATGACGGATTCCAAGGCTGTCGGGGCGCAAGTCCAGGCTCGGCGCTGGTTCTCATCCAGCAGAGCCCCGTTTCATGTGTTGGGTAGTATCCGCTGGACTCTGGGTCGTCCTCGGGCGGATGGAGTACGAAGCCTCTCGTACACACTTTGGTTCCGTTAGTTCCGTTGATTCCAGTAATCTGGACGACAGTTCCTTTCTGGCAAGCGTCGTACTTCCGATTTCCATCAATGCCGTACACTTCTCGTACACCAGAAACGCACCATCGATGGTTTATGAAAACTCGCACCCAGGCAGCAGTTTTATGATCTCTGGAAGACTGGCAGCTTGTTACGTTCTATGTGCCTGCGGCGCTTGCATTCTCAGGCCGCGGCGAAGCATGAAAATATGAAACACGATCCTCGTCCTCCGAAATGCCACAAAGCAGCAGCCGCAGCCCGCAGCCCGCACGCCTAGCCCATCGTGCGTTCATGCAACCCGCGACACTATATTGCGCTATCATTCGCCCCCGATACGCACGGCGGCCGATATACTGCGTGCTTTAGGCTGTCACCCCAATCTCTGGGATGCACCGGATCCAGTTCGAACCCAATTCGCTATCGATCCGGTGAGCCTGGTAAGGCGGTCGAGTTTCTCGCGAACTCGGGCTGAGATAGATCCCGGCGCACGCCAATTGCGAGGCGCGTGCCGCATTCTGACACGGCGCCATGCGATCGGAGCGCCGCGAGGGCCGCATGCGCCCGACCGGCCGATGCATGCCGGTGCAAACGAGGGTTGCGGGGGAATGAGGGGAGCACATGGATCGAAAAGTCATGCGCAACGGAGAAAGCTGGCCGTCGAGGAACCGTAGCTTCCGGTGGTAGGGCTTGTTGAGAGCCGAGCCGACGCCACTGACCTCATCGCTCGAGTTATCTCACCGTCGTAAATGCTTTAACCTCCATTGACGCGTCGTTACCAAGAGCGCCAGAACGCCTGGCCAGGAACCTCGATGTAACGCTGTTCACAGTTCAATTAAGAGCGGAGCGATCAGCATATCAGCATGCAGCAACGATCTCCAGAAATCACATGTCCAAGCACTTGGCATGGCCTACACCCAAACAGGTAACGTACACAGTGCGTGCTGACGAACCTTCCGCACGAGTGAGAATGCAGACATTCCAGGACCGGGTGGGCGCACGGTCGGCGATGAATGTAAGCCTGTTGGCACTGAATGCGTGAGAACTTTTGTGGAGCCGTTGCTGAATGCGCAAAAGCGGCTTGTTCAGGCTCCAGGACCATGAAGCCGCTCTCCGCGACCCCACAGCCTCCATCCCGCTGGCCCTGATCTATGGGAGATCCTGTATTCCTTGTGTTTTCATGTGTACCTTCTTGTGTGCTGCGTGCCTTCATCACATCATCCGCCATCCGTCTCGGTCGTGTCAGGAACTCAGTGCTCGTCATGTTCGCCATTGTTTGTCGCAGCAAACAACGCGCTAGGTCATGTGCCCGCCTGCCCGCTATCGGAACGCAAAACATCGTGAAAACTAGCGCCAGGAGCCTTGCTCACCTGCTCGCTGCTCCGTTCGGTTAGCTGAGATAGCTATCATAAAGATCAGTCACCCTGGCATGACAGATGCAGGTACCCCGGACCCCCTTGGCGACTAACAGCAGGAAAACCCACCCCAAACGTTGTCGCGTTCTCATGGATAATAAGCATGGCCCACTGTGATTCACAAACACTGCGAGACCAATAAACTCTCAGACGTGGTTGTCACAGGTTTCATGTCTATGACGTTCGAAATTCCCCTCAAGCCCAGATCTACGAAACCACGCATCAGCTTCGGCCTTCGCACGTTACATCTTGCATCGCCAACGAGCAAGCAGTCAAGTGACCAGCGGACTGAGCATGCACCGGTGCCCATCGCCGTCGTCTCGACTCTGAGTTCGCGAAGGCCCTCGCCCACCTTGTTCTCACGCGGATGCATGCGCCACTTACCTACCGATCTATGAACATGGGTGGCAACTTCGCAACCTTCAGCGGATACATCCTGCTGCTGAGGATAGCCATCGTATCCTCTTGCGTAGGACGTTGCCTGGCTCCGGGCTGAGCTCATACAGGTCCAGTACCAACGTAAACTATGTCGTCGCGGAGGAGACAGTTGAGCTGAGCTCCCTTGGAACTGAGCGATATCACCTCATCACAGATCCGTTGGCGCTCAGCAGAGTCAGAGGTCGGAATGGCGATGCGACCGTCGCGACGCACGTCGGGGTTTGTCTCGCCAGGTGGTCCAGTCGTGATCTCGAGGCGCACCTGACCAGCCTCGGAGCCCAATGTGCGGTGCTGCACATTCACACCGTAGTAACGCAGCTGATCGAGAACGGCCGTGGTTCTCTGCGCCTCAGCTGGCGAGATCTCTACCATGGTGGTTCTATTGCCGCCTTGGTCTTGGAACGGCATTGCGGTGAGGATTGTGATGGTCGGGAGGCGCTGAATACGCACGGCTCCGAGAAACTTGACACAAGAGGGAGTGGCTTCACTTCGTTTCCCGTCCACGTTACATTCGCAGCCCGTCCATCACGTGCTGGCCTGATGTTCCTAGAGCCTCGGTTTCGCGCTGTGTGTCGTTCCGGGCGAGCTCGCGAACGGCCAGCAGCGAGAACGCACTGCACTCCGTTGCGTCGCGTCGTAGCTCTCTGAATCGTAACCAGGTGCAGCGACCGTGACATTCCGACGCGTCGCGAGGCAGTGAGACTTGCTCTGGAATGTGCCCGCCACCGATTGTGTGTCGAGCGTGACGGATGTCGTGTCGGAGCTCCACAGTCTGATGTGCCGTGAGCTAGTCTGTACCGTGGTGCCGATATGGTTCGGACGGGTTTCAACGGGCACACCAGGTTAACAGTAAACGTTAGCGACGCTGTGAGTCTGCAGTGAGTGAGTTTTGATCCCAGTTTCGACCCAGTATCGAAGCCGGTCTCGAGTTTCTATCGGCGCCCAGATCCAGATTTTGGACGCGCAGTTTCTGTACCTCTCGACCCAGTGCTGATGTGATATGCATTGCTCGGAAAGCTGTTTTAAACCAGAAAAGCTGTTTTAAACCAGAACTCGTGTCGTGTCGATCGTCGAGTCACGACCACGATTGCTCGAAATTTCTCGTCCGTGCACGCTAGACCCCTTGGGGGTAGTCACTTGCCCGCTCGTGTGCCGCTGCACGGTGGACTGCTCGACATCGCTTCAGCCACTTTGCGAAAGTTCGAGTACGGTGATCATGCCGTCGTGCCGACAGACAGAACCTTGTCGCAGAGCTGGTAGGAGATGTCGACGTCGCTTTGGAGGAGCAGCTTAAGAATCTCGCAGACGGCGATGCGCTCCTCGGGGCTCGAGGTAGGGATCACAACGCGGCCCTCATCGTCGTCGGTCGAGTTTGTTTGTCGGGTGGTCGAGACCAGAACGTCAACGCTTTCGACTCCGTCGGCGTTGTTGTTGCTGACCAAATAGTCGAGACTGACGCCGCTGTCGCGGAGGAGGCGGAGAACGTCCGTAATTTCGCGGGCCCGCGCCTCGGAAGCCGTGGGGATCACGCGTGTCTTGCTCGTCATCGCGACATGCGTGCGCACTAGGAGGGGGTAGATGGCGCTAAGTTGATCCGGGGTGTCGGGGCGAAGATCGCGGGGGGTGTCATGCTCAAGGGCTTAGCGTTATATTGCAGCCGTCACCGATGTACCGGTGTCAGGCAGAAAGGGTGAATGGCGGAGGTGGGACAGGCGAAAGCGGAGTGGGGGGCGGGGGCGACCAAGCAGCGCCAGAGTATGCTGCACACACACCGCTCCTACCGCGCTGCCAGCACGTCGGCGGCGTTTGCTCCCCCGCACACCGACCAACGCGCCGTCATGGGCGCTCGTTACGAGCCATGCGAACCGCCCGCTCATAGGCGAGCGTTGCGATCAACCACTCACATCGCGTAGAGCGCAACAGCAACGCATGAAATTGCCGACGCCACGTCTAGGTTTAGCCGTCCCACGTGCTAATCAAGATAGCGGCGTGAGTCACAAGGATGTTTTCCCTGTGTGGGATTCGCTGACTTCTACGATCGCACTCTCGTCCCACTCGTCTTGATGCGTGCAAATCTTTCCAGCGAACCATCGCACTAACGCCCGTGCGACGTGTGAGTTTCGGACCTTGGCACAAGCCACGGGTCGAGACCACTCCACAGGTTGGCTGCGCGGACCCACTTACACCGGTAAAAATCGATACGCTGGCCTGCCGGCCGGAATGGTTGAGATCGCTGAAGCAGTCTCCTCGTGATCGCCACTCCTTAACGCCACCGCGCTGCGTCTTCCAAGTAGGTAACACTGTGGAGGCGCTGCAGGTGCCCTTGTGCGACAGGGCTAGTATGATCAGTGCGCACCGGAATTTCGGCATCCCAGTCCGTGCGAGCGCGGAAGCTAGTCTAACCTGCGCGGTGACGCGGCGCGCCCGTCTCTGGTCCGGATGGACCAGACGGGTCTGATTGGTCAGACCACGGATACTTTAGCCCTGGTGCCCGGGTCGCCGGCTCGCATCAGCACAACTCGGCGTCGAGCATCATCTGGGCACCTTACAGGCTGGTGAAATGACCGTTTGATAAGGCCCCTTACTAGCGAGGTCCCCCTCAGGTAGCACGGTGGAGTTTGCACAGCAGTTTCTATTGACCCCACTCAACACTTCACTGATTGCATCGGCGTTCACTAGACAAGTTTCTACGATTTCGGTCACCGTGACTACCTCGTTCAAGATTCGCCCGTCCACACAGAGAATGGCATCAGTATTAGAAGGCGTCCCATGGCGACACGGTAATCACGCCGTCGCGCAAGCGCCATTGCATGCCCATGCCGGCAGAGTCGAGGTCCCTCAGCCCTTGGCAGATACCGTGGCGCACTGCGTCGTCGTCGGCGGCCGAGGCCACAATAATCGCGTCATCGCCTTCGTGGCGCTCATCATCAACGATAGGCCAGTTACACCTGGCGTGGATGTGGGTCCCCCACTTGCCCTCCTCGCTGTACCTCCACTCTAGCGGCACTCCATGTGCATGCATCCGCTCGAGCGTCTTTCGTACGTTTGCTGCTTGCTCGGGCGAGAAAGTGACGAGCACCGCCCAGCCATCCTTGCGGAGCGCGGCATCCCGTTCACTCTTGCGGCCGCCGTACTTCGGCTCCTTAAACGGACCGCAGTGCACGGCAACGACACACTCCGTGTCGGGTCCGGCATTGTATGGGGCTGTCAGGCGGGTGTACCGGATATGCATGCCCCGCTCTCGAAGGCCATCGAGGCCGCTGCAGAGCTTGTAATGAAAGCGATAAGAGATCCTAACGAGCACATAGTTTTGGGAGCGGTAGTAGCTTTCCAGCATAGCGTCTTCCTCCGTAACGACAGTCTCGACGGCGGGGTCAGTAGCGGAGTTTACACCCTGGGGGACTTCGGATGCGCTCTCCTTAGGTAGCCGCGCAGCGAGCAGGAAGCATCCATTGTCCTCCACTTGCTTCCACAAGATCAGGTGGTGCTGTGCAAGGATACCCAACGTTGTGGCATAGTCCTGCGCCTGTGGACGAGAGTACGTCGCGAGGACGGTCCAGCCTTCCTCGCGCAGGAGCATCTCAGTCGCACTGGGCTTGTGATCCTTCTCTGGCGTTGGCTGCGAGGGCACATCGCCAAAGGGCAGCGCGAAGAAGCATCCCTCAGGACCCAGGTCCGACCAGCGGTACTTGAGACCCGTGTCGTTTAGATGCTGTAGCGCTGTGGATACCATCTCGGCATCGCGGACCGCACGCAGCACCTTCCAGCCCATGCGCGAGTACAAGTCGATGAGCTAGGCGGCGCCTGGATGCTGCCTGTCCTCGCCCGCCGGAAGAGTGAGAGGAACTTGGTTGCCGAGGATGACCGTAGATCCATCGAATATATGCATGATGCCGTGCTCTGACAAGATATGCAGGACGTCGTCGAGGGTCATGTCACAAGACGGAGCTGCCATTTTGAAAGACTGCCGGTTATGGACGGACGACGCAGCCACTGAGTGGTGGACTGGGTGCAGGTGCCGTTCGAGGAGGCGGAGGGGAGTCACTTGGCACTGCTCATTTTATACCATTTTTTGGGAGTTCGCGCGATTTAGCTTCCGCTCTTCTGCAGCTCCCTCATACGTAAAGCGCGGGCTTTGAGGGGCGATTCGGCCTCGGATCCCGGACCGAAAAGATGCAGCGCGTACGCTCGGGGTATGTATGGAAGGAAGCGGACTGGTCAGCTGCAGCCACAAACGTTCTAGTGACCATCTTCACGCTGATGTCCACTGATGATCGTAGAGGGCCACAGGCTGCGCTCGTTTCGAGCCAGTTTAGTACGTCCCTCCTTACCCCATCAGCAGGGACCGCAGCGAATGCTGTGCTTCCGTCTCCGCGCCGAACTCGGCGCAAGACCACGGAGCCGCCATTGATTACCTGCTCAGTCACACGCTCTGAATAGATAACGGCAACGGAACATTGCATGTCTAAACTCTAAACAGCGATCGATGCTCATGTCCGCCTCATGACCCCTCTTCGGCGTCATTGGCATGACATCTGCCTCGGCGGGTGACAGAAGCCGTGCGGAGGTAGGGAGGCTCCCTGCATCAGCTGCGGAGTGATGCCGGAAGCCAAGCTCTCGGCAGTGCCCCACGTCCTTCTCCGTGAGCATGACCCTGGTCGTCCAATGGTCTCTGATGATCATACCCACACTGAGGTCCCCGATCGCACATCTCCCAAGTACATCACGAGCCCTCAGCACGGGTGGTGCCATGAAGTATTCCCCGAGTCATACCTTCGTCATGTGGCCTCAAGTACACAGCCGCTCTTCATCGTGCCCGCATATCAAAATAGAACCTTAACGTCAAGCTCGTCTTGTGACCATCTGATTGCCCTGTTCGTTCACATGCCACGCAGTGCTGTTCGAAGACATTAGTCTCGGAACGCGGCTGTCTCGGTTCGGGCGCAATGAGGGACCCCTCGCAGTTTGCTGCGACTCCGACCGATGCCCTTATGAAGTTCGTACACCATGGTATTCCCGCTCCTGATAGCAAGGAAGCACGGAACAGGACCCACGGCTTCCGGAGCGAGGGTAGGACCAGGGAGTAGTGGCGCCCGGGGCCGGCTACTGACACATGCCGACATTTGCCTCGTCCACGGAACTCAGGCTGCAGGGTGTGCTTCGCTCCGCTTCTTCTGCCTTGTCCTCCGAAGGCCTCGTGGACCGTCGGGCACTCACCCCTGCCTTCAGCGCCGTCCTTTGAAGACTCCCCGGAGGGCACTCTCGGCGTTTGAATGAGTGCCGACGACGCTCCAGCTCTGGCGACCCCTTCTCGTGCTCGTCCCCAGAGATGTACCACGTGCAATCTGACGGCAGTTATCCTCTTGTCAGCGGAACTCCCTGTTCGTGGCGTGAACATAAGATGCGCTAGTGCATTCACTACGTGCTTTCACTCCACGAACGCGGTCTTTTAAGCTCGAGGCCGCGGTATCCTGTCTTTCCGACGCACAAACAGGGTCAGCTGGTGTGTTGTTGTGGCACCCAAGACCACAACGGCTCTGACGACGACTCGGAGCTCATTGCTTGCTGCGCTATTCCTCCCAGACCAGTGCTATTCTCGACAACTCCATGAAATGAACCCGAGAGGGTGAGTGGGGAAGAATGGACCTTGCGTCCAGTGAGAGGGCTCAGGCCGGGAGGCATCGAGTCTTGGCCCCTAAGCGTGGACGAGGTTAAACAGGTTGGTGGCTCTGTCAGCTATAAAAGCAAGCTCTCGTGGGTCTAACGAGCCCTCAAGCAGACAGCAAGACTCTGTACCCAATTCTTCCACACTCGTGAGCCCGAATGTTGATACTGTGTTGACTCCAGAGTACACAATGGTTCTTACCACCGCTCTCTCTACTCTCGCCCTCGCCATCGTCGCCTCCGCCACGGCCGTCGACATGTCTCCTCGCCAGGACATGTACTGGGAAGTTCAGGCGTATTCCGACGACAGCTGCCAGAACCAAGTCCACAGCGACTATGGCACGGGCACTGTACAGTGCCGGTCGTTTGGTGCCACGCCCGTCAACAGCATCAAAATCAAGGGCCACAACGTCATGTTCGGCACCTCCGAGAACATTGCAGGCACCTCCTGCTACGGTGCCAACGGCAACACTTACCCCAACGAGGGTCTTTGCCAGAAGATTGGTGGCGCGAAGCGTGGATACTGGGTGTACTACCAGGCGTAAGTTGGAGGGCACAGGCGATAGCAGTAGGTTGGAAGTCAATAAGAATCGTGAAATGCAGTCCTTCGAAGAAATTCCGTGATGCTACGTTCCTGTCCGATGACCTGTGACGCCAACCACTTTGCCGCAACGTATGTCTTTCTTGCTCCTGCCCGAGTCCGCCTTGCGAATAAGCTTGAAACCCGCCCCCACGATAATCACCTGCTTTGGTGTATTTTGCGTTCAGTCCTCAGCACTCCGCAATCCTCAAGACCCGTTATTCATGAGCATGACGCCAGTACCCTACAGCTCATCAGTCCTGACAAGGGGGACCCTACCATGTGCACGTGTACCACCGGCAGTCAGCGCGCCACACGCATACGAAGGTGCAAACCACTTTTCGTCCACCTCGCGTACCTCCTCCGCTTGCACTCTCGCACCCCCCGGTGCTGGCACCTCTCTCGCGCGCTCCCGTCCTCCCCGTCGCTCGTATAGTGTAGGTGGTTATCACCGTTCGTTGTGGTTCTTCTGTTCCCCTTCCGAGCTGACCGCTGTTCGACTCAGCGTGCGAGCAAGGTGACTCGTCAAGAGTTGCTCCTCTTTTATCACTGGGTGCTTGTTCCGGGGCCTCGGAACTCCGACGCCGCAGCCTGCCTGACGTGAACAAGAAGAAGCTGCTCGTATAGTGTAGGTGGTTATCACCGTTCGTTGTGGAAGACGACTCCGAGCTGACCGCTGTTCGACTCAGCGTGCGAGCAAGGCGACCGACGAGGTTGCGAACTCTTTTCCTTCTTTTCCTCTTTTGCGAGGTCTGGAAGTGGAAGTCCTGACTTCAGGGTGGGTGAGGCGAGGCTGTCCTGAGGACTCCTGTTCGCAAGGTGATGAGAGGGTGCATGTGTCTACGATTACATGGCTAGACTAAAGCAGGATGACCTCCGCTGTGGCGCTCGAGTACCCACGGCGGTGTGACTGTGATCTCGCCATCTTCAACCTGATAGTTAATCTCGAGCCCATCGCTCCCCCGCATGAGTAGTTTCATCCCCCTCACAATCTCCTTGCGCTTGTCCTCCGCATGCTCTCCCTCCTCCTTCCCCACCAACCTAATCCTCCCCTCATCGCTACCTTGATCGATCCTCTCCTGTTCAATCAGACTCGTCGGCCACTCCAGCCTCGCGACAAAGTGCACGCCCCGCTCCTCGACCTCCTCCTCGGGACAAACCTTCCCCGCTCCGCACCCATCCTCGCAATCCGCCGCGTCCTCGGCACAGCTCTCGTGCCATTCCATAGGCAGCCTGGTCTCCATCGTCCTCAGCGCTGCGCGGACAGCAGCGGCATCTCGGGCGGAGAACGTGACGAGCTCGGCCCAGCCGTGATCGGGCGCATGACGTCGTACAGCGAGCACGGCGTCCCCCCTCCCATCCCTCCTACTGGCCGTCAATTCGGTGTCCGTCTCAGAGTCGAGACGCATGCACTGCAGTCCACTCGTCCCAGCCACGATGGACTCGGCAGCATGCGCCGCGCCGTGCTGGAGGATGGCCCAGTCCCGAGCCGCATAGTAGCTCTGCAGTCTCTGCGATGCCGAGCCTCTCAGCGGAGTCCGCGATTTGTGTATGGGGGGAGCCTTTGGTGGCGCAGTGCGCACGGCGAACCCGGCGTCCGTGGGGTGATACTCGACCAGCCCGTGGGCTGCGAGGGTCGATAGCGCGGCCTTCGTGTCCTGCCGCCAGGTGGCCGCGTCGGGCGCAAAGTGCGCCGTGTGAGGGGTGAGGAGAACCCAGCTCTTGACCTTGGATTTCTCGGCCGTGTACGTCGGATATGTCGCGTTGAGTGTCTCGAAGACCATGGTGGCTTTTTGCTTGTGATTTTGTGTGTCTGCGTGGCAACATTGCTTAGGAAGCCAGCTTATATATCTGGCAACCAACGGTGGATAGGAGTGCCAAGACATATCTCTTGGCCCTGCGGGGAGGAACGCATCTGGGCTCTCGGGGATCGTCGACGGCGGGGGTGTGCGGGGTCTTCGGCGGGTCAGCTGACGGAATTCCGATGGACGCCGCACTGCTTCCAAGTCCGAGTCCCCGCCACACAGGAACAGCGAGGCACGCATCAGCGAGGTCTTGGCGGCCGCCGGCTCCGCTATCAGTCACTTCACGGGCCCTGCGTTCTTCACGATAAGATATGCATTGCCTACAACTGTTACGAGCTATCACCCCTCTGTGTCTCCTCCTGCTTCCCTGTACTCCCGATTCCGCCTCTCGCGCACCCACGGCGGCATGACGCCCAGCACATCGTCGCAGAGCGCGTACTCCAGCTCGAGTCCCCCGCTGCCCCGCATCAAGAGCTTCATGCCGCGGAGCACTGTGCGCCCATCGTCAGGCTCATCTGCTCCGACTATAGTAACGTATCCCTCTTGCGAAGGTTGGTGCTCGATCTCCTCCCGCTGCTTTGGATCCGTTGGCCAGTCCAACGCGGCAGTGAAGCGCACGCCTCCCCTGTCCCCCTTATCTCGATCGCCTTCGGAGTCCGTGCGCGACTCGTGCCAGTTGAGCGGAAGCCTCGAGGCTAGACGGCGCAGAGTCTGTCGCAACGTACGCACATCAAGCGGGTCGAACGTGACCACCTCTGTGTCCCCGTCCACGTCCCTTCGGACAGCGAGCACGGTATCGTCTCCGTCATCATCTACGTCGTCGTCCAGTCGCCTGGACTGCAGTACTTGTCCTTCTCCATCCTCCCCGCTCGCCTCGTTCAGACGAGACACAATGTCCCCCGCCGCGTAGGCTGGAGGACCGGACATGATCGTCCAGCCCCTGGTGGCGTAATACTGTTCGAGCCGCGCCAGTTCTTCGTCATCGGGGTCGAAGTCCTTGCTGTGCTCCTCGCTATGGGACTGGGACCGGTTGGAAGGGGGCTGGGAGGTGGGTGATGAGGTGGATGGGGCGAGGCGCACTGCATACCCCTCCCCTGAGACTTTCCATTCCACTAATCCCGCCGAGGACATCGTTTCGAGCGCCGACTTTGTGTCCCTATTCCATTGTCCAAGCTCCTCCTCGTCGCCGTCGTAGGGGTTGAGCTGGACCCATCCTCCGAGCTTATCTGTCTTCCTAGCCATACCCGTTGAGAGGTTGTGAGGATGGGCGTGAGGTTGGGAATTGCGGGGAGCTGGGTGTCTAGATCAGCGGGGGCGAGCTGATCCGAAAAAGGCTGAAGGGTGGTCGCTTATATAGGAGCCAATGGTGATGATGGGGATGGCTCGGTCTTGCTGAGGTACGGTTTTAGATCTAGGTCCCGGTGGCGAGCACGCATGCGGCTATGACTGTGAGCTGACCAATGTATCTGCTGCAACTAGCAAATGGGCACTACTCCTGTCAGCCTGCGGGAAAGGCACATCACCGAGCTTACGTCTGACATGCGGATGCGAAAACTCACCAAAACCCACAAAATTAACCTCCCCTGCCAAACACGATACCTACTCCATTGCCCTCTCTTGAGACCTCGATAGGTTCCCAGCTCGTCATTATCCGTTGCATCTATCATTTTTTATGGGAGGATTTTCTGTTTTCTCGTCTATATGCGTGCGTAACCGCGACACTCTCTCTGGATCTCTCAAGACAAGTTTCTATAATAGTAGGAAAAAGGGAAAGCGGCAGCTCAAAAAGCAGAGCCAGTTCAGATGACAAAGACGCACTTCGGACCGCGTGGCTGAGCACGCGCCGGTTGCAATGTTCGGTGCAGGAAGGTCAGCAAGTCGGGGCTGCTCTTGCTGGAGCGCGGGCTACTTGCGGCCAGTCCTCGCACGTTGCCCTCAGACTTGAGGACAGTGCTCGTGGCCGCGCACCCCTAGGCGACACCGTTGACCTTGACGCCGGTACGCGCGTCAAGGGCAACACCTAGGGCGCGAACCCAGTCGACTGCATCGAGCGTGGGACCATCGTGCTTCGCCAGCAGCGCGAGCACGCGCTCGACCTCGGGCTTGAGAGCCCGGGCGACGCGGGGTCCCCACTCCTCAGCGGGGCCGAAGCCAGACACAACCTTGGCCTCGTACTCTCCAGGGGCCCAGTTCCACAGCTCGGCGGGCGCGCGGACCTGCAGCGCCTTCTCGGTCGGGAGCGACGCGAGCGCCGCGTTGGCACGGCGCCGGATCATCCCGAACAGGGTGACCGACGGCAGGTCCTCGAGCGCGTCGTCGAGCTTCTCCTCCGTGACCTCATCAATGTCGTCGCGCAGGCGGCGCACGCTGTTCAGGATCCGGGTCGCCCCGTTGTCCCCATGCAGCGCAGCCGAAGCAATGCAGGCGCTGCGAAGAGCCTCGCACGCCTCGGACAGAGCCTCGCGCGCAATGTACTCAGCCTCCTGGTCGGCCGAGTCGGTAGCGGTCGGCGCAGCCGTGGGAGGCTGGACGAGGCCAGTGACGAGGCGCTTGACGAGGCCCTCAAACGACATGAGGGCGTGGGTGGCAGGGTCAGCCTGACGCGGAGGCGACGCAGGGCGCGACGCGCTGCGCGAGGGGAGGATGTTGGTGATCTTGGCCAGCGAAGGCGGGGCGACGACAGTGGGAGTCGTCTCCTTGCCCAGGGCGTGCAGCGCCTTGTTGACGTTGCCAGCCGAAGGGACACGGTTCAGGCCGAGGTGGAACGTGTCACTGTCGCTGATCAGGCGCATGCCACGCCACACAACGGCAACAACAACCTTGGCGACCCAGCCCTCTCCATCGTGGCTGCAGGGTCCAGCAATGATCTCAAACGCCTTGCGCGCACCATCGACGCGGCTCGCAAACTGCTGCAGGCAAGCAGGAATCTGAAGCACGCGCGTGGTGCCGCCGCTCGAAGTCTCCTTCACGACCCGCGGCATGCCCTGATTGCTCTTCTCCCGGGTGACCGGCACGTGGTGGTCAACCGAGACGGCGGGGACAGTCGCCGGACCGGCAGGGGTCTTGGGAGCGACGCCCGAGGTCTTGCTGAGGCTGCCCTCGAGCTCGCCCTTGAGCGAAGAGAGAAGAGGCCGGACGACCTTGCCGACGACGAGGTCAAACTTGTCCATGGTAGGGCGCAGCGTGTCCTCGACGAAGCGGGGGTAGTCGACCGTCTCGAGCATCTGCTCCAGCTTCTCGCACGTCTCCCAGGCGGCCTGGGCGACGGTGACGGCGAAGGCCTGGGCCGAGTTGAGCGGGGACTGAGTCGCAGAAGGCGTCAGGTTCAGGGGCGCAGCCCACTGGGGGTCAGACAGGGCGGGCAGGAGGAGCGAGTCAAGGCGTGAAACATAGATGGACAGCGAGCGAACAGCCGTGCGCAGGATGGCGCGAAGAAGGTAGGTGTCGGCGGGCGGGGCGGGCAGCTCACTGCGGGAAGGGTCAGCACTCGGCACAGCAATCAGACAATTCGAGGCGCAGCCTAGCTCGAAATTTCGAGTCGCGGCGCAGGCGGCGATGATGGTTACTCACTGAGCGATGCACTCGCCAATGGACCAGCCGGCTCCTTTCTTGAAGCCCTTCTTCGTCTTGAAGTCGACGCCAGCGCAAGCCTTGTTGACAGTCTCGTTGAGGCGCATGCCGATGATGTCCATGTAACCGCCCTGAGGCGTCTCGGACCCAGCGCCAGGCAGAGGGCTGCTGCTCGTGCGAGGCGTTCCGCCGCGGCTGGAAGGAGGGCTCGGGCCCCTCTTGCCGGCTGAGCTGGAGCGAGGAGTCGCAGAGCCCGGGGTGCCAGCGCCCGAAGGCATGCCGGGCAGGTTGGCCATGGCGGCGACCTTGCGGTCGGGAACCGCGGGAGGCAGCATGGTCAATCCCTGGGCCGTGACGTGGGTCGGAGCGGGCGAGCTCGAGCGGGAGGGGCGGTTGATGAGGGGGAGAGAGCGAATGGCGTTCATCTTGACGAACGGAGAGGTTGTAGGTTAGGTAGGGTAGGAGGAGGAGGAGAGGGGGAGGAACGGCAGAGATCCCGGTGTAAGGACGTTCTGCAGTGTAGGGCGTGGAAAGATATTATCCCATGTAAGGGGCGGCTTGTTCAGCTGCGGCTGCGGTTCGAGCAGCGAGGAGGGGGCGCGAAAGCGCAAGAAAGACTCGTGGGGATTGAGTCAAATTAGGGGGGCTTCTCGCCGCTAGCGAGGAGGGTGCAAATCAATGAGCGGAGTTGGGACGAACGGGTTGATCGGCTGTTGGCGGCGAGCATAACAATGGCGGGGAAGACGTTGAGCGCGGAAGAAGTGAAGAGTGCGTGATGGAGCGAGTGCAAAATGGCGCAGGAGGTGACAGAAGACGAAGAGGTCGACGGGTCAGACAGGTGGATAATAAGCGATGAGCGGCGGAGAAGGCGGATACAAAGGATGTCCGGTGATGGAGGAAGGCACGGTTCAAAGGGAATATTTGCGCAAACGGCGTCGGCGAGTTGGAGCGATATGTCAGCGCCGATTCATTTCACTGGTGATGGTCGCGCCGTGTCGTTCTCGTGACCATCGCCGAGGAGTTACTCACGCTCGTACGTCCACCTTTACACTACTTGAGCCACTACAAGGAAGTTTAGACTTTTTCATCGAATGGTCGTTAGCCGGGGAAGGCTGTCGAGAGACTGGCGAGGGTGTTTGTTGAACTGGCTAAGCAGTCGGTAGCAGATGAGTACTCTTGACAGGCGGGTGAGGCGAGCAAGAGCGTAGAGTAAGAGTTGGTGGTTGTGTATTGCAAGAAGCGGGACGCTAAGTGACTTGAGAGAGAGTGCGATGGAGAGAGTGGACAGGTTGGTGTGAAGGACCAAGGCGAGCGTGAGCGGGCGGGGCGGGCACTGGCGGGCACACCGGGCACAGCGGGCACAGCGGGGTGCGCATTGAGGGGCGTCGGCGGGGGGCCACGCGACGAGTTCCCTGAGCAACAGGAAAGGACCAATCATTTCCCGCGCAAAAGTTTTATTACCGCATAGTCGCGTTCAGGTTCAGCCGCCCACAAACCTATTTCGCTGTTTAGCACAACCCTAATCAGCACCTAATACCCACACATCCTATGCAACTTGGACCCGCGTCTATCGCAACCCGTTTTCCAATCTGCAACTCGAAATGCGGGGTCCATCCTCCGCCAGTTGATTGACACGTTCATGGCCCCTGCGCAGCCACCAACTCCCAAAGAGGTATGCATTGCGATCGTCAATGGACTCCAAAGGGTGCATAGAAGGCGTGTGCGAGAGTGCCAGCGATCAGAGAGCGGCCCGTGTCCAAGTCGCAGAGTATTCTCGATTAACCCTCGTCGCCCCCCAAGCTTATCCTCTCGCTTGGGTGTTTCTATTTCGAGAAAGGAGGTACGATTAAACCGATCATTTAGACCGAGCGTTATCGGACCTGGTCTTGGGTGCTGTCTGGAATGGAGACAGGTACAAGTGGGCGGCGGTGGGATGATTGCCAACCCTCGCTGCGTGGCCGCCTTTGGACCGCGCGACCGAGCACTACTTGTCCTTGCGATCCTGGCAGACGCGTCCACCGTCCTTGCGACTGACGTCTGAGCGACGCAGACACTCGCACCGAAAGGTGAAGAACTTCAATGAGCCTGGACTCTGCATTGCGCTGTAGTCTATGCGCTCATATGAAACGTGCTTGTGAACGCCGCCGCAGTGTCGCAATAGACGCCGAAGCAGGACCACTGGATAGGACGCTGCTGCAGCGCATGCAGTGAGTGAGGCATTTTCGGTGGTGGAGGGTAGATGGACTCGGGAGATCCGGGCCGGGCCACAGAGAACGCCGGCGCCGGCGTCGGAGGCATGCCGCGTCGAGGCACGGCCCATCACCGGAGTGCAAGCGACAGCAGGTTCGCTTATTCCTGCACTCTACAGTATGTAGATTTAGGTAGGAGCGGCTCATGCGTAAAGTGAAGAAGGGGGTGGGGTGGCATTGCTCTGGCACAGCCTGTACAAGCTGCACAGCAAGCGCAGAACATCTCTGAATCAGTGCATTGCGGCAAAACCTGACAGGCATGCAGGTCTGCATGCGCACATTGAGTCCACGCACGTTACTGTCGATTGCGTACGATCGCCGCTGCTCGTTGTGATATTGTGATACAAGCTGTCCCGAACTACCTGGCGGTAAACCTTGTTCAACCCTTATCGACCATCGCGACTCATGCCACCCTCTCGCTCCGCCACCGATGTCACTGATTCCCGTGCATGCCAACTAGAAAGAGGGTGTGTATCAGCGACGTCCGGTGGCGGCATGGTATCATACGCTCAGTGGCGAGTCGACAATCGGACCGTCGACTCCGCTGTGACATCATCAACGCGATGCACGCGTCTATCAACCACGCGTTCGCGGATCGCGGTTTGTTGCGGATCACAGATCGCAGTCGCAACCACTATTCTGCAGATCTGGAGTCGACTCGAGAGTAAAAGTCGCCGACTACTCGGAATCCTTAGTTCCAAATTTCTGGCAAGGGCATTAGGTAAATACTGAGAGAATAGCAGAGAGGAAAAGTGCGTGACGAGAATTCTGCCAGAAACGTCTAGGGATGATCTGAAGGTGAGGTCCGAAGGTGTACGTTCGAGTGAACAAGATGCTCCAGCTCTTAACGATGCACACGACAGTGGTCTAAGACACTAACACCACACCATATATACCGCGGCAAGCACCTCTCCTGCAGGAAAGCAGCGTTTCGCACATAGTGGAGCCGCCAGTCACGTCCTCACCGTACAGCTCCACCATCGGGGCGTGACTGTCTTCACCCATTGATCATGTACGAGGTAGCGACGTCATAGCAAGCACACTGTTTGAAGGATATAATAGGTACGCGCCCATTGTTTCTTTATTGAATGCAGAACGGCCAGGGGTTGTCATTCCTCGCTTGTCCGAACCGCCGGAACGAAGGGGTGACAAGCGGCTCCACGAGTCTGGGTCTGGCATTCCCTGCAACAACTCCCTGCAAGCTGCAGCAGAGTGTAACGCAGCGCTGAAATCTGGGTCGAAAACTGCAGCCCAAGGACGAGTTTTCCTCGAAAATCCAAGTGAAGTTTTGGAGAACGATACGAAAGAGAGCAGCAGGTGGCCAGCGTTACGCTGAAACAGGCCGGTTTCATGTTGACACCGTACCAGAGACCAGACGGGCCGTTGCCCATCATGACGTGCAGTTCGGCTTGTTCATGAGCTCATGAAGGCCTGGGACATGGAGTGGACGCGTAGTATGTACGCGTTGGTTGTATTGGAGCATGCCCCGAAACCTGTCACGGAGTAGCGCAGTGGCCCAGACCCGAGACAGTTCGAGATCACCACCAGTACGTCGTCAGTATTCCAGTCCAACCTTCAGGCTGTCTTTCCGACCCTCAGCCCGACCGGATCCCAACTAACGGGACAGCGTCAGTCTTCTCCCTCATACACCCTCATGTGCTCGTCCTCGTACTCTAGCCCTCGTTACGCTCGCCGCGCTCGCGCCCCTAGCAAATGCTGTATCTTGCGTCAATGCATGAATGATTGCGTACCAAGGTTCTGGATAAGGTTGAAGGGAAGCACTCTCGTGCGTCTGGTCCAGGTCTCGGGTGAGACAAGGCGCTCAGTCTCAAGCTAAGTCCAGGCCGAGCAGGCGGGGCAGGGGGCCATGGGCTCGAGCAACTCGCTCCGGCACGTGGGTGATGCTCTCAGGTCAGCACCGTTCAGGCTCCTGGCATCACCCAGCCAGCAGCCAGCAGCCAGCCCAGTCGGTCCTACTCGGCCCGCTCGGCCCACTCGCAGTCGCGGCGAGCTTAGACCTCCACAACGTCCATATCGTCGTCGTCCTCCTTGCGCTCCTCCCTCTCCTCCTTTCTCAGGTCCTCCGCAGCCTCCGTCGGCGGCACGGCGCCCGTGGGCTCCTGGACTTTCTTGACAATATCGTCGATCGTGTCCTGGCGCGTCTCGCGCCCCTCCTCGCCCTGGATCAGCGACACCAGGCGCTCAATCGCCTCCTTGATGTTCTGGTCGGACTCGGCTTTGTGCGCCTCGCGCACGACGTAGTACGCGCCGCGCTGGCGGAGCGTCTCGCGGCCCGTGTAGCCTGGGGTTGTCAGCTCTAATGCATTTCACGGCGGCTGGCTCGCTGCTCGCTTCGCTCGCCCCGCTCGCTCGTACTCACTAGTCGCCAGCAGCAGCAGGATCTCCACACACATCATGCGCAGGACAGGGTCCTGCTCGCGCTTCTTGTCCGCGCCGAGGAACTGGAGCGTCTCGGGGAGCTGCTCCATCTCGTCCATGTCGTACTCCTCCGGGCCCATGAGCGGCGCAAGGACGTAGGGCAGCACGTCGACGCCGCGGACTGTCTTGTCCGACGTCGGGAGCTTGACGCGCTCGTCCTCCGTGGCCAGGAGCCAGGGGTGTGTTCCGCGCTCCATCGCGCAGTTCTTGATCGTGCCCAGCGCGCCGCCGCGGCGGATCGTGTCCGGGTGCTCGGTGTAGACAACAATCTTGGCGAGGAGCGGTTCGTCATTGTCTGTTCGCTCCGAAGAGGGTGCGGGGAAGGCAGGCTGAGGCGTAAGGAGCAGATCACGGGTCGCGGGGAGCATGGAGATGTTGGCGAACACGGAGGCGAGGAAGTTGACGTCGCCCTTTCGCTTGCCCTTGCCCTCCTTCACGCCCTCGGAGGCGCCGTCCTCGAATGCGGCGACAAGGGCGCGGAGTCCCTCAATGTCACGCTCGGGCTCCTGTCCGACCTCGGCATTCGGGGGAACGAAGGCGGGGTCACGGAAGTCGGGGTGGATAGTCGAAGAAGAGCTCGCGCACGCGGGGAGGTAGTACGGCGGGTAGTTCTTCGACTTGGGCATGGACACGACGGGAATCTGCAGGTTCGCGATCTGCGGGACGAGACCAGGGTGGCTCGTCAGGTTGCTCAGCAGCATGGCCGTCAGCGGCGACAGGGGAGAGGTAGCGTTCTGCTGTCAGTTCACAGAGGGGATTATCTAACTCACGGCAGTGTAGGAGACCAGCCAGACGAGGAACTCAGGCTGCATCAGCTGGCGCGAGACCGCCAGGTTGTCCGTCAGGTTGATAAGCGCCGAGAGAGCATCGTGCGCGATCGCCGCTTGGTCACGGCACAGGTTCGCCAGGTCCTGGATCGCCTTGATCTTGACCTCGTCCTGCTCCGAACCCTCCTTGCGCTTGTTAGGCAGAAGGCCGCCGCCGTCGGCGCCGCCCTTCTCTCCCGGAGCCGGGGCAAAGCTGGACGGGATGAAGATGTCGCGCTGCGGGTCGTTCTTGGGGGTGTGGCCGATGAGGTTCTTCAGGGCGATCTGGCGGGCCGCCGGGTTCGGCGAGCTCAGAAACTCGAACAGTTGTGTCAGCTCGCTCATCGTCGTAGTGTCTGGTGTAGTTGACAAGATGAAGAAACGAAAATAAGCAAGCACGGAACATCCCAGAACAGGCCGATGAGGTCAGACGTGAGACCGAGCGGAGGCCAACTTTTGGGCCACTTTCCCACGGGTGTTCAGGCACGGGGCACAGCGATTGTTTCTCTTGAGACTACTGACGACACTCGACGCGGGGCGATTAGAACGTCCGTCCAGTCGCTGCCTCATCCCCCTCCACTCATCGCCGCCCAAGATGATGAGCAGCTTCCGCCCCGTGCAGAAGGACATCGAGCTCGTCCAGCCGCCTGGAGACTCGGTGTCCAAGATCGCCTTCTCCCCGACACAGGACATTCTCGGTGTCGCTTCTTGGGACAACATTGTAAGTTTTGTTGTTTGCCGCCGCCATCAACCACCATGCGCACATGCTGACGCCTCAGGTCCGTCTCTACAATGTCAACTCCCAGGGACAGTCCGAGCCGAAGGCCATGTACCAGCACGAGGCCCCCGTCCTCGACCTGACGTGGACCAAGGTAGGCTCGAAAGTGCTTGACGCAGAGCTAATGTCAGAACGGATCCCACCTCATCTCGGCAGGATGTGACAATGCTGCACGCATGTTTGACCTGAGCACGGGACAGGCGCAGCAGGTTGCTGCGCACGATGCGCCGATCAAGTGCGCCCGCTTCGTCGAGACGAACGGCAACTCGATCCTAATCACGGCCGGATGGGACAAGAAGCTGAAGGTGAGTTGCCGCCCTAGTGTCCAACTAACCGCCAGTACTGGGACCTGAGGAGTCCGAATCCGCTGAACACGCTGGATCTGACGGACCGGGCATACGCCATGGATGCTACGGATAAGATCTGCGTTGTCGGAACCGCCGATCGCCAGGTGCACATCTACGACCTCGCCAACCCCTTCACAAAGTATCGCCAGATCGAGAGCCCGCTCAAGTGGCAGACGCGCGTCATCTCGTGTTTCCCCCAGAGCGTTGGCGGAGACGGATACGCCATCGGCTCCATCGAAGGCCGTATCGGTATCCAGTACGCTCACCAGTCAGACGAGAAGTAGGTTTACATTCGGGCACTCTGTTAACCATTTCCAGGAAGAACTTCTCGTTCAAGTGCCACCGCATCGACATCCCCACTGGATCCATGCCCGGATCACCCGCCGTTACCGGATCTCAGAACGTCTTCCCCATCAACACGATCTCCTTCCACCAGACCCAGGGCACCTTCTGTACCGGAGGCGGCGACGGCTCCCTCACCTTCTGGGACGGCATGGCCCGTACGAAGCTCAAGTGTGAGTTGACCTGACCCATCCTTCAACTGACTTTCAGCGTACTCTGCGAAGGACCTTGGAAACGGCGACCCCGAGGCTCGCCCGAACCCCGTCTGGGGAACGCCAGTTGTCTCGACTGCGTTTAACCATACGCAGGAGATCCTCGCTTACGCCTTCTCTTACGACTGGTCGAAGGGCCATGGGGGTGTCCCGCCTGCCAACCCGCCGGCAACGAAGATCATGCTTCACCCCGTCAAGCCGGAAGAGGTCAACAGGAAGAAGAAGTGAACCCCTCCGGCCGCAGGCTCGACGCTGAGGCGCGGGTCCGTTTAAAGGGAGGAGAGGAAGGAGAGACTGGAAGGAGAAGACGAGGACAGCTCGAGGAAAGTACTATAGACGAGCTCTTTGTTGTGCAGTTAGGCTATTCGGGGGAGCGTGGATGCCGCAGAGCCGCTTTGCTCCACGAGTACGGAGAGAGTACGGTCGAGGATGCGGGCACCCCTCCTCCGCCTCGTAGCTCCGTAGGAATCATAGTCGCAGCCCCCCATTATGCATGTTTCGCCCTATCACGAATGCGCACGATACGAGCACACCAGGTATCGAACAGAGAGCGCCGTCGATGCCGAGTTCGGCGCTCGCTGCGATCGTTTTATCCCATCTGGATGGTGGGATGGGATATTTTCGGGGTCTCATTGGCAATGCAATCATAACCCCCCGTGGGGTAATCATCAGCGGCTACTGGAAGCTGTTGACATGACTCTTCGTATATCTATCCCTACCCTCCTTGCGCGCTATCTTTCTTCCCCAGCTCATCGCATCGTCACATCCCGGTTCTTTTCGTTGCTCTACAAGTCCTCGCTGCATCGATCTACCGCAAGTCCGATCTCATCTCCGATCTCTCCCCTGCCCGCTCCACCTCCACCTCTGCGATGTCCTACTCCCCCGCTCCCCCCGGCGTGACGGAGCACACCGTCCTCGTCCTCGGCACTGGCGGCACGATCGCATCAGAGCCGACGTCGAAGGGCTATGCTCCGATCTCCGAGCCGTGGGCGCGCGACATCTTCTTCAAGCGCATCCGGCAGCACCCGCAGCTCTCCGATGCTCCGGCGGCAGTGTTCGCAAAGCCCGTCGAGCCCAAGCGTGACTCGCACAACAATGGCAGCCATGACCTGCGGTACCCGAAGCTGCGCACGCCACCGCTGAACGAGAAGGACGACGTTGTCGTGTATGAGATCCTCGATCTGGAGAACCACATGGACTCAAGCGAGATGACCCCCAAGGGTGAGTCTACCATCTCCGTGCACAAAGTTCAGGCGAGACACGGCCTTGTCCGAATCGCGGACCGTGCCTCGTTACGAGCCATCGGGATATCCACCCAGGTCCACCCCCAATGGTCATCGACCATGCACCATCCGCGCAGCTGTGATCCCTGCAGTGGAGAAGCTAACGTGACCAGACTGGAACAAGATCGCTCAGCTCATTTACCAGAACTGGAACGAGTACGATGGCTTCGTTGTGCTTTCGGGCACCGATACGCTGGCGTACACGTCCTCGATCCTGAGCTTCCTCTTCGCCGAGGCTGGCAAGCCGATTGTCGTGACAGGAGCGCAGATCCCGCTGAGGGAGCCGCGCTCCGATGGATGGTACAACCTCCTCGAGAGTCTGCTTGTGGCCGGCACGCTGCCTTATGCCGGTGTCGGTGTCGTCTTCTATCATCAGTTCCTGCAGGGATGTCGGTGAGTCCGACTGGAGAGTTAGGAGCTGTGTTTCGACTAACTCGGTTCAGCGCAACGAAGGCGTCTCCGAACCTGCTCGATGCGTTCCAGACTCCGTCTGTGCCGCCATGGATCAGGCTGAACGTCAAGATCTGTGAGTAGCCAGGCAAGAGAACGCAGCTCACCTCAGCCGCCCAGCCGTACTTGCAGCCGCGCTCCGCCGCACGCCCTCCGCCACTCATCAAGCTGCACACTGAGCCCGTCGTGCTCTCCTGCGCCATCTACCCGGGTATCACGGGCGATGTGCTCAGCGCCCAGATCCACAGCATGCCGAACTGCAAGGCGGTTATCATCTCCGCTTTCGGCTCGGGCAACATGCCAGTGAAGGAGGAGACTGGTGTGCTGCAGGCTCTCGAGAACGCAGTCAAGCGCGAGCTCCTCGTTGTCGTTATCAGTGCCTGTGAGTAACGAAGTAATACCGAGGGACACATTCTGACGCCGCACCTTCCTACCGATACGCACCCGCACTCACACCTTGCACACACGGCTGAACCCTTTCTGTGGCACTCATCCTTCCGCGGCACACGCAACACGCCTCCCCACTCCTTTCCGGACGACCGCCTGGCACCTGCGCATCCTTCGGATGTCGACCTATCTCCGACGCTGCATCGGGCTACTCGTCGGTCTGTCGGCTTCGGCCTTGGTCCTGGAACGCCACCAACGCTACCCTAACCCCCATCGACCACGCCTCCCGACACGTGCACTGTCTCCCTCTCGTTATTGGTACACCTAAACCCTCGGCGTCTGCCTCCCGGTCGCCCTCGGCGTCTGCTTCTATCTGATATGCTCACCCCGGCTCCTTCCGTCTGTCTCCCTTGGTGTGTACGCAACAGGCCACATTCCCAACATCTACCCCCTCTACGCGCTGGGCACGACGCTGCTCTCCATCGGCGTCCTGCCCGGATTCGACATGACGCACGAGGCCGCGTTCGCAAAGCTCTCGTGGCTCGTGTCCCGCACCGACCTGAATTTCGCGCAGAGGCAGGAGCTTTTCCAGACCCCGATCTGTGGTGAGATGAGCGTCTAGAGGTACCGAGCGCGAAGTGCGAGGTGTCACTGAGGCGCGCTTGGCATCGCTGGGCCAGGACTGGTGCAGGCAAGGCGCATCGTGCGCGCGACGTACAGGAGCGAAACGCACAGTGCACCAAGTGTTGCCCGAAGTTTTTGGTGGCCGTGCCGTGCAGAGTTGCCGGCGGGGGGCCGTTCTTGGCAGGGCTGGGGTCAAGTGGGACGCGGACCTAGACCTAGACCTAGACCTAGACCTAGACACGAGATATGCGTACCTGTAAATCTGATTCATGTTATGACAGCCGTATAATCTGACCTCTTTGTCGTTCCGTGCGCATACAGAATGCCGAATAACGCACAGCGCTAGAGCACAGAAGCGAAGGAGGGATGGCCAAGAGTCTCGAGACGTGCCTGACAATCAGGTCCGCCGGCACGCCGGATTGCGGATCGCGGATCGGCCCGTAGTTTGCTTCGAGGTTGTGGACAGATTTTCCGGCCCGACGGGTCCAAGCGAGCTTCGTTTCTCGGTGCGGCGTCTTCAGAAGAAGGCAGGCGGCAGAACAAACGTCCAGACCTAGAGTCGGCGTCAGGTTAAGAGATCCGGGCCCCTTGTGGCCCTCAAGCGGCGTCCTCCGCCCCTTCTCTCAGTACACCCTCCTCTAACGGCCAGGAGCAAGTCGGCAAGCCAAGCCTCCGCGCTCTTGGAAGCTTTGTCAGCTCGCTCCTGTCCCTGGTCTGCTCTAATGATAGAATAGGAGACGTCGCTCGGTTCCAACCATTCCAATTTTTGGGATGAAGAGAGGAGAGGAATGCGAACCCCGATAGAGCCCTGGAGCCAATCAACGCACAGATAAGGGTCGGCCGAAAGTTATCTGATAGGGGAGAGCTCTGCCTGAAAAAAAGTTCGAGGAGAGGTGTCACCTGCCCTCTTCGTTTGAGATACGTCATGAAGGCGTTGCAGACGAGGAGCAAAATAGCATGCATACCCCGCCTGGCGTTGAGATATCCTTGAGGCGCTGCTGGGCGCTGCATGGCGTTGTGAGGAGCTGAGTCTCGGAGCTACGCGACCACCTTTCCGCTGCACCTGCCGTCCGCGATGCTGAACACCTCCCTTCGCTTCGCTCTTCCGTCTTCAAGGAAGGTCTCGAGCAATCTTCGAGGCACCGTCCGAAAGCCTAAGACATGCAAGACATGCAGGCAGTCATCGGCCCAAAGTCAACGGGCAGCGGCAGCGAGGACTCTAGCGAGGTTTATCCCTGCCAAGACAATCACGCAGATCTACCTGTTCTCTACCTGTTCCGGCCCGCTTGACGTCAGAACGTCAGGCTCGCTCTCTCTCTCTGGCACACGACCAGACGTCGTGCATTTCGTAAAGTGGGGGCATGCACGTGAGCGGCAGACGGACAGTCGAAGCGCTCGGCGCGGCTGCAGCCAATCGGCCGACAAAGCTGCGCACTCCGACTACCCCGAGAGATGCATAACCGACAGCTGGTCTGTCCGGCATGCACCCACGCCTTAATGCCCGGTATCCAGATCTGTCCCAGTTGCGGCAGGACGAGACCCGTGCGCCATGTCTAAGTAAAGCGTCGGGCAAGACAAGACATGAGGAGCAGGAGCAGGAGCAGGCGGTAATCTGATAAAAATGTTGTCGGCCGATTTCTACGGCCCGCCCGGCAAGGGACAAGGTTTGCGTGCCCTCTGCCCTGCATGCCCTGGCCGTCTGGGAGTGCATACGCCTGCTCCATCAAGGAGGGCGCCGGCACTGCTACAGGGACGGCTTCCTGCCGGTCGAGCAGTTGAAGCAGGGCCTGGGCGGTCTCCTGTCCGCAGACCTCAGCTGCGTTCAAGATCCAGAGAGGGTTCGTTAGTGTGGGACAGTGGGACGGTGAGCCGGGCGTGCCCGCTCCAGTATAATTTTGCTGGTTGGCCAAGAGTTGCTCCCTGGCAATGACCCGGGTGGTGGGAGACGCAGAACCCTGAATCGCCGTTTTTATCAGATAACCCCGGCGCCAGGCAGGGACCGCAGACTTTTCCCCTCCCCCCTCCGTCCCTCGTCTGCAACAGCTGAGACCAGCTGACACCGACCGACCGACGCCAGAAAGGCTTGGCTTGGCCAGGGATTCCAGAGAAGGGGGGCCTGGCTCGCTTCTCGTTCTGACCTCTGCGTGGGGGGGCTTGGGACCTAGGACGCCGACTAGGTCATCGCATCTTTGCGTAGCAAAACCAAATTTATCGCACCAACAGCTCCTTGGATCCCGACCATTGCCGACCGCACCATCGCACCCACACACGCTAGGGCACTATAAAGAAGCGAAGCGGCTCTCACCACCCGCCCCTCCCTTCAAGTATCTTTGCTGGTGACAGCACACACTCGTTACACCACCATGTCCGCAGCCGCTCCGCCAGTATACGAGCAGGCCAACATTGCCGAGAAGGCAGACCTGCCCTCGGGCACTGGCCCGACACCGACCATGCCCCCGACGTCGACTGCCGTCCCGGGCCTGTCGAGCCCCGAGTCCGACGGCTCCTCGCCCATGATGGAGCGTTCCGTCTCCCTCTCGAAGGTGCGCACGAATCCGAACCTGGACGAGAAGACGGCGAAGGTCGTCTACGAGAAGTCGCCCGGTATTCTGCGCATCGAGGCGATCACGTCCATGTTCACGCGCTGGCACCTTGCGTGGCTCTTCTTCGCCATTTTCCTCGTCTCGTACTGCTACGGCCTCGACGGCACGCTGCGCTACACGTACCAGGTATTCGCGCTTGCTGAGTGGGCTGCTTCCGCCCAAATCTCGACCATCACGGTCGTCAGGAGTATTGTCGCTGCGGCCGCGCAGCCCGCCTTTGCGCGTATCTCGGACTACTTTGGCCGTATTTCGATTCTTTTCATCAGCACTGTCTTTTACGTTATCGGCACCATCGTGCAGGCATGCGCGACCAACCTTGCCACTTTCTCGGGCGGCGCGGTGCTGTACCAGTGAGTTCAATCCTGCGACGATGAGTTCGAGGGTGCAACGACTAACAACTCAGGTTCGGTTACACTGGCGTCCAGCTCCTGGTCATGGTCATCATCGCCGACGTGACGAGCACGCGCAACCGTCTTCTCGTCTCCTTCATCCCCGCCACTCCTTTCATCATCAACGCCTGGGCCTCTGGCCCTATTGGCGACCGCGTCTCGCCCGGCGTCAACGCGGACGGCTCTGCTCGACCCCCCTCCATCTCCTGGCAGTGGGGTATCGGCATGTGGGGCATCATTTTCCCCGTTGTCGCGCTCTCGCTCGTCATTGTCTTCATCCTCGCCAAGCGCCGCGCGAAGAAGCAGGGTCTCCTCGCCGGCCTGCCTAGGGGCAACCCGCTCTCGCTCTCGCTCTGGAAGGACTTTTTCTGGACCGCCGACGTCATGGGCATCATCCTCCTCGCGGGGGCTCTCACCATGATTCTCCTCCCCTTCACGCTCGCGGGCGGCGTGCACAGCGAGTGGAAGAAGGCCAAGAACATTGCGGTGCTGATCGTCGGCTTCGTCGTCGTCCTCCCCCTCTTCCTCTTCTGGGAGTTCCGCTTCGCGACCCACCCCGTCTTCCCCTTCTACCTGCTCAAGGACCGGCAGATCGTCGCCGGTCTCGGCGTCGCCTTCCTCATCAACACGGCATGGTACTGCCAGGGCGATTACCTGTACTACACAACTTTGGTTGCGTTCGGCAAGTCGATCCAGCAGACGATCTGGACGCAGAACATCTACTCCTTCGTCTCGGTCATTGTCGGCCTCATTATGGGCCTGGCGGCGCGCTACCTGCGTCGGCTCAAGTGTATCGTCGTCATTGGTGCCGCCATCATCCTGATTGCCTTCGGCATCCTCATCCGTTTCCGTGGCGGGCACTCGACGAGCGACTACGCGGGCCTCGTCGCCGGCGAGGTCCTGCTCGGCATTGCGGGCGGAATGCTCTCCTACCCGACGCAGGCGCTCACACAGGCGGCTGTCAAGCACGAGCGCGTCGCCGTCATCACCGCCTCGTACCTCGCGTCTTACTACGTCGGCAGCTCCGTCGGTAACACGATCGCGGGCGGAATCTGGACCAACACCATGCCCGGCCATCTCGCCACCAACCTCGCCAAGGTGACTGACAACTCGACGATCGCCACCGTCGTGTACGGCAACCCCCTCGCCGCGCTCGAGTACCCGATGGGCACGCCCATTCGCGAGGCCATCGACCTAGCCTACAGGGACGTGCAGCGCTATCTCTGCATCACGGGCATCTGTCTTGCCGCTGTCCTGTTCCTCCTCACCCTCACTCTGCGCGACATCCGTCTCACGGATAAGCAGACCAATGACGAGGCCGAGGAATGGGTCGCCGAGGACGCTGTGCATGATGTCAGCTGGAGGGGCATGTTTAAGGACCCCCTTGGCATCATTGGCCTCGGCAAGCACCACTACTAAGTGTCCCCGTTGGGAGTAGAGTGAGAAGTAGTTTATAATGGCGGAGTGAGGACGGGGCGGGGAAGAGGATAGCACTGTGATTAGATTTCCGGTTAGCTTTCTTGCACAGACGACGATCAACACATGTATCAATCGTATCTGCTTCACGTGTCGAGAAGAACTGACGATCTTGCCGTAAGCCAAGAGAAGGTACGAGCCGAGCATTCGGAAAGAGGCCGAACAATGCTCATCTGCTCATCACGCATATGAATCGACTGCATGGGCCGCAGAGGCGGCAAAGACAACTGTACTACAAACCTATGACTACTATGCTTCACTTGTTCTGCGTTCTTGCGAGTTGTACACTCAGTGCACAATGTCCTCTGTTCTCAGTTAGCTACCGCCGAGCCAGCCTAACTTACCCCAGTGCCTTCCCTTCGTCTTCTCTACCAGCTCCTTCGTCATCTCCTTCTTGCTGAAGTAGCCAGCCTCAATCTGGGAGCAGGTTAGCGGAACTGTCAAGAACTATTACACACCTTCGCGTCAATCTCGACCCGACCGTCGGCGGGAATCAGCTCGTCAGGGATCTCATAACGGAGACCGACAGTGATGCCGCTGCCCACAATCGCGTCATACTTCATGTTGCTCATACTGACGAGGCGGTGGATGTGCTTGATGCCGAGCCAGTGCAGCACATCGGGCATGAGCGCCTGGTGGCGCGCGTCCTTGACGCCCGCAACGCACTCGGTGTGGTTGAAGTACTGCGCCGCGCTGTCACCACCACGCTTGCGGCGGTTGTACACCATGTACTTGACGACCTCGCCGAGAGCACGGCCCTCCTTCTGGAAGTACACAATGACGCCGACTCCGCCACGCTGCGCACACTTGATCGCCTCGCTGATGCCGAAGATCAGGTAGGGACGACACGTGCACACGTCACTGCCGAAAACGTCGGATCCGGAACAGCTGTCGTGGGGGCGGCAGGTGATCTCCGTGTTGGGGTCGGAGAGCTTGGATGGGTCGCCCATGATGTACACAGTCATACCGCCGATGGGAGGGAGGAAGATCTTGATGTCTGGGCGGGTCAGGAGCTCGGGGTACATGCCGTTCGTGTCCTCAAAGAGCGCGCGGCGAAGAGTACCCTCATCAATGCCGAGACGCTCAGCCACACCAGGCAGGTACCAAACCGGGTCGACGGCCGCCTTGGAGCAGACGATCTGCACACCCTGGTCGACACCGGGGAATGCGGGGAGCTCCGGAGTAGGGACAACAATCTTGCCGTCGACAGGGAACTCGCCCCTGCGAGCGAGCTGGTCAAGCTCCTCGATCTTGATGTGGGCGAGCGTCTGCGAGATGGTCGGGCGGACGTCGACACCGGCTGCATACTCGTCCGCAAACAGCTCCTGCGTCATGGCGCCGAAGGGGTCAAAGGACACGATCTTGGCGTCCTTGCCACCGCCGAACCAGCCGGGCTGAGGAGGAAGAATGAATGGAGGCTTGCACGTCAGCGGCTGAAGCACGTTCCTTATGCTGTCCCCCTCCCCACACTCACATGCGTGTTTCGCAGATCCGGGCGCCAGTCGGGCTTCAGCTGGCCCATGGCGATACTGAGAGCGCGGTAAATGGAGTAGCTTCCCGCATGAGCTCCAATGGCGTTACGCTGCAGCAGGTTCTTGCCGATACGCGATGCAAGCACAGGGCCACGCTCACGGCCGGTCGCTGAGGGGTTAGTCAAACAATGGTGGAGGTGACTCACGTCCGGCGCCCCACTGAATCGGATAGGGGCTCACACCGGCCTGTCCGGGGTACGCTGCGGTCAGCTCCATCTAGGGGTTCGGTAGCTAGCTCACTGGTCAGGACAACGCGGGAGGGGTACAGGCCCTTCTCCTTCTCCTTCTTGGGCTCCTTGTCGAGGGCTGGGGATGAGGTGACAGATCCGACGGACGTGCCAAAGACACTTGGGGCAGTTGGGGACATGCTCAGCATGCCTGGAACAGAAGGAGGGGAGGAGCTCATGGATGCACGGCGGAATGCGTCGACGCCGTTCCTATGAGCCGGCTGACCCGGTTGGGGACAGGGGATCATGTCAACACCCTTGGGTGTCGCCTGCTGAGCTTGCTGAGCTTGCATCGAGGCAAGCTAGTTGTCAGCACTGGCCCAGTATAGGGATGCACGCACCTGAGCGGAGAGCTGCTCCTGCTTTGCATCGAGCTTCCGGAGCATGGCGACGATGGCCTCCATGTCGGCGCTAGTGTCGGCGGTCATGGTGGGCGGTGGCAAATGGGGAATGTGTGATCAGGTGTAGTGGGGGGTAAGCGAGGATGGTCTGTGATGGCTCGAGAAGCCAGCACAGAGGCTGTGGATCGATGTGGAAGAGGAGAGAGGAAGAGAGAGGAGGAGGATGCCTGGGGATGCTGACAAGGCGGTTTAAGTATGCACATGTGCGCACTCGTCGACGCGAGGGGAAAGGAAGGCACCCCATGACCTCGTCACTCAGCCAGCAGCCCAGGAACACACACACAGCGACAAGCCTCCCGTATCTCATCGGCACGTGTTGCTTATCACGGACTTGACCGACACTCAATCCCGTAATTCATCCAATCCTGGAACACCTGGAATCCCTATCCACCCGAGCCAGCACATCCCCTCTCCGGCTTCTTATCGCGACCATGTCGTCCATGCACTAAGCCTCCCCCACCACAGTGGGGCTTGTGCACACACTACCCGACGCTTGCACTCCTTATCACGACGTGCCCACCTCGGACACCTCCTGGACACGTTGGCACTGTCGTGCCTCAGACGTCTGGACCAGGATCAGGAGACCTCGCAACTCCCTGGCGTCTATCAGTGAATAACCATCCGGCATTCCGTCCGAGTGCACTGCGTATATCTAAGTGTTACATGTATATCTGCTCTAATCGACCACGATAACATCCGCATCCGGCAGCGTGGGCGGCGCCTTGTTCGTGACAGGTGACTGGGCGACGCCGCTGTTCGGTCCCTTCTTCTGTTTCGGCGGCGGCACCGTTGCCGGGATCGGAATAGGCTGGAGGTGGGCAGCCAGCTGCTTCAGTCGCGCCAAAGACGTCAACGGGAACTTTGTCTTGCACATCGAACAGATTGGCTTGACCTCGCAGAAGACTGGTGGCTTGTCAGCAAACGCTCTGGAGAAGCCACTCACTGCTCAGGCACACACTGCAGACAAAGCCGACGTCGACCACGTCATGATGACAGAAGCACACAGCTCTAAAGTCAACCGCGTCTTGAGGTGGAACAGTGAACGGCTTGTTGCGGAGGGACGGCGGGGGAAGGTACATGCTCTGTGGGTCAGCTGACACGGAAGGAACGAGGAGGCTTACATGTAAGTACTGCAGCAATCCGCCTCGACCGTTCCATCGCCAGTATATCCCCTCCGTCAGGTACGCAGCCTGCTGCAAGAAGATCGGCGGCGCCGTCATGGTGCTTTCCGGCGGTAGCGTCAAAACATCGATCGCGACTTTCTGACAGGTCAGCTCATCTTCAACCGCCGTCAAGCTCACAGCTTTCTGAGCAGCAAAGACGCAGTTCATGAGACCAACGTATCCTCGCTGCCCGCCTCCTCCTCCGGAAGCCTTGGCAGTTTTCGAGTCAGTGGCCTCCGCATCCTCAGCCCCACCAGGAGTCGCGTTGAGGATCAATATCCGTGATTCCTCAGCTTCCGGGTTGCTGTTCTTGCTCGGATCGTTGTCGTGGGCCACGAGCGACGTCGCGGCGACCTCAGGCGGACGGCGCCGATTGATGTCTATCCTGTCAGACCACATTAATCGGACTGCACTCACAACACAGCGCCTTGGTCAGAGCCGACACGAGTGCCGGTGGCTCGTCGAGATCCTTCCCGTCGCCCGCGTTCAACCGCTCATTCTCCTTCTCGACCACTTCCTTCACTCGCTGCTCAAAGCCAGAGTCGACCGCTTTGAACGGCTGATAGAAGTTTGGATTCGGTCGCGACGGATTCGCATGACCCTCTGGCGGAGGATACAGCAGCACGCTGGTGTCAGTCAGGAAGTGTATCTGTAAACTTACGCTGAGCCGGGAAGAGCACCATAGACTACCACCTCGTTACCCCATCGGCTAGCGAGATGGGCATTCAGAAAGACCATTAGAACAGTCGCAAAGTCTTCCAGCGTGATGGGCGACACGGGTGCCTTCTCCTTCTCCTTCTCTCCTCGTTCCGCCATGTCGGGAGGCGACTTCAGGTTGGCCAGGAGGGACCATGCCAGGGGATGCAGATCGACGATGGCGATAAGGAGTGAGGCCGGTGATGTCTTCGGCCATGGCCGTGACTGCGCGACCGTTCCCGGCATCTCTCGAACTGGCTAGAGGACGATGATGGCGGCGCCGAGACGAGAGGACGAGAATTCGATTGTTCACCGGGGGGTGGTTGATGTCACTTGCTGGTGCCGGTGGAGGCCGTGGAAAAATGCCGTGTACCCACCCCACGTGGCAGTATCACTCCACTTGTGGCTGCAGGAATTTTGGGCAGTGACATCGATCCCAGGCAACAACAGCTGCTACCATTGTCTGCTGCAGCCCTCGTTACAACAAAACAGCAGCGATGCCTGCTCCGACCCAAGCACCGACGGTGCCCCTGCACCGAATCCGATTCTTCGACCACACCCCGTCACCCATCACCGCCCTCTCCTTCGCCCCCATTCCTCTGCCGCCGGCTCGTGACCCGTCCGCCGCCCCAACCAGCACCAAGGGCAAGGCTCGCGAGGACGGCAACCCCGAGCTCGGTGTCCTCGTTGTTGCTCGTGAGAATGGAGAAGTTGAGATCTGGCAGTATGTGCCCGCCGACGAGGGTGGCATGGGCAACTGGGTGCTCTCCAAGGTAAGCTCCGCGCTTTTCGTTCACGAGCTGACATCAGACTCTGCCGCCTACGCTGACCCACCCGACGATCTCGAACATGGCTCTCGTGATCCGGGATCCGGAGAACTTCCACGAGAAGTCTTACAGCGTCCCCCGCGTTGAGGACTTGCGCCTCTTCACTGCCGGCTCTGACTCCAACGAGCTCACTGAGCGCTGCCTCGAGACTGGCCGTGTCCTGCAGACGTACCCGATCCCCTCGCCGCCGCTGTGGTCGCTCTCCGTCTCGCCGACGCACCAGCTTCTGTGTCTCACGACCAACTCCCCCAACCTTCACTTCGTCTCCATCCCTCCCCCTCTTCTCGGCAACACTGCCACGCCGGTCGAGCCCGCCCCGGCGCACCTCCTCCGTTCGGACGCCCTCCCGAGTCGCACCCGCACTGTCTCGGTTGCTTGGGGTATCCCGAAGCTTGTCGAGGGCGAGGACGGGTGGACGTGGCGCGACAGCTACCTCATCACCGGAAACTCGGACTCGTCCTTCCGCCGTTGGGATCTCCCTCCGCCCAGTGCCGCCGGAACACCATCGGGCCGTGTTACGCTCAAGTCGAGGGCCGTTGTGGAGAAGGTCAGCAAGGGCAAGAAGGCGGGACAGAAGGGCACTATTGTGTGGGGTGTCGGTGTTCTTCCGTGAGTTCGCTCTGTGTGACCCTCAACTGACATCCAGGGATGGCACCATCGTGACGTCCGATTCGCTCGGAAGCGTGACCTTCTGGGACCCGTCGAGCATGGCGCAGCGCCAGTCATTCCGCAGCCACAAGGCCGACGGCATGTGCCTCGTCATCGGCCCCGGTGGCCGCACCGTCTTCACCTCCGGCCCCGACCAGCGCGTGTGCCAGTTCACGGCCGTGCCGCAGCAGAAGGGTGGCGTGCAGTGGGCACTCACCTCGACGAAGCGGGTACACAGCCACGATGTCCGTGCGCTCGCCATCTTCCCTCCTTACGTCCCCCTGGCCGCCAACACGAAGATCCCGCCGACGCCCATCAACCCCGGTCTTGCGCCCATCCTCGCCTCGGGCGGGTGGGACATGGCGCCCGTGCTGACCTCTGCCGCGCCCGCGGACATCATGGCGGACAAGCTGAAGAACCCGCTTGCGAAGAACAAGAACCGCCAGCGCGTCACCTTTGAGGAGGCGTACTCGCGCAAGCTGTCTGCATTCGGTGGCGAGCGCGGTGCGTCCCGCATCAGCGTTGCGCGGGAGGCCCGCCTCGTGCTTGGACGCAAGGACCGGAGCGTCGGCGTCTGGCGCGTGCTCGAGGACGAAGGGGGATGGGAGAAGGTGCTCGAGATGGAGCTCAAGCTGCGCACGAACCTGATCTCGTCCTCGATCTCGGAGGACGGGCAGTGGCTGGCCGTGTCGGACCTGTACGAGACCAAGCTCTTCCGTCTCCTCGACACGGGCTCCGCCGTGCGCCCGCACCGTATCCGCTCGTTCGCGACTGACCTCGCCTCCGCCCCCGAGCTGAAGGAGCTCAAGCTGGGTCAGAAGGGGTGTGGCGCGAGTGCGCTGCTCTTCACGCCCGACTCGGGCCGGCTCGTTATGGCGCTCGCGGCGAGCGCGAACGTCGTCGTCCTCGAGCTCCCCGAGGTGAACGAGGGGGACGAGGTCGAGGTCGCCCGCGTCTTCCCACCGCAGCACAAGCTGGAGGGCGGGCGCTCGATCCGCAGGCGGCGGCGGCAGAAGGCGGCCCACCGCCTCGACATGGATGTGGAGATGGACTCGTCCTCCGGCAGCGAGAGCGAGGAGGAGGACAAGGGGCCCGAGACCCAGCCGTGGGTGACGGGCCTCTCCTGTTCGCTCGACGGGCAATACCTCGCCACGTCCGACACGGGCGGCAAGGTCACGGTCTTCAACCTGGACACGATGAGTCTGCACGCGCTGCTCCCGACGCTGCCGCAGGCGCCCATCGCGCTGGCGTTTGCCCCGACGCACCCCCTGCTGCTCCTCGTGCACCCCTCGAACAGCGTGGGCTTCTACGACCTCGAGGCCCGCCGCCTCCTCCCGCCCTCGCACCAGGTGGTCGTGCTGAACCAGACCCTGCGCGGCCTGCACGCGTCAGTGCAGGGCGCGGCGTTCGAGCCCTCCCGCTCCACGCCGCGTGCCGCCAAGCTGGCGCTGTTCGCGCACGACTGGCTCGCCACGGCGCGTATTGACCTCGACCTCGTCGCCCGTGCCCGCGAACCGGGGGCGCTGACGAGCAAGGCGCTGCGGAGGAAACGCGCCCGCGAAGCGCGCGAGGCCCTCGAGGCCTCGTCCGCCAGTCCGTCCGTGACAACCGGCAGCGTCGCGAGCGACATGCCGCTCTCTGTTGTCCCGCAGCCGATCCGCTCCAAGGGCGTCAGCTCGGCCAATGACGCCGACTTTGTCAAGGTCGCCACCGACCGCTTCCGCGCTATCGTGGATGTGGACTGGCTCGGGGAGGGAGAACTCATGCTCGTGGAGAGGCCTTATGCCGACTATGTGGGCGAATTGCCGCCTGCGTTCTGGACCGGCAGCTACGGAAAGGCGTAGAGGGTAGAGTGTAGCATCGTTATCTCAATGCATTGCATCGTTATCATACTGCCTCGGGGACGAAGCCTAGGAAGTCTGGTCAGCTGCAAACCTGCTAGATCGCTAATAATAGCTAATAATACATGCATACAAGTGTGAAAATACAGGTCACGCAGAGACGAGAGGAAACTCGACCCCAGGCCTCTGCGAGCACCAAACCCTCCTGACTCTACAGTTGGCGTAGACCCTCACGAACACAATCCTGCCAAAGTTCTCCGGCAACGTTCTCCCTTCGACTGTTCGTTGCCTCTTCCTCCCTTCACCGTCCCTTCCCTCCCTTCCCTCCTCCCTCTCTGAACGCGCAGCAGCGTGCATCTTCCCAAACAACCCCACCAGCGGCCTCAAGTCCACACTGAGTTCCGCCCACTCACTCAACCTGTGCTTGTCACTGGGTAATGCTAGAGGGAGGTGCAGAAGTGCTTTGGTCGGATGCAAAGCAGGCGTTGTCTGGTTGTCAGCTCAACGTGGGCAATGTAGCTCACTTTCCAACTACTCAGCCTTATTGTCCCTTCTCTCCCTCTCTGATCTTCGATGCCAATCTCGACCGCGACGCCGCGCTTACCCAGCCGCTTGAACTGGATGCCGAGGTAGGGTAGTTCGACGCCTAGACCCTGCCTGCCGCCCGCTTGGATATACGTATCTGGCTCCGGACTCTGGATATGCACCACTTGGTCAGATATGGATCTGGTCGCGTGGAGCGGACGGTGATATGCTGAGCGCTGGTGTTCTCGCCCGCTCCAGTCTACCCTTCCGTCAGAATGGCGCGGGAGTGCTTGAGAGTAGTCTGTGTCGAGTGAGGAGGGGGCTGAGTTGTCAGCTTGACAACGACACATTCACAGCTGCGCCGAGCACTAGCCTCACGATGGACATTACCTTTGGTCCTAGACTTGTCGCCGGGATACTCTGAATCAGAGAGGAGCGTTACGAATGACTTGGGCGAGGAGCCCTCCACGACATGCCAGACGGGACTGAGGCCGCTCTCGCTGTTCAGAAGAACAAGCAGGCCGGGCTGAAATCAGCTTCCAACCTGTCGCTGAGCTCACCTGCACTTGTCCGTCGAGCAGCATTTCTTGTCTTGCTTCCTTCCACTGGCCAGAATTGTTGATATCAGTCACCTTGAGCCTCGAAGGCACTCACTCAGTGAGCCTGAGATGACGTAAGATAATGATCGTCGTGACGGGATCAAAATTTTGGAAAACCCTCCCTGCCTTTCGTCCCTCTGACACACCCAGAGCTTCGCCGAGTGCTCCCTCCGTTCGTCCGGGGTGCAAAAGAACGCGAAGGGATGCGTAACAAGCGAAAAAGAGAGCCTCGTATGGGGCTCGAACCCATGACTGTGTGATCTATCGGCATAGAGACTAAGAGTCACACTATCTACCGACTGATATAACGAGGCTAGCTGGAAGCTGATGTCTGCTGGTCTCGGGCAGCGTCATGCCCTGCCTCGTCCCCGGACCTTTCTTGCTTCCTGACGCTCCTGCGACTCTTTTGCGTCGCTTCTTGTGATCAGTGACTGTTCGTGCTCCAGTATCGTGCTAAGAACATGTTAATTGAGCGAGCCCGCAACCCTTATTCTCGGGTTTGCTCAGGCTCGCTCTATTCATCTACAGACGGGGCCGCCTGGGCGCCCGCAATGCGAATGCGAAGTGTCTATGTAAACTAGAGGGGCAGGGGCGGCATGCGGTGGAGCGGAGGGAGAGTCTAGAGGGTGGGCATGAGGGTGATGGTACAGGTGGTGGTACAGTGCGCTTCGGACGCTGCAGGCGCGAGTCGAGCGCACAGAGGCTCAGCCTGTCGCCGAGAGAGTGGGGGCCGAGCGGTCGGGGTCTTCAGGCAGCCGCAACAGCAACAGGCTGGTGCGCCCCGAAAGTGTCCGCCTTCTCGAGACCATCGTAGGCGGGCTGGGCGGGCTGCTCGGCGGCCGCAGTGACGGCGTGGCCGTTCTCGGCGCTGCCGTTGGCGACGGGAGTGCCGTTGGCGCCGTTCGGCTTGAGGTCCTCCAGGTCCACCTTGTGCAGGGGACCAGGCTGGTAGCAGTTGGTGCGCAAAGCGTCAAGTTGCGTGCGCTCGAGCCAGGGCTGGAGATGAGGATTCCGTGGCACATTCCAGAGGGGTTCCGGGTGGTGTTGAGGCAGGCGAGTTTGGCGCCGAGGTGTGTTCGACGAAGTGGTCAGTAGCAAAGGATCCGTGTGAGCGCAGGTAGGCACGGGCAAGGTAGTGTCCGCATACGTGTGTAAAGGCATAGTAGCGCCAGTGGCTCCAGGGGAACCAGTAGGCGGCGAGGCCGGGGATGTCGACCTTGGACGGGTCCTCGACGACCTGAGAGTCAGTTGAACGTTGCAGCACGTGAACTCACCTCCTTCTTCAGCTCGGTCAGAAGCCCAACCTTGTCGGTGAGGATAGCCTGGACGCCCCAGGTCATCGCCGTGCGCATCTCATTCGGGTCATTGACGGTCCACACGCAGACTTCCTTGCCGGCGGCGCGGCAGTCGGCGATAAACTTCTGCCCCTCGGAGCCGACGAGCATGGAGAAGTTGATCGAGAAGCCGGCGCACGCGTCCCAGAAGTACTGGCGCGCGATCGAGGGAGAAATGCCAATGTGGTAACGAGTGCAAGACGGGAGGTACTTGTATGCGGGGCGGATGAAGAGCGGGTGCCACAGACCGAGGATGATACGAGGCGCGAGCTCCTGCTCCCAGTTCTCGTACTTACTGCAACTTGTTGAGCATGCTGTGTCAGCGCCAAAGGACTCACGAGAGGATACGCGCGATCTCGGGCTGACTGTTAGCTCACCCGACGGACCTGGAAGCAGTTGGTGACTCACGAAGAGACCCTCGGGGTCATTCTGGATCTTGCAGTCGATCTGCGGTAAGCCCTCCTCTATCCATGCACATACTCACGTTCAGCTTGACGTGCTTATTCTCCGGCTCCATGATGAGATCGATGAGCTGGTCGAAGCGCGGAACGGGCTGGACCGGCTCCTTGGTGGTACGCACGTTCCTTAACGCGATCAGACCAGCAAATGCGCTTAAGCTTACTCGATGACGCCCGCCCACGGCTGGCTCTTGATCGTGCCCGAGCCGTTAGTCGTGCGGTCCAGCGTCGGGTCGTGGAACATGAGGATGACGCCGTCGGAAGTGACGTGGACGTCTGGCCGTCAGTCCGAGTTCGTGTAAACAAGACCGAGGTTCGGGCTGCTCGGCAATTAATAATCAGTGTACGCACCACTCTCGATGGCATCGGCACCCTCCTTGATCGCGGCGCGGAAGCTTGCGAGCCTGTGGTGTCAGAGGCGCTGCCGGCGCTGGCCCGCTGGCCAGCGGAGCACCACTGAAAGAGCGCGGCCTTACGTGTTCTCTGGGAGGAAGGCTGAGGCGCCGCGGTGGCCCCAGACCTGAATGTCCTTGACGGCGCGAACGGGAGAGTCGGCCATGGTGATGAGGTGTGACGGCAATGCAGAAGTCTAACGAGATGAGATGAATGTAAAGTGTAAGGGGAGAAGGCAGGGAGTGAGCGAGGGGTATATAAGGTGTGAGTGTGTGTTGTGAGGGTTGTTGCGTTGTCCAGGCTGATCTGGAGTCGAGATGAGAGTGGATAGCCGGTGGCCACTGTGTGCGCGTGTCGATGACTCGGCCACTTAGCGTTTGAAATGAAATTTCGGGGCTGGTTGGTTGGGCGGTGCCCGCGTCGTCGTCTCTTGGGCCTCGCGCATTCCACCCGCTGCAACACGTTTTCAAATGCAGCCCTGTTCCTTTTCACACTCGACACCTGCTGTCTGATGCAGCTCCGCCGCCCCAGTCCCCGTGTCCGAAGCATGTCTGTCGTCCCATGCATGTCACAGAGTCCCACTCCCACGCCTCCGCGCCCCGACGCCGCGCAGCAAGTGCAGGGCGTGTAGGGTTGCTCAGGGCCCACCTGCCCAGAGTGGCAACGACTATGTCTCCCGACGCCTCCCCAAGTCAACAAACGGCTCAGAACCGATACGCCTTCACTCTGCGCTTTCTATGCGCCTCTGCGGTTGCGGGCGGTCGGGACGGGCAAATGAAGCGGGTAAGCAAGCGTTCAAGTGGGCGCTGGAACGCGAACTGGTGCGGCATGTCACGGTATCATGGTCCAGACTGGGCACACATCGAGAGTCTTCTGACCCACAATAGAACAGCTGTTCGGAATGTGCATCGTGCATCGCCTGACTCCACACTCTCTCTGTGTCGGAGTTCTCGGACCACACACAGGGCGTCGTATTGTTACGCAGCAGGTGACTCGCAATGACATGGTTGCCACCCAGATCCCTACGAGCCCCACGAGCCCAGAAGGCACGTTGGGGTGAGTCATAGCAAGCTCGCTCGCTCGTCTCGAGATGGTCTGATCTGTTAACCGCCGGGCAATCGGGCCGACACCCGCAGCCTACTACTTAACGGCCGCACATGAGCCGGCTATCAGACAGCAGACTTGGCTGCGACAGGCGCTGCGCTTGTGGTCACGCCGAGGAGTTCAGTCGTCACCTCGGCGGCACGCATGAGACAGAGTGCCTGCGGCGTAGCATGGCTCAATGCGTGATCGAGCGGAATACCGGGCCACCGTCGCTGCCGAGGCATGCGACACATTCACTAGCCCATCACCAGATCACAGATCGACATCGACGCAGATCAGCGGGCAAGGCGTTCCGCGAACACGTGACTGCTCCATTCACTGGAATCAGTCATCCTTCGGAGCAGGCCCCATGGTCCTCCCTGCCAAGCATACGAAGTGGGCATCCCGTCGCTGGATGCTGCGACGATTGGACGCCGATACCGATATACATGCATGTCGACTTGAGAATACCGTCTTTCTTTGGCAACTCAAAGTCTGTGCGTGTGCACGCCATGATGACCACCGAAGACGTCAGCCCGACTCGGCCATTAGCGGAACCTTCCATCTCGGAAGTAACCGAATCCACCACCGGGTTATCAAACGTTAGGCCACTTTCTGTTCCTTCCCTCCTTTCTTGCCGTTCAACCTTCCCCCATGACCATCACAGACAGCAGCATGTCTGACTCGCCCGCCATCCCCCTTCCGCCGCTGACGCGCGTTGCCGTCATCGGCGGAGGCGGTCCCAGCGGTCTCGTTGCGGTCAAGCAGCTGTTGGACGCCGGCGTGCGTCCAGACCAGATTGCGGCTTTCGACGACCGACCCGCAGCAGGAGGCGTGTGGAATTATGTCGCTGATCCGGGCACGCCGGACATTGCCTGGCGCGAGAACGGAATGGCAGTGCTGAGAAGCGAGAGGGAGAAGGCGCACCCTGGCGCTCTTGGGCCGGGAGGTGAGCTCATGCGCCGGTTGACAGCTAACAGCAGGAATCTACGATCACCTACGCACCAACCTGCCCAAGCACATGTGAGCTTTCCGAATGTTAGCTGCAGCTGACAGATAGTATGGCCTACCGCGGTGCTGAGTTTCCGGAATCGAACCCCCTCTTTCCACACCATCCCCAGGTGAAGGAATACCTCCAAGCCTACTCGAGGGAGAAGGGGTAAGCTGACCCAGTGTTGATATGAGCTGATGACAGCCTCGACAGCGTTATCCAGTGGAACACGCTTGTCATGAGCGTGAAGCACAACCCGTCCTCAACGGGACCGGCGGACCACTGGGCCGTCGAGGTCGAGCATGACGGGAAGCGGCGGACCGAGTACGTCTCGCACGTCATCGTGTCGAACGGGCACTACAACGAGCCCTTTGTCCCCTCCGTTCCTGGACTCGATACGTTCAAGGGCACCCTGATCCACTCACGGTGGTGGCGCAACGCAGCCCAGTTCCGGGGAAAGAACGTCATTGTCGTCGGTTCCCGTGCGTCCGGATTCGACATTGCGCGCGAGCTGGCGCAGGACGACTACAACGCGCGTGAAGCTGGTCACCCGAATCCCGAGCGCAAGATCTATCAGTCTGTCCGCGGCGTGGTCGACAAGCCAGAGTGGGACACGGACTTTCCCTGGTCTGGCGAGATCACGGTTGTCTCGCAGATCGTCAAGTGCGACGGGGACACGTTCGAGCTCATGGACGGGAAGAAGATCTCGGCCGAGGTCGTAGTGTACGCGACAGGTTACCTGTACTCATACCCGTTCTTTGATGGTGCGCCCTTCACCAAGCACCCTGTTACGAAATCCCTGGCCCCTGCCGAGGAGGGCATCCCCGCCGCTGGAGGACAGACGATTATGAACCTGACGCCTGATGACGTATTCTACGCCCCCGACCCGACACTGGCCTTCATCGGATTGCGTGAGTACCACATCCCTCAGAGCTCAGAGGAATACGATGAGCTGACGGCAGATTACATGGTCAACCCCCTCTTGCTGGGCGAGACGACGGCACACCTCATCGCCTGGGCGTTTACACATAATGAGGTACCGCCTCTCCCACCCCTCATCCGCATGACCGATTCGCCGCACGACATCAAGGTCGGCTTCCCCGCCGAATTCGACAATCAGGATAACTGGCTGAAGGCTATTGGAGAGGTAAGTGGCGAGTAGAACGAGCCATGTCTACCTTAGAGGACGTTCAACTGTTAGAGCAAAGTAGAGCAAAGTAACTGTTAGAGCAAAGGATTGCGGGCTTCTGGAACAGCTGTTGATTCGTGTGCAGGAAGCTAACTCACAGGGCGGCGACCACCCCGACCACGGCTGGCCGCGCATCTCGGATCGCACGAGACAACTGCGCGAGGACGCACTCAAGCTCCGCCGCGAGCATCTGGGATACTAGACATGTTAGAATTAGAGCATTGAGCGTGCCGTTTGCCCTTGTGCACTGACAGATCCTGGTCACTGACTCTCCTATAACTAATCCAAGAAGGCAAAGACAACGGTGCATCGGCTACACATATGAGAAATCACAAACGAGAGGTACGCCTACTTCTCCCCCTCCCCTTCCTTTCTCTCGGCATCGCCCTTGAGTTCGACGGCATTGACAGAGGGAGGCGGGACAGCGGAAGCAGGCTTTGGCTTCCTACATCCCCTACATCCACAGCTAGAGGTAGGCGCCGAGCCATCCCTCGAGCCCCTCGATCCTCTCCAGCCCCTCGAGCGCCTCCCACCGGCCGCTTCCAGGGGGATTCGGAAGGTGACGCCGTCCTTGAACTCGACGACGTTGGCGGGGTAGAGGCTCATACCTGGTCTCAGGTTTGAGGGCGCGGAGGGGCCTGTCGAGGCGCCAGATCCGGCGACTGTGGGAGCTTCAGAAGAATCGCGGGCGTCTGCGGTAGAGGAGACAGGGGAGACAGCTGGGGGAGAAGTGCCAGAGGTGTTGTCGGGGTAGGCAGGAGTCGTGTCGATCGTCGACGGGGTCGTGAAGTTGAACGTCCCCTTGGTCTTGGGCGCAGAGGAGAGGATGGAGCTCGGCGCTGACTGGGCTGACTTGGTCGTCTCGTCGTCGGCAGGCTTGCTTTCACCCGTGGACTCGATCTTGACCTCGCTCATAGACTTGCTCACGGCCTCGATCGCGGGCTTCATCGCACCCTCAGTCGCACTCTCGTCCTCAGTTTTGGTCGCAGTCTCGTTCGTAGTCTCCGGACTCTCCGTGTCGGGAAGCACAGGCCAAGCGCCCGGAATCGGCGACGCTTTCTCCTCCCTCTTAGCGTCGAGCCACTTCCAAGCCCCCTCCTCCTGGTCTCCCTCCCTGACGATTGTCTTGGCCCACGCAGCCTTCCAAACTTCCTCCTGCTCCGTACCCCTCACCATACTCTCAGCGGCGGCGCTGAGCCTCCTCTGAGTCCGCCTGAGGCGACTAATCCGCCTCGTGGCCGTGGACGAGGCATGTTCCAGTTCCTCCAGCCGGGCCGTCACGTTGGGGCCAAACTCATCCCTGTATGCTTCGAGCTGTTTCTCCCCCGCTCTGGCCATCTCCTCGGAGAAATGCTTACGCTGCGCCTCGATCAGAGCTAGCAGGTCCACCCTCGTCCGGGCGTGGTAGAGACGCTGCGTCTCGCGCCCCGCGGCGAGCGTGACGCGCACTTCCCTCAACACTTCCTCTCTGAGTTCGTTGAAACGCTCCATCGTCAGGAGACGCAACATTTGCGCCTTGGTCGTGTGCTGGAAGTCACTGAGCGAGACGCCGAGCTCGGCCCGGATCTCGCACTCGCGGGTCAGGTCGGTGTCGAGACGCTCGAGGCGGTCTTGCAGTTCTGCTAGCTCTTCGGAGGTCGATGAGTCCGGAGTCTCGGAAGACGAAGAAGAAGAGGTGGTGGTGGTCGAGGAGGTCTCAGAGGCGTCAGAGGCGTCCTCGAACTCTTCGTCGATGTAAGTTCGCAATTCAGCCATGAGGTCGGATTTGAGCTCGGAGCGGGCGGAGGCGAGACCCTCGGCGATACCCTTTGCGATCTCGGTTTGGATGTAGGCTCTCAGGTTTTCGGGGATGTTGACGGGGTTGTCGTCGGGAATGTGGACAAACTCGGCTGAGGTGGCCGAGAGCGTAGGTGAGGGAGGACAGGACATGGTGCCAACTGAACTGGAGATGAGAAGGATTCGAGACGAAGAAAGAGATGAGATGAGGATGATGAAGGAAATGCGCAGATCGTGCCTTCATATACTCGTCCAGAAATGCGGGAACAGCTCGTAGCTCGTGTGACACTCACGGGGGTGTACGGGTGCGCTAGAGGGATGAGAACCGGTCGGGTGCCACACTACCGTTGACTACCCCGGTTGTCGACGCAGTGCCGCTGCGTGGTTCTATTCGAACAACTGCGCCTCACATTCTTTCTTAGCCTTCACCAAGGGTACATCCGCTGCTAAAGGTGCCACTCCGCTCAGTTCTCACAACTATGCGGTTAATCGGTCATCGGCAGGGTGGCTCACATGGCAATGGCGGCCGTGGCAGACATCTTGACCGCTCAGTAGGGGCTCTGCGACGTACTTCTGGAGGGGTACATCGAGAGCAACGCAGACCTGGGATTGCAGCATGGCTGATAAACACATGGCAAGAACTCGCCTGGATTTTCACAGGGACCGCTGGTCAGCTGAGCGCTCCTTCCTGTCAGCAACACCAACCACGGCTACCGTGCAATCTTGCTACCACCGGACGGAGTCTCTGGATTAGGGTGATCATGGTCCGGCTTTCGTTCTAGATCTATTCTGCCACGGCGATGTACCCCATTCCCTGATTCTTGCTCCGCCACATCCCCACGTCCCACTCAAAGGGGGGTGTAAGCAACACTCCACACTCCTGATCGCCACTCGCTCGCACCCGCCCGGGCGGGCACCTCTCCCCACGTCTTTACTCTCCGTCATCGCTCGTATAGTGTAGGTGGTTATCACCGTTCGTTGTGGAATGCATCCGAGCTGACCGCTGTTCGACTCAGCGTGCGAGCACAGCAATCCGAGAGGTTGCTCATCTTTTGGAAGATGGAGGAGAGGGCGGAGGGCCGGAACTCCGACGCCGCCTGCGCCCCTCCCAGCGACAAGTAACGCTCGTATAGTGTAGGTGGTTATCACCGTTCGTTGTGGTTCACAACTCCGAGCTGACCGCTGTTCGACTCAGCGTGCGAGCAAGAGCGTCGTGACGAGAGTTGCGATACCTTTTTCCTCTCATTCGCGTTGAGGTATAGGGGGGAGTGCCAGCGATCTCATTGGGTCACTGATGGTGTGGCGTTGGCAGAACCCTTGTGCATCGTAGTCATTAGCAAGTACCGGCTGTGTAATCTACTACCCCGGCTTACAGCTCAGCTGAGGACGGGCGACAAAGAGTCAGGCTGTGCCTACTCCAGTGGTTGACAACGTTGGTGGTCGGACAGGGAAATCGGACTGAGAGGCAGGGGCGGCTAGCTGTCCGATCTGTTCTGCGGAGACGCCGGACTGGAACCCTGATCCGCTCTTCTGACTCTACTCCTCTACCTATGCATGCTCTGCGGCTCGTATGCTTCCGACCGGATACTCTGTCTTGTGCTCGGTGGCCACAAGTGTGCATGCCACATCGCTCGCCGTCGTGCAGTCGACAGACTTCACGGGCACATGTCCAGGCACGACCATCGGAGGTCGGAGGCAAATATCCAACGGCCGTTTTTCGCCATTTATCCTACAATGTCGGGGGTGTTGCTGCTCGGAAAAGACCATCTCCACTCTACCTCTACCGGCTTGCTCGCTCTAGCACTCGACCTCGACACCCAGCACCGAGTTCGACGTCCGCCGCCATGACTCGCCTCCTCCGCACCGTGCACACGAGTGCGCGCCTCTGCGACAGCGCCGCGAACGCTTCCTCGCTTCCCATCCCCCCCCAATGGCTCCGCCGCGGCGTGCGCGACTTCACGCCCAAGGGCCGCCCCGTCCCCATCCGCCCTGCGCGCACTACGCGCGTCACCCTTCCCTCCGGATACCCCGAGCCGCCTGCGTACCCCCCGCCGCAGTCGTATTGGGACGAGCTGGACCTCATCGACAGGAAGGGAAAACCCAAGCCGCACCCGCTCTGGGCCTTCTTCCATGTCCCGCCCCAGATGCAGACGCGGCCGGAGGGCAACATCTTCCCGAGCAACATGGGCAGTATCGACTTGATGGAGGACGAGGAGGAGGGTATCAGGTCCGGTGAGTTTACCGCAAGGTTGCAGGCTAGTCGAGGTGTGAGACGAAGTGATCCGTCGGGTGAAAAGTGGAGGCTGCAAGAACAGAGGACGGCAGCGGGTTCTCGAGAAGACGGGCTACAGGGGCTACGGAAGGCAGAACTGCTTGGAACTGGCAAGGGGACGGCCAGGAGACGGCAGCGAGGGTGCCGAATTCCGTTGAAGAACGCTGGACGACAGCCCGGACGGGTGACGACGGTGATCGGCGGCGTGGTGAAAACTCGGGTTGTCTTTGAAAACAAGCCGCCGAGATGCGCCACGAGCTTTGCTTCTGAGCGAGGACAAGCCGCCGTTCCGCGTCTCCGGTCATCATTCCTACGCCCCGGCTTCTTTGGCGTTCTTACAAGCTCAACTGTCTGCTCCGCCTGCTCCTTCTCCTTCAAGCCGCTGTGAAGGCCCGCTCAGCTGTCCATCACTTCCATGCTGGAAGCTTCTCCTCCTCTTCACCTCCTCACGGAGACTTTCACGCGCTTACGCTCGCTTGCCTCGACTTCTCGTGTTTGTGCTAACCTCAGGCCGCTCGTGGACTGCCGCCGAGCTCCGCACCAAGTCGTTCGAGGACCTGCACGTGCTGTGGTACATGCTCCTGCGTGAGCGCAATGTGCTCCAGACGCAGCAGGTCGAGCGCCGCCGCCTGGGCATTGTCAAGGCCTACGGCGGCGATCTGATCTCGAGGAGGTCACAGCGGGTGAGTACATTGTCCAGCGAGGTGCCGGCAGGGGGGGATCGGGTACCAGTCTTGCCTGCAGTGAGACTGGTGGAAGGTGGCCGAAAGCCTTAGCTAAAACCCGCAAAACCCGGCCCGGTACGGAGCAGGAGCAGCTAGAACAGGAGTGGAAAGCTAACGCGCAGTGCCGCAAGTCGATGGCGCGCATCAAGTATGTCCTGAACGAGCGCCGCCTTGCGCTCATCGCCGCCGGCGCCGCGACGCTGCCCGCGCCCCAGGGCGTGACTGTCCCCTCGACGCTGCCGGGACGGAACGACCCGATGGCGGCCGTCGAGGCGCTGCATGCCATCGGACCCGTCCCCGACGTCGTCAAGCTGACCGAGGGCAAGCGCACGAAGCTCTCGGGCCAGGAGAAGGCCGACGAGGCCCTCTTCGAGGAGGACGAGGCGGACCAGGCCGCCTACGAGGAGGTGCAGAAGGAGGAGGAGGCTGCTAAGCTGCAGGCCGAGAAGGCCAAGGAGGAGACCAAGTAGGAGTAGACACATCATACCCATGCATTTTTGAACCATTCGCGTGACTCGGGAACGTCGATGTTGGTATCAGCAACTGTCGTCGATCAGTCTAGTGGGTCTAACGGATGAGAGCAGGGGCTCGAATCAGCCAGTGCCTCGTCAGCAGAGTGGTCAGTGACTGGGCACAGTGTACTGCTGGCAGATGTTTGACTGCCACCCTCTATTAGCTCCTTATCTGCAAAATCGTTGCATGCTTCACGCACGCGGCAAGGACTCCCTCGCCTACACTACGGCATCTACGCTTGGGGCACAAGTCCTTAGTCTACCGGATCGCAGTTCCCAAGACGACTGTCCATGTATCTCAGAGACCTCTGTCTCGCTGCCTGTCGCTTTCGCCTGCCGTGTACCGAACGCCCTCCCTCCCAAACACACCACGAGCGCGCTACCGTCAAGGTTGCGCCTAGGCCGCAGCCTCGGTGGTCTCGGCGGCGGCCTCGGTGGCAGGCGCCTCCGCCTTCTCCTCGGCGGACTTCTCCTCGGCAGCCTTGTCCTCGGCCTTGTCCTCGGTCTTCTCCTTGCTGTCGCTCTTAGCGTCAGGTTCGGCTCCGTTCGTCTTCGGCTCCTCGGTCTTGTTGCCGACATTGCCCCACTTGACGAAGAGCGCGTTCGCACGCTGGGTGATGTTGAGCTCGTCGTTGCGGGGGATGCCCTCAATCTTGGCCATTTCCTCCATAACTGATGTCAGCTTTCGCGTTCGAAAAGGGAGTAGCTCCACGTGACCGGTTGACTCACCCTTACGCAGCTTCGAGTACTTGAGGACCTCTCGCGTCAGGTCCTCGCCCTCAATGGTCTTGATGAGCTCGTCGTACTGGTCCATGTCAGACGCAGCAGGCAGGCTCTTGCCCTTGCTGAGGAACGCGCGTTGGAGCTTGTATCGCCACTCCTTAGCCTTGACAGCCTCCGGGGACGCATCGGGGTCTGATTCCGTCAGCTTGGCCACATAAACCCTTCGATGCTGGCCACTCACCCTCGTTGCCAGCCGGCTCCTTGGTGGCCTCCTTGGGCTTCTCCTTCTTGTCCTTGGCGGCCGGAGCTTTGGGCGCAGCCTTCGACTCAGTCTGATGTCAGCTCCAGATCAGTCAAACAAAGCTTACCTTTGACGTCTTGGCCTTCTTGGTGTCCTTCTTCGCTGCCGGAGCGGCGCGCTTCCTCTTGCCCTTCTCTTCGGGCACATCCTCGTCCTCCAGCTCGTCGACGTCCTCATCACCGCCAGCCTCTTCGAGTTCCCGGCGGGCCTCAGCCTGAGCGGCGTCCCACTCGCTCGGGTCCTGGGCGGTCATGTAGGCGTCTCGCAGCTGGCCGCCTCCTTTGCGGTGTGATCCGTTCAGGAAAGAGTCGATCTGGTTGGGCTTGAGGTGCTGGAGCTCTCTTGGCGGGAGCCAGGCGCTAAGAAAAATTAGCCCATCCGTCCGTCCAAAAGCGCTCGACGCTGATTCCATTCTACTCACAAGTCTCCGACGGGGAAGAACTGGGCGCAGTAGAGGTTCGCACCCTTACGCTGAGCGAGAACGTTGGCGGGAAGATCCTCGGGGTTCGTCACCTGTGACCGCGTCAGTCGTGCCATCCATCAACGTTCGTCCGTCCTCGAGTCGACTCACGCGCGCAGCTGTAGTCCGTCAGCCATCAATTCAATTTCTTCACATCGAAGCACTCGGAAACTCACGCCAGGGAGGGAATCCACGCAGCCGGGCGAGGACGATGTCGCCAAACTCAAACTTCTGGCTGTCGAGAGCCTCCTTGCTCTTGCCGCCCTTTCCGCCCTTGGCCGTCTTCTTGTTGCTCTTGGGCTTCTCCATGTCGACGTCGGACGAGACGTCAACAGGAGCCTTCTCGGGCTCCGCGGACATTCTGTGGGAGTCAGCGACACGTCCTGCACGCGACCGGCGGGCTTGTTCCAACGCACATGAGAGGGAACTAAACACAGGTGTTGGAGAGATACGCGCTGACCTGCGCAAGGGATGCACGACGCGTGAGTCTGCGGGGTTGTTGACAAAAGTGGAGACGCGCGTGAGTGGCGTTTTGCCGAGCAACTGCAAGAACGCAATGTCAGTAAGGGTGAGTGTGGACGGCGCGCAGAGTGTGGAGGGGGTCTGTGCGGATGCGGGGGACGTACGTTGAGGGATGGTGAGGGGGTGTGGTGGTGGATGGGTGGAAGTGGAGTGGAGGGTGGAGATGAGGAAGAGAGTTGAGGAGCGAGTTGTGTGTGTGGGTGAGAGATGGTCGATGTCCGCTTGTCCGAGTTGGTTGCCAGGCGCGGGGGGGGGGGCGTCCCTCTGACCAAACAAACCGTCACCCCTCCTAAATGGGTCTCCTAATATGACGCGTTCACCTTACTCCTTCCGGTAATTGCCGTCCCCTCCAGCCAATCAGCAGCCGCCCTCCCACATTACCTCGCGCCTAACCCTCCCGCCTAACCTGACAGACCGCCCGTGCGCCTAACACTCCGATCCACCGACCGTCCTTCCTCGGCGTGTCACCGTCATCGCTGGCCTGGGTTCGGACTTGGAACCGCTGACCGTTGACTCTCCGGCGCAAGGTATCCTTCCTTCGCCATCACCCTCAGCTTTCCTTTACAGCCAGCCCGACATGCGTTTCTCAGCAGTCGGAGCCTCCCTTCTCCTCGCAGGAGCCGCCAGGGCTTTCCGCGATACCTCCCCGCTCCTCGTCTGGTCCTCAACAGAGTGGGTATCCAGCTGGCTAATCCGACACATGCAGCTAACAGCAGTAACGACGAGATCCGTGAGGCCGCCTCCGAGGTCTCGTCTGGTGTCGTCTCCGCCGACGGCATCTTCCACTCTCTCCACAGCCTGGGCTGCGACTGGGACACTGCCGTCGTCGCGCACGTCGATGAGGTGAGCATCCCAACACTTCCGGGCCATCGAATCTGGGCGTCCACTCGATGACCTCGGGCCTCGAGCCCGTAGGCTAGTTGCCTTCCACCTCTCTTAGCTGACAGCAGCTCCACGAGTCGCACCTCGACAAGCTCGCCGGACCGTACGCCACGGCCAAGGCTGACCTGCACATCCCCTACCTCGTCAAGCCTGAGCGCGAGTCGCTGAACGAGGCGATCGACATGTGGGCCCACCGCTGCGGTGCCGACCTGGCCGACTCGTACAAGGCGAACGGCGGCCGTACTCTCGTGTACATGAACGCCGAGCATGCTTCTGGTGAGCTACTCAACTTGTCTCGAGCTGACAACAGACGTCTCCATTCCCTCCGACCTGCCTGAGCGCCACATCGTGATTGTGACGGGCACGCGCGACCCTTCACTGGCCAAGGGCGAGCGCGAGATCGAGACGAGCGAGACGGGGTCGTACGCCCAGCGTCCGACCGTGGAGGAGGTCGAGACGGCGGCCAAGAACCGCACCGGCGGAGATGACGACGACGCCCCGCCCGCGATGTACTTCACCGCGCCGCTCCTGACGGGCCTGCTCATCTTCTTCGGTATCCTCACCCCCATCTGCATCGTCTCTATCAGGATGCTCTCGGGCGTCCAGGTCCCGCCCCGCATCATGGAGATTGGAAAGGTCAAGGCCGTCACGAAGGACCGCAAGGACCAGTAGTTGTTGTAGGTGAATAGACATGGAGCGACTCATGATAGAGCATTGCGGACGGGTGCAACGACTGGGCTGGACTTCTGAGGCGGAGTGCTGAGATCTGGTTAGCTGGAGGCTCTTGCGGGGCACCAAGGGGGACATGTTGAGAACAAGCCGACAGAGGCGGTACAAAAAGACAGAAGGAATGGACTGATCACCCAAACTGACAAGTGTTAACAACAATCGAATCTATCGGCCGATCGATCCGCCAAGCTAGGTATTGACCGGGCAGCGGCCGACATTGGCCGCAAGTTCACGTATTGTGCCCCATTTCGCTATGGACAATTCAAGCCAACTGCGGGCGGGCATGTGGCATATGGCATGGAGGGCATGGCGCAGCGCATTACGGATGAATATGCAAGTGCTGAATGTGCTGTGCTGCGACATTGTCCGTCTGCGGAGGATGCCATAGGACAACCCAAGATTCACTCGATCCTGCGTTTCTGATGGCTCCAAGTCGTGGACGGGTAAGCATAACGTGATCAAGGCCGAGAGAGAGAGAGGCGCACCAGATCTGGCCGGAGGAAAGTTCGCGTGCGGGAGCGCAGTCGGACTGCGCGCGATGGGTTTCCCGCTCACAGATCACAGACACTGCAGAAGGAGGCGTCTAGGCGTTAGTAAACGTCGCGACATCCGCAGCGTCACATGAAGGTCTCTTAGGACTGGTCAGGACGTCTAGGTCTGCCGTACTGCCGTCGGGGCATAGTGCTGCCTATAGCTGCCTACCCGTTTGCCTCATCGTTGGACGTCGTTGAATAGCGAAGGTGAAGCTCAGACTTTGCAATTGTCCCATCTTGGTCGTCACTGCCAGACCCTAGCTCCAAGAAAGTCGCGAGCAAACCAACTGGAAGGAAACTAGAGCAGAAGAGAGCGGGTCAAGAGTGGGGGTTGCCCACATCCTTGGGCCAGCTTGGCCAGAATAAAAGCAAGGCGGTGAACTCGCCAAGGGTGTTCGGTATGCGCTCGGCACGCACTCGGTATCTTGGAGCGCACAGGGGCATGTCACTGTGTCAATGATGCAACTCTCCGTGGGCAGCGTCGCAGTATGCATGGCCATACACTTGAAGATGAAGCGACGTTGGAGTTCGAGCGGTGGACCCGACTCCGCACGGTCCGTCCGCAGTCCAATGCGCCACGCTGCCCTCGCTGTTCTCTTTCCAGCCCCAAGTCTGTTCCCTATGGCGTTTTGTTCGGTCCAGACTTGCGCACACCGCCTTCAGTCTATCGCAGTCATTCCAGAATCCTTTGGCACACTACGGTTGGGGCGCAGTCGTTCCAGAATCAGACCATTGCGTACCTCCAATCTAGCTCTCCGGCTCGTCTATGCATACACCTTCTGCACGATCTGCACGCTGTGCGAAGAGTCGAGAGGCTGCGCCGAGACTATCCCACTCGACGCCAGCTCGACGCGCCACTCAGGGAAGACAAAGGGACGATCGTGCCGTTCATGACGGTTCATGACGCATCCTCAGTGCCAAGGCGGTTGAGCCGTCGACGTCACCGTCACTACCGCGAGCGCGCGAGCCTCGATGTCGCAGTGAGCATGGAGAATGCTAAGCATCGTGGAGAGAGGCCATGAGGAGGAGCCGTCGTCGGCGTGCGGAGCAGAGTGTCAGAGTGGGGAGATGCTTGCTGTGGGGCAGCTCGATGGGCTCCAAGGCTCGTTGCTAGCGAGCAAGTGGGGAACTGAGGGTGACAATGAAGGCTGCAGGGAAGCCTGGCCAGACACTGTGTCGATCTGTGTCTCTCTCTGTGCGCTGTGTGCTTTTGTCTCTGCACAAAAACGTCGATGGTGTGTGATGCGCGCTCGACGTATGCATTGTATAGACCGAGCGAACCTCGCCGTTCATCGTCGAGCATAGCGCATAGCACAGCTCCCTCCCTCACGACCAAAAGGTGTCGAGTAGCGAGAGTCGAAACGGTCCCATTCTGCCCAGGGACAAGAGAGAACAAGGTTGGACACCTGGACACCTGGACAAAGGGGCAGTCAGCTGAACCCTGAGTAGTGAGATCGCCGCGACTCTCTTCTTGCTCCTGCACCAAAATGGACCTGTGCGGTGCAGTTCCCGCAGCCGCCTGCGGTCTGCGGTTTGCGGCTGCTGCTTTTCACAGTGCACAATGAAAGCACAAGATGCACAGTTGCCCGCGCTCCAGAGGTCCAGTTCACTAGTGCTCTCCGGGCCCACAGGAACAGGAACGCGGCTCGCACTAGTCCTCATTGGAGCCAGGAGTTAGCCAGGACGGCCAGGACATGTGTCCCTCTTAGCGCAGCCTGTGCCCTTAGACACTGAGCAGAGAAAAGAACAACGGCCGATGGTGCGCGGTGCGGGCTGCATCGGTTTCTGCGAGCGTGCGATCCTGCGAACCTGCGGGCGGGCTCTGGCGATCTGGCTGACGTCGAACCCGTCTCGGCCACGGCCTGCACGGCGCACGGCTTAGCTCACTCTCTGGCGCACTGGGCGCACAACTCTCGCACACCATTGCAATGCTGCATCTTTGTCACGTCCATTCCTCGAGTCTCTTGTCTTGACTCATCCCCTTCCCCCTTTACTCTCTTATATCTCTCTCACCGCCCTCCGCCCTCCGCCCCTTTCCCTCCCTCTCGTCCTCTTGCTCATACACACTCCACGGCCGTGCCGTACACCGACTACTAGACTTATCCCGTCCTCACCTCGTCACTACTCCCGACCGAGCTGACGAGCTTCCAAAACATCGCGACACACCGGCTTCGACTCCACTGTATCATACGCCATCCCGCAGAAGGGTGCTGGCCCATCCTTCTCCCCGTCTTCGCTTCTCGCTCGAGCTTGACCTTCGGCCGAAACAGCTAGTACTCGCACATTTGCTTTCTCATTCGACTCCTTCCTCATCCTCATCTTGCATCGTCCCAGCTCATCAACTTGCGAAGGGACCCAACGCCTCCGCAGTCACCAACGCCATTGCCGAGCAAGCAAGCTGGTGATCCGACGCAGCGCAATCTCGACACACGCTTGCGTAGTGTTTGCTGCACACCACGCGTGCAGCGTGCGATCGCGTTCGATCTTGCACGACTAAGCGTACGTTCGCACCAAGGCTGTGTCAGCCGCATCCGCACGTCCCGTAGCGCAGCACACTTGCGGGACGGTGGAGGATAGGATTTTGGCTGACGACCCAAAAGTTACAGGCTCGCCGCCACTAAGGAACGGCGACAGGGGCACGACCAGCAGTCGGATCTGAATTCAGCAATGCTGCTTCCCTCTGTCACTGTGGCTGCCGTTGCAGCGCTGTTCGCGGTGCCCGCGGCCGCCATCAAGTTCGGCGACGGCGGCGAGGGCGGTCTGACGTCCACGCCGACACGGAACCTCACCAACGAGGACCCGCCCGCCGGCAAGGCGCTGTACACGAACGCTGTCTCAAACTGTATCGAGCCCAAGGCGATCCTGATCGATAGCTTTGATATTGCGTACTGGCGCGCAAACCACAGCGCGACTTTCTCCTTCTCCCTCGCGTCCATCGAGACCGACCTCTCGGTCCGCGCGCGCCTGTACTTCAATGCGTATGGCATGGAGATTTTCAACAAGGAAATCAACATATGCGACTACGTCCAGGGCGTTCTCTGTCCCCTGCCCCAGGTCAATGTCACAGGTACGTCTTCTGACATCGGTGTGAACTCTGCTCGGAATTCGCCAAGCGGCTCGGCATGTCCACGCAAACACAACGCAATGCGGTGCTGTGGCTAATGACGCAGGCTTCGGCACCTATCCCATGCCCGACTGGGTACAGGACCAGATCCCCGCTATTGCATGGACAGTCCCCAACCTCGAGGCATACGCGCGCGTCGAGCTCATCAACGAGAAGACGAACGAGAGCGCAGCATGCTTGCAGGCGACCCTGTCGAATGGCAAGACGACGCAGCAGACGGCCGTGAAGTGGGCCTCGGGCATGTTCACGCTCGCGGCCGGCGTTGTTGCGCTCGTGCATTCGATGCTCGTGAACTCGGTCTCGCCGGCGCTGTACCGCTGGTTCGACGTGCTGTTCCTGTACCAAACGGCAGCGGCGGCGGGCATGATGCACCTCAACTACCCGCTCGCGTTCAGCAACTTTGTGCAGAACTTTTACTGGTCGTTCGCCCTCTTCCACGCCGAGCCAATGCAGAACAGCATCAACGACATGCGCAACCGCACAGGCGGGCATCTCGGGTTCGACGCCCACAGCGACGTGCAGTACATCAACCGCAAGCTGTCGCCGTACAACGTCCAGAGCATGGTCGACATGAGCAGCATGATCGGCAATGCGCCGGCGCTCAAGAGCTTCTTCACAAGCCACGCCATCAGCAACGTCGCTGTGCGTGAGCTGGTGCGCCGCGCGCCGATGCCCTCGCTCGTGGACCAGAACCAGACGACGGATCTGACGACGGGCATCCCGCAGTATGTCGAGACGCGGAGCATCCCGTACGCGAACGCGTACGACACGATCTTCTTCTTCTTCCTTGCGTTTGTCGCCATCGTGCTCGCGTTCCACGCCCTGCTCGCCCTGCCCGTGTTGGCGTTCTCGAGGAGCTCGCCCACGAACGCCGTCACAAGGTGGGCCACCCGCCTGCGCTCTGCGTACTGGAACCTGCTGTGCGCGAACCTGCTCCGCGCGTGCCTCGTTTTCTTCTTCCCCATCTTCATCTTTGCCTTCTACCAGTGGACTATCGGGAAGGGCGACTCGGGGCTATCCATCTTCTTCGGCGTTCTCGGCGTGCTGTTCATTGCCGTCCCGCTCTGCGTCGTCTTCTTCTTGAGCCTCCGCCGTGCGAAGCGCGAGTCGCCCGAGAAGCCTGGCGTCTCGCTGCTGTACACCGACTTCCATTTCTTCCAGTCCGCTGGCGTCCTGTACCGTCCCTTCAAGGCGCAGCGGTGGTTCTTCTGGTTCGCGCCGTACGTGCTCGCCATGTTCGCGCGTGCCGCGTTCATCGGCTTCGGGCAGCGCAATCCCTGGGCGCAGGTGATTGGGTGTCTCGTCGTTGAGGCGCTGCTGTTCGTCTCGCTCATCGTCTTCCGTCCCGAGAAGCGGCGCTCAGGCAACCTGCTTTCAATCGTGCTGAGTCTCTTCCGCATGATTCTGTTCGGCCTCCTCATCGCGTTCCTCGAGACGCTGCACGTCAAGCCCATTCCTCGCACAGTCATCGGTATCGTCGAGATTGCGATCGTGGGCATTCCCACCGTCTTCCTCTTCATCAGTTTGATCTGGAACACGTTCTACGGTATCCTCTGGCGCCGACACAAGACTCCAGGCCCCGAGGACGGCGCGGAGCTTGAACGAGCGAGCTTTGATGAGGACCGCGGCGAGAAGCGAGCACCCGCTGCCCTCACGCCGACCGACTCGGAGTCGCACGACTCCTCGGGCCCTCCCACGCCGCCGAACGAGCCGTACCCGCCCCTGCTCCAGAATGAGGACAGCTTTGGCAAGAAGCCCGACAGCTCGGTCGGATACTCGTCCAGTGCTCTCGAGAATGCGTCGGACCTCTACCCGTCAGGCGCATACCAGCAGCCTCCTCAGCAGTACCCAGAGTACGCTCAGCAGTACCCCCAGCCGCCGTACCGGCCATAGAAAGAGTCACACTCTCGCTGTGATCTTGGTTTATTCTTGCCTCCACACTTGCACTACAACACACGCACTCCCTCACTCCCCAAGACAACTTCACACACTCCGCATCCCACCACTGACCGACTACACGGCACTACATTCCCCACTTCCCAGGGCACACTCGTGTCCAGATAGACTAGCTAGAGACATTTTGTGTACGACCAGCCCTAGAGATTTCCGATCGGTCATCATCCCCAGTTGTAGCTTTGAGCTCCTCTCTGTCCTATTCTTCTTGCTCGGAAATGCGATTTCTCATGTATCCATAGAAGCCGGGCAGCAGGGTGTATTTGGCTAGGGGCTGTCAGGAGGTGCACGCGAGCATGGTAGCAGGTGTTCGGACCGAGCACCACGGAGGGTGATAGCACGATCACGAGCGCTCGCTCGGGCAATGCAGGACGATGGACGGACGAAGTGGGGGTGACGTTTGGCTGTGTGCCCTGAGGTTGAGCCGGACACGAGCGCGTATGACGAGCGGGTGTAAATGTCGGGGATCCTGAACTCGAGTTCGCTGGGCTTGGACCGGATCGCCCACTGGCTGCTGGCTCACTGGCTCACTGGCTAGCTGGCGCTGGCGCTGGCGCTGGACTGCTGGCCACGCCGACATCGCATCGCTCCTCTCTCTCTCTCTTGTTTCTTTCCTCTTCTCTTCAAGGCTCTACAGCGCCCACCTCACTACACTCCCCCATCTCTCCGGTTCTAAGCGTACCCACGCTCCCCGTCGGTCTCTCGGTCTCTGGTCTTACCGCTACAACGCTACTCGCACGGGCAATCGCATCTTGAACAATGGCTCTCTCCGCTGCCGAACTCCAGAAGGTGAGTGAGACTGCACTGTTCCGTTCCTTCTGTCCATGGTACTGACCGTCTCAGCGTCACCAGCTCGAGGGTGCGCCGGACCCGTTCCCCTCGTTGGGCGGTGCTCCCTCGCCTGCCCGCCCCACTGCCGCCTCCAAGGCGTCCGGTTCGAACACTCCCAACACGAACGGCATCGATGCCTCGTCCACGGAGATGTTCCCTTCTCTCGGCTCGTCGGCCGCTGCCCCCGCTCCCGCCAAGGCTGCTCCTGCTCTGTCTGCCTGGGCGTCCAAGCCCGCTATCAAGGCCGGTGCGCTCAAGAAGTCCGCCGCCCCCGGCGGTCTCGGTCGCCAGGGCCACGCCACTGCCGGCTCGCACCCGTACACTGAGACGTTCTCGATTCCCGCCAACGAGCTCGCGACCGGCAAAGTCGTCCAGGACACCATGAAGAAGGTCCAGGAGCAGACTGGCGCCGTCGTCGAGTCGTCGACCCAGATGTCGACCGGCCTCAAGCAGTTCCATGTCAAGGCTTCGGACCCCAAGCGTCTCGCGCTCGCCCGCCAGATCATCGAGCGCGGCCTTAGCAAGCCCGTCGTTCTCGAGGTCGAGGTCCCCATCACTACTATCGGCACTATCATCGGCCCCAAGGGTGCTACGCTCAAGTCCATCACTGACGCTACCTCCACCAAGATCGACATCCCCCGCCGCGACTCGCTCCCCGCCTGGGACCCCCGCGAGCACCAGGACGACGACGACGACTCGGACAACGAGGACGAGGAGCCCCAGGTTACGATCACCATTGCCGGAACGGGCGCTGCTGCCAAGGACGCCCGTGACAAGATTTACGCTCTGATTTCGCACAAGATCGGCCAGGGCTCGTCAACGATCAAGAACATCCCGTCCAAGTACTTCCCCTTCATTGCTGGCCCGCGCGGCGCCAACGCGCGCAAGCTCGAGGAGGAGATCGGCGAGGGCGAGGTCAAGGTCCACGTCCCGCCCCCCGCCGTCTGGAAGGCTATCCAGGAGGACGACGACGAGGACGCCGCGCCCTCAACCGCTGTCCCCAAGGAGCTCGCGATCAAGGTCAAGGGTGACAAGGAGAAGGTCAAGCTAGTCGTTGACGAGATCCAGCGCCAGTTCGAGGGCCTCGTCGACTCGCTCAAGGAGTTCGGTATTGTCGTCCCCAAGCGCCAGCACCGTTACCTCATTGGCGCTGCCGCCGACGACATTCTCGAGCAGACCGGCTGTATCATCGACCTGCCCCCCGCCTCCGACCCCAACGAGCAGGTCATGATGCGCGGCCCCCATTCTGGTCTTCTCAAGGCTATCGAGCTCGCCATGTCCAAGGCTGGTTCTGCCTCTGTCGAGCCCGTTGACGTCGTCGCCATCTCCCAGGTCAACACTCCCCAGCCGTTCCCCCACGCCAAGAAGGTCGCCCGCTACCTCCAGCGCTCTTCCACGCTCAAGAACATTGCCTCCAGCTTTGACGACATCAAGATCTACGCTCCCAAGCCGTCGACTGTTGACTCGACCGGCAAGGTCATTGTCGAGATTGTTGGTGAGAACAAGAATGACGTCCTCAAGGCCCGTGACCAGGTTGTTGCTGCCATCAAGTCGATCGTCCCCGCCGCCATTACCACGGTCAAGATTGACCCCGCTGTTCAGCCCCTGCTCCGCGGTGCCAAGGGTGCGCGCATCCAGCAGTTCGAGAAGGACAACAAGGTGCTTGCCATCTTCCCCCAGAAGGACGATGAGAACGAGGAGGTCCACATCGTCTACACCGGCAACGACCTGCCCTCGGACAAGAAGCAGCGCGACTCCAAGCTCAAGGAGCTCGTCGGTGCTGCCGCCGACAAGCTGAACGAGCTCACGAAGAAGTTCTCGGACGTCAAGACCGAGACCCTCGACGTTGACAAGAAGTGGCACCGCGCCATTATCGGCACGGGCGGCACGGTCCTGAACGCGCTCATCGGCGAGGACGGCTTCGTCACTGTCAAGGTCGGCTCTGGCTCTGGCAAGAACGGCCCCAAGGACGACACACCCGAGAGCGCCATCATTGTCCGCGGCCCGGCCGACGAGGTCGACCGCGTCGTTGCTTCGATCAAGCAGATTGTCGAGGACGCCAAGAACGACGACATCCTGAACGGCTACACTGCCGAGTTTGACGTTGACAAGAAGTACGTCGGCCAGCTTGTCGGCTCGTCGGGCTCTGCTATCAACAAGCTGCGCGAGACGCTTGGCGTCAAGGTCAACTTTGACGACGCGGAGGAAGCTAAGAAGAGCAAGAAGGCGCTTGTGCACTGCAAGATTGTCGGCCGTAAGGAGGCCGTCGAGGAGGCCAAGCGCCGCCTGCAGGCGCAGATCGAGAAGCTCGAGGACGAGGTGACTGAGATTGTGCGCATCAAGCCCGAGATCCAGCCCGCCCTCATTGGTGCTGGTGGCAAGTACGCCATCCGTCTCGAGGAGAAGTACGGCGTCAAGCTCTCGTTCCCGCACGGCAAGGAGGGCGTCAAGCCCGACGAGGTCACGATCCGCGGTGGTAAGAAGGGTGTTGCGGCCGCCAAGGCCGAGCTGCTCGAGGCTGCCGCGTTCGAGGCCGAGTCGCGCCAGGAGGCCAAGTTCACCGTTCCGCAGAAGGCCATCGCCTTCATCGTCGGCAAGGCCGGAGCCACTATCAACGGCATCAAGGACGACACTGGCGCGCAAATCGACATTGACAAGAGCTCTGACGGCGAGAAGACCTCAGTCACGGTCCGCGGCGACAAGAAGGCGATCGCGGCCGCCAAGGCTGCCATCCTCGACCTTGTCGAGCAGTTTGGCGACGAGGTCACGGTCAACCTCACGATTGAGCCGAGGTTCCACCGCACCCTGATCGGGCAGGGCGGCCAGAAGCTGCGCGAGCTGATCGCCTCGTGCGGCGGCCCCGAGGACGCGCACAAGCAGGCCGGCCTGGTCACGTTCCCGCGCCAGGGCGACGATGCGGACCAGGTCCGTCTCCGTGGCGACCGCAAGGTCGTGCAGAAGCTGCAGGCCGAGCTGGAGAAGGCCGTCAGTGCCCTGCGCGCGACCAAGGTCATCGGTGTCGTGGTCCCGCATGCGAACCACGCGTCCAAGATTGGCCGCGGCGGCTCGGCCCTGCAGGACCTGCAGCGCCGCAGCGGTGCCGCGATCCACTTCCCTGGTTCGAGGCAGTACAACAGTGTTGGCGAGGTTGAGAACGCGTCCGAGCTCGAAGGAGCCGAGAAGGAGGACATTGTCAAGGTTGTCGGCACGGACGAGGCGATTGCCAAGGCGTCCGAGTCGCTCAAGACCGCGCCCTCTGAGCGCGGGCAGCCCCGCGGCGGCCGCGGCGACCTCGCCCAGCGCCCCGTGGCCATTCCGGCCAAGTACCACCACGCGGTGGCCGAGCAGCCGAACCTGATCCGCTCCATCCGCGGGGTGGGTGCGTTCCTCAACATCCCCACTGGTCCCCCGAAGCCGTCGTACTCGACCGACGACCTGGCGGCCAAGACGGCGCGGATCGACCTCGACGACACCGAGAGCGAGGAGGGCGCCTTCGAGCTGCGCGAGAACTACGCCTCGGGCCCCGAGGGCGAGGAGACCTGGCTCCTCCGTGCCAAGGAGGAGGACCTGGACCGCGCCGAGGCGATCCTGCTCAAGGCGCTCGAGGCGGCCAAGAGCGCGACGCACGTGGGATTGCTCACCGGCCTGCCGCGCAGTGCCTTCCCGCGCATCATTGGTAGCAAGGGCGCCACCATCTCCCGCCTCCGTGCCGAGACGGGGGCCGACATCACGGTCGGCAAGGACGACGACCTGATCACGATCACCGGCGACGAGGAGAGCGTCAGGAACGCACGCGAGGCGATCCTCAACGTCGTCAACAGGCAGGCGAGGTACTAAGCGAGGTACTGAGCGATACCGAGCGAGGCTGAGCGCAGCGAGGCCGAGTGAGGCCAAGCCTTCAGTTCTAGACCGAAGTCCTCTGAAGAACACGGCGTGAGGATGTGAGAAGGGAGCAGAAGAAGAATCACAAAAACGCACCAACCACAACTTTGTCAACTTGGGACAAAAAAACAACTATCATTAGAAAACAAAACATATAGCATTAAATGCATCGGGTTACGCAGGATTATTCGCCGTCTGAGAGAGTGAGCGTTGAATGTACAGCAAGGAGGGATGGGCAGATGAAAACCTTGGCATGAGATGTTATGCTACACACGCTAATCGCTATATGTACAACCTCGTCTATACCCCCCCCTTTCTCCTTATTCCCTCTCTACGTTCTCATTCTTCTTCGCCTCGAGCATGCCCGGCGTGCCCGGCGTGCCCGGCGTGTCCACTCGAGCCGGTGTGTCAGACCAAGCTACGTCAATCGGAGTGGAAGGCGTCGCCGTCCTCATACTCGCCAGGGCGAGCGAGCTCGCGGCCGTCTCGTACGCCGTGCTCAGGGAGGCGTTGCGGGACATACTGTGACTTGCGGGACTTGCGGGGACGGGCGTGGGGGTGGACGCTTCGCGCGAGTCGTGGAATTGCTGCGTGCTCGCACTATCCTCGCTGGAGATTGAGGCCGTGTCCGTCTTCTCCTTCCTTTCTGCTACGCCTTGGCCGGGACGCAGGCTGCCACTGCTACTGCTACTGCCGCTGCTACTGCTACTGCTACTGCTACTGCCGCTGGCGCTGGCGTCTGCGGGATCACTCGACGCCTCGATGGAGCGAACCGCGCCCTTGGCAGACGTTGACGTGTTCGACCTAGCCGAAGCGATGGAGACGGCCGACCTGTCAGACCTAATGGTGCGAATAGACCGCTGGCTTCTCCTTCGACTCATCGTGCGCCTCAACTCGGCCAGTTCGCCCGACTCCTCGCCCCGCGCCTCCGCCTGTTCCGCGGCTTTCGCCTTGCCCGGATCTTTCAGCATGGCGGGCACGCTCTGGGTACAGTACGGGCACGTGTCGGCGTGGTTGAGGAGCCACTCGTCGACGCACTCGCGGTGGAACGTGTGCAGGCACGGCAGCTCGCGCAGGACCTCCACTTCGTACGCCTCCTGTTCCTCCACGATGCAGGGGGGCAGGAACTCGGTGTGGCAGATGCCGCACGTTGCCTTGTTCACTCCCAGCACGCGCAAGGGATGGGGGAGCTTCTCCCTGTCGATCTCGCCCAGGGCTAGCGGACGACCAGGGAGGTCTTCCCACTCTGGCGTCTCTTCCTCCGGATCAGCGCAGTAGATGACGAGCGGACACTTGTCCAACTCTTCCTTGGGGAGCTTCATAGCAGATGCCCGCGGGAACAAGACTGGCTGCGCGCCCCGGATAATCCCCAGGTGCCAGAGGAGCCACGCGACCAGGACAATGATGTACCCGAGGCTCCAGAGGAGGAAGCAGGCCGTGAAGCCCAGCGCCGTGAACCAGTTGCTGGCCATGCTGACCATGGTGGCTGCGAAGACCAAGGGAGCGCGGGAACGGGCAGGTTCGGGCGGAAAGGCCACAATCATGCCGACGACCCACATGATGAAGCCCCAGCAGCAGACCCAGAGGTCGGCGTTGGACGCGGCGGAATCATAGCGTTGGAGGCGTTCGGCGCGGCGCTTGGCTGCCTCGGCGGCTGCGGAGGGGATGAAGGCGGCGATCTGTGCTGGTGGGTCGGCTAGGATCTGCTCCGCTGTCGCGGCGTCCGAGTCCTTGGGCGAGTCGGAGCGGGCGGCAAGGCAGCGTGCACGGCGGGATCTGCTGAGGGGCGAGGAGCTGGTGCTGGACGAGGTCGTGGCGCGGGGGAGCGAGGCTGAGTCCGCCGAACTCGTGTTGAGGACGGGGACAGCGTTGGTCGAGCTGCTGGAAGCGGGGGCTGAGCTGGAGGATTTGTCGTCCTCGACCTTCTCTTCCTCCTTAGCCTCCTCCCGTGACTTGGGCTTCTTCTCCATCTTGCCAAGCATCTCCTCCAGCTGGTCAATCCTCACCTCCAGCTGATCGAGCTTCTCGAACTGCCCTTCCATGCTCTTGACAGCCACCTCGTCCACCTTCTCCCTCCCGTCGCCTCCGCTGGTCGATTCCGTCTCCCCAGTCCGCGGCGGCACGGTATAACTCGGCGACGGATCCGGATGCGGCGTCGGCACTCTTCCCACCTCCTCCCTCGGCCTGAGATACTCCAGTGCCATATCCACCCCATCGCCAACTTCGGGCTGCACCCCCTCCTCCTCCGCATTCGCCAGCAACCAAGGCTGCGGCCGATACCGTCTCGAGTGCCTGTACACGAGCCAGCTCTCGAGCAGCACATGGATACTGAGCCGGACAATGTTGATAGCGCAGTATCGGACGTAGCTGGGCGCGACGGCGATCTGCTTCTGCACTCGGCCGCGCTCGTCTAGCGTCTCGAGTTGCGTGCTTGCGATGAGGAGGCCGATCATGGACGCAACTTGCGCGCCGTGGCCTAGTGGCGCGAGGGCGAGGAACCACGTCTTCGAGTGCCAGGGCGAGACGGCTAGAAGTGGATTGCCCAGCTTCCACAGCGAGGTCTCCATTGTGCCGGAGCTCGGTGGTCACTGGGGTTGAAAGGCGAAAGGTTGAGACAGGTGTGACGGCGGGCGATGTGCTGAGTAAGTCGAGATGGAGGACGACGTGAGCGTCAAGTTGTTCAGTTGTGCGTCGTGGGCGTAGCGATGTCGTAGTGATCGAGGCCGAGTTCGTAAGAAGGCTGGGCGGGGGCACGGGGCGGTAGGGAAGCGAACTCGATGATCGACGACAAGCACGGTGGGAATCACTCGCAGTCGCCGTTCTGTGAAATGAGAAAGTGAGAGGAATTGAAAGTCTCGAGATCTCGAGACAGCTGTCGTGATCTCTGGCCGATGGGCGCTGACGCGCTGCTGAGCCGGAGGGCGAGGTGTGTGTGGGTGCGTTGTGCGTTGTGCCGACCGAGTCGCAAGATCGTGACGTACTCTGAGAGAGATGCCGAGGTAAGGTAGGTGCGATGGGTACAATGGTGCGCCGGTGCGAAGTGGTCAAAGGTCGAGATGCGTGAAACGGGACTAGCGCAATGGTTGAGATCGGTGGCGATTCTTCAGCCTGGGAAGATAATGTTGAATGGGTTGCGATGCGATGGGCACTTCGCTGAAACAGGCAGGTGCTAGGTGCAGCTCGTCGCCGCTCAGTCGAGTCCGAAGTGGTGAGATCGGTAATGGGAGAGCGATCAATCGAAGAGACTTGGCGGGGCTCGTGCGCTATGCATCTCTCGATGCTTCGTGGGGAGAACGACGTCGCATTCCGTCGTTCCCATCCTCTCATCTCGCACATGCATCATCGCGACCGCACAGCGCAGCGGCTGGCGGCAACGGCTATGCACAGCAGAAGGGCCCCGGACGCGATCGAAATCTCGGCGTATCATCGGATCATCACCATGTGCTGAATGCATGGGTATACTTCCGCTCACCCGATATTCAACCTCCTCCGAAAAGTCCACTTGCGAGCGACCAAGAACACAAAGATCCAGGTATCGAGCTCGTTGAACACTCCGCCGTCGTCGTTGACCTCCACTCTCTCCTCACTTGCACGACCTCGAGGACCGAAAACCCGCGCGACATCCCACGCCGGTATCCATCGCCCCTTTCCTCTCTCTTCTCCCCTCCCGAACCGACAACATGTTCGGCGCCTTCCGTCCCACGTCCTTCGTCAACGGCTCCCTCCTCTGGAAGGTCCCGTACCGCCTCTCCTCCACCCGCAAGGCCAACCTCCGCAAGCGTCTCCGCCGCGTCGATGATGTGATTGCTGCCGTCGCCGAGTCTGGTGTCCAGACGCGGAGTCTCGAGCGCGCCCAGGCTCTCCCGACCGAGGCCGAGATGAAGCCCAAGGACAAGTACACCGTCTTCGACCCCAAGTACCGGGGATGGAGGAAGGGTATCCACAAGGTTCCCAAGTGGACCAGGGTAAGTAGAGAGCTGTTAATACAATTGCTGACCGTTACAGATTACGATCCGCGAGAACCCCAAGGGTTTCTAATCTCATCATCGCAACATTGTATATTTTATGCATCGCTCAACATAGATCGACAGCGAGGACGCAGTGCTTAGTGCTGACATTTACGATGGAGACGAATTGGTCCATATCCTGACGAAGCTTACAGCAGGAAATGGAGGCGAAAACGACCTGACACTCACATGAACACGGCGATGCATTGGAGGGAGAAGACCCCCTATCAGGCTGTATGGTAGTGTGAAATGAATGTGAAACGGAAACGTGGGAGAACGCGCTGATGGCAGACGAGACCCAAAGCTAACTATCTACAGAGTATGAAACTTACGAGAACGCGTTCTATCGAATGAGTGGTACGAAATGCTGTGGCATGTGGTCGAGAAGCTTGTGACGGTGGACTAAGCCGCGGCGCTCTTGGCAGTGCGCTTCGAGCGGCGGCCAGCTGAGACCTTCTGGGGACTCGCGCCAGTCGAGACGAGATCGGTCTTGGTAGCAGCGCTGCGGGACTTGCCAGAGGTGGAGCGCTTCTTCTTGGTGGGGCTAGACTTGCTGGTGTTGGCAGCGGAGCTCTCGGCTTCGGAGACGTGCACCTTGCGGCCAGAGTTGTCGTTCAAGGCACTGAGAGCCTTGAGAACCGAGGCAGGGGTACTGCTCTTGGAGAGGCTGCTCTTGGGAGACGAATAGGTGGACATGTCTTCCTTGGACGGGACCTGATGTCAGCTGGAATTACATAACATGTTTAGCCTACCTTCTTGTTAGCAAACTTCTCGTACAAGTGCTCGAGAGTGAGGACTTGAGGGGAAGTACCGGCATCCTTGGTGGTAACGAGGGAAGAAACAGCGGATTGGGCCGAGGTGGTACTGCGGTTGGGGGTGCCCTGGTTGGAGCGGGAACCCTTGTTGCGCCAGTTGATGCTGCTGTCCGCCTTGCCAGAGTAGGGAGTGGAAGTGTGAATCTTATCGTGGGAGCTGAGGTCAATGACGGGATCGGCGACGGAGCTCTTGGGGACCTTGACAGTGTAGAACTGCTGGGTCAAGGGGTCGACAAGAGTCAATGTGGTCGTCTCGTTATCGGCACCTTGATTGCCAGGGTACTGAGGCAAGAACGAGTCGGAAGGGATACGCCCCTTGTTGTCAGGAGGGCTGGGCACGGGAGCGGCAGGCTTGCCCAGACCGAGCTGGGTGCGGGCATCGACAGCTTGAGCAAGATAGGCAGACATCTTGAGATGGTTTACGTCGGGGGCTTCCTGGGTGACGTCCTTCTTGATGCCGATCACCTGGTTGTAGTCGCGAACAACCATGGGACGTTGCTTGGGGTTGGGGTGCGAGAACGGATTGGACTTGTCGTGGTGGTGGGTGCTGGAAGAGGCGTAACCGCCACCGCTGTTGTTGCTGCGGCCCGCAGACTCGGAAGCAACGCGAGAGTTGGAGTTGCCGCCTTTGTCCTCGGGCGAGTTGACGACGCGCAGCCCAAAGACATGGGACATGTACGAGCTCTGGTCGGCGACAGTGGCATCGACGCCGCTGGGAGGTCAGCTTGGATAGGAGAGATTAAGTGGCTTACCTGGGGTTGCGTGCATAGGGAAGGGACAGGGGCCCGTGGAGAAGGGGAATGGGACGCTCGCGAGCGCCAGCAACAGGGCGGATAGGCTTGACCTTCTTCAATTGCTCCTGGCGCCATTTGGACAGCTGGGGAGCATTGGCGTCGGGTGCGACCTTCTCAGAAGGGACCAAAGTGACCTGAGGGGGGCGCTCGATGACATTCGAGTTGGAGGCGACAGTCATGAGGGGTGGCACCTCGGCGTGGCCATCGACATTCTTGGGGCGCAGAGGCGAGGGGTTGTACTCTTCACCGTTCAAGATGCGGTTACGGAGATGAATGTACGAAAGGGGCTGAGGACCGAGGAAGAGCTCCACGGAGGCTGACGCCGCGCTGTTGGGAGCAGTCGATGGGGTCGACAGCGAGTTGTCGGGGGAAGAGTCCGAATGCTGGGGCGTGCGGAAGGGATCTTCGCCAGAGCCAGGGTTGCTGCTGTGACGGTACTTGGAGCTGTAGGGGGTCGAAGTCACCGCTGCATCGCTGCAGGACGAGTCTGGATCGTCCGACGAGGGGACAAGAATGTCGGGGCTGGAAGCACGCATACGAGTGGCCACGGGAGACCTGCGTTGTCAGGTTGGACTCTGGAGATGGCGCCTTCCTCGCTTCACTTACACGTCAGGCGCAGCGCGGCGCTGGTCGCGGAGGACTTGGGAGGGGGGCTTGCCAGGAGAACTCAGTGGGGAACCCATGACGGTTGTGGTGGAAGCGGGTGTGGTGTCAGTCAAGGTAGGACGAGGAAGCGAGGAAGGAAGACGGTCTGTGGTGAGCTTAAAGTAGATGGGAAGAAATGGAGCGAGGGATTGCCTAGCGAGGCATGAAGATGAGGTGAGTGGGGCAGTCGACACCAGGTAATGAGACTTTGAGGTGAGAACAGAACGCGGTGAGTTGGGGGTGAGAGGTGGGAGGTGGCCGGGGGTGAGTGAGAGGAAGAAGAAGGCCGAGAAAGACGGGATTGAGGAGATATATCTGTGTCGTGGTCAGTAGCGTGTGCGTAGTGAGCTGCAAGGGGGAAAGGGATGAGGGTACGGGTTCCGAGAGCCGGCGAGGAAGACACTTTGCAGGACGTGGATCGGGATGTCGGGGTCCGGAGCAAGAGAAGTCAGTCGCGCGTGAGAAGGGCGCGCACGACGTCACTGCTGTGGTCACCGCAGAGCCTAGAGCGAGACATGGCGGTCACAATGTGGAGCTCTAAACGCGTCTAGCGCGCGCCATGGACGTCGCAGTATCGCGCAGGAAGCACAAATGAGGGGCCCAGGTGATCAGCGGCTAAATATCGGAAAATCCCCCTCCACCCGGTGACAACTCTACGGTGGGTGGCAAACCGGGAGAAAATGAAAATATGCGTGAGACTAATCCAAAAGTCTGATTTCATCGTGATTTCGGCGTCCTCCTGCGGCGTGCTGCTGCTTACGGCCCTTTGGGTGCTTCCAGTAACCTTCTCATCGACCACTCGACGACCACCAAGCAACCATGGTCAAGTCACGTTCAGCGAGGGGTATCCTCGTCACGGATACCCTTCCCCAGCTCCAAAATCTGGTCAAGGTGAGCTGTACAAGGCTGCCCTAGCTGACAACCAGCGCGACCCGATCGCGTACAAGGAAGAGTTCATGGTCCAGTACAACCACTACCTGTCCCTGCTGCGGCTGCAAGGCGTCGCGCCTGCGTCGGGCAGCTCGGGGAACAGTGACAAGTCGACGCAGCTGTTCGCGGATCTGATCAACTTTGTCTCGCAGTGCTCGCAGTGCTACCCGCAGCTCACGTCTGAGCTTCCCGGGCAGCTGCGCTCGCTCCTGCTCGGCGAGGGAGGTATGATGATGGTGAAGGGTGACCTGCGCGAGGCATGCGTGCGCAACCTGGTCATGCTGCGCAACAAGGACATCATCGACAGCATCACGCTGCTGCAGACGCTCCTCCCCCTGCTCCCGCACGCCGGCAAGGACCTGCGTGCCACTGTTCGCAAGACGATCCTGACCGACCTCAAGACGTCGAACCAGCGTACGAAGAACCACCGCCTGAACCGTGTCGTCCAGGGGCTTCTCTTCGGCATGATTGAGGCCGGCATGGGCGGCGAGGTCACCGGCGACAAGGGCAAGGGCAAGCAGACGCAGCCGGGCGGCGAGGCGATGTGGGCTGTCATGATGGTGCGCGAGCTGTGGCGCAAGGGCGTGTGGACGGACGCCAAGACGGTGTCGATTGCGGCGCTTGCGACCTTCCACCCGAACACCAAGGTGCAGAGTGCTGCCATCCACTTCTTCCTTGGTTCCGACAATGACGACGAGGAAGACTCGGACGACGAGGACACGGTCGCGGCGAGCCGGAAGAACGTCAAGGGCATCGAGCACAAGAACAAGGTCAAGAAGACGGGACGCAAGGAGGAGCGACTGCTGAAGAAGGCGCAGAGCGGGCTGTCGCACGAGCGACGGAAGCGCGCCGAGGACGCGGGCAAGAAGGTGAATTTCCCGGCGCTCGAGCTGCTGCACGACCCGCAGACGTTTGGCGAGAAACTCTACGACAACCTCCAGAAGCACGACAAGAAGTACTCGCTCGACCACAAGATTCTCATCATGCAGCTCCTCTCGCGTGTCATGGGCGTGCACAAGCTCTGCGTGCTCGGATTCTACACCTTCATCATCAAGTACCTCACCTACCACCAGCTGCAGGTGACGCTGATCCTCGTCTCGCTCGCGCAGTCGGTGCACGACCTCACCCCGCCCGACGCGCTGACGCCCGTCATCCGCAAGATTGCGCAGGAGTTTGTGCACCCCGGCGTCGGCGCCGAGGTCATTGCGGCGGGTATCAATGCGATTCGCGAGGTCTGTCGCCGCCAGCCGTGGTGCATGGAGGAGGACCTCCTGGGCGACTTGGTCGAGTACAAGAAGTCCAAGGACAAGGGCGTCGCAACGGCTGCGGGCGGTCTGCTCCAACTCTTCCGCGAGGTGAACCCCGGCATGCTCAAGCGCCGCGACCGCGGCAAGGCGGCGAGCATGGGCCTCATCGGTCCTGGCGTCGCAGCGTACGGCCACGGCCAGGACGCGGCGGAGGGCATCGAGGGCCTGGAGCTGCTCGAGGAGCACTTTGCGGCGATGCGGAAGGAGGCGAATGGCGGCGTCAGCGACGACGAGGACGCGCCGATGGACGAGGACGACGAGGCGGGGTGGGAGAACTGGGAGGCCGAGAGCGACTCGGAGTCGGAGAGCGACGGCTGGGTCGACGTCGACAGCGACGGGGGCGACCTTGAGATCTCCGATTCCGAGGACGAAGGCAAGCCGAAGCGCGAGAAGCGGAAACGCCGGCGCGGGGCCGAGGAGTCTGAGTCCGAGGACGAGTCGGACGACGACGCCAAGTCCGTCGTCTCGACAGCGACGAGCGCGACGTCCGAGGCGAAGAAGCTCTCGCTGCTTGCCCAGCAGAAGATCCTCACGCCCGCCGACTTTGCGCTCCTGAATGAGCTCAAGCTCAAGGCGGCGCAGAAGGCCGTCGAGCAAGCAGGCGGCACGGCGGCAAAGCGCAAGCTCGCCGAGCTCGAGCGCGCCAAGCGCACCGTCACCGTCGAGGAGCAGGGGCAGTTCTTGACCGTCGACGAGATCCTGGGCCCGCGCAAGAAGACCAAGGCCGACTACGAGGAGCGCATGGAGAGCATCCGCCGCGGACGCGAGGACCGCGAAAAGTTCGGCTCCCTCAAGGGAAAGAAGATGAAGGACAAGCCGTCCTCGAGCACCAACCGCGAGAAGGCGCGCAACAAGCCCCTCATGATGGCCGTGCAGTGCGTATCATCCACAGCTTTCGCAAAGGTCCCCCCAGCTAACATCCCAGCTCCAACAAGGTCATGCAGAAGAAGAAGGCGTCGCTGCGCCAGAAGCAGATCCGTCTCCGCGCCGCGATCGACAAGCAGAAGAAGATGAAGCATTAAGCGCGCCGCGCGGCGAGCGCAGCGAGCCAAGTGGGCTAAGTGTGCGCAGGATGAGGAAGAGCCTGCTCGTGCGAAAGCTCTCAACCATCCTCCCCTGCGTGTCTGTCACCATAGAGCATAGAATCTCCGATTCCAGCAGTTTCATTTCCCGGGTCATCATTTGCCTCATATCCTCATATTCATCCATGCATAACTGCGCATGCTGTATTAAACTTTGGGGCATGCCGCTTCCGTCGAAGCTCATGGGCAGCGTGGGCGGCGTGGGCGGCGTGGGTTTGGTGAAGATGGCCCAGAACGGCTGGCAGACTGACTGTCGGTTCAAGCTAATGGCGTTGTGCGTCGTGGCCCATTGATCGCGTAGTGTGATAACGCTCGCTCGCGTCGCGTCGAGGTAGATGAGTACGCCATGTCGCCATGTCGCCATGTCGCATACCGCATGCCGTGTCCTTTGATGAAGCCAAGCGCTAACTTACATCAAGACTGTGCGACTGACATGCCCCGCTACAGTTGGGGTCGGTTTAGACTCTGCAGGCTGACTGCCCGAGCACGACACGGCTGGAGCACGACTGGAGTGATGGACGCACCAGGGCGGGGGTTGGGCCGGGCCTTGGGATTCCCTCCCCTCCTGGCGGAAGACAGGCACGGGTCGCGTTCTTGCCTGTTGTGGCAAGGCAGGCAAGGCAGGGAGTGCGGGGGCAGATGCTGGTCCTGGATGGCCACCCAGGGCAGGACTCGTCCCAAAGCAGCAAAGGGCGCAAAGGGCCGGACTGTAAGGGATCCAAACCCGGTCGATCCCTGGTACACTGGACTAGACATCGCGCACGGTGCACCTGTAATTCAATGCCATGGTTTTCCTATTCAGGTGCCTCTTGCAGTAATCGAAACTGCTAATGGCCATTGCACTCGCGCACTCGCTGTTAGCCAAAGCAGCCCCTGTGGTGTCCCCATCCGTCAACAATCATCCACCCACCGCACACCGTCTCCCTCAGCTCCCTCCCAGTCTCACCGCACGGCACTCTCCCACTACACGCTAACACGGTCACCGCCCGATCAAAGTCATCACACTCATCCCATCCACCACCACAAACCACCATCCACCACTCCATCCATCCACACTCACTCTCCCCTAGTCTACATTGTCTCTCCTTCATCACCCACCTACCATAGACGACATCCCACTGCTTCAGTCCCCCACACACCACACACCCATCACCGCCCACGCTCGACCATCCACCATTCATCCCCTCACCCCCGCCTGGTTCGACTTCGAGAGGCCGCGCCCACCGCCGTCCCATCAACCACGAGGCCTAAGCACCGCACACTCGTTCCACATCACCCTCGACACATCCCATCTCACCCCCCACCATCACCTTAACCCAGTCACCTGCACCTAAGCCTCACCACCAAGGCATTCTCACCACCCACCCAAACAAACCTCGTCCAACTGACGAGGAAATGTCCGTTCTGACGGGCACCCAGCCCAACACCACTGAGGCTACCCAGGTCCCAGACGCCGCCGTCGCACCCACGACTGCAGCATCCGATGCCGTTGTCCAGCAACCTGCCGCCACCACCACCGATGCTGCCCCCGTCGCGGACGCGCCTGCCGTGTCGCCGCCCGCACCGGACGCGGCCAAGACATCAGAAGCCGTAATCGCAAATGACCAGAACGCCGCCACCAGCACGGTCGCATCTGAAACGTCAAAGTCTGTCGAGGGAGCTGTTGGGTCCACCGACGCTACCGCCCCGGCTGCAAACACCACTACCGCCCCCGCCGCCGCTACCACGACAACCACGACCCCCGCGCCGGCGGCGACAGCGACTGAGACGCGACCTGCGGCTGCCGCTGCGACGACTACGCCAGCTGCCGCCAACGCGAACCGAGGGTCCAAGGGCAGCAGCACGGAGGAGAAGGCGGCTGGGTCATCGATCGCGGCGTCATCCCCCGCCAAGTCGGCGACAACCAGCAGCGGCAAGAAGCGTAGAAAGCGAGGTGGCCTGGCTAGCATCTTTGTCGCCCTTGGATGTCTCTCTGCCGACGAGTTTGAGGATGCGGCCCCGCCAAAAACCAACCCAAACCAGGCAGGCTCGAGCGCCCGGCCGGGTGCGAACAGCAGCGCTGGCAAGGCAACCACTGCTGTTGCTGCTGGCGCTGGCGTGGCTGCGGGCGCGACTGCCGCGACTGTTGCTGCGAAGACTTCTGCGCCTGCCGATGATGAGAAGCGCGATGTCGCTGGAAACGGCGCCACTGGTAACTCTTCCTCGAGCGGGACCGGTAGCGATGCCGGTGTCATTATTCCTTCTTCTGAGCCGACCACCGCCCCGATAGACGAGGTGAGTTGCGGTATTGAGCGTATCAACTGACTTCAGACTGGCGGCCTCACGTCAGGAGCCGTCCAGGCCCCCGGCTCTGGATCCGAGATCATTCACCAGCATATGCTGCACCGCACCGAGTCTGAGCACCACCTGCCGCACGCGCAGGACCTCGCCCACAGCCGAACAGACACGAGTGGCGGCTACACGGACCTGAGCGACGACAATGTTGACGAGCACGGACAGCAGGAGATGCTCTACGGCGACGAGGACTTTGAGGACGAGGAGGATCGGCTCATTGCGCAGGGCGGTATCGGTATCCCGCTCGACGAGAACGGAAACCCGGCGCCGCTACTCCCTCCCCTGCTCGACATGGACAAGGGCCGCAAATGCCTCGTGCTCGACCTGGACGAGACGTTGCTGCACTCGAGCTTCAAGATGCTGCCGTCTGCCGACTACATTGTGCCTGTGGAGATTGAGTCGCAGACACACAACGTGTATGTGATCAAGCGGCCCGGCGTCGACCACTTTTTGCAGGAGATGGGCAAGATTTACGAGATTGTCGTGTTCACGGCCTCGCTTAGCAAGTACGCGGACCCGGTGCTCGACATGCTCGATGTCGGCCGCGTCGTGCGCCACCGCCTCTTCCGCGAGAGCTGCTACAATCACAAGGGCAACTATGTCAAGGACCTGTCGCAGCTCGGCCGCGACATTTCGACGTCGATCATCATCGACAACTCGCCCGCGTCGTACATCTTCCACCCGAACAATGCTGTGCCCGTCTCGACGTGGTTCAACGACCCGCATGACACGGAGCTCACCGACCTGTGCCCGTTCTTGACCGACCTCGCGACTGTGGATGATGTGCGGGGTGTTCTCGACGGCAGCCTTTAGTAATCGGCTCTCGTCTTCCCATCTGGTCTCTCTTCATTCTCTTCATTCTACACTACAACAGCACCAAGTCCCGGTTTCAGGCGTCTCTTACTCGTTCTCATATCCCCAGCACCACCTCACCGACCCCACACTCTACACCAAACCATTGCATTCGGCACTCGACGATACCCGATACCCCGCCTTTGTTCGTCGTCGTTGTACTTTGCTCTCACTCTATCCTCTTTACACGCGCTTTTTATTTTATGTCGTCGGTGACAACAGGCGACATCTCTTTCCCAAACTACCCGATCCTACTACCACCCACCACCCACTTTGCACGCTGTCGTGTGCAGCGACAGACACTACAAGAGTTTCCTCTCTTAGCCCACTACCTCTATGTTAATACGTTTGGTCCCTTAGAAACATGGCTAGACGGACGCTGATGCACGCGCTGGCTTATAACTGGTTGATCGTTGGGCGGGCACCTGCTTGATTCCAATAACGGTACCTGGACATCTTGGATAATCGATGCCGTGCCGCGCAAGCCGCAGAGAGTACTGATTGTTGACTCGGTGGAGAAAACGCCGCTTTCGATTGGCCCAAGCGAGACTAGAGTGGAGGCCCAAGTCTGTCCAACACTGTCCAACAACTGTCCAACACTGGGGCGTCCCGCCTGGCCCAATTTCCAAGGCTGGACCGGGAATTTCCACGGTGGGCGCGTTATCTGGGAGGACCTTGGAAATTCCCCGTCCAGCCCCGCCTGGCCCGCCTGGCTTATGCTCCGCGCGGGGCCATTATCTCGCCCGTCATACCCGGTGCAATCGGACTTGGGAGCGGCTATGGCCCCGGAGTGAGTGAGTCTATGAGTCTGGCCAGTCTGGCCAGTATATCATCAGCCACCCCAGGTTTCTTTCTCCCCAGACACCCCCCCCCCCCATGCTTCGCTCGCGCGCCGCTACTGCCATCGCCCGCACGCAGGCTCGCCCCGTGCAGGGCCGCCTCGTCCTGCGCGGGTTCGCGAGCACTCCTGCCTTCGCCGAGGAGGTGAGCCCGCCTTCGAGACAGAGCTAACAAGGGACAGCTCAAGAAGACGCCCCTGTACGACTTCAACGTTTCTCGCGGCGGCAAGATGGTCCCCTTTGCGGGCTTCTCCATGCCGCTGAGCTACGGCGACGTCGGCCAGGTCACGGCACACAAGCACGTTCGCTCCGACGCCGGTCTCTTCGACGTCTCCCACATGCTGCAGCACATCTTCTCCGGCCCGGGTGCGACGGCCTTCCTCGAGTCTCTCACCCCCACTGCCCTCTCGGCGCTGCCCGAGCACGGCTCTTCGCTCACCGTCCTGCTCAATGACGAGGGGGGCATCATCGACGACAGCATCATGACGCGCCACCCGAATGGCGCATGGTACGTTGTCACGAACGCGGGCCGCATCGACGAGGACGTGGCGCACATCAAGAAGGAGCTGGAGAAGTGGGAGAAGGACCACCCCGACCAAAAGGTCGAGTGGAAGACACTCGACGGGTACGGCCTCGTCGCGCTCCAGGGCCCCAAGGCCGCCGAGGAGCTGCAGAAACTCACCGACTATGACCTCTCCACGCTCAAGTTTGGGCAGAGCACTTATGCCAATGTCGGCAAGGACAAGGTCCGCTGCCACATTGCCCGTGGAGGGTACACGGGCGAGGATGGGTTTGAGGTGAGTCCGAGCCGGCGAGGCAGGCCGAGCCGCAGGCGAGGGGCTGCCGAGGCTTTTTGAGCTACGAGCAGTGGTCTGGGCCATAGGCTCACGGAGCCCGACGGAGCCCGGCACGCCGTCTCAGCTTACCGACGCGACGGGATGTCAGAGCTAACAGCAGATCTCGATCCCGCCCGAGGCCGCCGTCGCGCTGACCGAGGAGATCACGGCCCTCCCCTCCGTCGAGCTGATCGGTCTTGGAGCGCGCGACTCTCTGCGTCTGGAAGCCGGTATGTGTCTGTACGGACACGACCTGAACGAGTCCATCTCGCCGATCGAGGGTGCGCTGGCCTGGCTGGTGAGCAAGGACCGCCGCACTCCGGGGGGAATGAAGGGGTCAGACCGCATCCTGCGCGAACTGAAGGAAGGGCCCGCGCGCCGCCGCGTGGGCTTGGAGATCAAGGGCAGTCCCGCGCGCGAAGGGTCCAAGATCTTCGACACGGAGGGCAACGAGATTGGCGTCGTCACGAGTGGAATCCCCAGTCCGACGCTCGGCACGAATATTGCCACGAATATTGCCATGGGATACGTCAAGAACGGAAGCCATAAGAAGGGCACCCCCCTCAAGGTCGAGGTGAGGAAGAAGTTGCGCGACGCCACGGTGCGCCCGATGCCCTTCGTGCCGGCCAAGTACTACAAGTAGAGCACGAGCGCCGCAGGCGCGAGTGCGTAGCTTGGGCACGGGGAGGGGGCGAGCGAGCGCGAGGGCGATACTTGAGTACGGGACGAGTGCTGGGTTGGAGGAGGGTGGAGGGCGCGAGTGCGAGGGCTTTGAGTATGGCGGGGTGGGTGCGAGGTTCGCGGGGGAGGGAGGGGGCGAGGTGGGCGGCCATGGAAAGGAGGAGGGGATAGGGAAGGGAGATACGGAGAAGTTATAGAAACAAAATTGTGGTAGTTCTCAACAACAGGAAGGAAAAGCATGTAATTGGTGTCATCGGTTCGATATTGACGCTGCACTGACACGCTGACTCGCTGACTCGCTGACTCATTCACAACACTGCCTATACTCAACCTCCAAACCGGCTCAAGATTGCATAATGTACGAAGTGCTTGGGAGGGAAGAGTCTGGAGTGAGCTGGATAGATAACCGCCTAGCTCACCATTGCACCGAGCGGAGAACTGGAAGCTCAGCTGTAATCCGTGTTCGCCAGCTTACCTCTTGTTCTCTTTTCGCTCTGGGATGAGGGCAGGGGAGACTGGGAGTCAGCTCTTGCGGAGGAAGCTCACAGCTCTCAGTAGACTACCGATGAGAAACTGGGGATCAGCTGAACTGCGAGATCGTTACAGCCTACTCCGCATGTCGTGCGACTAGGAGCACTGCGGGTCAGCTACAAAGTCCAAGCCCCACAGCTTACGCCTCGTCCTGCCTTTATTGATGGAGGGGGGACTGGGTGTTAGCTTCTTGCGGCTTGCGGAGAAAGCTCACAGCTCTCAGTAAGCTCACTGGTACGCTTCTCATGGGGGAGACTGGGGATCAGCTGAACTGCAAGGTCGTAACAGCTCACGCAGTGATGTGAAGATGAGTTTGCTGGGGGTCAGCTGGAACAAAAGGTGGCAGCTGAGAGCATACCGGTGAGTTCATGGAGAGGCTGGAGGTTAGCTACAAGCAAGCAGTCTCACAGCTTACGCGTTGTCGCACTGGATGGTGGGGGGACTGGGATCAGCTCAGCGAAATCCACAGTGAGCTCACCGCGCCTGCTCTATTGCTCGACTTTACGATTGCAGTAAAGGGTGGGACTGGGGATCAGCTCAGAGCCGACGAGTACCGGCAAGCATACCAGAAAGTCCCTCCGGAGGGGCTGGGGGTTAGCTACTGAATCGAGACTACACAGCTTACGCCTCGTTCTGCAGTGGAGAGGCTGGAGTCAGCTAAGACATCAGCGACGAACGAGCTTACCATGACTGTCGTTTCAGAACCCAGAATCGAGGAGCTGGGGATCAACTGATGACGAGAACTTGGACAGCTCACCAATTACGCGAGACTTAGAGGAAGGGGGGACTGCGAGTTAGCTCAGAGGCCTCAAGTGTCTATGGAAGCTTACCTTGTGCGACTTGGAACTGAGGGCTAGAGGTCTGGGGGGCTGGGGATCAGCTGTGTGCGAAAGGCCAGTGTTCAGCTTACGCCACATCTCGGACCATAAGGAGGGGACGGAGGACTGAGAATCAGCTCGAATGAAACAGTGAGAGAGCGTACGAGTGTTCTATTCAGTGTTGACTGTGAATCAGCTCTATTCCTTGGTTTGGGAAGCATACCGTCGCTCACTTCACAGCGAATTAGGCGATGAGGACTGGGATCAGCTCGGTCTCCGCTAGCGAGCTCACCACGCTTGCACGCCAGGTGGATATCGAGAGGAGCGGAGTCTGGGGATCAGCTATTGGCGCCCCTCGAAAAGCTTACCGAGAGGACAGAAGACGCACTGAAGACTGTAGTCAGGTCACGAAGGCCCAAGCCGCGATGAACCTTACTGACGAGCGCCTTGGAGCTGGAGATACGTGAGGCAACTGATAGCTTACGCTTCATCTCGGACGATGAGGTGGGGGCGGAGGGCTGGGAATCAGCTTGAGGACGGCAACGAAAGCATACCTCGCACCATCGGAGGTGAGGAGGCTAGGGGTTCAGCCGAAGAATGGGCCATCACAGCTTACACTGGGTCGCTGAAGACGAGGGCACTGTGGGTCAGCTCTGATGCGACAATACCGCTATGCGCTATGTCTTGGCCTGTCGAATGGGTCCGGTGGCCTGGGAGTCAGCTCAGAATAAGACAAAGCAGAGCTTACGGCCAAGCCATAGGAGGTGACTGTGAATTAGCTATGCAGGACGTGCGGGGATGGAGAGCTCACAGCGCCTCACATCATGGGAGTTGGGCGGTGGGGACAGTGATCAGCTCAAAGCGTACGAATAAGCGTACTTCGCCTGCACGACCGTTAAATGCTAGGGAAAGTGCTGGGGATCAGCTGATTGATTGCCTCTTGAAGCTCACGCTGCGTCTTGAGAGATGAGGAGGGCTGGATACCAGCTTCAACGCGACGATGTGGTAGCTTACCAGTGACCCACATGAGTAGGCTGGGAGGTCAGCTGATAGAAAACGCGCTCACAGCTTACCACTGGCCTAGAACAACTGAAGAGAGATATCAGAGAATAAGCTCTGATGTGAAAAGAAGCCACGTTAAGGTCGCCAGTTACGGGTGAAGAGCTGGCTGGGCATCAGCTTTACAGGTGGTGGTTGGCAGCTCCGAGCTCATCGGGACTGCAGGTTACGTGCCCAGGGGCTAGGGATTAGCTATGGTGAAGCCCGACAGCTTACGGCGACAAGCTCTGAGCGACGTTTGGTATAAGCTAGAGAGCGGAGAAGCTGAGGTCACCGCGCCTATGCACCGCTGTGATGCTCAGGGTGGGGAGACTGTGGATCAGCTAGACAGACGTGATAAGTAGCTCACAACTTGTGTAGCACCATTGCCCACAGAGGGTCACCGTACGATCAGCTTTGGTCTGTGTGGGAGCTTGAACGTCATTTCGGGGAAGCTCACCGGTTTTGTTTGGCTGTAGAAAGGTCACCCGGGGTCGTGTGGACCCACCCCTCGTACGACACATGAGAAACCGAAAGCTACTGGCATGCTGGCAAGATGAGAGGTAACGAATGGTTGTCAGGTGTTGCGTGGAGCATCTGGAAGGGGCGCAGGGCGTCGTCAATGACGATCTTCTTCAGTAGGCGTCAGACAGTTGGGAGCACCTGCTTCAAGCTGTTAGGCATGCAAGCTGCTCGACCGTCACGGTCCTCCTCGTCACCATTACAACGATACATCGCAATCGCTACGGCGGGGCAAGAGCATCAGAGACCTCCATGGCAGCCCGCCCCTCCAAGGTCGCAACTATACACGCTCGCCACTGCGCCAGTCCACACAATGGGTAGCAATCGACAGCTGTAGACCACAAAGACTTTACCTCAGCGAAGCCTCTGGCAACAAGAGAGAACAGCCTCCAGAGAAAGTAGATCACGCCGGCTTCCAAGAAGATCAAGAACACGCCGAGGGAGACGAACGAGAACACAAGACACACATTATCAATAGGTGAGCGGGCTTGTGGACCCTCGGGTGGGCTTGGACCCTTGGCATCTGGCACTCGTCGGCGCATAGCGCTGCCCTCTCTTTATTCACCGTCATTAGAAGACGGGGTAATACTTTCCTTCGATTCCGGGAATACGTCCTCCTCGAGCACGTCACCAGGACACTCTGGATGTCCAGATCGGAAGCGACCGAGACACTCGAAGTCCAGCTCCCCAGGGTGGACGTACGAGCTGCAGTCCTCCGCGTCAACGTACGGCAGGAAGACACGCTCCGACATGCGGAGAACGAACTCGCGAGAGTGGGCGAGGAGCATTAGTCTCGGTCCTGGAAGTTTGTCGTACGCCTGCTATCAACTAAACATTCATGGCTACTGTACTTACCATCTCGACCACAATGTCGATGACCCAGTCTGCCCATCCTCTCCAGCCGTCGTAAGTGTCGATGGGACCGACCTGTCGAAGATTGAGGGCGCTAGGGGTCAGCAGGCCAGAGTGAATCGCCTCACAGGTCAATGAACTTATCGAGCACAGCCAGTTGGAACAAGCACTCATCGACCTCGTGCCAGCTCTCCGAAGCCGCTATCCGCGCCCACTCCTTGCTCGCTATTCGTGCCGCGTACTGGATGTTGTGCCTCGGATCTTCCGAATCCAGCACTTGGGCCGCTGTCCGCGCAGGCTGGAGAACATAGTTGGTCCTCGGGAACGGCCCAAACGGATCAGGTACGACATCGTTGCTCGGGCGACGACGTGGGCGGGGCCTGAAGATGCTGAACATGTGCACTTGAACGCGTCGGAGGGAGGATGGAATGTGAAGGGAGACGCGGGCACGGAGAACGCCCAACATTCCGACTCCCGTTTAGCGCTTTTGTTCGCCGACGTGCGCCAAGTCTATGGGGCCCCATGTTTGGTTCCAACTCGCGCTGACGTCGGCTTGTTCCATTGCAGATCACTTGCATGCCCAGCTACTGATGCAGCGGGCAAAACTAACATTCGACTCACGTGCTGCATATGCAGAAGGTCAAGGGAATGAGGTTGTCTGACCGTTTGGGCGGGGTTTGCGGGGTAGGCCGAAGACTCACAGTTAGTTGTCTGGTCAAACCATTGACAGGGAGCTTGAGCAGGCGATATGTTTGCAAGAATGTGGGAGAGCACGGTGAGTGACGGAGGTGTTGCGGACAGCCAGTCTAGTGTTGTCTAGTGAAACACGCTCGTTTATTGTTTCATGTCAAGAGCATACATGTACGCATTCTGCGCTTGCTATTATAGAGTTGCAGTGGAAGATGGATACAGTGCGGGCATTCAATTGTTCTGCTTTTGTTACGACTTCGACTTCGATTCGAGTGCATCGTTTACACGGACGTCATCTGCGGCTGCGTTCCGTAGGTGGCCTGGTTAGCGACAGGGGCCTGGTTGCCCACATTGGCCGTGTTACCGATAGGGACCGTGCTGCCGGTGTAAGCTGTGTTGCCGGTGTAAGCTGCGTTGCCGGTATGAGCCATGTTACCGGAATGAGCCATGGGGCCGGTGTGAGTTACGTTGCCGGTAGTGGCCGTGGTGCCGGTATAAGCCGTGTCACCATAGGCTGCGTTGTCATATCCGGCGTTGTCGACAGTGTGCCGCTTCTTCGTGAACAGCATGAGGAGGGCGATGAGGAGGCCGAGGATGAGGAGCCCAAGAGCGATCCAGCCAAGAATACCCCAAGCCTTGAGGGACGAGATGAACGACGCATTGCGGTACGTGCGCTTCATAAGAGGGTTGGCCCAGATGGCAAGCACGACAATGCCGAAGATAATGACCGCAGCCTGGATGGCGAGGTGGATGAGCTGTCGTCGGCGGTTTTCGGCGTATCCGTAGTCGGCGGCGCCGCCAGCGTTGAGGCCGCGCTGGTCCTCGTTGTTGTTCCTCCTCAGCTTGCGGAGCTTGGCGACCTTGGTGGCGTGCTTCCACTGGTCTCCACCCTGTCCGCCCTGCTGCAGGATCGTGAGGCCTGACCAAACGGCGGCGGCAATGGAGACGTTGCGCGCCATCTTGTAGTGGCCTCCGTCGTCGTCATCGTCGTCGTCGTCGCCACGGTATTTGTGCGCCTTGTGAGCGCAGATGGCTGAGGCGATCAGGGATCCGATCGCGCACAGCGTCGCGAGGCCGTGCATCGTCTTCTGCACATAGTTGTAGCCTTTGTGCGTCTTCTTTGCGCCGGAGAGGGCGCTATTCGCGTGGGCTTTCGTTCGAACCATGGTGATCCTCGCTCGGGTAGGTTGGCTGGTCGGTAGTGTGGTGAGTGGCTAGCTGGTAGGAAGGGAGTGGCGATAATTTTGTGCGTGGCGCACGTAGAAGAACTCCGTCTCTTATAACCTACGGACCCATCCCCTTTCTGGAGAGAAAAGCTGCTTCCCTGGCGGGTACCCACCCGAAGAAGTGGAGCCCGTCGCGACGTGTTGATCACCATGACGGCCTCGGCCTGCACGGCCTCGGCACGGCCTCCTCCTGAAGGTGTTCAGGGACGGCCCGGAGTCAAGTGACGGTGTGACGTTGAAGCAATGGATGTGCGATCGTGGGGAGCGCCGCGAGCCGCCGCGCCGTTGCCTTCGCCGCTCCCGGGCAAGCTCAAGAGATGACAGCAGCCCCGTCGGAAGCACCCGTGGCGGAAGCTGTGGTGAGGCCGTAAGGGCAGCGCCCTGATTCCGAACGTCATTCCAGACACATTCTTGGCTTACGTGCATTTACGTGCTGCATGGAGGGCAACCATAATGAGCGTGCCGCGCTTAATGCTGGGCACGCTGGGCATGCTGGGCAGCATGGCCGGCAGTTGGAAGTGGTCCCACTCTTGATGTTGGCACGGGCGGAATGATATCAGTCGTGTGAGGGCCTTAAACCCTGTGCACATGCCTCTCCAGACCGCAGCCTCATGCACATGAGCGGCGGAGAATGTAGTCGCGGAAAATGTATCGGCGTCTGAATCAAGGTGGTGCCAGAGTGGAAATCATGGAGACATGAAAAAGTCGTGACGTAATAGTGCCTCTCCACCCAGCCTTCCGGCCTCCGCTCTTCCACCAACAACGCCCGGGTTACACCACTCCAGCCATGGGCCTGGGTTGCAAGGAGACTGCATTGAGCCAGGGACTGCCGGGGCCAGGCGCTCCACCGTTCACCATCCGTCCATGCTGCCAGAGTCTCCGCGCGACCTCCAAACAGAAGTTCACCACAGGATAGGGTTCACCGTCTCCTGAGTGGAGACGCAAATAGAACACGAGGGGCGAGCATTCAATCGGCAGGCAAGTACGCACTGCACTTGTGACAGGAGGCCGCCGCAAGACGCCGCACACTGCACTGCAAAGCGGGGGCGTCGCTGTTATCCGAATGGGTCTGCATTCGGTGCGTGATTGCCACCAGTCAGTCAAGACTCGAATGACAGGGCAGTATGCATGCGTCCAGAGAGCCGCTGCACAGCTCGGATACTCCGTTAATTAACTGATCGACCGTGACTGGCACCGCCTGCTTAATCTCTTGGACGCCATCTAGGCCTGGCCAAACTGTGTAAGCCTCATGCGCCCACAGATCTTGGCACTCTTGAAGCTGTGCATTTACGACAAGAGCAAGGTCGTTTAAGAGGGAGGTGAGGTATTTGGCTACGGCCACGGAGCGAGGAAGGTAAGGAGGGCGGGGCTCGCGTCATCTTCCTTTGGGAAGCGCACAACGCCTAGAAAAGAAACAGAGCCAGAAGACTAGGGTAAGGGAGTGCGAGGCGAGGTTGAGGCAGAGAGGTCACGTGAACTTGGACAAGAGGACCCACGAGAGTGAAGATCCAGAACTCAGCGACAGCACGCACCACAGAGTCCATGTCAGAGCGATGTCAGACTGCAGTTGGCTCACACTGTACGCTCTTGCGCGAGTCATCCTGTGCTTGCATTGAAGCGAGTTGACTGACCAGCAAGGTGCTCCGCAGTCGTGAGATCGAGGGAGGTCGACAAAGGGACTGGGGGGTAGATCCACCACTCCTCTCCCGATTTGACAACTCATCTCGTCCAATTGGTCAAGCGCCCAAGCCACCGGGCCCCGTTTGCAACCCCACAGCACCATAACCAACAGGACCATTCCCTGGGTATAGGATGGCGTCTGCTCAGCTTTTCCAGGCCTCGCGTTCGAACATAAAGCCGCCGACGCCCCCGGCCTTTGTGAAAGAAATCACGCGCGCATCACATCTATGGTGAAATGGTATCATGCATCGTTGCCAAGCAGTATCGATGCGGTGGGGGTTCGATTCCCCCTGGATGTACGCTTTTTAGGTGTTCTGAGGTGTATGCAGGCGTGTTGGACGTTGTTGATTGTGTAGGAAGATAGTTAAGTGAAGAGACCCGGTGCGGTGTGAGTTCAGATGTGACAGGTCTATTTCTTGCGGTGAACGACGATCGAGGCGTTGTTACGTGTGAATTCTTGTACATTTATACTACTACTCTCCGACGCTGCCTCCGAGTACCTTGGCTATCTTTTGACCGGGTCCATCACTTATCGTCGCATCTCCAGCAACGTCGTTCGGCGCCTTGGAGGTGTCTGGGACCTGCTCCTCCTTCTTCAAACCCTTGTGCCGACCCTTCCGAATGACGCTCCACATGAAGCTGATTTCTGCGTGCATGCGGTGCATCTCCGCTTCGGCCTCCGTCCCCATGGGTGGCTCGTAATTCTCCTCAAACTTCTTCAGCTCGGCGTCGGGGTCGAGGACGTGAAGCGAGGAAGCGAAGGTCGCGCGAGTCTGCAGCAGAGTGGCGTGCACCTCTGTGCGTTGCCCTTGAGGGTCGCCGTCTGCGTGAGTGCTCGTGTTGCTGTTGACGTTTGGGTTCGAGCTATTGTCCTTGTTGAAAGCCGACATAGAGCTGGATAATGGATGGAGAAGGGGTGGGATGCGTTGATGGCTGCCGACTTTGGGGGCATTCGTCAGGATGAAAAGGGAGCTGGGAGGGGGAAGCTCGTACTGCGGGCTGTCTTCTTCGAAGCCAGTCGTTTTGATGCAGAGCGATCGCGGTGGAAGTTGTTCATATGGAGGGCTGTTGTCTTCGCAGCATGTCTGCTTAGTGACAGGCTTGGGTGGGAGAGATGCTGGCGCCAATTGCTCTGGGGAGTGTGGAAAGGAAACATGGCCAAAGTCTGGGGTGACGATGATGGAAAACGACGAAGGGCTCGAGTTCTCAGTGAGGCCGGCAGGTTGGTATGTGTCGGTATTGGGTTCAGCTGGCGGGACGTTGGGCGCCGGTGCATGTACGTTTTCAGCTTTCTCACATAAGTGTCGGTTGCATTCTTCAAAGGGTATCCACTCGTAATCGGTCCAGGAAGAGGAGGCAGGTTGGGAGTCTTCCGAAGTCGACTTTGCTCCGGTATGCTGGGGAGTGGACTGTGTCGATTCGCTGGGAGGCGGTATTGGGTTGGCATCGGTGCCCTCCATCAGACCCCAGACCGCGGCGCACAGATCTTGATGGTCGTCCATATCCATAAAGTCGTCTTCGTCCCAGCGGTGGTTGGGAGGGCCGGTGTCCTCAGGCGACGATGTCGACCCCTTTGGGGAGGGAAGGCAGGCTCGTTCCCACCGCTCGGTTCGTGTTCTTATCCTCTTCGCGGTCTTCGCCGGTGGTGGTGAATTTGAGCTTAGGCGTTTCTTCCCCGCGCTGGCATCGCTAGGGGGAGTAGATGTCATGGCTTGGGTTGATGAATCTACGTAGGCCAATGTGGAGAAGGATGACGAAGACAAAGTAGGCGGAGCTCAGAAAGTGGAGGGAACCAAACAACTGGGCGCATGGGCGCTCATGACGAGGATCGACGCCGGGTCTGTGCGTCGACGGACGACGGACGATGGACCTAACATCAGAGCTCTGCTACAACCAACACCGCTGGAACTGCACCTGTGCATAAACGTTCAAACTACTGAACATCCCTTGGCCCGCTGAACACAATGACGTTCGTCATAAACTCGATCTCGGCCGACAAGCGACACCACTGCTGCACAGCCGTACTGGCTCCTTCAGGCGTCCTGCACCTCTTCCTGAAGTTTTGGAGCACAGCAACAGCATCAATGTGAGGCACTGCGACAAACCTACGCAACGTGTGCTGAAATGTATAATACAATGCCCTATACTCGTCCCGCAGTGATGTCAGGAGGTCAACCTCCTGCCCAGCGCTGAAGAGCGTTGGTGGTGTAAGCGCCCGTGGATCAACACCAAACACTTCGCGGGCGGTGAGGACTGGCAGCGCCAGTGTGGTTTCGGCCGTGAGTCTCTGCACAGCGGTGACCAGCTCCAGGTGGGTTCCGGTCGAGCACTCGTACCCGGGGGGTGTGCGCTGATCGAGGGCCAGGGCAGCAGAGATGTGGCTTCTTTCAACAGTCTCACAGCGACTAGGCTTCTGCGGCCGCTTCATCCCCGTTGAAGGTCTTGCTGGGAGCTTGCTGGATGTTCCTTCCAAGGTTGGCTCTTTCATATAGGTTCTTGGCAGATAGGTATGCCCAATACGCAAGTCAGGGGTAGTCATGAGGTCAGAGAAGCGGACACGGGGTGACACGCCAGCACTGCACGCAACCGTCAGTGCGCTGCGTGTCCGCCGTCTCCAGCGGCACCTTTCGCACTCTGAAACGACTGGGAGGGCTGTGCATACGGATGCGTCTGTACAATGAACATGGTTGGCTGCAGTGAGCTGACTTCCGTATGTAGGGCCACTTACCTTGCTTGGAGGTATTGTTCTTGAGGGCCGAGTCCACTGAACTGCTCTTCCAGAGCTGCTGTACTGTACATTGCGGGCTGATCAGTAAGCCAGCTGCAGTGATGCAGAGCTCACTTAGAGGCGGCGCATGCTCTCTTCGACATGATCGAGCTTGAACTGGGCCATGTGGAGCACGTTGTCCTCTCCATCCTTCTCTTGACCCTGGTCCTCATACCCAACACCGGCACTGTCACCAATGGACGACCTGAGTGCGGCAATCTCCGCCTTCAGCTCGGCCATCTCGGCCTGTATCGCTGCGTCGACCTCGGTCTCGGTCATGTCCTGCCGCAGGGTAGGTGCAGCAGAAGCCGAGGGAGGGTCGGAGCCGATCGACGCAACGGCGGAAAGCATGTCAGACATGCTGCCGGGGTCGGAGGATGAAACGGAGGGCAGAGGGGGAAGCGGCGTGATGACTGGCAACTTGGGGAGAGTGGGTAGAGACTGAGTGCTGTCGGCGTCCCCAATCGTCTCGGAAAGACCTTGCTTAGACTCGGCTCGAGAGTCGGTCGTGTCGTCGCTGTTTGTTGCTGCGGCGATCTCAACGATTTCGGTCGGAGTCTGGCGCTCATCGACCGGATTGGGGATAACCTTCTCCGGCAAAGCCTTGAGGGTGTCGTGACTCTTGCTTCCTGCACACTCCATTTTGTGCTTCTTGCTGCTGATTGTGGGGCTACTCATGGTCGACTGGGAGTGCGAAAGATGAGTGGAAGGTCAGTGGAAGTGAAGGTTAAGTTGGAAGCTGAGGTGGAAGGGGGTTGTCGTGTCACGATGGGGCTGCTCTCGCAGCCTGGGGGCGCAATCTGACCACGTAGTCGCACGCACGCTCGTGGAACAGTGGCCCATTGACAGCAGACTGCGCAGTGATTCGTCGCGAGTGCGTCAGAGGCTGGTTGCTGGGACGCAGATGTGCACAGTTGACGCTCTGGTTGTGTATCGCATACGCCGATGAGACGAGCTCGCTTGATTTGCGCTCCACGCACACCTGTGTCCCGGCAGGTCAGTAATGCGGTCCCAGTGTGGGTCACCTGGATTAGATATGACCTGCTTCAACCGGACACAACGGTAGTCTGTGCATAGCTGTTACGAGCTCTTCTGCTTGGCAGAGGGCTCGGGGGTGTCACCAAGCAGCTTGGCCAGGAGCAAGGAGGGGCCGATAAAGCCAAGGACGATGAGCACGCCGTACAGACGGCTGGCGGCATTTCCCGAGAGGCTGGCGGCGAACTGTGTCGGAGCTGCCCATGGCGAAAGCTGAAGGAACAGTACGGCGAACGTGACAGGAACCCACTTGCTCATCTGTCGCTGCCGGGCCGCAAAGATTAGACACAGCGCGCTGAGCAATCCTTCCAGAATCCACGACCAGGTGCCGAGGCGGCTCCAGAGCGCGCCGCCAAAGTGTCGTTCCGAATGGGGGTACAGTGCGAGGTCGTGATTGTGCATCGGCCAGTCAGCGAGCCAGTGAGAGAGGCAGACTGCCGCTGTAGCTAAGGCTGTGCGCTGTTCGTATCCGGCAGCGAGACATAAGGGAAGGCAGACGAGGGACCAGAAAGCAGCGGCGGAAAGAGAGTGATCCCAGTCGATGAATATGAGGTCGTAGAAGAGATAAGGACCGGCGTTGGCATTGGCACGGACTTGCGTGACTCCGGGGAAGGCGAGAAGCCCGTCGAGAAGGTCCAAGAAGCTTGTACCCAATAGTAACGGTAGGGCATGGACGTCGCGCAGTAATGCGTGGGCGAGGACGGCGATTGCGAAATGACCGATATACATTGCGAGAGGCAATACAGCGCTGTTCTGACACGAATGTTGTGGTCGAGTGATTGGGCATACTGCAGCATTAGAAGTCAGTAACATCCTGCTTTTAAGGGGCCCTCGTCGTTGATGGCCGACGGCCACCGCTCCGACTACGGGTTGATCGGGGCGCGGTGGACGCCATCGGAGCCGGATGGTGAGAATGGGATTGGGCACTGGCCCTTCGACGCTTCGGGCGATGGGGGAGATGGAGAAGCGCTTTGCAAGACTATTCAGCTGTGTGGTGATGTAGCTGACGAGACGAGAGAGTTGGTTGCCTACATTGAGAATCAGCTTATTCGCATCTGATCAAGAGAAACACAGGACGATGCGAGTCTATTCGGTCCTCCTGGTTATGCTGTCTCCCGATGACTGGACTCACAACAAGCAGCAGACAGTCCTTCGTACCATTGTCACATCCACATCATCCTCGCGACACATGCACAGCCAGTACCCCCTTTAACCCTCTCACGCTCCGTGGACTGCAACTTGTCACCTGCAGGTCTCATACCACGTCTACCTCCGTCACTCTTCGTCACACGCGCAGTCATGTGAAAGCTTGGTGGTCTGCTACGTATGACGCAAGCCAGTTGCTTCAGTGGCCCACTTCCGATACCGACGGAACAGTGACTACAACGTGAGCTATGCTCCTTCTTTGAGTTCTCGCCGTCACGTCAACCCTGGAAGTCAAGCGTCTCGGAACGCGTGAAGCGTTGGAGTCGGACAATTATCGGTCCGCTCGCAGCTCCTTGCTCTTCGCAAGCCAAGCCTGTTGAACTGTTGGATTGTGCCACCAGCAAGGGGATATGACAAGTTTAGGGTGAAATGTGGGACATGGTTCAGACAGTTGCAGTCTTCCTAGACCCCAGAATGCCTTTCCAACCCCAAACCCCCACCGAGCCTCCACTCTTTTCGGCGCACTGATCACGCAGAACGCAGCTAGGGGTGGTCGCCCGGCGAGCTTCGGCAAGCAATGTGCTGGCGGTGTCTGCGACAAACTGCGAAACGGGACACTTAGCCTGGGACATGGAGGGCGGGTCGCAAAAAGCCAGCTCTTGATCTCCAAAACGCCTGAAGATCCTCCAAGCTCGCATCGCACTCTGCACGTGTGCCGCGCCGGGATAGACGCCAGCAGTATCCGATTGCGCTACGTACGCTGCAGTGGGTTCTATATGTTCTAGCTTATCGCTATTGATTGACAGAAACTCTGTCCGGACTGCGGGCGGTCCGCTGGATCAGTTGGGATCACCAGTTCCCAAAATACGATGGCAAAACGGATAAACTCGAGTGGCCATGGAGATTGCGTCAATGCTACTCACCATCACCGCGTCAGTGTGGACATGTGAACCGTCGCATTCTGCATGGCTCACGAAACGTTGGTACCAGGAACTATCTGACGCTTCGCTCGCTTCGGCAGACGAGCTCATGTTGACGACGCTCCCTGCATTGCAAGATGAAAGCATCGCGTCACGGCCCTTCAAACGTGCGAACCTGGTCAATCAGCATTCGCGATCTCGTGGCAGCTCCCGTGTACGACGCGAACCACGCATTCATGAGTTCTAACGAAAGTAGCTGATAACAGTTGACCTCGAATGTGTCGTGTAGCCTGTTTCCGTCAGTAATCGGGGCTATCTTCAGGCCTGTACTTTCACCTTTAGCACTCCCACTCCACCCGCAGCCAGTACACAGCGCAGGCTTCGGGCCAATCGAACGCAACTTGCAGCGAGCCTCTGGATGAGAGCAGCGGGTCTCCGCACACTACGCCCCAGAGGTGTAGTAACTCAACCCCAACCCCAGCCTGATGGTGACACTGCGAGCCGCGGCGCAAGTGTGGGCGGTGAACCACTTGTTAGTGCAAAACTATCTTGTCGCCTCAGCCTCATCGGACCTCGCGTCTCGGATACTCCGCACGCTTCAGAGCAGAAGATAAGATGGATCACCCTCAAAACCCCATCCGATCCTGCTCAGCCACCCTCGAACTCAAAGACTGCGCCTTTTCAACGATGCGCAGCTTCGTTCTGGTTTGTGAGGTCGAGCATCGACGCTGCTCGACGCAGTGGCTGCCCGAAGGCTTTTAAAGCGTCGACTGCTCTCTTCCAGACGCACTTTGCCCTACTGACTCGATCTCTACACAGTCAACATGTCGCCGCTCCCTCGCCCTGAACAGTTCCAGTCCACGGCAGTCCAGTTTGACGAGGTCGCCCTCAGTGATACGGAGGAGCCATTTGAAGACCGTGGCCACCACGGGCGCCGTAGCCACGAATCGACCTTCGACCATATCGTTGACGGAATCGCACGTCGATTGTCCGTCGAAGCCGCTGCCAGGGGCTGCTAATCTCTATCGCCCGCGAACAGAATCGAATACCAGCCGGCCTGGCTCCTTTAGTAGCATCCATAGCCACCGGCGCTCTCGTTCATCTCAACATCGTGGCTCCAGACAATCATGCCAATCTCCTCACGATCAGTCTTCACAGCAGAATCGAGTAAGATGGCACTCGCACGTTCATGATCGATCATCAGAACGCCCACGACCGGGTGACCAGCTCGCCGTCAGCGAGGACCAGGGCGGACACCTGCAGCGCATCGACTCAGAGAAGACCTTGGCCAGGAGTGACTCAGATCTCAGCTCCAAGGGCTCCCTTGCTGAGCGGAAAGGCAGTAGCGATGTTGTTGGGAACGTTGATTGCCTCCCTAGGCCTCCGGTTTCAGACGACTTGGAGAGCTACGTATCGACACTATACTCGGATGCTGGTATCCCCGAGTTGTCGAAGACTCGGAAGATCATCCTTGGAATTGTGGTGATGTTCTGTCTCTTCATCTCGGTGAGCTAAGGCAGACTATCGAAGCTAACCTGCAGTCTATGTCTTCCAACTCGGTGATTCTCACAATCCCCCGCATGTCCCGTGACTTGGGTGTCTCACAACTCCGAGCGCAATGGGTCGCATCGAGCTATACCCTCTCGTACGGCTGTTCGTTGCTCATCTCGGGCCGGTTGGCCGACATCTTCGGGCGTCGCTGGCTGTTCCTCGGTGGCATGCTCACTGCGGTTATCTTCACATTCCTCTCCGGCGCCGTCAAGATCTTCATCCCCCTTTGTGTCATTCGCGCCATTGTAGGCGTCGGACTCGCCGTTGCTACACCCGCTGCGTTCGGCATCGTCGGCGTCAACTTCCGCGACCAAAAGTCCAGGACGATTGCTTACGGCTCCATGTCCATGGGCAATCCTGTCGGGGCGTCTGTGGCCATGATTGTCGGAGGAGCCATGGCTAGCGCCGGCGGCAGTGGATGGGAGTATCTATATTATGTTCTCGGAGGTATCGCCCTCGTTCCCTTGGTCCTCGGCTTCTTCGTCATTCCGAAGGATCCTCAGCCAGAGGGTCCCGTTGACAAGCGCGTCGATTGGTTCGGAGGCTTCCTCATTACCGCCGCCCTCTGCTTCTTCACGTTTTCCATCACTGAGTCCGGCATCGCCGAATCCGGCTGGCGGACACCGTACATCGTCGGGCTCCTTGTCATTTCCATCTTGCTGCTGGTCGCCTTTGGCTTCTGGGAACGATATATCGAGAATCACACAAGTCTACCGCCGATTGTCAAGATGTCCATGTTGAGTCGCAACGGCTTCGGCTTAACGAAAGTGTGCCTGACCGCCTTCCTACCCTTCATCTCGATCGCGGGTTGGATCTACCTCGTTTCGCTTTATTACCAGGACTACAAGCGGTACTCTCCGTTCGGCAGCGCGTTGCATTCACTTCCCGCATCGCTTTGCGGAGTCATAGCCGCCGTAGCCGTCATGTGGGTCGTGCCTCGGTTCCGTGCGCCACACATCCTGGCCGTGGGCGGCATTCTTTCCGGCGCAGCGTGCATTCTCTACGCGGCCGAGCCCGCCGGCACGTCCTACTGGGCAATGGAGTTTATCGCATGCTGCTGCCTCCCTTTCGGGGCAGACATGACTGTTGCCGTTGGTTCCATCCTGATGAGCAACATGTCGCGTGACGATGAGCAGTCCGTCGCTGGCGCGTTGTTCCAGACCTCGGTCCAGATTGGCCAGGCGCTGGGCACCTGCGTCACGTCTCTCATCGTCAGTGAGGTGCACGCCAACACCGGTGACATGCTGCAGGGTGTTCGTGCTGCGTTCTACTTTTGCTCCGCGTTCCCTTGGGCGATCGCCATCTTCGCTGTCTTCGGTCTCCGCAAGATTGGTCTGGCGAAGGACGTTGGTCTCGGCCGTGCTTCACACTGAGACGATGCCCGCAACATGCTTCGGGCGCTTCAATCAATTCCATTAAGATGATTGTCACAACTACCAATGCTATGCACTGCTGTTTACGTTGCGGCGGTGCCATCCACTGACGCGTTGACGTCAACGGCTGCGGATAGTGTGGCACTTGCTCGCTAGTCTCCCCGCAGCAACTCAGATCCACCTCCACCCATGAGAAGGCTAGTCCACATCTCCACTCTATTTAAGATGCTCTGACAGGTGTCTGTACACATCCATCCGTCTGTCCCTCACTTACTCCACGACACCCCCTCGACCTCCTCTGCTTCGCGTCCGGAACACTCTCAGGTCTCTCCTCTGACATCCACCACCTATCCTCTGTTCAACCACATGACCAGCGCCGAGAAGCCATTGCCTCGCCGGAAGGCCAAACGCGTTAGCGTGCGGGGCAAAGGCTCAGTGTACCCCAAAGGTCTCAGTGCCCCCATCGATCACGCGCAGCCCAATTCCAACGCCTCGCCTTCAGACACGCCAAATGTTTCGATCGACGACAAAGCCACCGCTGCTAACCCTCCCTCCTCTTCGACGACCAAGCTCAGAGTTCCAGCCACACAGGAGCCTTTCGTGTTTGGCTCCGGGGCTACTGCCGCCTTTCATCCTCCCGAACCTCCTCTCAGCGATGCTGCCCTTCAGGCAATTGAAGACCGCGTCGACTCACGTGTCCGCTCCCAACACAAATCCCTCCAGACTGCTCTTGGGTTCCAGATCAACGCCCGCCTTTCGGCGGGATTAGACCGTCTCAAAACCGCAGCGCGAGAGGAGGTCAGACTGCGCAGCCTTGCGACGCTGAACTCCCTCCGAGGTGATCAGCACAAGGCCCAGCAAGTCCTCCTCCTGCAAGCCGAAGCACAAGTGAGCGCCGCAAGGGCACACTTAACGAACTGGCTTCAGGATGAAATCCAGAGCCTGTGTAGCGCGCAGAAGGCAGAGGTTATAAAGCGGGATACGGCGTATGCTGAGCTTATCCGAGAGTTGAGGGATGAGATGGAGGCTCTGGCTGGCAGTGTGGATGCTGTGTCGCGCGCGGAGAGGGCGGCGATGAAGGATGAGCTGAAAGACGAGCTGAGGGCCGAGATAAAGGAGCAGCTCAAGGCCGAGCTCATGAACGAACTTAGGGCCGAGCTTCGAGGAGAGCTCGCTACTCAGCACGTTCAGCTCGGTGCCCGTCTGATGGCGGAGTTGGCGCCAGCTTTGCGAGAGGCCGATGGTGAGATTCCCAAGCTCGAACCTCCCGCCCGATCCACCAACTACCCTCCTAACAAGCCAGCATCCAAAGACCAGGCCGACCTCTCTTCCACCTTGTTGGCTCGTCACCTCAATTCAATGCCGCCGCCCGCCAGCGCCGCCCGCCATCCCCAGGTCAACACCGATAACCAATGCAGGAGCCCGAAGGAAAGGCTCGCCGCCATCGTCAAAGCTCTCGCAGACGGCACGCTGGATGATGAGACGCCGTCTCATTCTGCTTCCACTATGCAGGGTTCGACGCCCGGTGCGTTCTTCGGGCAGCCAGGGCTCCAGGCTTTGAGACAGTCTGCGTACGACAGTTCTGACTGGGACTCCGACTGACAACAGTCGTGAAGTAGCCCCAAGTCTGTTGGTCAAGATGGACTGAGCGTGTCGTAGAGCAAGCGCTGTACAGTATGGAGTTGTAGTCCCAATGTGACATAATCTATTAAGACGCCCAATGGCTCAACGAGGTGAGCGCTCACCCCCGCAAGGGCAGGTCGCGGCAGTGATACAACGAAAACTGTTGCAGCCATACCAGTCAGACGTACGCAAGTCAGCCTCAGCGCATGCAAGGGCCTGCCTTCCCACTTGCGGGCCCATAGCACCCGGGCATGGTTCGTTGAACTTTTTTGTTTGTTCAGGGCGGAGGAGAATTATCAGATAAAGATCCCGTTCCTAGGCACGCCCCCGTTCCTGGGTTCCGGTGTCGGTATCCAGTGTTCCTGGGTCGGCCGACCTCCAGGGTTTGCTCTGCATTCCAGTCGGACCCCTGTCACATACCCCCTGTACGTATCCCCGCCGTCGCGGCAGCTCAAGTTCGCCGCTCACGGTGCCCGCCGCCTTGCTCTCCGGTATCGGTCATTGCGATTTGAGGTCAGGTACGCGCTGGCCGAATGACACTCTGTTATTTTCACACTGATAACTGTTGTTGTTTCACTTGTTTCCATCTTCAGCACTTCCATCCGCAGCGACACGACCATGGCCACCGACGCTGCACCATCTGAGAAGAGGGCCGACACGCCCGTGCCCCGCCGCACGATGCTTGACTCTGCCGTCCACGTCACTCTGAAAGACGGCCGCACCCTCGTCACTTACCGCGCGGGCGACGCCGATGCGGCCGACCTTATCCTCTTCGAGTCCGGAGCGACTACGGCGGGCGCGTACTGGGGTCCCACCGTCGAGGCCATCGAGGCGCAGGCCGCTTCGGCTGGCCGTTCAGTCCAAATCGTAGCCTACGACCGTTCCGGATACGGCGACTCTACTCCCTTCAGCGACTGGCGAACGCTCGACGACATGGCGAATGACCTCGGCGAACTGCTCGACCAGCTGTCTTTCGAGCGCGCGGTCCTGGCCGGTCACTCATGGGGTGGGCCCATCTGCCGTGTCGCGGCCAGTCGTAGGGACCTGAGTACGGTCGCCGGTATCGCCCTCGTGGACGCAACCGACGAGCACTGCGAGAACTACTACACATGGTACCTGTGGTGGATGTTCTGGGCGCGCTCGTGGCTCTTCCAGCCCTGGGCCATCATGGGCACCTACAGGCAGCGGAAGGAGGGCATGCTCGCCAAGTTTCCCGAGCCGTATCGCGCCGCAGCCCTCGAGGCGGGCACGACGTACCATGCCGCCCGCGCCAGTGCTTATGAGCTCAGCAAGATCCCCGCCCAGCTCAGGTGGCTCCTCGACAATCCCGCGCATACTGGCGATATCAACGTGACGGTTATCTCGGGACAGAAGATGCTCACACCCGGAAGCATGAGGGAGAAGATTACGAATGCGCACAAGGCGAGGGCGGAGCGGATGGGTGAGCTCGGCAAGTATGTCCCCGCGCATAACTCGGCGCACAACATTCCTAACGATGAGCCGGAGCTTATCGCCAAGGAGTGTCTTGCCTTCTTTGGCTACTAGTATTTCGTTCGGTTTCCCTTTACATAGAAGCTCGTTGGGTATTCAGTTATGCATAGGCTTAAGGAAGACCTCTTGTCACTTCGGCATTGCTTCTCACTAGCTCTAGCACCTCTAGGTGCACCGTTTTGCGCCAACACCTGTGGAGCAGGATACCGACGCTGATGGCGTCACCTCCGACCGTTGACGAGCTGAGGACGGCTACCGATCGGTAGATCAACAGATTAAGGTTCCATGGGCAGATCGCCTCTCCCTCATAAGATCAAAACTTCTGCACTTTTCCAAGCACAACTCGTACTCAGGCTATCCGGCAAGCGTAACAACGGTCCGACTGATCGTCATCGAGGCGCAGCCCATTTCTCCGCGCCGATCAAGCCCGAAAGCCACGTCCTTTCCAAGATGAACCACCTGATGCCAGGCTGGTGTCCAGCTGACATTCGGCGGGTTGAGATCCACCTGCCGCAACGCCTCCGACATGCCAAGTATGCGCACCAGTGCGGTTCGGACGACAGTGGCATGCAACAACAACCGGCTGACCAACTCGTTTACACACAGTGAGAGCGTTTATTCCGTCCACGGCGATTAATTCAGGGTCGGATGGCTCGAAACCTCCGTGGACGGGGATTGCTGGTCGGCTAGTCGGGCAGCAGCTAACACCTTGCGTCCTGACGGCCTGGTTCGCGGTTCTTGCCCAGTTGAGACTCCCAGATGGTGCTCATACTCCTTGGGCATACACAGAGAGCGTCTCGTGCTTTGGAGGGCTGTTAGGTGAACTAACGGTAGACGCCGCACCAGCGAATGATCGGCCGAACGAATTTTGGTGAGATTACCGCCTTCTCCCTCCAGCACCCGCTCAGCTCGTTCTGCAGCTGGATATGCATGGTATACTGGAATAGCTCTCAAGTCTCGGCATCTCTGTACAGCTTCCCAAAATGAGCGGCGAGCGTACGCCAAGAGGTCCACCGTTATGAGCCCCTCCGGTGGTGGATGTTCGGCTGGAAACCTTAACCCATGTCGGGCCCGCGTCCTAATCTGATAAGAGGGTGATTGGTCACCGACACACGCCCTGGCTCCTCCCTGCCGGCGTCCCTTCCGTCCTCGCAACTTGCCCAGGCACAAACCTTCACCCCCCGCGCTCAGGTTTTCGCCATCGCGCTCCTCTTCACCCATTGTCACCCTCCCCCGCCTTTCTGCTCCCCTCAGCTGGATCTCTGCCCAGAGCGAGAAGCTCCGACATTCCCCCTCCCACGCTGTCCCACCTGGGCCCATTCTGCGCCATCCGCGGTCGTCGTGTTCTTGGCAGCACGCTCTGGCCCTGAGACCTAGTCCATGTGCACAGACGCTTTCGACCAACAGCTGTCGGTCGGTTGAACACCTCCCCCTGCCTGCTGCCCGGAGCCCTTCCTCCGGACGCAAGCCGGACGCCCCAATGCGGTCCCGGTAGCGTATCTGATACGGGCGCTGCCCTGTGCGTGCAGACTTTGGAATTTTGCAACTCTGTGAACCCGACTCATCGCAGCAGTCACGGCTTTCAAACCACGGTTTATCGGCCGATGCTGAAAAGGGGCTAACCGTTCTTAAGCAGCCGACGTCGAGCTCTCAGACGGTCCCCAGCAACTCTCATTCCACACATTCTCCACCATGAGTGCCCAGCCGTCACAACAGCCGGTGCACTACAACGCCCAGCGCGAGGGCGACGTCGAGTTCGCCAGCAGCAGCGATGACCACTCTGAGGGCGCGTCCAGCAGCACGACCGAGAAGCGCGGTATCGTCTCCGCGAACAACATCATCTCCGTCATCACGCGCAAGGACATCCAGATCGCCTATGTTGCGTGAGTTGCCCTTGCATCGACCGCCACTGACTCTTCAGGTACTTTGTCATGTCGCTTGCGGAGACGTTCGCCCAGTACACCCAGTCCCCCTTCACCGCCTTCGCTACCTCGGCGTTCAAGAGCCACTCCCAGCTCGCGGCGGCTGGTATCATCTCCCGTGTCTTCTCGATTGCCACCTACACCGTCGTCCCCAAGATTCTCGACAACGTCGGCCGCATCTCGCCCACCGCGTTCCTCGTCTTTGTCGTGTTTCAGATCATTTCCGACGCCATGATGGCGGGCTGCAAGAACGTGCAGACGTACCTCGGCGCGCACACCTTCACGGGCATTTCGGGCACGGGCCAGGGTATCACGTCCCAGGTCTACTTCGGCTCTACCACCAACATTGTCGAGCGTGGATTCTACAACGTCGCGGCCGACTCGTTTTCCCACATCATCTCGATGTACTCTGGCGCTGAGATTGGTGGCCGCATCCTCGACGACTGGGGCAAGGAGTCTGGCTGGCGCTGGGGCTACGGTATGTGGTGCATTATCCAGTTCGTCATGAGCATCCCCTTCCTCGCTATCCTGTACTCCTGGACGATGCGCGTCCGCCGCACGCCCGGCATGGACCCTCTCCCCAAGCGTGGCTCGGTTCTCTACCAGCTCTTCTCCGAGTACGACGTTGTCGGCATGGTGCTCCTCGTCGGCGGTCTCTGCCTCATCCTAGTCCCGCTCACCCTCGCCAAGGGTGTCGCTTCCGAATGGGACGGAAGCAACATCGCAATGCTCTGTGTGGGATGTGTTCTCACGCTCTTCTTCGTCCTCTGGTCGCTCCCCAAGCGCTGGCGCCCCAAGTGGCTGTACAAGCCTTCGCAGCCCCTGATCGGCTGGTTCGCGCTCAAGAACCGCTCTCTTGTCGCCTTCATCATCATCAACGGATGTGACTTCATGTCCTACGCTATCATTCAGACCTACGCCCAATCCTACTTCCAGGTCGCCGCTGGTCTCTCCGCTGCCCGCGCGACGCAGGTTGACAACACCATCCGCATCACCTTCCAGGTCTTCGCGCTTGCCATCGGTATCATTATGCGCTACTGGACGTGGATCGCGCGCAAGCTCGGTTTCGGCCCTAACCGTCACTTCCACACCGCCTGGGCTATCTGGTTCGGTATCCCCGTCGGTCTGCTCTCGATGGGTCTCGACATCTACTTCTTCTCTCGTCCCCGCGCCTCGAACGCTATCGGTTGCTTCGTCGGTGCCAAGGTCATGTACGGATTTGCCCGTGCGATGTTCCAGACCTGCGGCCAGGTCCAGATCCAGGCGGCCGCGAAGCGCGAGAATCTCGGTGTCGCGACCGGTATCTTCTACATGGCCATGTCGCTTGGTGGTGCCATTGGTACGGCCGTCGCTGGCGCGATCTGGGCCAACGACCTTCCGGACCAGCTGCGCGCCAACCTGCCCGCGGCGTCGAAGGCGCTCGCGCCCAAGATCTTCGGCTCGATCAAAGTCGCCATGGAGTACAAGTACGGCACGGAGATTGGTGACTCGATCATCCAGTCTTACGCCAACACGATGCGCCTCCTCGCCATTGTCGCGACGTGCATCCAGGTGCCCATGTTCATTGCCATGTTCTTCATCCACGACATTGGGCTGACGGAGGACGAGCAGATTGTCGAGGCTGGACGCAGGATTGCGATGGCGAAGCGCAGCGAGAGGGAGGAGATCGAGAAGCTCGAGCGCGAGAAGGCCGACAAGCTCGACAAGGAGGATGCGTACGCCGCGACGCCCTCTGACACCGTTGACAACCTCAACGAGAAAAAGTAATTATACATCATCACTCTCTCTTGGTAACGAAATAGTACACACATCAGTACAGGGTATCATGACTCTCTAATTCTCAGATTATACTTCCGAAATGTGCATGTATAATCAAGTACTCAGCAAAAACATGAACTCGGTGGGATGGTACTTGTTGAGTGTGATGTGCACAGCATCGCGTTTCCAAAACCATTCCTTCCCACGGGTGTCACATGAGGTCACCATCATTCACGCTCGGAGATACATTAATGTCTCTGTCCCGTATCCAGCATCTTCCACGACCTCACCTACGTCCTACTTCCTTTCGTCTGCAACCAGATGGCAGATGGTGATGAGGTCCAGAGCAGATTCGGTGGAACCAAACATGGGACCCCGCAATCCTCAATGAACGTCGGAAGGACATCTGTGTGCTGAGACCCAACCCAAATGACAGGCTGAGGGCAGGCCGAGCAGTCTCTACGGACTACAGTTGCACTCGCACTCACCAAGCACGCACGTTTGCGAGTGGTGGCTTTGCAAGGCAGTGTACGCTGGCGTCGGATCTCGCTCAGACGCAAGTGTGATGAGACAAGGGTGGCCCCTGCGCTGTCGGGTCGTGTGAGCTGCACACTCTTTGAAGGCGCAGGAGCTCCCGACAACAGTGCTTCAGTAGTTATTCAGGAAAACGCACGTTTCTACTCGGTGTCTCCACCCAGCCGAGCTGCAGCTGCATCAAGCGATAGTACCAGCCCACTTTCGCCCTCGCTTCGAAGTCGACCTGTCTCACTATGAGCAGCAATGTCGGTGCGGTGCAGATCTACGTGTCGGTCTCCGAGAACCCGGTCACCTCAATTGCCTCAAGACCTGTCCCATGCTCGGATCATATCGTAGACGCCACCAGCAACCCGAGACCAAAAGGTATTAAACCTTGCCAACAGTGGTCATTCCTCTCCAGCTCACAGTCGCCACCGCCATGCGCAACACAACCTCTGTCAACCTCTATCTTCAACGCGAGGAGAAGATCATCAACGATCGATATGCAGAGCAGCTGCGCCAACTTCAGAAGGCACATGCTTGGCATTACACCACCTGGCCTTTGTATCTCGAGTTGCGGGGCAAGCTGGAGGAGAAGCGGGATGCGGACATTTGCCGCTTGCATGACCAGGAAATGAGTTGGTGCCACCCTCGGCAGGGCTGACAGCGCAGACGGTGACATCACCAGTGTGATCCGCACGATCGGCGCCGGCAACACTCCCAACACTCGCCACGACGGCGGTAATGGCCACAGAGGCGGAGGCGGCGGCGATGGGAGTCCCTTCGGCATCAGGAGCGGCAGAGATCGGGGAGACGCAAGTGGAGGTGGAGGCAGAAGCAGCAGCACCCCTTTCCCCACCAACGGGGCAGCTCGTACGAGCGAGAACCACTCTCCGGCTCCCGGCCGCCCGCGCACGCCCAGACGCAGCCTCGCTTACGGTGTGCGCTTCAGCCTACCCCCCGATGCCAAGGTCGAGGACACCGACTGTTCCGGTCCGCCCAGCCCCATCGTTCCCACACAGCTGCAGACCTCGACCCCCACTGGCATCCAGCGCTCCGAACCAACAAGGCGCACGGAGCCGTCTAAGAGTCTCGAGAAGTTGAAGGAGACTCAGACACTCACTCGCTCCCCGCCCCCGCCGCGCGTCCGAACCCGAAATGTCCGACTCCTCTACTGACGTCTTTTATTCCGCCACTGAAATCTGCCACGCGGTCGAGAAACCCTCGAAACGGGAAACACCCGCCCGCCGGACGACCGTTGCAGCGGGTGCGAGAGATGATGCCTCGCTCGTCTCCGTGCCCCTCTCAGACCTGGACGACACCTCCTCGTTCTGTTCCTCCTGGGCCACTTCCGTCGCCAGCGCATGCAGCGACGACTCGCACAGCAGCGGCAGCACCGTTATGCTGCAGCCCCCCATCCGCCCTTCTTCACCTACACATTCCGTCGCCGGCTCCATCGTCTCCATCCTGCCCCTGCAGAGCGAGAGCCACACCTCTCCCTTCGCCTATGCCGCGGGACGCCGCACCGTGCTCTTCGAAGAGATGCTGCTGCACGCCCAATCTTGCGTCAAGAATCGGCAGGTGCAGGCCCAGCTTGAGGTTTGCAAAGTCAAGTTTGCTTATTACAATGGGTGCAAGGAGAGAGGGAGGATGACGGCAGAGCGCATCGTGGCGGGGCGGGAGAAATATTTCGACAAAGTGAGGTCGCTGGCGCGGAGGGAGGGAGGGCCCGAGCTGCAGAGACACCTCGACGGACTGGTGGAGCAGTTCGCGAGCGTTAACTTGTAAGCTGATGTAGACGCGGTGTTCGGTATAACCATAGAGAGTTCTCGCTGTCGATCATGTATATATCGCAAATGATGATGCTCATTCCGGATAATTGCGGTTGGGGCGTGCCGCAGGTGCCTAGAACCATAGATGGAATCCCTGATTCGCATCGCTCGCGATTAGAGAGTCGGGGATCGCATAAGCAGTCCCCCGTGAAACAACTTTCCAGACCAGGTCCCAGCTGTGTTCAAGAGGCAGAGCGCGTTGGCGACAGAAGAGGATGATCAGCAGTTGTAGGCCGGGCTGTCAACATCGCCGACTCGCCGGGGGTTACAGTTTCAGGTTTCATACTATTCCTGCCCTGAACCTGGGTAGCGACAACGGTATCGTGGCTTATCGTTAATTTGCCTGGCCTGTAAGTCGTAAGCAGACCACCTCTGTAGAGGCACTTCGATGTACACAGATGGAACGTGCTACTCGTCAAACCTGAGGTCAGCTGATTCCGTACCGCATGGTGCGCAGGGTCATTGCTATGTAGTAGCAGAGACGATGTTGGAACACCGATACGCTTCTTAGCGAAGCGTTGGCGCATCGGAAGTGCTTGTTTGTCGTGCTACCAACCAGTTAAGCTCAGTTCTCACCCAATTCGAGGCCGTGACCACGGGCACAACCGATTGTTCCCCCCCGTGGCCCCGGCCAGCCGAAGGACGCTCGTCGCTTTCGCCCCGGTCTCCTCCCCCATTGGGGGCTTATCTCTTGTCCAGCTCCTCCATCTCTATTCACAACAGCTGAGAATCATCAACCATGCCAGGGAAGTTGGCTCGGTGCTGATGGACTGAGCTCACGATGAACTAGAGGAAGGAATATGAGGGTGCTCGGAGCGGAGTACATGTTTAGTAATATTTTCTGAATGATACAGCAAGTTTGATGTCTTGCATCATGGCTGAAGAGGAAGAGGCAGGAAGATAGGCAACGCATGGGCCAAAATGGAGAGAAATTCGGTGAAAATTCGCCACAAAACAAGTCTTCCATGTCTGCCACACCCCCCTCCACATCCGCCTCCACTGGGCCTGCACTGGTCTAGGCGCGGCCACATCATCCTTGACAGAAGCGGGTCTCTCCGTTCCCAGCGGAGTCTGGGCAACAGCGACACTGCGAAACCCCCCTTGCGTCCCCACAACTTTCAGCGCTTCTCGACAAGACAGGGTTCACTAGGCCCCAGGCGCAGCTCCGTGCACGCCGAACTCGCCGATAAAATCCAGACTCGGAGTCCGAGGTGAGCTGGAATCTGGAATGACCGCCAATCCTCATTCCACGGCAAGAAGCAATACGAGGAGACGTACTGCCACTTAAGGTTTGCTCGTTTGAGCTTGGAGCTTGTCATCTCGTGATCTTCGTTCATAGGAGGAGAATGGGTAGAGCCGGTGAGGTCCATTAAGATTGTCCGACGTCATTTATCTTCCGAGCGAGCCGAGTTGCGGGCAGGATGTGGCACTAGCAATAGTTACGGTTGGCACATAGCTGTCATCAGCATCGGCGGCCTCACCTGCTTTCTTGGGGTCGGGATATGCGACGCCGGGGTCAAATTGGTGGCTATGATGACGAGATGGAGCGAGCTCGGCGAGCGAAGGAGCAGTTAGAAAGACATAAAAGGCGGCCTCCAAATGCCTCTATAAACTCACCGCCTCTCCTCAATCACACCACACAACAGCCAGCCAGAAACCACAGCCATGTCCTACACCCGCTTGAACAAAGATGACGCCGCCGTGCTCCTCATAGACATCCAAGTGGGCCTCAACTCCCTCGTGCGCGACATAGATCCCGACAAGTTCCGCACCAACGTGCTCGCCCTCTCCGACCTGGCCGCGTACTTTTCCCTCCCCACCATCCTGACTACATCGTTTGAGGACGGGCCCAACGGCCCCATCGTCCCTCAGCTCAAACAGCAGCACCCAAACGCGCCCTACATCCCTCGTCCGGGTCAGATCAATGCCTGGGACGACGCCGACTTCGTCGCCGCCGTGATGGCGACGGGCAAGAAACAGCTTATCATCGCCGGCGTCGTGACTGAGGTCTGTGTCGCTTTCCCCACCCTCAGCGCCCTGAAGGAGGGATACGAGGTTTACGTCGTGACAGACGCGAGCGGGACGTTTAACGCTCTCACGCGCGATGCGGCGTGGAGCCGCATGAATGCGGCCGGGGCCCAGCTCATGAGCTGGTTTGCTGTTGCTAGCGAATTGGCGAGGGATTGGCGGAACGATGTACAGGGGTTCGGGGCGTTGTTGCAGAGACATATCCCCGACTATGCGGACCTTGTGACCGGGTACGACGCCGCGAAGAAGGCGGGCGAGGACGAGGAGAAGAACTCCAAGTAACCAAGCTGCGCCAAGTAGCCTTCTCAGTAAATCGCAGTGAGATGCAAGAGCAGTGCGGAATGCGATGCACATACATACCCCAACTCCAAGGACGTAATAAGGAAGGCGCGTAAATGGATAGTTTTTGAGATTGGTTTCCTGATGACATGTGCGCACTCTTGCATCGGAAGTCGTGGACGTGGACTGATTGCCGACCGGAGACAGAATGGCCGACCCCGAACCACCACACTCGTCAAAGGTGGGCATGATGGAAGTGTTCCGGAGGAGGGCCGACATGTCGGATGGGCGGAGGGTGTAAGCGGTGGTGGAGGCCGCTCATGGCGCTAGTGGAGGTCGGGCCGGAAGTGAGTGGGAGATGCCGAAGGAAGACGTGGAAGGCTGCAGCATGTGGACGATGTGGAATCGCTGTGTTCATAATTGGCTGAGTGCGGTAATGTGATCGAAGCAAGTCAGGCTGACTTCTCTGCTGTGAGTTGCTGCATGGGGAAGGCTTCGGATATGCCGCAGGCTTCCTGTGATGAGTGAGCAGCACGCTGGAACAGATCACAACTCGTGATCAAGCCTCGTTTTGAGTTCAATCTGAATAGAGTTCTGATAGAGTACTCGAGACTACGCTGTCGATGGCAATTCCTTCGTAGACATGCTAAGGGATGACTGACTGTTGATGATGAGGAAGACAAGGAATGATGTCCATTGCCGCAAGGGGATCTGGTAGTTGCGGCAATGGTGGATGGTTACGTAACCCTTATGATCGAGGAGGAAGGGCGGGATTTGGCTCCGTGCATTGGAAATGGGAGTATCACACAATCGGAAGAGGGCCGTGCAGTAGTGTGGCTTGGGCAACGGTCTCGGCAGCCCGGGCCCCGCTGGGCTGTGGGATGTTTGGTTCCGCGATGCACGGATCACCATTTCCACGTTGCTCGAGCTGTGGCCTATCACGGCGGACGGAGCCGGCGAGTGACACAGCCTATCGCATCGCCGGTCGCAGTCGTCACACCGCCCGCTGCTAGTCTACCTAGTCTACGGCTGTCGCGTCCGACGTGGCCACGCAGGGAAGACACCCGTTGGCTCCCTGTGGCTCCGCGCCCCCCCCCGCGCTGGGCTCGCTGGGCTCGCTGGGCGCCTCAGGCGACAGGCTCCAAAGCTGCAAAGCCGAGTCTCGCCTATGCAGGGAACGAGGTGTCTGCGTGTGCGTGTGCTGTGGCCGCCGACTGCTCTCTCCGTTGGGCACACGTCGGACGACCGAGCAGCGGAACCATTCCTAGCCTGCATTCACACTGGCACACCCTCCCTCCCCACAGCATCCAGTCCGCCCGCCCAGAGATAAAAAGATCCATCCCCACCACCTCTTCTCCCACCACACACACACACACACTCACACTCACCACCCAAGTTATCCCACCCAGCGCACACCACCTGCGCACCACTGTATTCTTCGTCCCCACACGAAGTTTATGTTCTCGAACTCCCTCTGCAGCGCCCACAACTCTCACCGGTGAGCTAGCCTGTCCTGTGTCCGCAGCTAACATCCAGCGGTATCAAGCACACTACCGCGGCCGGACTTCTAAAGTACTAAGTTCAACATGTCTCCCACGGCTCTCAACAACTCCAACGGTCACCATGACTCGTTCACCCTGCCTCCCAACGCGGAGCGCAAGGTCCACCCCTCGGCCGCTCGTGCTCCCGCCGACCTGATCAAGGTCGAGTCGGACTCTACCGAGTACACTCCCGAGGGTATCAAGTCCAAGTTCACCGACCGCGGCGCCGAGGTCGTCAAGGACAAGGACGGCAAGTACACTGTCAAGAAGACGGAGAACACGTTCGAGTTCTTCACCAAGACCAAGGTCGGCCGCGTCGGTCTCATGCTCGTCGGTATCGGCGGCAACAACGGTACCACTGTTGTCGCTACCAACCTCGCCAACAAGCACGGCATCTCGTGGCACACCAAGGACGGCGAGCAGCAGCCCAACTACATTGGCTCGCTCGTCCGCGCCTCGACCGTCCAGCTCGGTGTTGACCCCGAGACCGGCAAGTCGATCTACGTCCCCATCTCGGACATGCTCCCCATGGTTCACCCCAACGACTTTGTCATCACCGGTTGGGACATTTCGTCCATGCCCCTCGACCAGGCCATGGCCCGCGGCAAGGTGCTCGAGTACGACCTGCAGCGCCAGCTCGCCCCTTACATGAAGGACATGAAGCCCCTCCCCTCAATCTACTACCCGGACTTCATTGCCGCCAACCAGTCTGACCGTGCGGACAACCTGATCCCCGGCAACGACAAGCAGGCGCACCTCGAGCAGATCCGCAAGGACATTCGCGAGTTCAAGCAGAACGAGAACCTCGACAACGTCATTGTTCTCTGGACCGCCAACACTGAGCGTTACGCCGACATCATCCCCGGTGTCAACGACACTGCCGAGAACCTGCTGAACGCGATCAAGTCCTCGCACGAGGAGGTTTCTCCCTCGACCATCTTTGCTGTCGCGTCCATGCTCGAGGGTGCTCCCTTCATCAACGGCTCGCCCCAGAACACCTTTGTTCCTGGTGCCATTGAGCTCGCCGAGCAGAAGAAGGCCTTCATCGGCGGTGACGACTTCAAGTCTGGCCAGACCAAGGTTAAGTCGGTTGTTGCCGAGTTCCTCGTCAACGCCGGTATCAAGCCCCTCTCGATCTCGTCGTACAACCACCTCGGTAACAATGACGGCAAGAACCTGTCGTCTGCGCGCCAGTTCCGCTCCAAGGAGATCTCCAAGTCGTCGGTCGTCGACGACATGGTCGCGGCCAACCCGGTCCTGTACGACCACACTGCGACCAAGGAGAAGCCCAAGGGCGAGCACCCCGACCACATTGTCGTGATCAAGTACGTTCCCGCCGTTGGCGACTCGAAGCGCGCCATCGACGAGTACTACTCTGAGCTCCTCATGGGTGGCCGCAACGTCATGAACATCTTCAACGAGTGCGAGGACTCTCTGCTCGCCACGCCCCTCATCTTTGACCTGGCCATCCTCGCCGACCTCCTGACCCGTGTCAGCTACCGCGAGGTGCCCAAGAACGGTGAGGCCGGCGAGTTCCAGCCCCTGTACTCTGTCCTCTCGCTGCTCAGCTACATGCTCAAGGCGCCCCTCGTCAAGCCCGGCACCGACGTCGTCAACTCGCTCAACCGCCAGCGCAACGGCCTCGAGCAGTTCCTCAAGGCCTGCCTCGGTCTCGAGAACAACGGCGACCTCCTCCTCAACACCCGTGTCTGGTGAGCTGGGTCGTGGGCCCCAGCAGTAATTCACCGTGTGCTTAGACCGGGTTAGAGTGTGGGATGGAAGCTAACCGTTCTCAAGCGCCCAAAGGCCAAACTGTTTCGTAGTTGAGAATAAGAATGATCGAATGTAATGATAACCCCAGAAGGCGAGCGGCGAAGCCGCGAGCAGATGCACTGTGCGGAGAGGGCGGTATGGTCAGACCGTAAGCTGAAAGATGAAATAGCAAGGTGCAGTAACTGGTGACGATTGTGGCAGTAGAGATTTGGTTGCAGGTACCCCGGTGCCAGAAGTGGAGAGCGGTAGAGTCGAGCCGACGGCAGTGCAGGCAGTGGGAGAGGCAGACATGTGGGGATCTGGCCATCTCACTCAGCTGCGCCCCGGTGTTGCGCCCTTCGCGCCCTCGTGCCCTTCGTGCCCTCGCTTTCTCGTACTAGCGCCCTCTCTTCGCACGAACAGACACCTCCACGGCCTCCACGTTCGTCTCACATTGATGGATCAACCCTCCATTCTCTCATTCTCTCATTCTCTTATCCTCACATCCTTTCATCCCCTCATCAACCCTTTTTGGATATTGTCTCGTGGCTCTTCTCGACAAGGATGGGAGAGGAGGGGGAAGAGGTAAGAGCGGGGTGTGAGTTGTCCTCCAGCTAGACTTGAACTGATATCAGCGCCACTCTGAGGACGAGGGTGAGCTGGAGTTGTGCGCCTCCGCCGTTCTAGCTGACGATCAGGGTGAGCTGCACCCTCTGGAATCATATAGCTGACGCTCAGTCCGGATGTGCTACAGCGCGGAGGAAGCGAAGCTGACGGACAGGAGACAGGTGAGCTCAAGAACCTGGGGTGGTGTAGCTGACATCCAGCCACGGGGTGAGCTGGAAAGATGCGCCGTACTAGCTGACGGTCAGAATGTAAAGCTGAGTAAATCCTGGGCAAAGCTGACCACTCAGTCCTTGTGAGCTTCTGCAAGCACTTTTCTAGCTGATGGACAGGGTGAGGCTGCGTTCCATGCTTGGGTATAGCTGACTCTCAGCCACGGGTGAGCTGTGGGATGCACGGTTCTAGCTGACGGTCACAGTGTAAGCTGTGGTAATCTTGGACGTAGCTGACCGCTCAGCAATGTGAGCTCAAGGGAACCGGACTCAGAGCTGATGGACAGGGTGAGCTAAATCTGCCGGACCGTATAGCTAACTCTCAGCTATTGGGTGAGCTGTCGGTTGCAGTGCACTAGCTGACGGTCACAGTGTAAGCTTTCCTGCCAACAGTGCACAGCTGACCACTCAGCACTGTGAGCTTGAGCGTAGGAGATGCTGAGCTGACGGACGGGGTGAGCTTAGGTAGCGTGCATCAGCTGACAGGCAGGACTAGGTGAGCTTACGGATGAAGGAGCAGAGCTGACGACCAGGAAGACTGTAAGCTGGCGCGCGGCGTTAATGAGCTAACGTGGAGCGGCTATGCAGGTGTGCAAGTGGGCAGGTGGGCAGGACTCGGTGAGCTCGACGACGACTATACTGGTCCAAGCTGACAACTAAGGCGGTGAGCTCGCGATGTCTTTCTTTTGCCTAGCTGACAAACAGGCAAGAGTATGTCGGTGGGGGTAGGGTCAGAGACTCGGTGAGCTCAAACACTCGGTTGGTCATAGCTGACGAGCAGGGTCTGTAAGCTAGCTCTCCCCGTGCCTTAGCTGATAATCAGGCGGACAGAGTGTCTGTGGCCAGTGAGCAGCTTTGTTGCGGTTCCGCCAAAAAGCTGACGACCAGAATGATACGCTGAGACCTTGGTTCGCCCAGCTGACAGTCAGACCGGGGAATGTCTGCATGCCCTGTGGCTCAGGTATGGTGAGCTCAGAAGGCTGAGGAGCTGTAGCTAACGTACAGGGTCCGTAAGCCACGGCCCTTGCGAAGTTAGCTGACGATCAGTCGAGGAGGATGTCTGGCCAGCTAGTACGCAGCTTCCCCATGGGTCTCGTAAAAGCTGACAAGCAGGATAGTGAGCTGTGGTGGGTATCTGACGATCAGAGGGAGAAGGCCCGGCTGGCCAGTGGTCGGAGTATGGTGAGCTGTATGGCCTTTGCCACCGTAGCTAATGGGCAGTGTAAGCTCTCACCGTGCCCTTGTGGAGCTGAAGGTCCAGTGCAGAGGATGGCAGTGTAAGCTGGGGGGTCTCCTAGGGATAGCTGACGACCAGAATTGGCGAGCTTGAAGCTTGCAGACGGAATAACTGACGTGCAGGTATGTTAATCGTCCGGATCGCTAGCTAAAGTCCAAGACCTTGTGAGCTGTGTTGGTTGAAGCGAGATCAGCTGATGACCAGACTTCTTCTTGTGGTGTTAGCTCGAGACTTCCAGCCACGATTGGCTACAGCTGAGTGTTCTTGTTGAAAGACAACGAACTGCGATCGTGAGCTGGCATAGAGACCTCTTCAGCTGATGTACAGGTATGCTGCTACGGCGTTTGAGAAGAGCTGACAATCAAGATGTTGTGAGCTAGCTCATCATCTGGGCTGAAGAGCTGACGACCAGGACTTAGTGAGCTTCTCCTTATCGTCTCGAAGCTGACGACCAAGGTTTGTAGTGAGCTATGCTGACGCTACCCAGAGCTATCTGATGCTGCCGAGCTGATGAGACAGAATGGTGAGCTCGGTCGTCAGTTACGGATAGCTAAAGGGCAGGTTACACTCGGTTTGCTCAATGCCTACAGCTGTTGAGTAGAATGTCGTGAGCTCCCTGCCCCCTGTCCACGAAGCTGACGACCAGAACTGTGAGCTCGAGAGGTCATCACCTTAAGCTCATGATCAGTTTAGCTTGAGCGTTTGTCGAGGCTGGGGGACTATCCGGTGAGCTGGTTGTGTGTAGAGAAAGCTGACGGGAAGAAGAATGCACCGGCAATTACTGGGCTTCGAAAGTTGCGTGTGCTGGGCTGCTGAACTGATCGACCAGGGTATCTACTGAGCTGACGAGCAGGTGAGCTTTGAGACTCCCTTGCATAGCTGACATCTACAAGGTTGTAAGCTGGCGTGTCTTGGGCAAAACAGCTGACGTCCAGGAGCCCGCTAGGTCAGGTAGCTTAGCTAACTTAGCTCCGGTGAAGATCGGGTGTTGCAGTTCTTAGGCGGGCTCGGTGAGCTGTTGTTGTTGTTGATGGAGGCTAAGCTGACTATCAGACTGGTTGTTGTGAGCTGTGATGGAGGAAGAAGTCTAGCTGACTTCAGCTTCGGGCTCATCGCACCTTCAGAAACTGCTGTTGTTCACGCACACCGCCAAATTGGCTTCGTGAGATGCGTTGAGCTGACTCCAAAGTCCTGAGAAGGCGACGCAAGATTGTGAGTGCGGTGCACTCCGAGGGATGCCACGAAGCTGTCCCTACAGCAGCGTGAGCTTTGGGCTGGCGGTAAGGCGAAGCTGATCCCAGCCTGCCCTTCAAGTGTCTCGTCCTTGGCAGTGTCGGCGCTGTAAGCTTCTGAAAGCTCAGACGGTCAAGCTGATACCAGATACCAGAGCACCTTCGACTACAAACGAGAGCGTAAGCTGGAATCGCGCCTCGATTAGCTAACACCAGTCGTGTGTGGTGTGAGCTAAAAGGGCCCAAGCGGACAAAGCTGATCACCAGTCGATACCCGACCCAAAGACACTGTTACCGTATGCTCGGGTTCGGTCCGAAACGAAGCTGACCTCAGAAAGGCGAGCACTGGGTCTTTTCAGTCGGATCGTCGGGTGACAAAGTGGTCTCTCACTTGGAGGTTATGACCCGTGGAAGGTGAGCTTCAGCTCTATCTCCTAAAGCTGATCCCAGTCGGTTCCCCAAACAGTCTTTCAGCCAGAGGCCTAACCGGTTCCCAGCGTTCCCAAAACTGTTCCGTCGTGCAGGGTAAGCTACTACCGCCGGAGTTGAAGCTGATCGCAGGAAACACCAGTCCACAGGCGTGGCGTAAGCTGTCCTATGTCTGCGCAGCTCGAGCTGACCCCAGGGTTGTGAGCTGCCAGGACTCTACCCAGCTGATGCCAGCATGCCCTCGCCCACAAGCCGGGACCATGGTATGCTACCTGCCTGCCGGAGAACGAAGCTGACTCCAGCGACTAGTTCCGTGAGCTAGCTCTCGCTTTCATCTAAGCTCATCCCAGCCCGAGACAGCAAGGGTATGATGCGAGCTGCCGCGGGTTCTTCTAGCTGACACCAGCGACGTAAGCTTCCTCTATCGCTCTCACAAGACTAAGCTCACCCGCCTCAGTCAAGTTCACGGTCAGCACGTAAGCTGATGTGCTAAGACCGAGCCGACCACCAACAACTGGCGGCCATCGTGTGGTAAAGTGAGCTTCCACATTGTCATCTCCTAAGCTGATACCAGTCAGCCTATGTGAGATTCACACAGTAAGCTGGTCTTTGGCAATGTTGAGCTGACCCCAGCCACCGGCGTGAGCTAGCTCTTCCTCACTGAAGCTGATTCCAGCCCACCTTTTCAAGAACTGCGACTTGTGCTGTCTGCTCCGGAGGACGAGCTGTGATCAAGTACCAGCCAAGTGAGCTAGCCATGCCTCTCGTCAGCTGATACCAGTCCACTCGAACCCCGAGCAGCCCCGCTTGCCTGACATGGCTGGGGCAGATGCTAATCTCCCGCGCCCACGTCGTGAGCTTGTCTCGTACTTCGAAGCTGATTCCAGTATACTCTCGGTCGCCCTGGCGTCAGTGAAGAAAGTACGCTGAACTGGAGTGTCACTGTAGCTGATCCCAGCATACGTTATGCCACATACTGAAGCCTCAGTGGCGGTGAGCTCTCTTCCGAGCTGAACCAGCTGACTATCCAGTTCTTATGCGTAACGATCAGAGTGCAGCGGTCCTGTGACAAGATAGAAGTTACATTGTTGCTGAATCGCAGTGTTCAGTAGGCCTATATGTCTAGATGAAACTATTCTTTTTGGTCTCCCTTCCTTCAAGAGAGACGCCGCCTTGCGCCGCTCGCTGCTAAGCGTCTAGTACACCTCGAGGACGTAGCGCTCGTCCTCCTTCATGTCCTCGATGTACTGCTCCGCCTTCTCGCGCGAGAGGCCGCCCTCCTCGACGAGCGCGCTGACGAGCGCCTCGTAAACGTCGGGCACGGGCCAGGTCGGTCCACAGAGGTAGAAGTATGCGTTCTGCTCGAGGAGGAGCTTGGCGAGCATCTTCTTGTCCTCGTTCATCTTCATCTGGATGTAGATCTTCTCCTTCTGGTCGCGCGAGAACGCAAGACCGGCACGGGAGATGACGCCCGCAGCGACAAAGGCCTCAATCTCCTCGCCGTACAGGTACTCCTGGGAGCGGTGGCGGGAACCAAAGTAGTACAGGCACTCTCCCGGGGTCTCGCCCTGCGAACGCTGGAGGGCGCGGTACTGCAGCATGGCCTTGTGCGGGGCGGCACCGGTGCCGAGACCGGCCATGATGATGGGGTGGGCGTCGTTGGGCGGCAGCTTCATGACGGACGGCTTGATGGAGACGGTCACCTTGTCGCCCTTCTTGAGGCCGGCAGTGTAGCGCGTGCACTGGCCGTAGCGCGTGCGGCCGGTGCTGTCGACCCAGTCGACGGTGACGATGAGGAGCTCGACCTTGTCGCCGACCGCGGCCTGGGCGGACGCAATCGAGTAGTGGCGCGGCTTGATCTCGGGCACGAGCTGGACGAGCTGCTCGATGCTCGGGTGCGCCGAGGGGAAACGCTTGAGAATGTCGGCAAAGTTGACCGTCTCGTTCTCGCCTAGCTTGGCGAAGAGCTCGGCGCCCTCGGGCACAGAGATGAACTTGAGCGTCATCGCGTCCTCGCGCTTGGTCGCCAGCTTGGCCAGGTCGGCGTAGAACGACTTGCCAGGCTGGCCGAACAGGTCCAGGTTCTGCTGCAGGAGCTGGAAGACCGAGCGCGTCGCGACAGTGCCGTTCTCGAGCGGAACGGAGACGACGTCGTCGCCGTTCAGGCCGTACCAGTCGATGAACTCCTGAACCTCGGTAGCATCGTTCCAGCCGTGAATGCCGATGGCCTCGCCGACGGCGTACTTGAGGCCAGTGTTGGCCGTGTCGAGCTCGAGGTGGAAGACGTTGCGGTCGTACGACTCGGGCGTCAGGCGGCGGTTCTCAGACACAGTGACGATGAAGGTCTCCTCGGGCAGCTCGGGCGCGAGCGCGTCAATCTCGGCGACACCGTCCACGACCTTGGCGCCGTCGACCGCGTACGCCTCGCGGAACAGGATGTGGCGAACAGCCAGGTCCTGGTGCGAGAGGGCGGGCTTGGACGAGCCAGAGAGGGGCTCGTACGCGAGGGCGTCCCAGGAGAACGAGTCCTTGACCTTGCCGACAGCCTCGGGGTCGACGTCCCAACCACGAATGTTGGCAGCGGGGATCTCGGAGAGCGCAGCCTGCGCCTCCTCGACGGCATCGCGGCCGAGCTGGCCGTTGTGGTACGTGTCGAGGACGCGCCAGATGCCCTTGGGCAGCTTCTGCGAGCCGGTGTAGAGGAGAAGGAACGCGACCTGCTCGGCGATGGGGGCGGTGGGAGCAGCCTCGTCGAGGTCAAGCAGGAAGACGCGGATGTTCTTGTCCTGAATCGTCTTGATCTCGGCGGCCGAGAGCTTGGACGGAACGTCGGCCTCGGACCAGGGCAGCTCGAGGACGAGCGTAGCGCCCTCCTTGGCGGTGGCAAGGACGTTGGTGTGCTTCAGCACGCCAAAGTCGGAGACCCAGACGACGTCGGAGGCAAGGTCAGGCGTGACGACGGTGCGCGTCTCGCCAAGCGCAACAACGCTCTTCTGGCCCTTGACCGAGACCGAGTTGTAGGTAGCGTACGAGGTCTTGAGCGAGGGCGAAGAGAGGAAGAGGTTGGCGACAAGGGGAGCGACGGGGGCATCGGGAGCGGTGAAGAAGGTGATCACCTTGGCGTCCGTCTCGAGCTTGGCGGCGGGGGTGACCTGGGTGGTGACGTTGAAGCCGGCGCTGGAGCCAGGGGCGGCGTACAGGGTAGCGAGGAGGACGGCCTTGAGGGCCTCGGCGTCGGCGCGCGAGGGGCCAGTGACGACGAGCTTCTTGCCGGCGACGGCAGCGGCGAGCTTGGAAGGCTCGGGCTGGAGCGTGTTGAGAACGAGCTTGTCGCCCTTGAGGACGTCGGCGGCATGCGAAGCGACAGCAACGTAGAGAGCGTTGGAGTCACCCTCGACCTCGAACTCCTCGAACGGCGCGGTCGCAAACTTGTAGGCGGTCGTCTCGCGGCCGGCGTAGGTCGACTCGATGACGTTGACGACCTTGCCGGACTGCGCGTAGAGGGCGGTCGGGTCGTTGGCAAAGGTGACACGCCACTCCTCAGGCAGCTGGGTCAGCGCCTTGATCACACCGGGAACGGCGAGGGCGTCTCCGAGCTCGAGGTCGGCTCCGGGCTCAGTCGCGGCGATGTGGATAATGACATCGCCCTCGATCTGAGCAAGCTGGGGAGCGAGGTACGGCAGCGTCGAGGCCGAGGCGAAGACGGAGATCTTGCCCTGGGCCTTCTTGGCGTAGCCGGCGAGCTCCTGTCCGGCACCCTCGCGCGACTGGACGGTGTAGACGGCAGTCTTGCCCTCAAACTCGGGGAGTCGAGTGCCGAAGCCGATAGCGAGGGCGTCGTCGTATACCCAGACGGCGGAGGACTTCTGGAAAGCAATGACCTCGGTGATCTCGAGGGCGGAGGCATAGACGAGGGCTCCGGGGCGGGTAGAGGGGACGACGGACTGGGCGGAGACGAGCGAGTCAATGTATCCCGGCTGACCCGGGTAGAGGGTCTTGTCGCCGTTCTCCGAAACTGCGGTGGAGGTTGCCGAGTACGGGGTCGCGGTGCCGTTGGTGGCCGCGGCGACCTTCTTGAGGTCGACGGGGGAGACGGCCGGGGCGGGGGCGGGGGAGGACACAGCGACGGGGGCCATTGTGAGCGTCGTGTGAGGAGGAGGAGGAGGAGGGAGTAAAGGGTGGTCGCAAGGAAGAGAAGATGCGATGGTCGGGTATATGAACTGGGGGTGGTGGTGTTTTCGAGCTCACGCCATAGATCGCCACTGGAGTTCCAAAAAACCCACGTGGTCACACATCGGCGCCCCATAGTGGAGGATGAGTGACAAGCACGCAATGTAGTCTCGTGCCTGGATCCTGTCCGAATCTTTTTTCCACTCTCCGTCTTATCGCCCACCTCCTTGACAAAGGATATCGTCTGCTGGCTGTCGTGATGGTGGCGGGGAGAAATCTTCGGACGAGATCGAGATCTTGAGGTGGAGCGAAAAGCTTACGAAACTATTCCGTCCCGAGACCCATTAATCACCATGACGCGACCCGGCGCGTCGTGTAGATAACGCTCACTTCGGAATCCCACCAGATACAGATCAGTTACTCACCCCCTCTTTAATTCCCACTACTCTGATAATGCCTCTTTTTTTTCTCGGTCGATCATTCCTCCCTTTCTGTCTGGCCATCTGCACAAGACGCCATCGAGACGTCGTTCCCGCACTGCTCCGAATCACAGCCTGCATTCGTCGTGCTCTGCGTTCACCCGATGCTTATTCGTCGAGCGGGCTCGGTCAATTAACGTGGCCCTCACGCGAGCAGGTACTCCGACTCGGAGCCCCAGCACTCCCTCTTGCGGGTATGCAGGCCCCATGCACGGCTTCTTCGCTGGGTACAGGGAGGGCACGAGGACATAGCGCAGTGGCGCCGCCGCTGCCGCCGGGCGTCGTGCGGGCGTCTCGGCCCGCACAACCTCGTGCTCGCGACAACCCCAGGCCTGGCGGAAGAACAATAAGACCTGCTGTCGACACGCCTCATTTTCCTCCTTCGTCTCACGCGTGGTACTGTGGAACGCGTCGGAGAAGACAGGTGTCTGAAAGAGAGCAAACATAACTGACAGGTTTACTCATTCCAGCTAACTGAGCGGCCATGCTCGGCGCTCGTCGCAGTCGCGACTCGCGACATCGAGACAGCTGACGAGTTCACCCGCGCTCGTCGTGTTGTCCGGTGTGCCCGAGACTCCAAACGCGCTCAACACTGTTGTCCAACTACCAACGCTCCTTTCAGTCGCTCTTTCCGCTCGTCCCTCCTTACCGTCACTCCTTCGGCTTTCAGCACGGTCTGCGTTACACCTACAGCGACGCCGACATTCCCTCTGCTCCTGAGCTCACATCAGCCCAGCCCCGACCTCTGCCCGACGTTGACTCGAGCGTCAGTGACCCACGGGCAGCGATACTCACCCACGCCCAGTCGAGCAGTCCGACACTCCGACTTCAAGTTTCTCGGGCCATCCATTTCGTCGTCCCGTCCATTGTGTCTTCATTCTCGCTCCGACTATTCTCTATCTCCGACCTTCTTGAAGATGACCGAAGCAAACAGGCCCGACAAGCTCGACCCCGGTGCCATCCCCGCCGTTGCCGTGCCGAGCCCGGTTCCCTCCCCGACCGCATCCTCCATCACTCTGCCACTCTCCGCTAACCCTCCTGCTCCTACCTCAAACGGCGCCGTCCGTACGACGTGCGCGGCCCCTACGAACGGCACGACCCCTGCAAACGGCTCGAACAGCGCCGCCCAGGCCAATGCCCAAGTCAATGGTGTGGCGCTCAACGACGTCCAAGGCTTGGTCAACAGTGGTGTATCCAGCGGCCTAGCCAGCGTCGACAGTCTCCTGATTCTGTCGAAATTTGACGAACTCATCTCCGAGATTCGGGGTCTGCGCGACGAAATCAAGGAGTTCAAGGGCCAGCAGGCTGCCGCGTCTGCTGCGTCTGCTGCGTCTGCTGCGTCTGCCGCTGCTGAGGCGGCCAAGGATGCTGGTGTCCGAAAGGTATGTTGCGGTCCAGTACGCTTCTGTAGAGAGAGAACAGCGGCACGCTGACTGCAGGAAACCGCCGACGAGCGCGAGATCCGATACACGCGTGCGCGTTTCCTGTGGAACAATTCCGACCGGCTCCTACTGCAAAAGACCTGCGTCCCCTTTTCCGTGCACTTTGCCCGATTCGAAGAAGTGCGCATCTTGGTGGGCGAGCTGGAGCCTCACCCACACGATGTGGCGGGCGGGGCGCGGCTCGCGCTCAAGTTGCACGCGACGCTGCACCCGGACATGAAGGCAAGACTGCAGCGGCCGAGCAAGATGGGATACCGCCAGTTTGTGGAGCAGTGTCGGCACTGCGACATGAATGTGCATCATGAGCAGCTGGCCAAGCGAGTTAAAGGGCCGACGTATCTCGAGGAGGTCATGCGGATGTGCGAGTGACTCGCGCCCCGTGCTGAGGCTGAGGCTGAGGAAGCTGTGGTGGAGAGTCGGCCGAGGTTGAGGAGACTGGCGCGCTCGTTCTCGCGACTCCGAAAGGAGTAGGCGCACGCCGCGCACGCCGCATCTCATGGTCTGGACTTGTTCCTACTTTTGTTTTTCCTCGTCCGCCTCGGGTGCCGCCTCGATTAGCTCCAGATCATTCTGCGCACCCCGTTTTCATCCACAACTTCGGCCACCCTCTGTCGTTTTATGTCCTTACGCCTTCCATACAGACCCTCTTACGTCTGTACGTCTTTGCTGCTGCTGTCCGTCGCAGCCCCACTTCCTCTGTAGATACCCAGCCCAAAATACCCCACTCACGGTTCTCTTCGCTCCTCTTCTTATCACGTAGTCCCCCATAGTCCCACGTATTCCCACGTATTCCCACGTACGCCCACGCCCAACCACGTTCTCCGCATCGCTCGCTCCCCAATTTGCCGCCCGCGCGGGAGTCAGGCGCCTCAAGCGCTCCGACGCCCTCGCCGGCAGCAATGTCGATGTCATGATCCTATGCATGTAAATGTTAAGTGGTGATAAGCGCCCTAAAGTGCAGGTTACAGGTCCGAGTTCTCGATCTCGATAGACGGGCCCTGCGTCGTCTCGAGTCGGATACGGGCGATCGAGGCTGGGTTGTTAGCTTGACACGGGGAGAATCCAAGCTTGGAGGAGCGGGACCTGCTGAGCGGTCGACAGTGCAGGACGATCGCACCCGGCGACTTTCACGCCGGGAGCAGTGGTCTCTATCTCACGCCACCCAGAGGGCTTTGGTCTCAGAACTTCGGCAGCGTCATCGCAACGGGCGCCGCGACTCGACAGCGCGCCGCCTCTACCCATGCTCCGCGGCATCTCGCTTCGCTCGCTGCCGCCGCGCGTACTCACAGTTCGTCTTCTTCCTGCTCGTCATGTCGATGATCTCTCCCTGTCCGAGGGTGGCCTTCTCGACGGTCTTGACAAAGGCGCGAATGTTCTCCTCGATGGCGTCGTTGGTCCATCCCATCTTGGCGACGCCGAAGCGGATGATGCCGAGGTCGTTGGCAGCCCAGTCAATCCTGCTTCCCGAGTCACCAATGAGGTCGACGAGCTTGCGTCCCTCTCCGACCGTTCCCCTCTTCACGGTCGGCATGATACCCTTCGGACCGAGGAAACGCGCAAGGTTGGCAGTGACGGTGGGGAGCATGCCCGGGGTCGAGAAGACGCGGGTCGGCTTCAGCTTGCCCGTCAGAATTGGCTCGCACAGCTCCTGCTGTCCGACAATGACGCCCGGGACCTCCTTGGCCAGACGCTCCGAGAGACTGTCCGACTCTGCGAACACCACGAGGACCTCCTCGCGCACACCCTTCCGCGGGTCGAGGGGAAGGACGACCTGTCCGCGCAGGTGGTGGCCCTGCTTGGGGACCTTGGTGATGAGCTCGAGGTCGAAGCGGGACGTCGGGGCGCCAATCTCGAGAGCGCGCAGGACGCGGACGGCCTCCTTGAGCTTGAACTTCTCCTTGGCCGGCCAGGGGGTGAACTGGACCTTGAGGACGTCCTTCTTCTTGCCGGCGGAGGAGGAGGCGGAGAAGGCGCGCGCAAGAGCCGGGCCGTGTGCCCGCGGCACTGTTCGGAGTGGTGTCGAGAGCATGGTGGGTTGGGGTGTGATGGAGGTATGCACTCGGCTCCTCGCTCTCTGATGCACTCGCTCGACTTTCAACAAGCCCGACTTTTGCTTTCCGGGTCATCTCCGGCGGATGCTTTTCCACGTGGTGCGCCGAGGGTCGACGATCGCGTCCTTTATTCCAGCCACCCATTTGAGAGATCCCGCCCTGCCCGCCTGATTTCCTGTTTCGGTGCAGCTGCGCGACGTCACAAGCAACCTCATGTAAACAAACCTTGAATCCACCGCTTGTTGTTTTCTTTTCGTCAACTTCACTCCGCGACCATGGACTCCGCCGCAACCTTTGGACGCGGACATAGGAAATCCCAGTCCACATCAGACGTCGGCAAACATAGAACACCATCCAAGTTACGCCGATCCACACAAGCGAGGGAGACCAGGGATGAGCCGCCAGCCAGTGTCGAGGCCGCCCTCGAGGATGTAAGCTGATTCTCCGTCTGCACTGGCTGACATCAGTTGCGGAGCTTGCGGAGCTCTGGAAGACGGCGGCAGCGTGCTCTCAAGGTCGTCGAAAAGGCGCTGAGCACGGCGTGCATCACGAACGATCTGAAGGACTTTGTGTCGCACAAGGGTGAGTTTCAGCCTGCGTGACATGATCGTCTCTGGCTCAGCTAACGCCAGTACACATCCCGTTGCTCAACGTGCTTGGACGCCACACGGCGTCGCTTGCGAAACGTGCATCGACGTCGTCACTGCCACCCGGAGACGAACTGGCTCGGCATCTCATCCCAGAGATCGACATCATCCTGTCCGTGCTGCAGGGCCTGTCTCTGCTGAGCAAGTCTTGCAAGGCTGCAGTCGGTGAGAAGTGGGCGCTCGAAATGTTCCTCGACCTTCTGTTACTTCTACGCATCCAAACTGAGCCGACGGTTTATGCCGTGCTCGACCTTCTGTTCTGCGTGCTCGTCGATTCGCCAGCGCACGCGAGGATGTTCGAGCAGCTCTCCGGTCTCGAGGCGGTCACCCGCGTGCTCCGCGGAACAGGCGTCGCAAAGGAGGTTCAGTGAGTCATCATCCGGACAGGCTGGTTTCGTGCAACTTCTCAGCTGACAGACAGAATGAAGTGCTGCGAGTTCCTCTATTTCTACCTCTTGCCCGAGAACGCGACCGAGCTGCCCGACATGGCTGGCGCGACCGTACCTGCCGCCGAAGCCTCGACGATCAAACACAACCGGAGTGAGTCTCGAATCGGCGCCGACGACATTTCACGCCCCGGCTCACCCGACCTCGGGCTGCCGTTCGTGCCGCAGACCCCGCGCAAGCCGACCAAGCCCAGCCTTGGGTTCGCCACGCCCTCTGCAAACCGCACAGGTACCGCGCGCAAGGTGTCGCCAACGCCGAGCCTGGGATCGGTCAACGAGGACGCGCAGCTGGTTTCGGACAGCGATATGCGGCGGCGGGACAGCAATGTCTTCGACGTGGGGCGGAGGAACAGCTCTCGCGCGAGAGACGACCGAAGGGACAGCGTCGTGTACATGGGCGAGTCGCGATCGAGCTCTGGATCCAGCTCTGGGTCTAGCATCACCGTCGTGCCCGGCCGCAGGACGGCGCAGAGGAGCTCGACGGATCTGCCAACACTGGCAGAGGACGGTGAGCGCCGACCAACACACCAGCGCGCCCAGTCTGCCGCCGCCATCCCGTCCACCCCTCGTGTCCGGTCCAAAGGCTTCCCGGCGGAAATCACGCGCGGCCGGCCGACGAGCGCCGCTACGCCCTCGAGTTCTAGCGCGACACCGTCCCCGGCCCTGTCGCGACCATCGAGCGTGATCGATCTGACGCGGGACGTCTCGCGTCTGAGCCTGGACCAGTCACGGCACAGCGTAGACCTGTCAAGGCAGAGTGTCGATCTCTCCCGCGCCAGTGCGACGCCCGTCTCGCGTCCCACCTCGGCTGCCCCCTCGCCCGCCCCCACACCAGTCAGACCAGCCCTCGGCAATGCGCGCCGCGTGCCGAGCCAGAAACGCGTGCAGAGGTCTGTCGAGGAGAAGAAGGAGCTGCTCGGGCAGTGGCTCGGAAATGTCGACCAGCTCGTCCAGGGCGTGGAGAAGGTGGGCATGTGGCGCGGCCATGGCGGTCGCGAGCGAGGCGAGCGGGCGTGAGCGGGCGTAGGCGCGCAGTGACGAGCGCCCGCCGCGAAGCGACATGTCCGCTCTCCCCTCCACTCTTCACAACATCAAGTAACACCAACAACACATTCAACATTTAGCAATCTTTAGTCTTTTTCCGTCTTCACAATCATACTTCCCATTGTTTCCAACACTTTCAACTCCACACGTCCACTTCACGCCCCGCCTTCATCTGCACATTTGGTCTATCCCGTACTGTTTAAAAATGTATATCATCACGTCCCATTCTATCCTTCTATTGACTCCAGAACTCGGCCCTCTCCCATCCCCTCAGCGGCTTGGCCTTGACTCTCCCCCGCTTGCCAACCTTCTCTCCCTCCTGATCTCTGGGGACAAGGTACCAGATCTCCTCCACGCCCTGGGCGACGAGATACTCCCTCAACCGACCGTAGTTTAGCCCGACGTAGGACACGCCGTGGCTGTCATCGCTGAGGCATACCCGGCCGCCCTTGGACAGGATGAGCTGGAGCACGTCTGGCGCGGGATACGAGCTGTTCCAGCCTTTCCGGAACGCGGCCGCGTTGGCCTCGAACAGTGCGCCATAGCTGATTGCCGCGTCGACATTGCGCTCCACCTTCTCCCACACCGCGGCACTGGACTTGAGGCTGATCTGCGGCGTGAAGAGCATGCACAGGTCGAAATGGCCAATGACCTCTGGCTCCTGGGCGATGATCATCTCGAACTGCGCGTCGAGGTATCGCGCCACGAAATCCTCAATGTCCGCCATTGTTTCCGGCTCCTTGATTTCGTTGACGGGTGGGGCCATGACGAGCTCCCCCTCAGCGTTTCGCACCATGGTGGGCGTAGGTGACGCGCAGTCGGCGACGGCGCGCAGATAGTTTGGCCGGTCGAAATCGATACTGACCCCCGAGACGTGGTGCACGCTGCCTACCACGTAGTCGATCTCCTCGTGCTGTGACAAAAGCGTGGTGAGTTCGGACATGTCGAGGGGCGAGATGAAGTCCGTCTCGATCCCGACTAGCAGCGTGATTCTGTCTGCGTATTTTGCCTTCAGGCGGAGCGCCTCTGTGAGGAAGTCGAGATAGATCCGCGACAGGTCCGTGGGCGTGAGGTCAGACTAGGGGTTAGCTTAGCCAAGCAGTTTTGAGAGCAGATGGAATGGCCCATAATGATAAAGAGGAGAACCGGGCTTATGGCGCTCTTCCGACTCACCTCCTCGGGGAACAGGTCTTGTTCCCTATACCTCGGAGCATGCTCGCTCAGCCCAAAGGTGGTGAAACCTTGTCGGACAGCCTCCTTCACGACATCTTCGAGATTGTCCTTCGCGTGTCGACAGAATTGCCCAGAATGGGAGTGGTGCGAGTGCATCCTGGTTGGTGTTTTCGCGAGGGTAGTGAGCGGGAGTCGTGTTGAGGGAAGGGAGGCGGAGTCACGACGGTCCGAGTGCAATGGCTGCAGAGACAGTCGGGGAAAAACAGATAGCGATGACTGGGGCTGTAAGGTCAGCTTCTCTACCCGGCAAGGCAGCTGCACTCACTGTGTCCGCTATACTTTGGACTGTACTTGACAGGATCAATGTTGTTGAGTGACCGAGTCGAAATCTGGTGGTTGCCGGTGGAGGTAGAAACGGACATGTCCCCCGCACTCCGCTCGAAGTGCGGAATTTTGCCACCTGACGTCCACCCATGCCACCCAGCCTGTCCACCGCCTGCCAACCCATCCTCAACCATCCTTCCCTCACCATCTCTCCTCTTGCACCCACATCCACCAACAATGAGCAGCACCGACACCCCCATGGATGGCGACAAGGTTGTTCTCTCTGTCGCCTCGAGCCACAACGGCCGCGTGAACGGCAAGCACTGGAAGGCCGGCAAGGGCGCGACGAAGCGGACGACTATGCCCAAGGGCCAGCGCACGCCGTATGAGCGCAGGATGGAGAAGGAGAAGGAGCGCAAGGCCATCAAGCAGGTCGAGCAGGAGATGAAGGACGAGGCGAGGGAGGAGAGGGAGAGGTGAGTGCAGCGTCAGGCGCGAGGCCGCAGGCCGAGCGCCGGTCGCGGTTTGACGAGCTGCGCGAGCAGCGTGCAGGGGCCTTGGCTCTACTCTGTAGGCTCTGCTGTCTCCTTGCAAGGGTTATCAAGATGCGTTCTCTCGGCCTGCGTGGCAGAATCTTGCACACCTGTGGATCGGTATTAGTCTCTCGAAGCGCACAAGCTCATCGCCACTGATGGAAAGCTAACGTCCAGGCGAGCCAACATTATCCGGGAACGCCGCGCGAAGCAGGAGGAGAAGGCGCGCCTCGAGGCCATGGCCGAGAAGATGAGCGTGAAGAAGATGCAGCGGATGAAGAAGGTGAGTAGTATTTACGCACGCGACGGCGAAGCCGGAGCGTGCCGGAGCGTGCCGGGCGTGCCGGGCGTGCCAGAGTGTGTTGGGGCGAGGTGCAACCGCACATTGGAGCCCGGTAGTGATCAGGCTGTTGAGAGGGGAGGGCTGTTATTCCCCCCAATCCCTCTCCAACACAGGCAGTCAGCACGCCTACTCCTCCCGGCCCACTCTGGGCATTATCCCCAGCTCCCATTATTGTCGACAGAGCTGACATTCCAGCGCCAGGGCCGCACGAAGAAGATCAACGGCTAAGCCGTCCGCAATCGACTCTCTCAGCGCGGCCAGCAATAGCGCGGCGGGCTATCGCCCACCGCTTAGATGTACTCGTATGGTGTATGTATTATGCATGTGTCATGGCTAGGCAGTGGCCGCCAGATGGGGGTGGGGTATGGTACAACTGAGTATGCGGCGCCAGTCCGCTTGTATGTGTGTGTGTGTGTTTGTACAACAAAGACTGTTTTTACTCCCTCTGCTCGTCTTCCCGCTTCTCCTCTGTCGCTGTGAATGTGAACACGGGCGCTCCATTCGTCCTCGCCCGCGGTGTCGTCGGACTGCCCGGCGAAGGGGTGGCGATGTCGTCCGTATCGCTCTCGCTCTCCTCGCTTATGACCCCGTCACTGGAACTTGACGGCGTGACGGGGCGGTCCTCGGGCTCAATCGTGTCCGTGACTTTGTAGCGGTGCGCAAACACCTCGTCGCCGTTGACCATGTCGCTCTCCTCTACGCGACGTACTGCGACCTCGTCATCCGTCACTATGCCCGCTTCCGTGTTCCGCTTCAGCACACGGGCACGCACGACGTCCCGGGGCACTTCGACCCAGACCCGCAGGTCCATCTTGTCGGCACACTCCCTCCATCCCGGCCTGTCGAGCATGGTGTACAGGCCCTCGACGATCACGATCCGGTGCTGCGGCAGGATGGGCGTATCGCTCGGCGCGGGGTCCTTGGCGGCATGGTCGAAGGTGGGGAACCCGATCGCCTCTGCGTTGTCGACGGGTTTACGCAGGGCAGAAACGAAGGCAGAGTACGCCTCCAGGTCGAAAGTGAAGGCGGCGCCGCGGCGCCAGTGCGCCATCTCCGGATCGGGGAAGCGGTCCAGCTCTGCGCGCGTGTGGTGCCAGCCGTCGAGGCCGACGCAGATTGCCACCTCGTCGTCGGTCGAGAAGGCCGAGGAGGCCGAGGAACTCCGTCGTGTCCTCGGAAGGCGGGATGCACGCGGTGGACGGGCTGCGACGGCCGTCGACTCGTTCAGGATCGCACGGTGGCGCGGCGGATGGCCTAGGAGGAGCTCGTTCACGCGGTCAGCTAACGGGTAGGCTAGTGTGGATTTGCCACTGCCGGGGCGGCTGGGGTTAGCTGCATGACGAGTATGGGCAGGAGACAGTTGGCTGATGGTCGGAGGAGGATGGGTGGAGGCCATCAAAGGAGGCTTAGGGACAGACACATCGGGCTTATCGGGGCTCGGAGTGGAGGGCGGAGGAACAGCGCCTGATGGCTCCGAGGGCCGACTGCGGGGTGCGAGAGCACTCGACTCGACGTGGTGGACATCCACACCCCCCTGCTCGATGGTAGTGATGGTGATGACGAGCAGAGATGGCTGATGGGAACCTGCGACGCGTCCATAGATGGTCGCGCGACCCGTGACTCACCCAGCGACGGCGACGAGCAGTCTTTGGTCTGGTGGAAGACTGTTATCATCAGCTATGTCCCTCGTCCGAGCGGCTCACTGTTCATAAGCGTCGACGATGCGATGCGCGAGGGTCTCTATGCCCTTGTCCATGATGGAGGGTGTTGTGGAGTGGAGAGAGTGAGATGGCAAGCACAAGGATGTCAAGCGAGAGGCTGGCGGGGCTGACAACAAACCCACTTGGAATGGCAAGAAGCCGAACTTTGGAGCCAGCGCCAGGCAGTGGACCGGCACAACCGGCACCAGATCCCGGGCGGAGGCGTGATCCGCGCGTGCCACCCAGAGCAACCAGAGCGACCTCCACTCACGCGGACCGGCAGATCCGACCACCCCCTTATGACGCACGGCCCCCCCTCGACGTCTCGACTCCAGCCGCCGCGCGTCTCTCGCTAATTAACGCATCCACTAAAAACGACACTACGGCTAACGAGGAACGGGGAACATGGCACTACGGGTCACGCACCTTCACGCCGCGCATGCCGGATGAGCACATGCACCACTCCCCGTGCGACATGTGGGATGCATCTTTGCCCGACTTGTCCATATCCAGCATACCGGGCCGGAATACCGGTGCAGGAAGAACTCGAAGCACAACCAAAGAAGCATATACATCAACAAGGAGAGATAGCGGCGCCCCCCCTCCGGCCCCGCCGCCCCGCTCACCGTCAGCCGCCCTCTCCCCATAGCCCCTCTCCGCTCCGAGTCTCACGATTCCATTCCTCCGACGAAAACAAGAGTAGATAAGAACAAGACCGAACACTGCCGAGACATTGTGCGTCACCCGCCCCCGAATGCTGCATCGTCTCACAATGCGGCGGCGACCGATACGGGCTCGCCTATCGACGCCTCTGCCGCATTGTTGCCACCCGTAACTCTGAGGTCAGCTGAATGGGGACGTTGACCAGCATACCACTGCAACGTGAACTTCTTGAAACTGAAATCAGCTCCACGAGTCACCCTCCCCAGCTCACCCCAACATCAATACCGGCTTCTCACCCCACACTGGAGTCAGCTGAATGGCTGTGTCCCTACAGCTCACGTTGGGGACTTCGCTTGATGCCCCCAGCGATCAGAGCTGGAATCAGCTGGTCTCCGCGTAAAACAGCTTACCCTTACGACCTCACCTTTTGAGACCCAGTCATGGCATGGAATCAGCTGCGCAGATGACATGTTAGCTCACGATCACAACACCACTGAGTACGAACTGAGGTCAGCTCGTGGAACGGAATCGACAGCTCACCATACTTGCAGCTGGTGAGCTGGCTGGCGATAGGAGCAGCTCACGAGGCTGCTATCAGCTATCAACCGCGGCCAATTAGCTCACCGCAGAACACAGAGAAGGGGGAGAAGCGCATGGGGGCCTGGGGGATCAGCTCTTGCCGGCTTGTGGCCGCCACAAAGCTCACCAGAGGGACATTGGCATCTGCGACGATAGGCCGTGGGTTCTGAGGATCAGCTTCAACTGGCACTTCGCTGCAGCTCAGATTCGAACCCGCTCTGACCATCCTTGCGAGCGTGGACAGGACGTAGGGAGCTCATAACTGGGGTCAGCTAATCCCATCCACGACCGTAGCTTACCACTGCTGGCTGGAAGGGCTCGAAGCTATCGGACCGATCCAGCTTTGTTCCGAAACTCGGCGCCGGATGACATCCGAGGATCTGCGCGTCAGCTCAGGGCAAAAGAGTGGTAGCTCACAGGTTTGCGTCTCGACATGTCGGCGTTCTGATAAGTCAGCTCTCGGGGGCACTCTAGCTTACATCGCGACTGTCACCTACTATATCTGCGAGCCCCAGGCTGGGGTCAGCTTATGCAAGGGTTCGCGACAGCGTACTTGACTGGAGAGTCAGCTCGCCAATCCCAGTACAGCTCACAGGAGTCGCGCCTCTGTCCAGTCCAGCGTCTCAGCCGGCGATGGTGCTGGTATCAGCTCGGCAAACTTTCCAAGAGCTTACGTCTATGCCCAAGTCAGCTGTCGACTGGAGGAGCAGCATACGTGCAGACTGCTGTCAGCTGGCAGTTGTCGCATTTGTAGCTTACTCGGGCTCACGTCGCTCCGAGTGACATCTGGGATCAGCTTGCAGCATATAGCCGAGGCTCACCCCCGTCCTCGGAAGCGGCTGGTCATTAGCTTGCGTACAACTTGAAGCTCACCGTACCCGGCTGGTGTCAGCTTTGTAATAGCTAGTTCACGAATCCCTGCCCGGCTGGCTGGATGTCAGCTTGTCACAAGAACATGAGGGTGAGCTCACGAATAGGACTGCGTCTCATCAGACTACGTGAGCGTAGCATACTAAAGAAACCTGTGGTTAGCTCTATTCTGTTTCGAGGAATGCAGCTCACTACTGCAATGTCAATCGCAGACCTGCCGATCAGCTCGACATCCAGGGAAGGGTAGCTCACAAAGGGCTGGAGTAAGCTCGCGTTCGTGCTCATAGCTCACCGACTGCCTCTGGAGGGCTATTCGTCAGCTTGGCATCTCGCAACGTACCTCACGGGACGATCTGGAGTTAGCTACGGCAGACTCACAATCAGCTTACAAATGACATTGGACGGTCGGGATATCTTTGGTTTCAGCTCGACCTGGTGTTGGGGAGCTAACGCGAAGAACGACTGTGAGGTCTCAGGTTGGCTGTGTACGACAGCCGAGCACCTTACCGCGCTCATCCCAAGGTGGTAGATTTGCGTAGATCCGCGCGTGGTCCTGTCGCAGAAGTCTTGCGATGCCTGTGCCCCGACTTGCCGCCAGGGAACCTCAGCTGCCGACATTCAAAGTGCCGCCGCCGTGTCACTCCTAACTCGACTGCGGTGAGCTTTATGCTGGGGCACGTAAAGCTCACGACCCCGTCTTTCGTGCTCCTCCTCTCGGTAGTTGATCGCTGGTGGTCGGCAGTGTTACAGCTTACGGCCCTGCATGTCGCGCGACCTGAGTTAAGCTGATAGCCTGGCAGAGGTAGCTTACGAGACTGAAACAAGCTACCTACACGACGGAGTTAACACAACCCATGAGGCAGTCCCGAGTTGCAGCAGCGATCTGGGACTACCTGACCAGAGACGCACAGCTCACCTAGTGCTGTCGACTTCGTGCGGGGTATGGGTTCTGGGGAATCAGCTTACTACTGCGTGGCGACAAAGCTCACGGCGTTGATCTACTCTGATCGTCAGCTGCCGGGACTTCTACGCAGCTCACGAAGGCTGGTTTCAGCTACATCAACGACCTACTCAAGCTTACTCGATCTGGGCCGTTAGCTTCCATGACAACGTAGATGCTTACCGCTCTGACCTGCAGGTGGACTTGACACTGGCGTTCAGCTACGAGGAAACAGGCTCACCGAGCTGACCTGGGGGACTTCGATCCTCAGCACCAGGCTCTGGAAGTCAGCTTGACATAAGGCAGCCGTTAGCTACCCATTGTACGACGAGGGTGTCTGGTATGAGCTACATCCACTCAGCCTCCAGCTCACTGCGAAGCTGAGGTTAGCTACCGTTGTCACACGAAGCCGCCAGCTCACAGGGACTGGAACGAGAGGCGAAGATGGCCTGGGGTCAGCTGATAGTCGAAGACAGAGGTAGAGGAGCTCACGTGGAGAATCCCCGTAGTGCAAAGGGCGGCTGCGGGTAGGCGGTATGGTACTGCCGAGACGAAGCTTGGCTTGGTCACTGGAGGCTGATTTCTTGCAATCAGCTGTCTAAGTAACGCGGCTGTCATCAACTAGCCGGCTTCAATCAGCTTACTCATGACTACCACCGGCCAGAACACTACATTCCATGAACTGGCGACTTGGCTGGGCGGTCAGCTATGCGCCTGGTTGCCAGCTTACTCAGAATGCAGCTGGTCGCCACGCTGACACCCTGACGTCAGCTGCATGGACGCAGCGACAATAGCTCACCGACAGAATTACCAGCGCCGAGAGGAGACTGGGTAGTCAACTTCGAAAACCGTGTGTAGCTCACGATTCAGCACGCCGCAGCGGCCAACATGAGCTTATGGTCTTGTCTCCTGACACGACCGTACCGTGTGCTGGACTGCGTGTCAGCTTGGGTAGTACTCCATCAGCATCTCAGTTCAATAGAAGCTTGGAGGCTCGGTCTGAGACGTGGGCGGGCACTCACTGCTCCGAGATTTGACATCAGCCGCCGACGCGTAACTACACGGAGGAACACAAGCTCACGATTCGCGCTTCAAGTTCTGAATTCAGCTCGCCTAATGATTGACTTAGCTCACCATCGTAAGACATAGAGAGTACGCAGGCAAGGTGTCAATGAATAGTTCTGAACCACAAGGGGTTGATGGGGCGCTTTATCTGCTGTCACCTACCACTAAGGATCGTGACAGCGTACCCATACCACCGAGAAGAGCTGGCGATCTGCCCGCGGTGTCCATATGACACCTATCGTTCTCACTTCCGTCGTGGCTGGGATCAGCTGAACCATCAACAGTCTCTAGCTCACTTCTGTCCGGAGCGAGAACTGTCAGAAGTCAGCTTCGCGTCGTCGAGGGCACAGCATACAGCTGCAGATCGGGGCCGTTCTGTAATCAGCTAGCAGTTGAGAGCCGCACAGCCCACCTGTGATGACTGGCTGTAAGTCAGCTTGCAGAACGGCCCTAGATAGCTCACAGTCTCCTGGCTCAGCCGCTGCTAGAGCAGCCATCGACAGGCTTTAGAGTTTATCATCTGGAGGCAGTTAGGCTGCATATGGCGGCTGCTGGCCGGCCTGAGCCTTGCCAGTCTGGTGTCAGCTTGCAACATGGAACCGCAGCCTACACGCAAGCACGATTGCCGCTCTGTGGCCAGCTGAAGGTCGGTGTGTGAGAGGAGGATCGATACAACTGTTGTCAGCTCCTTCGTAGCTCTTGTAGCTTACTGGGGGCAAGGCTCTGATGTCAGCTGTCCAGTTCCACCTGGAAGCAACTTGCCGGTTGAGCGGTTTATGCCTGAGAATGACCTGCCCCTATGAACTAACGCATGGCACCAGATGCGACGCGAACAGATACGAGGTGAGCTTCCGAACGGCGGCCGACAGCTTACCCCAAATACCGTAAAGAAGATCATATCAGGCGTGACTGGGGCCTGTCATCAGCTATTACGACAGTCAAAATCAGCTCACTAACTTCCGGCATGGTTTCAACACGGTGAGCTACAAGTCGGCAATCGCAAGCTCACGAGGTGGTACGCCTGGGCTGAAGATTAGCTGTGCAGCGGCAGTCCTTGCAGCTCACTGTTAGTCTTAACGGTGAGTAGGCGCCTATTTCGCTCTTCGGTGTCGTCTGAACAACAGTTCGAGGAGGAGTAGACTTGATGTCAGCTATCATATCTGGAGGCGGGAGCTCACCGCTGTGTCGCTAACAAGCACGGGTGAATCTGACGTCAGCTGTTGGGGAGACCTCTCAGCTACCATTCTGTCCCATTCGCAACGTCATGACTTGGGGCTGATGTCAGCTCTGGGTTGCGACTCAGAAAGCTCACCATGACCGCAGCTTTCTGCGTCTGCTGGTATCAGCTAACATTGCGGACAATCAGCTCACTACAGGAGACGGACTGATGGGATGGTCCCTGGAAAGGATGGACTGGGGGCTGATGTCAGCTGGGGACGCACCGCGCATTGAAGCCTACCCCGCCCTGCACTCAGCGCCAACCCGTTTGAAACTGTGGTCCGTCGGTGTTACGTGGAATAGCGTTAAACTGCAGTTAGCTTTGCGCAAGATATGGTTTCCAGCGTACGGCTTTTTGCTTGGTTTCCCCTCCCCGCAGGTGAGCGCGTATGGACAACCGATCGATCCCTGGGGAAACTCTGGCTCTTTCAGCTTACTCTTTTTTTAGAAAGCTCACAGCACAGTGCAGTAGGTAACGGGTCAAGAGCGTGTCCGTCTGTGTGTTAGCTAAGAGCTCCAAGCCTCGAAGCTAGACCACCTACCTGGCCACACGAGCGTTGACTGTGACTTTGAATTGCTGGTGCCGTGGTGCGCAGAGGCTGGCGTCAGCTTCAGAGTAGCGTTCAAAGCTCACTGCACTCCAGTGAGAAGTATGGATTGAACGGTGCAGAGGGATCAGCTGTGCCAACGAGGATTAGCTCACTTCACAAACATTGCTGCAACTGTCATCAGCTCTGCCACCGACACCAGCGAGCTTACGAGTCTGTTTCCGATGCTGAGATCAGCTAACAAACGAGCGCGACCGAGCTTACATGTTCCGCTTTCAGCAGACTGTCTACTGGTAGTTCTTGTTCCGCAGTGACTCGATTGCACGTAGTCTGTGGTTAGCTGTGGTGAAGCATTTTGAAGCATACCGGTAAGTCCCGTACGGCTCTTAGCTGCCAGTCAGCTAGAAGAAGTGGAACTCCAGCTCACCGCCAACACTGCATGTCAGCTTCCGCCTAGGCAACCCAGCTCACCGTCCCTGTCGCTCAGTCTGGGTCAGTGACAGCGTCCTGACCCGTCAGCTTTGGGGCAGTCAAGCAGCTCACAAAGTAGGGGCACTGGCGTCAGCTAACCAGGTCTATGACGAAGCTTACCTCCCGCCCCAAGTATGTGGGAACTGCAGATCAGCTAGGATCTCAGACTCCTAGCTCACCTCCAGTCCCTTTCGTCGAGGTCAGCCCCAGTTCTGCCTGTCAGCTTAGGCCAGTTTGCTGGCTTAGCTTACAGTTTTCTTGCACTGTCGTTAGCTATCCTCACAAGCATTGGAGTAGCTTTCGCTCAGGCCGCAGCAGAGGTGTATAGGGCGATTCCTGGTTCTGATTGTCAGCTATCGTGAACGGTTGACGTAGCTCACCGCCATCATGTCCGACTGTTGCTCTAGTCTGGAGTCTGGCATTAGCTTCGAGGTCCAAGGGGGAGCTTACATATCGACAATGCATGTTTCTGATCGTTAGCTTGTATCATGAACGCGTAGCTTCCTACCTTCTACCTGTCTGGTTCTGAGTGTCAGCTACGAAGGAATGTCCCTAGCAAAAGACGCACCAACGGCACTGGTGTCAGCTACTATAGGCCTGTCTAGCTCACATCTCTGCACAGTCAGCTTCTCAGAGGATATAGCTTACGATGTGCAGAGGCTGGACGTCAGCTTCGCCTTCCGTTGGGATAGCTCACCGCCACACCGCTGGGCGTCAGCTCCCTACACGGTGATGCGGCTCACTTCTGACCTGCCCGTCATCGATGTCACGGTTGAGACTCTGAACTCAGCTCTGTTTGGGACGATGGAAGCTCACCTACGCCTCACCACCTCGGTGTCGGCTCAACTCTGGCTGTCAGCTAGTGAAAACTCCCCGGCCAGCTCACTTGGGCCTCTGTACTTCGTGCTGTCATCAGCTGTCGTACCTTACTCGGAGCTCACGATCTGTTTGTCAATTCTTCCAGAGTTTGGCGAACTCACTCATCGCACGCCCTCCAGATCCCGCTGGAGCGCCGCAATCTCCTCCCTCAGTTTCCGCATCTGCGCCTCCATCTGCTCCCTGTCCGTGTCTTTCGCACCGCCACCCGATCCACCTTGCGCCCCTTTCCCTTCACCCACTCCACTCGCGTCAGTCGTTTCGTGTGTCTCAGCAGAGGCGGGCGGTGTAGCGGGGTAGTTGTACTCGTCAGGCGACGGAGACGGGGGCGGGAGGAACGCGGGCGCCTCGCACATCGCTGCTGGGATTGCTGCCTTCACGCTCGGTAGGGGCGGGAGCGGCGTGCGGGGGACGGTGCTGGGTGGGGAGAGGGATGGTTCGGGGAGGATGAGGATGGGCTCTGTCGGACTGAGAGAGGAGTTGCGGTTGGGCGGTGGTGGCGGCACAGGCGGAATGGAGGATAGAGCCGGAGGAGGAGGGAGGGGCGGGAGAGGAGGCAGCGGCTTGCTGTCGTCGGCGATGATGACGTTCTCGACCGCTTCGACGGTTTCAGCGACGCCATGCTCGCTCGTCGACCACTGGTCGGAGGGTGGGGGCTGGTTGTTGTCGCTCGACCAGGGCTCCGTTGCTTGTTGGGAAGGATGACTGGGAGCCGACATGATGATTGTGATGTGAAGAAGACAGGAGACGTGGAAGATGTGCATGAGGGATATGGCCGATGAGCTGCATGGTGCACACGGGGCGAGGTTGCAAGCTGAGGTGCGTCGCTTCGTGACGGTGAAGGAGACAGGGGACGACTGCGTGATCGCCCTCAGTGTGTGTGCATCGTGCCCTTGTGTGCCAAGTCTGTCTTCTCCTCCACACAGATCCCCTCACCTCATGCAAAAATGCAACAGTGCAGCAGGATAGTCTAATGAATAGTGGTGGTTGTGTCCGGATGCATGTCAGTCTATAATGTAACAACAAAGGTGTCGAGTTTGATGCTAGATAAGAAGAATGTTCTATTGTGGGATAGGTTTAGTAGCGGGGGCTACGGCTGCGGCGGGGTCCACGGTCATCGCGGTCGCCGCCGAACTCGCGGCGGGGTCCACGGTCGCCACGGTCGCCGAAACGGCTGTTGCGGTCGCCACGGTCACCGAAACGGTCGTTACGGTCTCCACGGTCGCGGCCACCCCGGCCCGCGTCCTCGCGCATGCCGAAGGATCCGCGGGATCCGCCACGCGATCCGCCGCGGTTTCCACGACTCTCGGCCTTCTTCCCGCCGAGGCCGAAGCGGGCCTTCATCTCGTGGGAGAGGTAGGGCGGCTGGGGAAGGCCCATGGCCTTGGTCGTCCAGTCATTGAGGCCCTCGTAGATACGCTCCGCGTTCGTCTTGCCAATGACGCCCGCCTTGGAGGCGTAGAAGCCCATAAGGGAGAAGTAAACCTCGCCGATGGCTCGCTCATCAAGCAGCTCGGGGAGGGCCTGCGTCGCCGCGTCGACCTTGGAGAGGAGCTTCTCGCCGGCCTCCTCGCCCATCTTGTCCCCGGCCACGACGGCCTCGGCCTGCTCGGTGTACGTCAGGGTCGTGAAGGGTACCTTGAGGCGCTCGAGGGCGTTGGTGAACCCGGCCTCGAAGGGAAGGAGGACCAGGTCGCCACGACCACCCTTGCTGCCGCCACGGCCAGTACGACCGACGCGGTGCACGTACTGGTCCTCGCTGGAGGGGACGCCGACCTGGATCACACGGGTGACGCCAGGGTAGTCGACACCACGGGCCGAGACGTCAGACGTGACGAGGACAGAGGGGTACTTCTCGTTCCTGAAGCGGTCGGCGGAACGCTCACGGCCGACCTGGGTGAGACGCGAGTGGATCTCGTGCACCTTGAAGCCACGAGGGAAGGCGTGGGCCTGGGAGATCTGCTTCAGCAGCGTCGAGAAGAGCATCGTCTGCTTGGTCGTGTTCAGGAAGACGATGACCTTGGACTTGGGGCCGTGCTCGAGCTGGTCCTGCAGCAGGAGGTGCGCGACGTGCTTGAGCTGGTCCTCGGGCTCGACAACGGAGACGTGCTGCGGGATGTGCGCATGCACGTTGCTCTCATTCTTGGGCACGCAGTCAATAAAGTCGTGGTTGTCCTTGAGGAAGTCGCGCGCAATGTCGCGCACCTCGCGGCTCACGGTTGCGGAGAAGAGGAACGTCTGGCGCTCGGTCTTGGGCGGCAGGTGGTCCACAATGAACTGGAGATCCTGGCTGAAGCCCATGTCGAGGAGCGTGTCGGCCTCGTCGAGGACGAGAATGTCGGTCGTGGCAACAACGTCGCGAACCTCGGGCTCGGCGAGCAGGTCGCGAAGACGTCCGGGGGTGGCAACAACAATGTCCTTGCGGCCGTTACGGATTGATCGCCAGCGCTTGAGCTGCTCGAAGCGTCCGCGTCCACCGACGAGGAGCTGAACCTGGCGGTCCTTGTTGTGCGTTTGGAGCTTCTCGGCCTCGTCGGCAATCTGCTGCGCGAGCTCACGGGTCGGCGAGATAATGAGAGCACCAAGTTGCTTCGTGCGCTCCTCGCGGCGGGCCAGGCCGGCGACAGCCTTGTCGCGAGGGTTAGTGGCCTCGACAGCCTTGTCGAGCTGAGCGTCGCGCGCACAGATGGCTGGGGAGAGGAACGCAATCGTCTTGCCCGTTCCAGTCTTGGCCTTGACGAGCAGGTCCTCGCGGTCTGTTGTTGCGAGCTCGGGAAGCTTGTTAAGCACGCGCTCCTGAACAGCCGTCATGTCGGTGAGGCGGAAGGGACGGCCAGTCAGTGCCTTGAGCAGATCGGGGTCGATCTTGTTCTTGAGCGATGCAAACTTGCGCGGGTCGTCCTCGGGGTTACCGGCAGCAGGCTGGACGGCGGGGCGGGTGTCGACCTTCTCGGCCTCGGCAGCAACCTCGGGGGTGAAGAAGTCGTCGGCGGCGAGCTGGCTCTCGCTGAGCTGAGCACGGCCAACGTTGGCGGCGGCGGCGGCAATCTTGCTCTGAGCCGCCTCCTGTCCAGCGGGCGTGCCAACAAAAGCGTCCTCCTCATCCTTGAGCTTTGGAAGAGCCGAGTACGCGCGCAGCGCCGCGGGGAGGCGGGGGACGACGATTGTCGTGCGGACGGCCGCCGCGGGGCGGGCGGCGATGCGAGTGCTCCTGAATAGTCTTGGGAGCATTTTTGGGTGAGAGGGATGGGTGTAGGAGTGATGCAGACTCGAAGCTACAAACCTGCCTCCCAAGTACGGCCTGTCGCTGTCGCAAGCATTCCGACCGGCCTGGAAAAATCGCGAGATCCCGGTGGAGGTTGCCTGGCGAGGGCGGCGGATTCACGTGACCCGCCACTCCGACGAGTTGGACTACCGTGGGAAACATTGATTCTGCCAGAGGCGAGCTCCGACGCCCTTTTTTGAAAACCTCGACCACCTTTTTATTCCACCGTGGGAAACATTGAAACTGCGTCCTGTGGATTTTTCAACCTTTGGTAACCTTTTTTTCAACCGTGGGAAACCAATGAATCACAAGTGGACCATCTGAGGGGCGCACCCCCAGGCACCGGTGCGCTCCGGGGCGTCCGGGCCGGGATCCGGACCGTCCACAAGGTGCTCACCCCCGCATGCCCCGCGATCACAGGTGATATAACCCACGTTCAACAGTCGCGTTGTGTGTCTTCCCTCACCATCTACGACAGCGTCATGACCGTCCCCAGCAGCAGCCAACTCAAGCCCATCGACGTCGGCCTCATGGGCACCGTGAGTCCCACTCTGCTGACCTGCACACGCACACACGCTGACATCCTCGCAGGGCGAGTACACCACCGGCATCACCCCCGGCGGCCAGTCGAAGAGCGACAAGAAGATTGGCGTCGTCGGCGTGACCATGTTCGACCTCCGCCGGCGCGGCAAGGTTGGCAGTGTCCTGATGGCGGGCACGAACGGATCCAAGTTCCCCCAGGTGCGCGAGCACTTTGCCCGCAACGTGGCTTCCGTGTACAAGGGTCTTGACTGCGACTTCCGCTCCTTCCCCGACGAGGGCAAGGTCGACGCCGAGGCGTACAAGTCTGCCATCAGCGAGCTCTCCCCCGGCTCAGCCGTTATCATCTTCACGCCCGACAGCACGCACTATGCGATCGCAAAGGAGGCGCTCGAGGCGGGCATGCACGTGCTCGTGACCAAGCCTGCCACTCAGAAACTGAGCGAGCACCAGGCCCTCGCCAAGCTGGCAGAGGAGAAGGGCCTGGTCTGCTTCGTCGAGCACCACAAGCGCTTCGACCCCGCGTATGCCGACGCACGCGCTCGTGCCAAGAATCTGGGTGACTTTGGATTCTTCAGCAGCTACATGTCGCAGCCCAAGCTGCAGCTCGAGACGTTCAAGGCTTGGGCTGGCATCGACTCGGACATCAGCTACTATCTCAACTCACACCACGTCGACATTCACTGCTGGATTGTGAATGGCCGTTTCCGCCCCGTCCGCGTGACGGCCAGCGCGGCCGCGGGCGTGGCCAAGGACATGGGCTGCGACCCCCGCACCGAGGACACAATCACGCTCCTCGTCGACTGGGTCAGCAACACGGACGAGAGCAAGCGCGGCACGGGCGTGTACACCGCATCCTGGGCCGCGCCCCTGAAAGCCGGCGTGCACAGCGAGCAGAGGTTCCACTACATGGCCTCAAAGGGCGAGGTGCGCGTCGACCAGGCGCACCGCGGCTACAGCGTCACGGAAGACGACACGGGCAAGGCCGACTACAACGTGAGCTACATGAAGTATTCGCCGGACGAGGACGGCTTCTTCGACTCGCAAAAGGGCTACGGCTACGTCTCGTTTGAAAAGTTTATCGACGCGTGTCGCCGCGTCAATGCCGGACAGGACAAGGCCGCCGATTTCGAGGGTAAAGGGCTGCCCACTATTCAGGACACGGTCGTCACGACGGCGATTCTGAATGCCGGCCGCATCTCGCTCGACGAGAAGCGTCCCGTCGAGATCGTGACCGGCAAGGATGGAGAGTTGCAGCTCAAGTGAGCGCTGTGAGCGAAACGTCTATAGGTTGAGCACCAGCTAAGTGAAGAAGCAAAATTAGGTTGTAATGCATACATTTTGTCTACCAGTGTCCATCCCACTTTTCCATTTCCTTTTCACACCTAAGCGTGCGCCTCCTCGAGGACAATGTCGTTGCCTCGGGGCGGATGCAGCGCCGCCTCCGGGGACTGCTGCCTCGAGATACTGACGCCGCCGGCATAGTGGGGCTTGGCCTTTTGCTTGGCGAGGCTGTCGTCCAGACTCTCCTTCTCGAGTTGTTTCCATCGCGGCATCGAGTCGGCATAAGCCTGACTGCCAGGACCGGGGGCAGCGACGGTGTGGCTGCCCGACGTGCCAGCCTTCTTCACGAATGCGTCGAAGCGAAGCGTGCACCCCTGTGTGCGCGCGTATCCCCACGCCGCCTTGGTGGCCACACCGACCGAGCACGCGTTCCAGTCTGCGTCCTTTGGGCTACCGTTTTCGAACGAGACACTCTTCGCGACGTCGCACCCGAGCGCGTCGGCCATGACGGCGAGGATGGAGGGGTTCTTCGCCGCGCCGCCCGTCGCGAAGACCTTTGTGAGTCGCCCGCCCGAGAGAATGTCCCCCGATCGCACGCTGTAGCCCGTCATCTGCGTCGAGAGGATGGCGAGCGCCTCGTCGTCCACATCCTCAAACTTCTCCACGCGCGTAGTAAGATCATACTTGTACACGCCCTTGGCGCCTGCGGGGATAATGTCGGGGAGGAGCCACCAGAATGCCGTCTTTGAGATCTTGTCCCCCGCCTGGCGGGGGCGGAGACGCTCCACTGCCGCGTTGAACTTGTCCCACGAGGAGGAGAAGTACTCGTTCCGCACATGTTCGCGGGCCAGCGAGCCGTTTTTGTACACGAGCATGTTGAAGTAGCGCGGCTGCTCGCCGGGTCCCAGCGCTGGGTCGAGGAACGCATGGAACTCCGGGTGAGGGTTGTAGCTCTCCGTGCTGACCAGCACGACATCGGACGTGCCGAGCGAGACCATACCCTCCCCCGCGCCCAGGTTGAGGGAGAGAAAGGTGGCGGGGTTGTCGCCGGTGCCGGGGAGAACGACACACTCGGAGTCAAAGCCGTACCGGTCCACGAACCAGCGGCCGATCGTGCCGATCACGGCCCCGCTGTCCTTCTCCACCGCGCCGAGCTTGCCCTCCAGCTGTCCGCTGGGGTCAACGACATCGAGCAGCTTCTTGCTCCACTTGCGCTCCTTGATGTCGTACAGGTTCATGCCGCACGCGTCCGACTCGTCGATCGGCTTCACATCCGACAAACACAGGAGAGTCGTGATGTAGCTCGACACGAGAGAAATACGCCCCGTCTCGGCGTATGCCATCGGCTCGCGCCGCACAAACTTCATGATCTGCGCACCAGTGAATCGTGTGTGGGCGCTCGAACCGGTGATCTGCGCCAGGGAGTCGGGACCGCCTGCCGCGACCGTGATCGCGCTGCATTCGGGGACGGTACTCGAGTCCTGCCAGTTGGGGATGATCTCGCGGCTGAACGCCGACTCGAGCTGGGACGCCAGGTCGGTGCCCGGGTCCGCGTTGCTCATGATCGAGCTCGCGTCACGCGACCAGTACACACTGGCGTGTTGCTGATGTCAACTCAATGTCGCGAATGTCTCAGCTTCCACTCGGGCCGATTGAACCGTGCCCAATCATACAGACTGGCTACGAGGGGTTACTCACCTGGCCTGCAGCCGAAATAGCACGGATACGCCCCACGGGCCAGGCGGCATCCTTCATGCGGTCGAGCAGCATGTCGAGCGCCTCGATCGGCTGCATGACGGGGGAGAAGACCTCGCCCTTGTCGCCCGTCAGGACGCCGCCGCGCGTGCCGAAGTGGGGGAGGTCGTCGTCGAAGCGGACCGTGAGCTCGGAGAGCACCCGGAGAGATTCATCGAGCAGCGACGCCTTCAGCGCCTGAGTGCTGCTGTCGAGACCGAGGAAGAGGGGTCCAGACCCCGGGATCGAGTCGGTCGTCATGGCGCTGGGGTGGGATGGGCAGTTGGTCGTGACAGAGGGGTGTGGAGGTGGGCGGAGTGAAATGGGTGTTGTGCTGGCGGCCAGAGAGGTCGAGAGTCGAGAAGAAAACGGATGGCTGGAGTTAAAGGCTGAAGTATGCGTAGCTGTCCAGAATCCGGTGGTGACAAAGAAATTCTCTGATGCTGCTGCGGATGGTTGCTGCGATGATTGAAAGCCGACGGGGATGACGTCTGCAGCCGTGCGGAGCTGTTGTTCTCGGCGTGCGTAGTATGTGCGTAGTCGGGGATGGAACGATTCGTTCGGGCGTGAGAGACAGCAAGTACTTAATTGCTCTCAGCGGCACAGACTTGACGACTTCCGGTGCTTATCCGCTGGCTGCGTGCTGTTGTGCTGTCGTCGGCGGCGTCCGGTCCGGAAGAGAACGAGTTCACACGTTAAAGAGGGATTGTCTGATAAAAACATGTCCGCGGCCGCCATCGTCCCGTTATTCTGCCGAGAATGCACCGAGGGACCGAACACCCGGCCCACAGGCTATGAGTCGGAATCATCGGCCCGACTCCGGATGCTTCCATGCTCAGTTTCCTGCGGTGGCTTACATGCACGCTCCACTCACGAGAGCGCCCAAACTCCACCGGCACTTGCGCGCGTCGCTCTCCATGTTCCAGATGTGATTGGAGCAACTCGCAGGTGATGGGGTTGAACGCACGCAATCTAATCCAGCAGAAAGGAATGCAGGGCCGAGATTAGATAAGCTCGTGCTGAAAGGGACGTGCTCACCAGGCGCGCAGACATCGCACTCCATTCGGCGTAGCAATTGTCCCGGACTCAGGCTCATTACACTGCGGGATTTCACCAAAACCTTCGGTGCGGGGGTACGATGTCGAGGTTGATCGCGGTCTCTCTGGGCACTTGGCAGCCATATGCTTAGGGCTGATGTTCTTAAAGCGCAGTGCACGGCGCAACCGTGTCAACGTGAAAAGCGCAGCCATAACTGTCTGTTGTGCATGCTGTGGTTGCTTCCGAAGGTACGATGGTCGTGATCGATGCGGTTGACTCAACCTCCATCACACGCCAACGCAGTGCTTACCTCGATCGCTTTCTTCGATCAGCTCCCTTCATCATTCCAATCTCACCCTCTTGAATATCCGCATATCGCTCACCCTCTCCCCTTACAGCTGTGAGTGACATACTCTGGGCTGGCTCCCTTCCCGTGCATACGCATTCGAGGTGAGCTCGCTCGCGTAGCATTGTAGCTGACGAGCAGCCGCACCATCCACGCCCACGGCAACCGTGGCGACCAACCAGACACTCACATCGGCGCTTCAGCTTCCTATGGAGTCGCAGGCTGGTCAAGCATTTCAGGCGGCCAATCCGCAAGCTTGGGACGTTCACGATGACGCAGCTATCGAACAGGAGATGAGGGAAGGGCAGAGGCGTTGGCACCAGGAATGGGTGAAGGAGTACACGTGCGCTTCCACACTCCTGCACAAGCTTGCACAGCGTTTGCCGATCAAAGCTGACACCTCAGGAACGCACTCGACAAGGCTCGCCAGTACAACAGTTCCACTCGCCGTGGCCTCGCTCCCCTTCCTACTCTGTTCAACTGCCCCCGTATTGGGCCGCTCCCGCTCAAACCATTGCTGCACCCCGCCCCACCCAAGTTTCCGACTACATTGCTCCGCCTCCGCAACATGAACGGTAAGCCGTCGAGTCTAGGAGGTGTATCTCACAATAGAGTCTGACTTGAACGCTGTGCTCCGCGGCTACCACCTCGATACTGAAGGAACCGCCGAGGAGCGCCGTGAGAGGCTCAGGGAGTATATTGGCGCGGGTAGCAATGAGAATTACTGAACAAGATCAAAGAACGTAGGTGTAGCTTAGAGAGTCGCATATGTTGTGTAGACATGATTTGATGAAGCGAGAATGCTTGGTCAGATCATTGGATGGAGACCGACAGCTACGGACAACGAGTTCGGGGTTGCGATAAGATAACCACGTGGCCTGACGAAAGCTTCACCCTCTTCTCTGGCGAAGAAAGATTGCCCTTGATGTAGGTGCACTCGCAATGCGCGATAAAGAGCTCGACGACTGATGGATTCTGCTGAATGTGTTCAGGCAGTCGTCTCGTTAGGGCTCTGGGTGATCGGGCGGGGCGGCGCTACGATGAGATATGAGACACTACCATGCGTCCAGAGAGCGTCCACCTCAGCGTCGATTTGCCGCCGCGTCCTTAGCCCCCACTAGGCGCCTTATAAGCCCATCCCCTCTTTTCTCGTTCTTCCATCCTCCCACACTCTCTTCTTCCTGCATACACTCTCTACCCTACACCTCTCCTCCTCCTCAGTACACTCTACAAATCAAGCCATCATGCCCGTCCCCTCCATCTCAGTCCCCGGCACTCTCGTCATGAAGGGACCCGCCAACCAGAAGCCGCGTACCCAGCCCGTCATTCTGAGGTGTGTCTTCCTTCCTGCCGTCTTTTGTTCAAAACCCCCAGCTACCCCTCATTCGTTTCCCGCAGTAGCTGACCAATAGCGCGGACATGGCGCCCGCCGACAGCAAGGTCTCGTCCAACCCCGCCGTCCCTAGCCAGGCCGATCAGCCCGAGCAGTCCAACGACCCCCAGCTTACGCACGACGAGCACATCAACCGCATGAAGACCCTCGGCGCGCCCGACTGGGGCATCGAGTTGATGCGCCAGGTCCTCAACATCCAAGACGCTCAGCGCGCAAGTGAGAAGGCTCTGCAAACCTTCATCACTTCTCTCCGTGAGAGGCAGGGCGCGGCGCTGGAGCTTGCCGACTCCATGAACGAGCTGGCGGAAGAGCTTCGTGGCATTGTCGATCTTCAGTCGTGAGTGTCTTCCCCGCAACTTTGCGCTCCACCGTGCTGTGGTTGAGAAGGACCGATCATCTAGGTTTGTGAAAAGCGTTAGCTGACAGACAGTCGCGGGGCTGACAATGGTCCCACCCCTCCTCACTCACCCTCGGGTCCCTCGGCCGTGCCCGATGGCGAATGGGGCTACATCGACCTCAAACTTCCCCTGCCTAAGCCACCCGCTAATCTCGCTGAACTTCGTGCCATGGATGGTGAGTGTGCTCTCATCCTGCCACAGAGCTGACATCAGAGCAACGCCTCACCGGTTGGAATGTTATGCTCGGCCTCGGCGAGGATGGCACGGTGCAGGAGCGCCAGCAGCGTCTCGCCGACTACTTCGGCATGACCGAGTGATAGCTCCAGCTCGAGCTCGCATTACCTTTGTACATAGATTCCAGCCTGCGTCCGAACTCGCCTGTTGTATGCATTGAGTCGTCTATTCTGAGAATTGCATGATACAACACTGGCTTGGCATACGAGTTACAACTATCAATAAGGTATGTACGTTTACGGTTACTTGGGCTCCTTCACCACTCGAACTCAATGTCGGGGCAGGTGGCGCGTTCCAGCTCAGCCCTCACCCGCGCCAACTCGGCAGTCAAAGCCTGCTTCTCCTTCTGCTCTGCCGCAAGGCGCTTCTGTGTCTGCGCGAGCTTACGCCTCACAAGCAGCAGCGCGATGGGATCATCGCTGATCTCGCCGTCCTCCGGTTCTTCCTCGGCCCGGATCAGCTCCCTCAAGCGCTCCGCCTCCGCCTTCGCGACGCTGCTCTCCTCTCTTGCCTGCGCCGTCTCCGCCCGGGCTGCCACGAGCTCGACTCGGGCATTCTCAGCCTGCACCTTGCTCAGGGCCACATCCGCCTCCAAAGCACGGATACGCGCCTCGGCCCGGCCAAGAGTCTGCTGCACGACGAGTGTGCGCTCGTCCGCAAACTGTGCGTGCTGCGCCGCCGCCTCGCCGGCGCGGGCACGGCGCTCCATCTCGGCTGCGCGCTGCTGCATGCGCTGCTTCATCGCCTCGGCGCGTTGTTCTGCCCCTGTCACATCACGCTCCAACGCGGCGATCCGCTCATCCCGTGCCCGCTGGCCCGCACGCAGGACTGTGAGCTCGACTTGTGCCAGTTGCAGTTCTCCCTCCACGGAGGTGTGGGTCGAGCGCAAGGACGAGAGTTCTTCCTCCAGCGCGGAGAGGGAGGCTTGCGACGCTTGCGAGGCGGAGAGCTGCGTAATGTGGGATTCGAGCGAGGGAATGGCGGCGAGACGCGTTTGCTGCAGTTGATACTCGGTCCAGAGGAGGTTGTGCGCGGCCATGACTTCTTCGGGGTGGCGCGGGGTCGGGAGGGTAATGCCCAGGGCGTTGAGGGATGAGCTGGGTAGAGAGCTGGGGGTCGCGTTGAGGGATGAGCCGGGTAGGGAGCTGGGAGTCGGGAGAGAGATGCTTAGGGGGTTTTGGGATGAGCCGAGCAAGGGTGCCGAAGTCTCGTTGGCGGTGTTGCCGAGGTTGATGACGCTGCTGCTCGCCGCGGGAGGAATCGGGCTTGGAGTCACAGAGGTTCCGGGAATGCTGTTCGTGGCAGGAATGGTACCCACAGGGAAGAGGCGGTTGCCGGTAGCTGGGGTTGGGTGATAGGATGAAGAAAAGCCGGGGCCATTAACAACGTTGGGAGGGTTGTTACGGCGCTCATTGTCATGGTTAGAGGGACCCAGACTGGACGCAGCGGAACTTGGCTGAGCAGGCGTCACAGTCGGCCGCGAATCTGGTGTCGGCGGTAACTGCGGCGAAGGGGTGCGGTGCGAGCTGGCGCTTTGCGTGGGCAAGCTGCGCGGCGAGCTAACTCTCGGATTGGTCCTCTTCTTGCTCTGCGTACCGCCAACCGATGCGCGCTTGCGCTTCACCAACTGCTGCGTGAACTCCGTATCGACAGCGTGGTCCTCCATCCACTGCTCGTACGCGACCGCCTCATCCAGCGTGTGCTTGTCCGGCAGCGTGCCCGTCGAGCCGAGGAAGGTCCAGTTGCGCGCGGAGCAGACGAGGTCGCGCGACTTGCAGTAGTTGCAGTCGCCGAGCTTGTTGCGGGCGAAGGAGGGTGTGCTGAACAGGGTCGGGAAGCGGGCGGCACTGGCATTCTTGCACAAGGAGCGGCCGGGGAAGCTTGCTGTCAGCTTGCATTCTGTGCAGATAGCTAGCGATGGGAAGAAGAGGTAAACCGTGGGGTTGTAACCGTCAACACGACTGCAATGCTGCACGGACAGTGGAGACACACACGACAACCTTGGACACTCACTTAAAGGACAGTGCGGGGTGTACGCCCCAGCCCTTCCGACCACGGACGGGGGCGAGCCTTCCGTCCTTTCTCGGGGTGGTGAGCTGCGGCCATCCACAGAGATACTTGAAGCTGCCAGGCTTCCGCATGTCTCTACGCGTGAAGCCAAAATGTTCCATGACGGCCTGCGAGTAGATGAGAGGCACGTCGGAGATGGGCTGAAGCGAGGCATTCTTGGAGGCGAGCCAGGCTTGGACCTGGGCGAGAATGGCGGTAGCCTCCGAGGACGTGCCCCAGAGGGGGTCGCTGTTGACCTGGAAGCCGCTCAGGAGGCTGTTCAAGCGCGGTGTGGGCGGTGGATCGGGTACCATGGTGCAAGAATGGACATGTGGGGATGGAAATGGGGGGATGGAAATGGGGAAAAGAGGGAAGTGCAACGAACAGACGCGACGACGAAGCGACATTGCGTGTACGCGTCTGAGACTGCGCCGTCCGTGCGCTAGCGGCGCCATTCCTCCCCACCTCGAAATGCTCACACTCACACCCGACGTTCGACAACGTACGACTGTGCACAGACCACACAGCCTGCTTTAACTTTAGCCTGCCATGCCTGTCTGATCAGAGTACCGCGCTCGCAGTCAGACCCATATGATACATACAACTGTCATCCACTGGTGCTATCGTACACCATGCTCATAGTATCGTCTCGCTTCGTACGCCTGGCTGACTTCGTCGACGGCCTTGTTCAGTGTCGCCCCGAATCCCGCAATCTCGGCGCGCTGCAGTCCTATAGCAGTGTTCGCGTTTGCGAGTTCGGAGCGAAGCGTGATGTTCTCCCGCTGCACTTTGGCCAGATCCCTGTCCCCGCGCGCAATCTCGGCACGTAAGGACTTGCTGTTCTGCTCGGCACGCTCGAGCTGCTCGGCGGCATACCGACGTTGCGTGTTCGCGCTGGAGACTTCGCGTGTCATGCGGGCGATAGTCAGGCGGAGGGCGCTCAGTTCTTGGTCGCGCGGGTCGGGGCCATCACCTGTGCGTGGTCGTGAGCTGCTCGCCGTTGTCGACTGGGGAGGCGTCCAAGGTCGTGAAGGCCAAGAAGAAGGAGGAGCCGGAGGTGTGACTTGAGCAGGTGGAGGCGGCGGCGGCGGCGCGGCAGCCAGTGCTTGTCGCTGAGACAGCTCCTTCATCCTTCGGTGCAGACTCTCGTTCGCCTCCTTCGATTGTTCCAACTTGGACTTGATCAGGTCCCTCTCCCACCTCATCTCATCACACTCGCGTCTGACTTGCTCCAGTGCCTGCGCGGCGTGGACGGCGTCAAAATTCTCCACCCTGTTCACGACCGCGTCTCGTTGCTCACGAAGTTTGACGTTCTCCTCATGCGCGGAGCGCCGCGCGTCCTCAGTCTCGGCAAGCTGGCCGAGCGCGTGTGCGACATTCGTCTCGAGCTTAGAGATGTAGGCCTCCAGCCTAGTCACTTCGGCGCGCTGCGTGTCCACTTGCGCGGAGAGCTGCGCATGCTTCTGGTCCGACGCTTCGCACTCGGCAAACAGTCGCTCGACCTCAGCGTCCTTCTCCTTTGCCGTTGCCTGGAGCCGAGCGGCCTCGGACCGCAGTCGGGCTGTCGTAGCAATCTCGGTCGCCAGTGCGTGCCGGAGCCGCTCCCGCTCCCCTTCCACCTGTGCCGTGCGCGTCATCTGCATCCCCAGCTCTGAGCGTAATGTCTTGTTTTCTCGCCAAAGAACATTGATGCGTTCCACCTCTGGCCGAGAAGACTTCAGCGCCTCCAACTCTGAACGCAGGCTGACCAGCGCGTGCGCTTGGACCCGCTTGTCCTCTAGCAGCCGGCCGATTGCGATCGCCGCCTCTCGGCTGGCAGTACTCGAGTGGGGCGAGGCAGCTGATGCCACCCAGGCGTCGGTCACACGCTTCTCAGCCTCGAGCGCATCGAGTTGTGCGCGGAGAGTGGCGTTTTCGGGGCGGAGTGCGTCGAGTTGCGCGCGCAGGGATGCGTTCTCGGGGTAAAGAGCGTTGAGTTGTAGACGCAGAGAAGCAATCTCAGGGTTGAGGGTGTCGAGTAGCTGACGCAACGATGCATTTTCGGCCCGCAAGCCGGCGTGGTCGTCTGAGATAGCTTCGCTCTTGAAGCAGACTGGGCGCTCAGAGTCGGGGTCGAGTGACTGGCTGATCTCGCTCTCGGCAGATTGAACGAGACGACATTTGCGCCGGGGAATTTCGACCCAGACATCGACGCCGGCGCGGGGGAGTGACCGGAGGCCCGGTTTTCGTTTTGCCTTTGGCTTCTTCAGCCTGCTGACGTCGGGCTTTGTGCTCGCCTGTCGCGGCCGTTGAGTCTTCTTCTGCGTAGCGGCAACAGTGGGTGCGCTGGGAGTGCTGGAAGTGCTGGCAGGGGTGAAGGTCTTTCGTACGATAGTCGTGCACCGTCGACTCCGCTCGAGGAGGTCGAAGATGTCTATCTCGATGTCGCTGTCGAAGCTATCCGCCCGGCGCTTCCGAGGCTCTGAAGAGGCATCGGGAGAAGCCTCGGCTGCCTTTCCAGTTGACTCTGTTATTGTGACAGTCGTGGTGGTCGTCATGACGGCAGGCGCTTCAGGTGGTTGGGCGGCGGCCGGCGGAGAGTGCGGTGGTGAGAGATTCATTGCCACGCTGAAGTCAGTCATCATTCATGGAGGTCCAAACAACTCTCTCCCCGACAACAGCCACTACCGTTGCAACGGCACTTACCATCTGCGGTTCTGGCACGCCAGGCAGGCGCGCTCGAGCAAAGGATAGGAGCTTGGTGACGGTACGAAGTGCCGGCCCTAAAGTTCAGTATCGCCGTTCTGCGCTGCTTCTCCGACTGTCGACTATCCTTGTGGAATCGTGAGCGATCTCCCCGCCGTGCTTAGTGACTACGGGACTAGTGTTGAAGTCGTGGAAAGTATAGTTTCGTAGTCCTTGGGTCACTCCCAAGGTCGGCAGGTCGGTGGTCACCTGCGACCTCGAAGTCACGTGCTACCTCGGCGTTCAGCCGAAGATAACGCGTGCGGGCATGGTGAACGACGTTTGTCAACAGCTCATCCACGACCGACACCATCGCATGCGCGCAAGATAACACAAGATAACACGGGGATGTGTGCTCGACGAAGATGCTGTCCATATCATGGTGACGTGATTTCTATGCGCCCCCTAGGTTGGCCCGATATCACTGCCGATGCGAAGCCGTCGCCGCGGCTGCCTACCAGGCTGCTAGATCCTCCCGCCTTCTGATCCCTAGACTAACTCTACGCTCATTGCTTCATCACCAACACTCTCGCTTGTGTATTGATCATCAACAGTTTCTTGTCCGAAACCCATGAGCGAAAACTGCTCTTCCGACGACCCCCTCGCTCGCTTTTCCACGATCCAGATAACGGAAGAGGATATCCGCCTGCGATATGAGCATCTTCCCAAGTTGACGGGGATCTACCTACCAGAGCGCTTACAGAGCTTTCCTCGTACACAGTACGAGGAGAACTTCGGTCACCCCTGGTACCTCTACGAGGAAGGGGAGTACGAATGGAAGATGCGTTGGGCGGCTCGTGCCGCAAGCCGCGGGTGGTTGCGTGCCATCAAACGCGGCGATATCACCTACGCAATCCCTCCTCGATATCGCCATCCAGCTCCAGAGGGACAAGACCGCCAATTCCTTCTCCAGGAGAGTCTGAGCCTTGCGGTAGCCGACAAGGCTCTGGAGATGTACGTATCGTTTAGATCTTCGACGGGGCTGACGGGCTAGCAACCCCTGGGCGCGCAAAATACGACGGCTGTACAGTCTAGCAACACCTCGCTTCGAGGAATGGGTCGAATGCGACATGGGTCGGAACACGGTGTCGCGATGGGCGACAAACTTCGTGAGTTGTTTTGGTCAGCCTAACTAGCTCACACCTCAGATCCACACCCATCTGCAGCATCATTTCCCTAACGAGCCCTGGATTGACGGTACGCGGGGGTTTGGGGAGGAAATCGCTGCGCACGCACTGAACACCGTCTACGAAATGATTCTCGACAGTGCGGATACGATCGAGTTCGACGGCCCGTCCTTCCCCATGTCCTTCTGCGAGAAGTGGTTCCCCGCCCGCGAAGACGTACTCCCTGAGCGCTTCACGGTCGTTCTTCCTCCGGATGTTGACGGTGACGACGACTTCCATTCCGCGGACGTGGATCATCTGGAAGAGTTGCTTCAGGAGCGCTTCATTGATGTTAATGGAGACGTCTGCCACCCAAAAAATGAGGAGCTAAGGAGCATCGAGGAATGGGAGGACGAATAGGACATCTCTCTGGAGCCTCCTCTTCGCCCGGAGCCCCCGTCTCTCGGCGAGTACCTCGAGGCAAAGGCAAAGCTGGAGGCATCCATGAAGGAGAATGATCAAACGGACGAGATTGGAGGTCTCGACACTTCTCCCGCTGAGATAGGCCTCTTCCCGGAACCCGCCTGCTCCGCTGCTGCGGTGGATCAGGAATTCGAAGGAGGAAAAGAGGCGGAAGAGGATGTGTGACTTAGCAGAAGTTCGCAGCGCGTGATTTGATGCAACAGATGCCCTTGTACCAGCTATTGGATTCTCTCGTCAGATTGACCACACACCGGCGTCGTAAGGGGTTCACGTCAGGCGACACCCTACGCGTGCTGGATGCCGAGGCTCGTCTCTGGTGATCTTTTCCGCCACGCGCGATATTTCTCAAGGGTGACACTAAAGCAGGTTTGCCGTCTATCCTCTATCGAACCTCGGCGATTGCTTAAATGTGTGACCCAGCCCCCAGAAGCTAGCTCAGTCTCGTCGAGGGCAACGCAAGAGCCCGTTGTTGTTGCTCATCACGCTCTCCCCAGCGATCAACCTCTGCAATCTTCCCTCGAGATCCTATCTTCGCCACCATGTCTTCTCCGACAAAGCCACGGACAACCGGAGAATCCGAACCGTGGGCAAACGGGTTGGAGGGCGTTACCGTTTTACCCACCGAGGAGTGCTTGCAGAACTATCCTCTCCCACCTATCGACAGTATCGGGCTGCCCGCGCACCTCGGGTTGTTCCCACGAACCAACCACATCGAGAACTTTGGCTACCCGTTCTATCTCTTCGAAGACGGGCACTACGAGTGGAAGCTGCGCTGGGTCGCTCGGGCCACCAGCCGCGCGTGGACCCGTGCCATTGCCGCAAAGGACATCGATCTCGTCATACCTCCCCGCGAACGGCTCAGAGATCCGCAGGGCAAAGAGCGCCAGGCTCTGCTCGAGGAAAGCCTGTGCCTCGCAATCGCCGACAAGGCCCTTGAGATGTACGTGAGCAGGGGGCTCTAAGGTGACGTGACTGACGGAACAGCAACGTCTGGGCTCGCAACATCAGGGCCATGTACAAGATACGGAACCTGACTTTCGAGGACTGGGTCGACTGCGACCTGGGAAGGGACGATGTGGCTTTTTGGGCCACACGATTCGTGAAGTATCGCTTCGGCCACGACACACTGACATATTACTCAGATCGACCACCGGTTGCAGGCACACTTTCCTAGTGAGCCTTGGATCCTGAACACCGACGGACTCGCCGAGCTCGCAATGCGCGTGTGCACCTACGCCCTCAACACGGTGTACGAGATGCTGTACGACAGCCGAGAGCAAGTGGACAAATCGTTCGAGTCGTTTCCCCTCGGTCTGATGGAGAAGTGGTACCCCGATCGAGATGATCTCCCGCCTGAGCGCTTCACGTGCGTCGTGCTAGAAGAATCTGACACCGACGATCCGCACGGGAGAGAATCAGATACGGCCGAGACGTTCCTGGATGTCGAGGGGAATGTCCGCGAGCCAGACAGTGCGGAGCTGCAGAGGATTGAGAGGTGGGAAGAAGAGTGGGGCAGTCCCATGCCTCCGCCGCAACCTGTCCTCCCCACGCTTGCCGACTGGTGGGAGGCGAAGGCAAGGATGGAGGAAAAGCAGCAGGGAAAGAGTGCTCATGAGGACGCCCCAGTCGCCCATCTCTTCGCTTGCCCGAGCTACGCCCAGGCTGCCCGCCGCAACGTTCCGGCGACCTCGGGGCCCAGTCCACAGGACAGCTTGAAGCAGGCTGTAGCCCCTGTCGGCACCGGAGCTGAGCTGCAGGGTGAGGGGGACACGGGCGGGTGGCAGGAGTCAGTGGGGCGTCGCGAGCTCCGTCGGCGACGCAAGGCGCGCCAGTCCGGGGCAGGAAAGGAGGTGCCGCATACTTTGATGTAGTTGGATTGCTTGCATTGTCTCAGTCGCTGGGAGGGAGACTGGGTTTTATGTAGTCCTAGGACGGGCAGTCGCGCAGCCCAGCATGTCGTGCCAGCGCCTCCTGAGCATGAGTCGGTACGGTCAGTTGCCCATCAGACCGCGTGCAAGTCCATAAGCCTGCATAGTCCATACGCTTACTCTACAACGTCAAACTTCCACGTAGTGGTGTTAACGTACTCCTCTCCCTTCTCATAAACGACCTTGAAGCCCCACTCGGGATGGTTCACAGAGTCGATAACGCCCTGCGGCTCGACAGCGAGACACTCCGCCCCGCGCTCACCGAGCACCGTGTCCCCCTTGGCAGCGCACGCGTACATCTGCACTGCGTCCTGATCCGTGCAGAGCTGGAGGCGGATGCCACTAGTCTTCGAGTGCCAGATGAGCTGGGGCTCGGGGGAAACCTCCGAGAAGACGAAACAGTTGTCGATCCCCTCGTTGCCTGCGCCGCACTCCTTCGCCCTGCCCTCTCCGATCGGCTTGGGGGCCGTAAAATCCAGCGCGTGTCCGGCAGTCGGGGGCAGTTCGCCAGTGGGCACGAGGTGCTTGTCGCCCCGCACGAAGCGGGATGCGCGGGGGAGCTGCAGCTCGTCGCCCATGATGCTCCCCTCGCCAGCGAGGTTGTAGTACCCGTGCGTCGTGAGGAGGATGGGCGTCGCACCGTCGCGGGGCACGGCGCGGAGGGTGGCCCTGAGCTCGCCGTCGCTGAGCTCGTACGCCGCGCCCACGTCCACGCAGCCGGGGAAGCCGTCCCACGCCTCTCCTCCCTCATCCCTCAGCGTGAACGTGACGCTGCTCTCGGAGGCCTGGGCGACCTCCCACTCGCGCGCGTCGTATCCGATCTTGCCCCCGTGCAGTGTGTTGTAACCCCCGTTCTCGTTCGGCGTGATCGCGTACTCCTTCCCGTTCAGCTCAAACTTGCCCGAGCGGATTCGGTTCGCGACCCGGCCCACCACGGCGCCAAAGTAGCTCGGCCCAGCCTCCTTGATGTACGACGAGGGGTCGGCGTAGCCCACATTCACCTCTGTCCACTTGCCGGCACGGTCGGGGACTTGCAGCGACGTCAGGCGAGCGCCATAGGGAATGAAGGTGGCGCGGATACCGGGGGCGGAGAGGCGGTACTCCTTCCATGCGGAGGGGGGGATGGAGTTGCCGTTACAGTCGGTGATGGGGGCGGTGTTGGGGATGGTCATCGCTGTGGTCTTTGATGGAATGAGGGGAAGAGGGGAGATGGGGAGATGGGGAGAGGGCAGGTTATGAAGAAAAGTCTGAAGGAGACGGTACGTCGTCACTCGATACGCGCCGCGCCGAGCGTACCGGCACTTGCGACTCCGGACCCGGGCCGATACCCGGCGGTTTCTCGGCGCATTCCCCGGGTCTCATCCCCCTTTCTCAACCCTGTTGCCCCACATCCTTTGCACGCGCTCACGTTCATCTCCAGTTCGAGTGGCTTGATCAAGTGCCCGATGCACGGCGTGCACGGGACGCTGCAACGCTCTAATCTACCGATACATGGAACGCATGGTGGTACAACAGGGGTATAAAGCTGTACAGATTCAATGGAAACAACTTGTGTAGTGGTAGAGCAGCATGTAGGACGGTCTATGCGTCTACGGGGGATGGCTCTGGGCGGATTGTACATGATGGAATAGGTGGAAGCCGCGGAACAATGCGAGTCGTGTAAGACGTAGAAGGCGCCGAAACGGTAGCTCGCTTCGCTCGCGCCTTTTAAGCAAAGCGGAGCACGTCGCCCGCACTCGCGACGCGCACGTTCCAGTCCTCATCGACATCGACGTGCTTCACGTTATACCTAAAGTCCATGCCGAGCACGTTGCGTCGGTGTCTGTTAGCGGGCAAGATCTGCTCCCCCGTGACGGTGTTCCACGCCCTGATCCTCCGATCGCTCCCGCCGGCGAGCACGACCATATCGTCCGGACTCGTCGTGACGGCCAGGTTGGTGTGGTACACGTTGACGTGGCCCTTGAATGTGCGCAGGGGGGAGCGGGAGAAGCGCGCGTCGAAGAGGACGAGCTGATGGTCCAGTCCGGCCGCCAGGACGCCGAACGGCACCGCACTGTCCGCCAGCCGCTTCACGGCCGTCACGGCCTTGCCCCGCGGAAGGGTGGCGAGGGCGGACGTCTGCCGCGCAACCCTTAAATCCTCGAGCACGATTGCCGAGCTCCGCAGGCCGGCGAAGAGCACGTCCCGACTCGCCTGGTGCAGCGCCAGCGGATCGCTCGGCAATCGCCGGCGCGCATACCCCAGCGTCTGGCCCAGGGTCAGGACGTTGACGCTCCGAACTGAACCGAGCGAGGTCACGTCGTCAAAGCTCGACATGGCGAAGAGGTCGCGTTGCGGGAAATCGAGCGTGCCCGCCTCCAAGGCGCCGTACGCCGTGTGCCGGAGGGAGTGGGCGTGCGGGTCGTTCCCGTTCGCGACGGCGAGCACCGTGCTCCGCGCGGGGTTGAAGTGGACACCGAGTAGGGGCTGGGAACAGAGTGCCTGCCAGTCCCTCTCTCCCGAGCGGTCGACGAGGATCACCTCCCCGTGGTCGGTCGTGACGCACAGGCCGCCGGCATAGCTCTTCAGACTCGTGATGCCCTCCCCCGGGCACTTGGCGACCTCCATCGCGCCCTGCATGGTCGCACTGGCGAGTTTGTGCTCCCCCCGACTCATAGACGAAGAAGCAGAAGAGGGGTGGGGGTGGGAGCGCCGCGGTAGTCGCAGTGTCCGCTTTGAGGGCGGCGATGGGGCCGCAACGGGTCGCTTGCGCTTCGTCGCTGGCGGACAGAGGGGGAGCTGCAGGTTGCGCATGGCTAGGGGAAAGTAGCGGTTCCGGTCGGGGTCGAAGTACATGCCTGTCAGGTGGCCTAGAGGCCCAGCTGGACCCGGGTTCGACATGGTGTCTGTGTCGAACGGGTGGTGAGTGAGAGAGAGAGGGTGGAGAGGAAGAGTGGAAACGTCCCGCTGACAAAGCTTCGCTTCGCGATTCGGCCCACAGTCCATCCTGGGTCACTCGGGAGCGCCGATCGAAAACCCACCCGGCAGTGGGTTGGGTGGCAAAAATAAGGTCACGTGGTAGCGGAGTGCTGCCCCCTCTCCATCCCATCTTCGAGCTGCTTCTGTCGTCATCGTGCCGCTCTCTTCTTTTACTACTCACCAATATCAACAGAAACGATGGAGGGATACTCCCAGGCCGACATTCTCGCCGCTCTGCAGCGCCAGAGCGCCGCCCCGCCCCCGCCTGCCAAGCAGTATAAGGATCTCGACCAGACGGACCTCCACGACGGATCGGAGAACAAGGTCAACACGCGGAAACTGTACTGCCCCCGCGAGGGGTGCCGCGCCGTCATCGTGCAGCCGGGGACGTGCGAGCTGATCGAGGCAAAGCCTGACCTGGTGAGTATTCTCTTCACCTCTGTGCTGCTGTCGGGAGAGTGCTCGTGCTCTACGCGCTCGGCGTGCTCGGCGTGTTCAACGTGCTCAGCGTTAGCGCGAGCCAGCACACCGTCTGACTCAACACCTCCTCCCCTAGCTCGCCAGTTGTAAGGCCCAGCTAACTCCCAGCTTCCCCGCGAGGACGGATCGCCCTTCGCCCCCACCGAGGGCGCCTACTGGGTAGTGCGCGGCGGACCCATGGCCTTTGACAACATTGGCTACTCGCGCGCAGCCCCCGAGCCCTTGCACCCCGACACGCCGGGTAACAGCGACGGGGCCAAGCACAAGTTTCTCATTTGTGCCGAGTGCGATCTTGGGCCCCTGGGGTGGGCGTACGACGCTCCAGGAGGAAAGGGCGAGAGCTACCTTGCGGCGGACCGGTTGAAGTACTCCCACCCGTAAGCCGTGCGTCGAGCTCCGACAGCGAGGCTGTGGCAGACCAGAATGGCTCACGCGAATGGCTATTATGGTACATCATCAAAAATAGTCCGGAAGGATCAAGACTCTATGTAGACACGCTAGAACATGTATAATCGCGCCCATGGGGCAGTTCTACGATCAGAGCACAGGGAGAGCCTCGCTGCACTCGGCATCACGCTCGGCCTCGCTGCGCTCGATTTTCGCTTACGCCGCCCGCCCCGCCGTCGGGTCGCGGAACACCTTGAGCGCCTGGAGCTCGCCGACAATGCGATCGACCTCGTTGCCCGTGACCATCTTGCGCGGCGGCCGCACGCCCTCAATATCCCACACGCCCTCCTGGTCCGTGTACCCCTTCATGCCCGTGTCGCCTGCTCCGCCGTCCGTGCGCGCCGTCTCGATCTTGAGCCCCTCCTCATTCGCCAGGTGCAGGAGACAGATGAAGCAGAAACTTGTGCTGATCTCGGACATCTTGTCCCGCGGGTAGCTGGCGCGGAGCGAGGTGATGACCCGGTCGAACGTTGCTGGCTCGCTCTCATCCACGTCCGCGGGCTCGGGGTGGATGGATTCCCGCCGCTCTGCCTCGCCCTCAAACTCGGGCGCCTCAATCTTGAGCCCCGCGCGCAGGTCGGACCAGATGTCGTCCTTGAGCCGTTTCACGTCGACACGCTTCGCTTTCTTGGCGTAGTGCACGTTTTCTGGCCGAGCGCGCTTCAGTTCCTGTCCCTGCGTCTCGAGACGGAGATCGTCCGCGTCCTCGGCATCGTCGAGGGCAGCATCCACAAAGTCGTCGTCGTCGTGGAAGAACTGGCTCTCAAACGGCATGTCGGCTTCGGCGGCAAAGTCGTCCGCGCCCGTCTCCCGGTCCTGCGCCGCCTGCGCCCAGAACGTCTCGTCGATCTCGCCGGCGGCATTATTGGATGCCACGCGCCGCGTCCGCAGCGCAAACTTGGGTTTGAGGAAGAGACGCAGCAGCTGTCGAGAGCTAAAGTGCATGTCGTCCGGAAGCAAGTACTCGTCTCGTCTCCGCGAGGCTGAGGTTGCCTTCTTCCCGCTCCGTCGCTTGGGCAGGAGCGTTGTCGCAGACGACGTCGCGAACAGTTCTCGGCTCGAGAGCTTGGCCTCGGGCCCAAAGTCGATCGTGAATGGCGCCTTGGCGGCACGCTTCTCGCGCGCGACCTCGGGGTCGACGACTCGCCGTGTCACGCGCTTCAGCTTCCAGTGCTCGGCACCGGCCCACGCCTTGCCGAAACCAGAGTCAAAGTATTCGAACATGTTGCCGTCGGGTGTGCCGCCCAGTGTCACGAGCGTGCTGGTGCCAAAGGGTCCGGCCGCCGGCGGGGCAGTAAATGGGTCGTCGCCCATGCTGACGTCGCCCTCGTCGAAGCCGCCGTCGAGCGCTGGTGCGTCGTAGTCGTCATCGCCGAAAAAGTCAACCGCCTCGCCTTGCGGTCCTGGCTCGAACGGCTCCTCTTCCTCTTCCTGGTCATCGAGCGCAAGGAGCGCCATAAGATCCGGCGTGTCCTTCGGGTCGGCAGCAAAGTAGAACCCATTGAGCGTGTCGGAGATGTTGAGGCCCTCGACCTCGGCCTGCGGTGGGAGGAAGTCGCGCAGCTTGGCAATGTCGACAACAGCGTGCTGCTCCTCCTCATCCTCGTCGTCACTGTCCTCCTCAACGAGCGCGTCGCCCGAATCGAACACGACGCGGCCCGTCCCATCAATACCCAGGTGGTTCATGAGCAAGCCCATCGCGCCGCCCTCGTCGAAATCCGCGCTCGTCTTCTTGAACAGGGGGTCAACGGTGAACTCGAGGTCAAACTTCTTCACCTGGAGGGCGGCAAAGGACTTGGCGAGTGTCGCCTCGGACCGCTGCGCACGCCGCCGCTCACGTTCCCGTGGCTCGGCGCCGTCGCCCTCCTCGTCCTCGTCTGCCTCCTCTGGGGCGCCAGCGAGGCCGGAGAGCAGCTTGCCCGTCTCGGTCGCGACAGAGTCGACGCGCGACGTCCAAATCTTGACGCACCCGTCAAGCGTGCAAGAGGCCTTCTGGAAGTTGATGCTTTCATCGTCTGCATTCCGGAGCAGCGTCAGGTCGTGAAAGTAGTCGATCAGCGCAAAGTTCCAGGTATTCGTTGCTGTAATTTTCTGTAGTGCGTTAGCTCTTCAGAGGCCTCTCGAGCTTACATTGTCGGTTGCCAACTTCATCCACTCCTCAAAGTTTGTGTTCATGACCTCCATGCTAACGGGCGGGTTGGAGGGTGCGACTGCCGAGAGCCGTTTCGCGCGTTTCTGGACGCTGAGTGCCGACTTGTGCGGTGCGCCTTGTCCGGTCTCTTTGTCTGGAAGCATGGGTGCGAAGTGTGCTGATCGTCTTCTGGCGGCGCGTTCTGCGGCGTCGTCGTTGACTTGCATGTTGAGAGGTAAGGCGAGTGAGCTCCGTCTTGACATGATTGCTTGGTGGTGGTGTGGTTTGCTATGGCCGCGGTGATCAAACGCGAGGGAAGGCCGGGAAGGGGAGCGCAGTAGTGTGTTGTTTACGCCTTCGGAGTCGGGGGAGGTGGCAACAACAAAGTCACGTGAGAACAACAATCGTGGGAAAGTCAGTGGCGCGGGGTGTCAGTTACGTAAAGCACTCCGGCTGATAGGGCGGCGATAATTTGCGAGGCGCCGTATACGCCGGAGGAGCCCGAGCCTTCCACGTGTACGTAAGCATCCAGCGAGATTGGGATGGGATGCATGACTAAGGAGTGGGTAATTGGGTAATTCGCAGACGTGTCCATGCACGCATGCATCAGTCACTTTGCCGACGTGGAGCAGGAGAGGGGGGGGTACAGCTGCATATGCATGGACACGCAGAGCATGGGACAAGCAAGGGCTGGAGCATGCAGGATCTGTGCGATACTTGCTGGCTTGTGGAGATGACCGAAGGTAGGGTTTGGAAGTCTCTCGATGATGGCGCGTCATGTTGCAGCAGCCTTGCAGCACAGAGTTGTCCGATCGTTTCCGTCCTTGCGTCGTCGGTCGTTGCATCGCATTGTTTGTCCTTGCCCTTGTCATTCATTCACTCACTTACCTTGCTCCACGTCAAACTTTACTCTCTTCTCTACTACCCACACCCTACACTCCTTTGTCCATTCCACCTTTTCCCCCGCGACCATGCGTATAGCGCAGCTCCTCACGTCGCTCATCGGCACCAATGCCATCCTCCTCGACCCCTCCAAGCCCGACTCGCGCAAAGCCCGCAACGTCCTAGAGGGCAAGGCAGAGGGCTACTGCTCCGTAAGCTATTTTCACCCTTTTCGTAGCTGACACTTGCCAGCCCTCAGGCCCAATAGAGAGCACGCACTGCGCCTACGAGACGGTCGAGGCGGTGAACAAGAAGCTCTTCCCACCGCTGCACGAGCTAGTGACGACGCCCTTCTTCAAATACTACAAAGTAGACCTGTACCGGGAATGTCCCTTCTGGCAGGAGAACGGGTTCTGCATGAACCGCGCGTGCGGGATCGAGGACACGGACGAGTCTGACATTCCGGAAAAGTGGCGCGCAAAGGCTCTGTCGGCAGTGCAGACGGGGGACATGCAAGGGGGCGTCAGCGGGTGTTACTTCCGAGACGACGACTTTTGCTTCATCGAGGACGACGCGACAAACGAGGGGCAGTACATCGACCTCTCGATCAATCCGGAGCGGTTCACAGGGTACGCGGGCGACTCTTCGCATAACGTGTGGAAGGCGATCTACCAGGAGAACTGCTTTGGCCTGTCCGAGGCCGGCATCAAAGATACGGCGCAGGTCAGCAAGTTCTCCCCTGCGCCCGGGTTCAGTGCCCTGTCCGAGGGGCTCGGCACGGAGATGGTGACGAGCACAGGCGACACGTGCGAGGAGAAGAAGATCTACTACCGCATCATCTCCGGCCTGCACGCGAGTATCAGCATCCACATCTGCGCCGACTACCTCGACCAGAGCACGGGCGAGTGGGCGCCCAACCTGCAATGTTTCGTGAACCGCGTCGCGACGCACCCCGAGCGTCTCTCCAACGTCTACTTCAACGCCGTCCTCATGCTGCGCGCCGTGGCGCGCGTAGCCCCCTACTTAAAGGCATACGACATTGACCTGTCTCGCCCTGGGATCCCGTGCTCGGCGGCGCAAAAGGCGAGCGACGCGAAGACACACAAGCTGTTCGACCAGGTCCTCTCCATTGCCGAGGGCGCAGACGTGGCGCACGGTTTCGACGAGGGCGACTTCTTCACTGGCCCCGACGCACCCGTGCTCAAGGAGCAGTTCAAGAGCCACTTCCGCAACGTGTCCCGCATCATGGACTGTGTCGGGTGCGACAAGTGTCGGCTCTGGGGCAAGCTGCAAGTGACCGGCATTGGCACGGCGCTCAAGATCCTCTTCGCGCTAGACGACAAGGACCTCGACCCGAAACGCAACCCGGACCTCTTGCAGCGTTCGGAAGTGGTTGCGCTGTTCAACACCCTGCACCGGATTTCGGAGAGTCTCGCGAGCGTCGACGACTTCAGGAAGGAATACGCCGCAACGCAGACCCAAACCCCCACGGAACCCAAACTCATCGTCCGCAAGACTGTCAAGGAGCCGGATGGAAGTACCTGGACGTACGAGGCGGTCGTGGGCAGCGTGCTCGCCGCCATCGAGGCGGTGCGGAGAGGGTGCAAGGGGTGCTTCTCGACCGTGATCCGGCTCGCAAAGGGCGTCGTCGTGCCCAAGACGGAACTCTGATAGAATAGCTTTCGTTTTCTTTTCTTCTAACTGTAAATCACATGTATAACGCTCTCTTTCTGTTCATTGTCCGTGGCTGCTATTGTGCGGATTGAAGGTCGTTCTTCTCATTGCTTGTCGATCTTTTTTCTGAAACTTCTGGGATCACCTCGGCGTCAGTCAGATCTCGCCAATCTTGTCAGCCCCAACAACTGGTACCTCTTTGGAACACATCGGGGTGAACAGCGTAAAAGAGATTGCAAGCGTACACGATCTCATGCGCCGCCCGTCGCTTTAGCTTTCTCCGCCTTCTCCGCCCGATCCTCCGACGGCTTGGTTCGACCTCCCGGGCCGCTCTTGCCTCACGATCGCTGGGGCGTCATTAGGCACACGACGGTGGCTAAATCTTATCAATGCTGCATGGTCCGAATACTTTATCAACGTCTAGATAACAACGACAGTGCTCGGGACGTAGTGCTTCGTGTTGTAGACGCTCTTTCCGGCCTGCGAGTGTCAGCTGAAGAGTCCGATTCTGGGGCAGCTGTTTCGCGCGGCACCGCGCTAGCGGCAGCTCCGCGCTTCGGCGCTGTGCGTTGCGGGTCGCGCTCTGCTACACTGCACAGCGCATCGCCTCGCGACACAAGAGTGCGCTCGCTCCACTCGCTGCTCGCTCGAGGACTCACCTCCCATCCAGGAACATCCTTCATGATCTGCTTCTCGCGCTCGAGGGCAGCGACATTTCGGCGGTACGCGTCGCGGTCCTGCTCGGCAAGAATGGCGGGGACGAGGTAGATGCGCGACCAGGCGCGTTCGCGGGCGAGCTCGCTGCAAAGTCAGCTTTTGCACCAGATCCAAAGCTCGAGGAACACGGGCGATCGGAATTGCGACTCGGCAACCTCTTGAATTATCCTTGATCATTCCTCCTCCACCACTCCACTTCCAGCACTACTCCTTTCATCTCGCCGTGTTCACCCTTCACTCCAATGCGAAGAGCTCGAGGACGCAGTCGCACGCGTTGCCGAGGTGAAGAGTCGTTCCGTTTCGCGCTCTTGAAATCCGATCGCTCCGTCCTCCACCATTCCAACGACTCACCGCTTCTCGGCGTTGGACTGGCCGACCTTGTAAAATCCAAAGGCGGAGATGGCGCCGACGAGGGCGAAGATGGCAATGCCGGAGGGACCACGGACGGGGAGGTTACGCCTGTAGTGGACCTTCTCGTATCCGCCCGCCGGGGGCATGTCCCTGGAGGTTAGCTCTTACGGGCTTCGATAGCTGATGGTCGCGGGGGAATAACGCACTGCCTGGGTCCCTTGTAGTTCATTTTCTGCTTGTGTCAGCTGTAAGACCATGACCGCTGTCGTTGAGGACTCACTCGTCGTTGTCGTCGTTGTTGTGTCGATAGCAGCAGCTCGGTAGCGAATCGAGTGTCCGTTGAGTGTCATGAGCTCGTCGGCGGGTGATCCTGGCTGCTCTCTCCCTCCGCGCGGGATTATTTCTTCCGCCTTTAATTTGGATTTACTCCCAGACTTGACCACGTGGGGTGACGGGATCGCCCTCCCCCGACCTCCACATTGGATGGTCTCCTCCTTTTCCGTCGTCCCATCCCAGGCACAGAACGCAAAGGGACAGAGGGACCCCGCTCTCTCTTGTTTGCGCGCGCCGCGTCTTCATCTCATCTCCTTTTTCTCTCTTGACATACAGCGACGCCGACACCATGCCAGAGGGAGAGGTCACAACGACCATCACCGCGACCACTCACGTCACTCTCCAGCCCACCGTCCCCAAGACCTATGACGAGCTCAACCCCCGTTCAAAGCCGACAGAGTTCTGCGGGCCCCTCGGCACCCTCGCCGTCACCATCGGCACCCCGCTCACCGCCTACTTCCTCTACTACGCCTGCAACGAGGTCACGGGGTGCGGACTGCCCACGAGCAGCTCGCAGTGGGACGCGATCCTGAATGGCTGGCGCAACTTCCCCTCAGTCGCCGGGCGGCTGTGGGACACAAAGGCCGCCCTGGTGTACCTCGGATGGTACATGTGGTGTGTCGGGTGCTGGTGGCTGCTGCCAGGCGAGTGGATCGAGGGAACGCTTATCCGCGACGGCACGCGGAAACGCTACAAGATGAACGGCACGTGGACGCTCGTGCTCACGCTCGGCGTCGTCGTTGGCATCCTCATGTCCCCCGGCGGCATTGAGCGCTTCACCTACCTCTACGACCACTGGGTGCCGCTCCTGACCGCGTCGCTCGTCATGGCGACGGCGCAGGCCCTCTGGGTCTATTTCTGGAGCTTCAAGTCGGGCGAGCTCCTCGCCCTCGGCGGCAACAGCGGCATTTTCTGCTACGACTTCTTCATCGGCCGTCCCCTGAACCCGACGTTCCCTGGTTTCCCCTCGTTCGACATCAAGACGTTCAACGAGGTCCGCCCGGGTATCATTGGCTGGCTGCTGCTGCTCATCTCGTGCGCGTGTGAGCAATACGTCCGCAACGGTCGTGTGACGGACAGCATGTGGCTCGTCCTCGCCTTTGAGGGGTGGTACGTTGCCGACTGCCAGCTGAACGAGCCTTCGATCCTGAACCAGATGGACATCACGACGGACGGATTCGGCTTCATGCTCTCGTTCGGCGACCTGACATGGGTCCCCTTCACCTACTCGCTGCAGGCGCGTTATCTCGCCTGGCACCCGGTCACGCTCGGCCCGGCCGCGTGCGCCCTCGTGACTGCCGTCGAGCTCGCGGGATTGTACATCTTCCGCGTTAGCAACAACGAAAAGTCCGACTTCCGTGCCGGTCGCAACCCCAAGAACCTCAAGTACATGGACACGAAGCGCGGCACCAAGCTGCTCACGAGCGGATGGTGGGGACGATCCCGCCACCCCAACTATCTCGGCGACTGGCTCATGGCGTGGGCGTGGTGTCTCCCGACTGGACTCGCGACCCCCCTCACGTACTTCTACGTCGTGTACTTTGCTGTCCTGCTCGTGCACCGCCAGATGCGCGACGACGAGGCGTGCCAGGAGAAGTATGGCGCCGACTGGGACCGGTACACCAAGCTCGTCCCGTACAAGATCATTCCCTATGTCTACTAGGCGACGAGCGAGTGCCGCTGTCCGCGAGAGACGAAGTCTCGAGCGAAGGCTGCTCGCAAGAACCCTCGCGAGCAGCATATATACCATCTTGAATCAATCACCCTTGACTCAATCATAACCCCCATCTCTAGTCCGCATATGTCTTGCCATGCATCATTTCTAGGCTTAAGCAGCATCTCTAAGGCCCGTGAGACCCGGTCGCAGAAGTCGAACACGGGAAATGGAGGTGCGAATAATTACTGAAAGTAGCAATAATTCTACAAAAAGGGACCAAACATGGCATCAGCGGTGGGCCCGCCCCTTCCGTCTCGAACTGTAAATATGCTTGACGGCTCGCAACCAAGGCTGGGCTGATGCTAGCATGCCAAGAAGGAGCGATCTGAGCCCTGTAATCATGGGTGGAGCGATCACAGCGGACTGAAGCCTGAAGGCGAGATGAAGTCAGCAAGAGAGACAGAGGAATTAGGTTAGCATACTCTGTGTGAGACCTTGCCGACTGCCCGTTGCCTGTCGACTTGCCAACTCGGGCCACCCGTGGACTGACGCACTTGCTCACAATAGCAGGTCGCAGGTCACACTCGCTCGCACGTCGTCAAGCATTGTCCCAGTCTCGTGCTCACGACATCCCGCCCACTCCTCCCTCCCAACTACCCATCACTCACCATCACTCCAGTCTTGCTCATGTTTACTTCTACCTCTTGACACAAACTCATTCCTCGCATCCACATCATCCACCCAGCGACACAATGACGACAGTCAAGCCCGAGGACCTACCAATAGGCCCCATCACGCGGATCGTCCCTCCGGCCAGCCTCGCATTCGCGCTTCCCTCTCCGTCCGTCTCGTCCACCCCAAAGAAGAATAACAAGCCCAAGATCATCGGCGGCGTGATCGGCGGTGTTGTCGGCCTAATCCTGCTCCTGGCGGCGCTCTGGTTCCTCCTCAGATGGAAGCGAAAACGGAGCAGGACAAAGCGGGGGCACGCGGAACTCGGAGAGGGTGCGGATACGGATACGGCTGCCCCGACGCCGCAGCAGAAGCACTCTGAAGACAGGCCGCAGATCGCCCAGGTCCGCGGGGCGGTTACTGTGCCGACGCCAGCCGCGACGACGACAGGGCCGAGGACGAAGGAAGCTCTAGCGCCGGCAACGGAGCTGGGCAGTTTGCCTTCTGGCACGACCCAACCACTCAACAACACGACACGCACAACGAACGGCAACACGCTGGACGACTCCCTCCGATCCAGTATCCACGACACGCTGTCCCCGCTCCCGAACGACGTGCTCGGCCCGTCGCCTGCGGCGTCACCGCCCGGCTCGAGTCTGGGGCACGGCAGCCTCGCCGTCCCGCCAGGACATCGACCAGACTCCCCACTCAGTATCAGTACACTACGACATGCGCGCAGCCCGTCGCTCAGCTCGGTGCTCAGCGACTATGTCGACGCGAGCGAGATTGCCAAGACGCCTATCTCTGCCAGTGAGTACATGCGAAGGGGGATTGGAGGCACGGGAGGTGACTCGGAGGTGAACTGGAGGTGCGCACAAGTGTAGCTCTGCACATGACTGCATGATCTGGACAGTCCCGACGCCTCCCCCCTGCACATGATGGATTGTTCCGGGAAGAGACGCAGGGCAGGGCAGTCGAGGGAGTAGGAAGGGTGTGTTTCACGGAAATGGATGGCGGCGGCGCCGCGTAAACTCTAATCGTTCTGGGTGGAACAATCCACGACCGGACGGAGTTCCGTGCACATCGCTTGTCTCCGCGCCTCCCTCTCGTACTCCCTTCTGACTGCTTCTTCCTGTTCTCCGAGGCCACATCACTGAACTGCGGTCGCTGTGGAAGTGGTGGAGGCGGACCAACGAACGCGCAGTTGGAACCAAACACCATCAAGAACCAAACAAACCCACCCCCCACCCATGTGAAACTTGCGCTGACAGACCCAGCCTTCATAGGCGAGCGCCGGATGATGGAAGCGCGTGGCGAGGCCTTCTACTCCTCCTCCAAGAGTGTGCGGAGTATGGCGTCGCAGCGCTCCCTGCGTGCTCCTAGTCCGTGCCGCAGTGCCCGGTACAAGTCCCTCGACGGGGCGGTCATGGACGAGGCAGACCTCAAGCTGCTCCGGCCGGTGGAGAGGGGCGAGTCGGGATTGTTCACGCATTGAGCCGCGCAGCTGGCCGTAAGGCCAGTGAGCGAGGCCGGCAGTGTGACTCGACCCGCCTCCTCACACCCAGCCCCCAACCCGCAGCCCGCAGCCCATGGGCCGAGACATGGCTGATTGCCACTTGTTTACAAGTTGCAACACAGATGTGTTTGTCTTGGCGCGAGTGTATGTGTCGGAGCAACATTGATGGAGTAGTGTGATCGTCACGAGTCTGCAGAGAATCCAGAACACGACGTGTATTGTATATGATGTATGTAATGACCACCCACCACCTTGACTATGACCGAGGTGCTGGCTCCACCAGTATCCACCGCACCACCTGGGGATCTGCTGAACTCATGACGCTGCAGGCCACGCCACGCGCCAGACCGAGGCTGATATCGGGTTACGTTGCTACATGCCGGTCGTCCCGTTGCTCCGGCGCGGTTGCGGCTGGTGGGAACTAGTCTAGTGCTGGACACGGGCGAGATCTAGTAGCTCCCCATGAGAGTTCTACTTCTAGCACACTGGCACCCCTGGTCACTGGGCTCGCTGTCACTGGGCTCGCTGTAGTCGCTACGCTCGGCTCTACCCGCTGCCCTCCCCCGTCTCCCTCCGTGACAGAGACGCAGGCCAGGTGACTCTTGCAGTGGTCGATGGGCAGATGACCGAAACGGAATCCAAAAAAAGTCCTAGGCTCATTCCACCGTTCCTGACGTCCATTCTGATCGGAAAGTCGTGAGTCATGCCGCTGGCGCTGGCTCCGCTCGCTCTCTGCCCTGGCTCGCCGGCGGCATAGAGCACCAGCAGGAAGGGCTCGTGCGCACCGAGCCTGGAGACTGAATGGCCCAGCCCGTCCACGCCTGAAGATTAGCACAGGGCCGGCGCAGAAGGAACGGTAACTGAAAACAGAAGGTGAGCGAAATAGAGGCCGAGATTGCATCATAACATTTCTGCCAGTGGCTCAGTGGCGACGCATCCCCAGCTCATCTTGTGCTTGAACCCCGCCGACGCAGCTCCCGACGAGCCTCTGCCTCCAGCCCTCTGTCGTTGTCCCGCGGCTGCTCTGCAGGTGGCGGGGATCCATCACTCCGTGCCCCCCTCTGCCCTCCGCAATCACCCCAGCGACCCGCAGGCCCGAGGGCTTGGGGCAGGCAACGCAGGCGATATGGCTCAAGGGTTCCTGCTCCAAATAGTGTGATGCGTGAGAGTCGATGACATCGAAACCCCGCCGCGCCCGCCAGCCTGCTGACACACTAGCTGGCGCAAGTAGTCTGCGGGCTCCAGCAAACGTTTGCCCAGCACCAACGGGCCCAGCTTAGGAACGTCACGGAACCCCGCTGCCCTTTATAAAGCCCGCGCTGCGCTGTATGCCCGCTCCATCATCCCCACCCACAGACAACAACCACAATGCCCGGGTACGTTGTGATCGGAGTGAAGGACGGCGGCGCTGGCAGAGCAAGTAGAGCGGGGCAGCGAGGCTGGCTCGGGAGAGATGAAGCTAGAATGGCCCACCGCCCGCCGCGCCTCCGCGCCACCGACCAGATCACCCACGCGCAATGCTGACTTGCAGACCTGGATTCATCAAGTCGGTGACGAACGGCATGCTGCTGATTCTGGCGTATGTCAACTTCATCCTGAACGTGATCCTGATCCACCGCTCGAAGCAGCTGTACGGGCTGAGCCACTACCCCGCGGCGGGTGTCGCGCAGATGGTGCTGGGAATCTGCCAGATGCTGTGGATGCTCGCGTACCTCTGCTGGGGCAAGCGCAAGTTCTTCTCGACGACCAACATGATGGCCGTCAACGGCATCTGGACGGCGTACGGCCTCGGCTCCGCCATTGCCCTCACCTATCTCGGCCACAAGCACGGCAACGGTTACTGCCCCCCCACACCTGGTTCGGGCGCCGGCGGTGACTGCGCAGGCATCCTCCGCGGAAGCGAGGGCATGGCCTGGTCCCTCTTCGGCTGGGACTTGGTCTGGTTCGGTGTCATCGCCTGGGTCGTCGGCAAGTACAACAATGGCAACTACAAGACTCCCCTCGGTCTCGTTCCCATCAAGCGCCGCGCCTACGACGAGGAGAAGGAGGACGCGCCCCCCGCCCACTAAGCGGGTATCGTCGACGCAGTCTTGTCACGCTATACGGCTTATGTTGCGTCTCACCAACTCAGAAGAGCAAACAAAGTACTACTACATAATGATACATCTTATAATCCCCCCAAGCGGGCTAAACTTCTAGTCCTATGCACCCGTGTATGTGCTCACGATGCTCACGCCTAGATCAGGTGCTCGCCAGCAAAGAGCGACTGCACCGTCTCTCTCTCGCGCACAACGTGCACCGTCTCGCCATCGACGACGAGTTCAGCAGGCCGCGGGCGCGTGTTGTAGTTGCTCGCCATCGTGAACCCGTAAGCGCCAGCCGATAGAATGGCGAGCACGTCGCCGGGCTGCACGGCGAGGGCACGATCGTGTCCGAGCCAGTCGCCGCTCTCGCACACGGGCCCCACGATCTCCCATGTCGTCGCGCCTCCATCCACCCCATTCGTGGAGGCAGCGTCCTCGCCCCTCTCGGCCGTCTCGACGACAGGGACAATGTCGTGGAAGGCATCATACATGCTCGGCCTGGCGAGATCGTTCATGCCCGCGTCGACGATGCAAAAGTTCTTCTCCTCCCCAGGCTTCAGGTACTCGACGGTTGTGAGCAGCACGCCCGCGTTGCCGAGCAAGCTGCGGCCGGGCTCAAACCAGACCTCGGCGGTGGGTTCCTGCTCATGAATCCTCGAGATGATGGTGGACACGAACTGTTCCGTCTTGGGCGGCGCGTCTCCGTTGCCGTAGTCGATGCCCAGACCGCCGCCGACGTCGATGTGCGCGATCGGGACGCCTTCGGCCTTGAGCTTGGCCACGAGGTCGAGGACACGGTCCAGCGCATCGAGGTAGGGAGCAATGTCCGTGATCTGGCTGCCGATGTGGCAGTCGATCCCGCTCACTTGGACGTGGGGCATCTCCTGGGCGCGCTTGTATGTCCCCAGCGCGTCGGAGAAGGCCACGCCAAACTTGTTCCCCTTCAGACCCGTGCTGATGTAGGGATGCGTCTTGGGGTCGACGTCGGGGTTGACACGCAGCGATACGGGCGCCTTCAGGCCCATCTCGCCCGCGACGTCGTTCAGACGCTCGAGCTCGGGCGCGCTCTCGACGTTGAAGCACTTGACCCCCTCCCTCAGAGCATACCGCATCTCGTCCGCACTCTTGCCCACGCCGGAGAAGACAACATTGGATGCCTTCCCACCAGCAGCGAGGACGCGCGCCAGCTCGCCGCCCGTGACAATGTCGAAGCCGGCCCCGAGGCGCGCAAAGAGGGATAGAACGCCGAGATTGCTGTTCGCCTTCACGGCGACGTGCACCTTGGCTCCCGAGGACGCGTACGCGTTGTAAGCCTCTGTGAGTGCGCGGCGCGAGTAGACGTACAGCGGCGTGCCGTACTGCTTCGCGAGGGCGGAGCACGACACACCCTCAATGTACAGCGTGCCGTTCTCGCGATGGATCGCTGGTGTGCTCGACATGGCGGTTGCAGAAGCAGGGGCGAGCGAACGGAGGGAGGTAGAGAGGAAGCGGGCGCTGCGCTGAATTGTGAGGGTTGGTGCGAGCTGGCGAAGCAGCGTCAAGACGTCGATGCGCGTGGGCGATCAGGCGGCACGGATATCAATGATGTGGTAGAGCGCGAGTCGTGCAAAGATGCAAATGCACAGATCAATCTGCAGAGGTGAATGGCCAAGGCGGCGCGTCGTATATTGTCGTCGGCTATTCGAGAGCGGTAGTGGGGCGGGCTTTGCTTTCGATTAACAGTTACGGCTCGCGGTAGATCCTACTTTCCGTGCTCGTTTCGGGGGTCGGGCGGGATGGCTGAGATGCGGGAAAGCGGCTTCTGCTTTAGATGTTCTGGAATGTGGAGAACTTCTGCTCACGCGACCAGACCAGCACGACTGATGCTGGCGGCGTTGTCCGTCTTCCTTTCTTTCGAGAGGAAACATCGCAGACGACCGACAAGTCGGTGCCGATTGCAATGGCTGTGAGGGCTGAGGAAATCGGTGAACCACCCGAAGCGGGTGAGAATGCTTGTCCACAAGCGCCCCACGGCGACTCCGTCTGAGCGGAATGTCTTTGCGATGGCGTTGCAGCTATCTCGGCTCAGATAGAGGCTGGTGCTGGCTGGTGCCCCCCATGCCCCGTGGCTGGGTGCGAAGGCACAGTGCCGAGCGAGCATCGCGAACAGCTGCCAACGATGAGCGCGACAGGGCAGCGATAATTGCTCTGGCGCGGTCTGTGCCTCCGCCATCGGCTTTGCCGGGTCGGCTTGGGCGTCACATGCAATTCTGGCTGGCTGGGCGTCTGTGGGCAGCGGCGGGTGGCTTGCTTGCGTCCTGGCATCTTGGCGGCCCATTTCGGCCAGTGAGCCCCACAGCGATGATCGGGGCACATTATGTTCGAGCGGTGTCCTGTTGGTCACCGGCCGGCTCCGACTGCCCATCTCCGAGACCGTCGATGCCCACATAGACCTCGTCCAAGTAGCTCTGCGGCCCACGGCGCACAGCGAGCAGAGCAGCGGAATCATTGTCCCGGAATGTCTCGCCCACCGCCGTAGCTGATGTTGATGCTGATATCAGCTGCTGTGGCATCCCGCGTCGCTAAGCAAGCGTCGGCGAGCAGGCCGAGGCCAGAGCAGCCCCTCGGCTTGGCGCAGGGAGGTCATCTGATCACGCCTTCGATTTCTGACTTGTTTCCTGCGCGTTTAAACGGCCCAATACGGCATTTCCGGCCTCAGCGCGGCGACTGACGGTATCCCATTCGACAGCTGACAGCGAGCCCCCCACGCAACAAAGGTACAGCCCAAGGTATGCAGGGCTCCGACACAGGGCAAAGCGCAAAGGGTCCCGGATCTACCTCGGACAACTCGTGCAAACGGCACAGCGGCAAGGCTCGGGCCGTCGTCCACAGGACCAGACCTCTTATCGAGGCGCTTAGATGGCATCGTAGTGGGTCGAGCTGCATGCAAGTTTAGGCTTCATACGCTAGCACAAGTGCATGCCCCGCGCGTACGGCCTGCACGCTACACGCAGCTTTGGCAATATGGGCAGTGCCTGGACCGACGTTCATTGCGCCATAGCGGCTCTGCATGTGTTATCGCGTGAAGAGGCCGTTGGTACATTAGCCTGGACCGGCGAGCTCCACACGCTAGCGTCCATCACTTGCAGATCTGCTGCATCTTGACTCTCTCTTATCTCTCACTCATCTCCTTCAAGCAGCGATCGTGAAAGTCCGGCATCCACCTTGTTTCAAATACGAAGCCGAGAACCCGACATCCACTTGACCCAAATAAGCCTCACACGACCCACGCCACAATGAGCGAGAAGCTGGGCGTCTACGACGACGACGGCGGCAAGGAGGGCACCGGGTTTGAGACCAGCGTGCAGGAGCCGTATGGCGTGTACGACAAGAATGCGCTCGAGTACCGCGACGCGCAGCTTGCGCAGACCGGTGAGGGTGACCACGGCACGAAGCGCGCGCTGTCGCCTCGTGTGTGCTCCATGATCGCCATCGCGGGCACCATCGGTACTGGTCTCTTCCTGTCCTCGGGAACGGCGCTCGCGCAGGGTGGCGCCGTCGGCTGTTTCCTCGGATACCTCATCATGGGCTTCTTCATCGGTTGCATGATGTACTGTTTGGTGAGTCGAGCGGAGCATCCACAGGGAGCCGCATTCCGCAGTGGCGCCCACCGCAACTACAGCCACGGAACGGCTACTGACACTGCAGGGCGAGCTGATCTGCTTCAACCCCACGATTGGAGGCTTCTCGGAGCTCGGACGCAAGTACGTCAACGAGTCGTTCGGCTTCATGATGGGCATCACGTACGCGTTTACTGTTGGTCTCTCGGTGCCGTCCGAGCTCAGTGCCATCGCCGTCCTCATCGGGTACTGGGACAAGAACGAGAAGCACGCCGCGATCTACATCACCGTCTTCCTCTTCGTGACGTGGGGCTGCAACATGCTCGGCGTCAAGTGGTACGGCGAGGTCGAGTTCATCATGTGAGTGGGCGAGGGTGTGGCTGACGTGAGCAAACGAGTGGCAAGCTAACGGGGCAGGGCGTGCATTAAGATTGGCATGCTGATCGTGCTCATCATCTTTGGTCTTGTCGCCGACCTCGGTGGTGTCAAGGGTGGCACGGGCTTCGTGGGCGGCAAGCACTGGCGCGAGGGGCCCTTCAACACCGAGTACCTCGGCGTGCACCCGCCATCGACGGCCGCTTTCCTCGGTTGGTGGAGCACCATGGTCAAGTGCGCATTCTCGTTTGCGGGTATCGAGGCGGTGGGCCTGCTCGCCGGCGAGGCCAAGAACCCGCGCAAGACGCTGCGCACCTCGATTCGCACGACGTTCTACCGTATCGGCGGCCTGTACATCATCTCAATCATCATCCTCACCCTCAACATTGGATACAAGGACCCGGACCTCCTCCGCGCCAACGACGCCGGCGGCGACACGGCGGCGTCCTCGCCCTTTGTTCTCATCGCCAAGCGTAACGGCATTTCCGCGCTCGCTCACGTCGTCAACGCTGTCGTCGTCACCTCGGCCTGGTCGGCGGGCAACGAGAGTCTGTACGGCTTTGCGCGCTGTCTCATGGGCATGGCGCGCAACGGGTGCGGCCTCAAGTGTTTCCTCTGGACGACGAGTTGGGGTGTGCCCTGGGTTGGAGTGTCGCTTGGCGCTGCGTTTGGCCCCCTCGCCTACCTCTCGCTGAGCAACGGGTCAAACCAGGCGTTCGTGTGGCTGTCGAACCTGACTGCGCTGCTGAAGCTGGTATGCTGGGCTGCGATCTGCTTCTGCTTCGTGCGGTACAAGAAGGCATGCGACCGCCAGGGCGTCAACAGGCGGCAGCTCGTGCTGCGCTCGTGGTGCCAGCCCGTGATGGCGTGGAGCTGCATTGTGTGCTTCCTGCTCGTCATCTTCTTCAACGGCGTCAAGGCCTTCATCCCCAAGTTCGACTATGAGGACTTCCTCGCCGACTACATCTCGATCCCCTTTGTCGCCGTGTGCTGGGGCGGGTGGCAGCTGTATCGCCGCGACCGGTGGATTCCCATCGACGAGATCGACCTCAGCGGCGGCCCTGCCAAGGCCCTGTCGGCACGCGCTACGACACGTCGAGCGCGTACGACACTACCGTCGCTTAACAATCGATTCATAGTTGTTGAGATCTAGCCACTTGTCTTGTTCGGGATACCGTGTCTACAATGTATATTTTAGCCCAGGAGCTTGAGCACGTCGTCCGCCCGCGCCTCGCCCGCCTGCACCGCGCCCTCCATGTATCCGATGTGCTCGGTAGCATTGTCGGTTCCGGCCCAGAACAAGCGCCCAGTGGGCTGCCTGAACGCGCCTGCGATGGCAATCTGGCCCGGGCCGAAGAACGCACCAGGTGCGCCGCGCGACCACTTCTCGTCCGTCCACTGCTGCACGATGACATCGATGGGATGCCGGGCCTCGTCGCACCCATACACCCGCGCGACGTCTTCGACGACCTTGGCTGCGCCCTTCTTCTCTCCGCCCGCGAACGCCCATGCCTGCCCCTTTGGCCCCACCACAAAGGCGGTCAGCGCATACACGTTGCCCGACACCTGGTCGAAAGTCGTCTGCATGCTCTCCTCGGGCATGGGAGACACGGCCATTCCGCTGAAGCCCTTCTCGCGCCACCAGGCGGTCTTGTAAAGAAGCACCACCTTGGAGTAGTATCCCGTGAAGGAGCGCTCGATGGCCAGCCGCTGCTGCAGCGGCAGAGGGGGCGTAAACTCGATCGTGTCCAGCAGCACCGTGCCGATCGCAACAATCACGGCTTTGCCGGTGTATGACCCGTTCGGCGTCTTGACAGTGACAGAGCCGTCGGACTGGATGACCTCGCGCACGGGTGAGTTGAGCTTGACGCTATCGGGGAAGAGAGTGGCGAGGTACTTGCTCATATGCTGGTTTCCCTTCGACGTGCGCTGGTACTGGGCACCCTTCTCGTTTGTTTCGATCATGGCCTCGAATCCACCTGCGGGGCATCAGCTTCACTTCCCCTTGCATTTCCCCACGCCCATGCTCATGTCCACACTCACCATCAGCCTTGACGCCGAGCGCGTGGTAGAGGAAGCTGAGCTCCGTGCTACCCACGCCGTACAGCCCATTCAGTGCCGGCTCGAGAAACTGGACGATGTCCTCTTCGCTGGCCCCCTGCGCACGATACCAGGTGTATACCGTCTGCCCGTCCAGGTCGAAGATTTCGGCATCCGGCTGCGGATCCTGGCGTAGCAGCTTCGGCTCGATGCGCTCGGCAAGAGCCTCCATCTTGGCATGCAGGGGCGCGAGGGGGTCCCCCACACTCCCCATGCTCCCGGTCGAGAGGGAGCGCTGCCCGCCCGCGTAGAAGACGTTGTTGCCGTCCACGTACTGCCGCACAAGGTCCGAGCCTGACTCCTTCGCCAGAGCGCAGATACGCGGCTGCGTGTACTCGTTCACCCACGCCGCGCCGAGTTCGACAATGCCGTCGCCGACGTGGTGCGTGAGCGTCTTGCCGCCGACACGGTCGCGGGCCTCGAGCACGACGAAGGACTTTCCTGCCTTGTGCAGTTTGCGTGCCGCCGAGAGACCGGACAGGCCGGCGCCGACGATGATGACGTCTGTGGTGTTGGTGGACATGGTGATGGTCGGGGTTGATGATATAGGTCAGAAGGAGTCGATTTGTGAAGGAGTCGATTTGGGGTGGGGGCTGGAGGTGTAAAGAGTGTTCAAGCATGGGGTTATATGGCGTCAGTGTTATCAGTGATGAGAGCGTCTTCGCGCCCAAGTATGCAGTGTGTGCCCGAGAAGACTTGGTGCCGGGTGGGGTATGCGCCTGTTCCGCGTGTATCATCCGGTTCGCTCAATGTGGACGGCGCAAAATTACAGTCCGCGATCGATGATTCCGGCGCTAAACTCTATCCAGAGATGTGGAGAGCGCGGAGAAGGAGTTGCTGTCCTCGAGATCGTGTCCGAGTTCCGTTCAAAGTCCCCGACTCAGCCTCGATAAGACGTCACTCCACGGACACTCAGGCACGGACATCATCCACTCTCCGCACATCCCACCAACCACATCTACCCTTGCTTCGGCCCAGCCGAACTCACCATCGTCTCCGCGTCGATCATCTTCCCGACAACGCTTAGCGATGCCCCGCGGCCGATCAGAACCCACCCGCGCACAGTACTCCCACGGTCTCGAGTACGTCGCGCAGAAGCCCGCCTTCCTGCAGAACTTTGGCCGCCCTGCCCCATCAAGTTCTGACCGCGATGGCCGCGAGGGAAGAGGGGGACGGGAACCGCTCCCCGAGCGGCCAGACGAGGGCGAGTGGGCGAAGGGGAGCGACGACGAGGAAGAGGAGGACGAGTGGGACGTTCGCTTCGGCGGAGGCGAGGATGGGCCGCAGGTCGTCGTGCTGAAAGAGGGCCGGCACCTGAGTGCGGCCGAGGTCGAGCGGGAGCGCAAGATTGGTGAGCTGTCTTTTCCGTCGCGTTAGCTGACAGAGACAGCAAAGGGCATCGATCCCGACGCCGAAGCGAAGGCGGCAGCGGCAAAGGAGCGCGTTGAGAAGGCAAAGGAGCGCGATCGCGCCAATGTCAAGAGCGTGCAGAAGAAGCGCAAGCTCGTTGGTGAAGCGGCTGCTGCAGAGGAGAAGGGCGACAAGCCCGGGGAAGGCGATGAGAAGAAGAAAAAGAAGAAAAAGAAGGCTGCCAAGGGTCTGCTGTCGTTTGACGAGGCGGAGGGCGAGGACTGAACTGTATCACCTTGCATGCATGTACTACTAGCTTGTTGACTGTCGACGTCGTGAAGAGGAGCTCGAAGGTGGTTTGTTGTGACCAGTGGTGGAGGCGCGCGTAATGAGCGACACGTGACTGGCTGTTTCGTCGGTGGTGGCCACTCACCACTCGACTTTTTGTCCGCGGGTTTGACGTCAGACGCAGCAGAGAATCTAGCTTCCACACTCTTCCCTCGCCACCATGCTCACAACACTACGAACAACAGCGGCGCGGTCAGTCGGCGGGTCGTCTCTGCGTGCCGTCGGTGTCGCCCCTGCTCTTGCCCGCGGACACGCCGGCTGTTCGGGTCATCACCACCCGCCTCCGCCAGAGAGCAGTACGACGACGAAGGCGGAGAAGAAGGAGCTCCCTCACCGCGCCTCTGGCACGCCGCTGAACGTCCCGACAACGCAGGGCGGACCCTCGGACGCGGACGCATACTGTGCCTCCCTGGTGCAGCGGCTCGACCCCGACGCGTGGCTGCAGAGCTACTTCTGGCCGAGGAGGGAGAAGGCGTGGTGGCTCGCGATCAGGGCTTTCAACGTGAGTGCGGTGGCGATGGTGAACTCGGCCAAACACTCCAGAAAAGGGCTGCCGTACAGCTGGCAGGGTTAGGACAAGCTAACGTCAGCTTGAGCTGCACCAGGTTTCGACGACTGTGAGCCAACCGGCGATCGCGGCGATGCGCTTCCAGTTCTGGCGCGACGCGCTCGCGCAGATCTGGGCCGGCAAGCCGCCGCAGCATCCCGTCGCCATTGCGCTCGCCGAGGCGCACAAGTACCGTCCGATCCAGAAGTACTACCTGAACCGATTGATCGAGACGAGGGTGAGTCCATGCTGGTAATGAGCTCAGCGAAGGCCAGCCTTGAGCTAACGTCCAGGCGAAGAATCTGTCTGCCCCACCAGCCTCGGCCGACCTCGACGCATACCTCGCCGCGCACGCCCCGATCCCCGACGCCCTGCTGCAGACGGGCCTCACGCTTGTCGTTCCCCCAACAGCGCCAGAAACGTCCAAGCTGGCCCACACCCTCTCCCATGTCGCCAATACGTTATCCGTCGTATCGCTGCTGCGCCAGCTCCCCTCCGCCATCGGGAAACAGCAGAACCCCCTCCCCTCGGCCATCTGCGCGAACAACGGCCTCAGCGACGAGGAACTCTTCCGCGACCCGGGGGGCAAGAAGGCGCGCGACGCCGTGTTCGAGGTCGCGACCCGCGGTATGGACGAGATGATCACGGCGCGCCGGGACCTGAAGGACTGGAATGGCGCCGTGAAGCCGAGTGCGGCCATGCCCGTGTTCCTCGCTGCTGTGCCCGCTGAGCGGTGGCTGAAGCGGCTCGAGGAGGTCGACTTCGACGTGACCTCGAAGAAGATGGCGCGGCACGACTGGCGCCTGGCTCCTGCCATTTGGGCGCGATACCTCCGCGGAAAGCTCTAAATAGCCACCCCGCACTCCGCCGTACACTGTACAACTCTACAATTCTATGCATGGCACACACATCTCTATAGACGACCTCTAGAGCTTGGCAGTCGCCGTCTGCGCCGCCTTCATGTTGAACTTGGCGCCGACCTTGCCAAACGCGCCGCCCTTCGGCCGCTGCGTCGTATGCACGCCGGTCAGGATGCGCCTTCCCGTCTTCTTGTCGCTCATAAGGCAGAGAACGGTGCTGACAGCGCCGCCGGCGCGGTCGATGATCGTCTCGCACCGAAGCACCGTCCCTGCCGGCGCGGGGTTGTAGAAGTTGATCTCAAAGTTGATGCTGGGTCCCCACGGAGACCAGTTGTCCGTGCCGAGGCGGTGGAGAGAGGTACCTGTGAACATGTCGAGGAGCCAGGCGGCGGCGGCGCCGTGCAGGCCCTGTCCGCCGTTGAGCCAGTCTGGGGTCAGCTGGGTTCTCCATTTCTGTCCTCCTCTTGTCCGCAGCGTCGGTATAATGTGCGGAGAGCTCGCCGACAGTTCGGAGCCGTGACCACGCCGACCACGAAGGAGATTACTCAGCCTCTCGACCCGCATCGCACGGCCGCAGCCATCACTCCGCACACCTCCCACACTTTCCATTGCACGCTCTCCCGCTGCACAGTCTCCCACCACGGAGCTCGGTACTCACTGTCCTGAACGACCGCCTCGTACACACACGTCCACCCCTCACAGTCTCGTCCGCCCCGGGCGTTCACGGGCGGGAGAGGCTCGTACGCGACCGCCTTGCAGTGCGGCGCAAACGTGTCGCCTGCGAACGGCATTGCGCCCAGGAAGTAGCGCAGGTGTTCCGTGTCGGCGTCGGTCGCGGGGATGAGCTCCTTCTTGGGGCTGCTCATTGTAAACGTGTGGGGGAGGGGGGTCGGGGAGATGGCAGAGCTAGAGAGCGGGTGAAAGACTTGAAGCGCTGGGCTGGGGGAAATTGGGGGCCGAGGGTGGGGTCCGAGAAGGGGAGTGATCAAGAATGAGAGAGGTCGAGAGAGTCGAAGAGAGTTAAGAAAGTCAGAAAGGACGATAGGGGCACAGCCATGATGATCCGAAATCGTTGCCGGGTACAAGGTGGGCCGGGGTTCGGTCGGGCGTATCCGTTGCCACGTGTTAAGGAAAGCCGTGACTAACCGCGCCCCGCGGCACTTGTCCGCAGGACCTGTGTCCAACGTAAACACGATGCATGATGGAGACATGAAAGAATCAACGGCGGCCGCATGTCCGAGAGCGCTCGAAACGCAGACCGACAGACTTAACTGCGCAGTGTGGGGCCGATCCGGAGTAGCGCCACTGCCGATCACTCCTCCGAGACACAATGTTAGCCGTCTGTTTGCATACGTCTGTCCGAAACAAAGTCGTTGCCGCTTTGCAGCTCATTGTCGTACATCTTGTTCTACTGATCCAACCGCAGGTCCAGGGGGGGGGGTTCCTGGTGATCCTCTCCCGGCTCTTGCCCCGTCGATGCGGAACTGGAGTTCGTTCTCGCCAACGAAAACCTGCTTCCATCTCAGTGTCTCCCCCTTCTCCCTCGCCATCCTGTGTCTCCCCTGCAACTCCGTCATTGCTGAGCAAGTTCCCTCGCTCATCCCATGCCGGAATGGGCCGCACCATAGGCGCCCCGTCCAGGTGCAGGTATCGTCTGCCCCACTCCTTCCGGTCCCATCCCAGCGTTCGGCCGCGCAGGAGCTTACACGCACCGGGATCCCTCTTGCTGTCGTTGTAGAGTCCGCGGAGGCGCACAATGGTGTCGTGCACTTGGTCGATGACTACTTTGCTGTAGTCGCCGCGTGGACCCGTTGCCACGAACGCAATGGCGTCCTCGGCAATGGCTGGGTATGCTTCGCGCAGCTGTGAAGTCGTAAAGAATACTACCCCGTCGCCACCCGTTACCGTCTTGATCTTGAGCCCGTCGGGATCGATCTCGAAGTATTCGCCGGCCCCAACCCAGGACATGACGAAGAGTAGAGATTGGAATGATTCAGGCGGGATACAAGGAGGCTGAGTACACAGGTGGAAAGTATATGGAGGCGATAGTAGTTGTCGGGCGGGAAACGGCGCCGTTTTATGTTTCGAGACCAGGTTCCCCTACCAGACAGTGAGCCGGGGGCCGGGGGTGGGGTGGATTACGTAAAAGATCCGGCTGTTATCAACTGGGGTCGATAAACATTGTCGCTGCGATTGGTCGCTCTCCAACATCTCGTCATCTCGTCTTCCACTCTCGGTCTTTGCTCTACGCTTTGGGTTACGCAGTGCAACGCGTGACTGCATGATCCGCAAGCTCTGGGTCCATCGTCTAGCTCGTTCCGTCTCGTCTCGATCCCAGTGGCAACCCCCTAGCGAGGCTACAAAGGCATGGAGTGGAAGGGGTGGTACCTCCGGAGCAGGAATGAGTGGTTCGTCGCGCCGGCCTAGGAGGGGCGAAGGGAACCGGCCCACGGTGAACCAAAGGAGGAGGGGAGGAGGCGGCCCTGTGATCTTGCTCTGACGATATATCAATCAGAATGTTATGGACAATGCGATTCGTGCTCAAACCCGTGAGATGGATAGACGACCAGGTGATTCATCCGTGATCTCCAAGTGACGCAGCCTCCGTCTGGAGCTCTTGGTGCCGCATCAGTGCGCGCACTATCACGCGCTGCCCAATCCGGGACGGCGACACGCCAGTGCCGACCGCGACAATGCGGCCACACACGTCTGCGCCCTGGAAGCGTGGGAGGGTCAACTCGCATCTTCACCATCGTACATTATGCTCTACTGGTCCGGTCATCCTTTCCGTCGTCGATGCGGTACTGGGGCTCATTCTCGCTAACCCAGACCTTCTTCCATCGGAGGGGCTTTCCCTCCGCCATTGCCATCCTGTGTCTCTCCTGCAGCTCCTCATTACTCAGCAGCTTCCCCCGCTCGTCTCGGGGCGCCGGGATGGACACCACCGTAAGTGGCCCATTGAGGTGGAGGTACTGCCGGCCCCAATCCTTTCTGTCCCACCCCAGTGTCTTGCCGTGCAGGAGCTTGCATCCGTGTCCGCCATTGTCGCCGTAGCGTCCGCGGAGCCGCACTATATTGTCGTGCACTTGATCGATGACGACCTGGCAATAGTCGCCCCGAGGTCCCGTTGCCGTGTATGCGATGGCTTCCTCAGCGATGGCGGGGTATGCTTCGCGCAGCTGAGAAGGCGTGAAGAAGTATTTGCCGTTGCCGCCTACCACCGTCTTCATCTTAAGCCCGTCGGGTTCGACTTCGTAGTATTTACCTGCGCCGACCCAGGTCATGGTGTATAGCGAGCGAACGAAGAGGATGGATCTGGGAGGGGTCGAGAGCTGAGTGCGAAGGTGCAATGTGTATGGTGGCGACAGGGTTGGGTTTTATGCTCCGTAACCAGTTGCTCGACCGGGCATCGTGCTTGGCCGCGAGGTCAGTGGTCGGGAAGCGCTCTGTTGCCGGTGAGCTGTGACGGCGAGCAGGACGAGGTACGAGTCGACGACGACACGAGTCAACAGTGCCGAGTCGATGGTCCGACCGCGAGCGTTCGACTCTTACGTAATAGCCACGGCTGTTATCGGATCAACCCTCATCGATAACCATCCCCGCGTCGATTGGATGTTTCGACATCTCCGTCAGTCCGTCATCAGCTACATAACCTGGTGCCGCCGACTCGGTATGAGCCCGTAGTCGCTCATGATGAGCATCGAAGGCCGGTGAGTACGGAGGAACTGCTGGAGAGGGAACGAGGGAGGGAAGTGCCGACGCAGTGGAAATGGTGGTACCTCCGGAGTCGGGATGAGTGGTTCGTCGCGCCTGTTCTGGACGAGGGGCCGAAGGAGTCAACCCCCAGTGAACGGAAGGGGAACGCGACACTATGATGGACTTCTACATGGACAATGTCTAAAGTACGATGCATCTATTCTCTAGTTGGGCCTGATGGGCTGGCGAGATTGCGTGAGGGGAGGGCTCATCCGCCTGCTGTCCATCCGCGAGTGTATGAAGTACTATGGACTCCATCCCTCGGAGAGACGCCCAGGAGCGCTTAGGTAGGCCACGGCCAACGCCCCCGGCCATTGCGAAGCCCGCGACGGGATCTCCCAGCCGACTTCACGTAGGTCTTGTTGTGACGGATCACACAATTGACAACGGTCACCGACCCGTCGCCACTGCCCCAATGGCCCAAGCGATCCCAGCCAGGGGTGCCCTGGAGGTAGATCCTGCTCCCATACTCCTCCTTCGGCATTCCAAGTCCGACGCCGTAGAGGAGTTTGGCCTTGGGATCCTGTCCGGCGAGATCGGGGGAGGCATATCGACCCCGCAGACGGACGATGTTGGGCTGCACCTGGTCGATGATGACGTGGTACAGCTCCTCGGGGGATTGGTCGCGGTACGCAATCGCCGCCTCGGCGATGCTCGGGTGGGCTGCGCGCAGCTGCTCGTCGGAGAACTTCCTGATGCCGTCTGGAGACGGGTGCGCGAAGGTGCGAATGTAGCCGGCCGGCGCAATATCGCTCGGCAGATGTGCCGGCTCGGCCCAAGGGGGCGGGGTAAGACGCGGCGAGAGGGGCGGCGTCGTCCACTCGGTGTGCTTGATCGCGAAAGTTGAGTTGTTGGACATGGACATGATGACGATGTTGTTGTTGATGGCGAAAGAGACGGGAAGTGTTGGACTTTTAGGGTCCACTGGCCCGGCAAAGATTACCTAGGCCACAGCCTCGGCGTGGCAGCCGTCTCGTTAGTGTGCGACTTGGTGCTAGGCGTCACCAGCCGCGCAGGCCGCAGGCGTATTACCGTGACAACTGCTAATGACGACTGTGCATCTGTTCCTACAAGGCCGGAGGTATCAGTACCAGCTTCCCCGGCAGAGATTTGCTTTGGAATATCTCCTGCGCCTGACGGATTGCCTGCAGCGGAAACGTCCTCGACACGAGTGGTCGAATCTCGTTGCGTTCAATGTATCCCACGAGGTTCTCAAATACGACATCGTCCTGGAATGTCGCACCGAATAGAGACAGATCCCGCAGATATACTGTGCGCAGGTCGATCTGCGCCATGGGACCGGCGATGGCGCCAGCGACGACGTATCGCCCCCCACGCGTGAGACAGCTCAGGAGAGACTGCACGCCATCACCTCCAACAATGTCCACAACGACATCAACCTCGACCCCCTGGAGTGGTTCATTGCGATCGAGCACGCGGCTGGCTCCGGCCCGCTTCACCGCCTCAGCCTTTGCCGGCGAACACAGCGCGAGCACCTCGCACCCTCTCCTCTTCGCTAACTGGACGGCTGCGAGTCCGACCCCTCCACTAGCTCCAGTAACGAGCACTCGCTCTCCATTCCTGACATGAGCGCGGTGGAGCATGTTTTCAGCCGTCGAGTAAGCGCAGGGAATCGCAGCCAGCTCGGAGTCACTCCAGTCACACTCGACGGCAAACGTCTCATCATCCGGCGCGACACAGAACTGCGCGAATCCGCCATCACACTCGCTGCCAAACGTCCAGCATCCCCAGGGCTGGTCGCGGACGTAGTGCCGCATCATCGTGCGCACTAGCACGCGTTGCCCCACTCTTGAAGGCGAGACACCGGCCCCGACCGCGACGATGCGGCCACACACATCCGCGCCCTGGATGCGTGGGAAGGTCAGCGCCTTGCCGGACCAAGAGCCGTCGCCGTCCCGGCCCCCCGTGGTCGATGGGGAGGCTGATGCGGCCGTCGAGCCGGTTACCGAGGAGCTGTACCAGCCAAGCCGGGTGTTGATGTCCGTGTTGTTGATGCCGGCGGCGGATACGGCGATGAGCACTTCGCCAGGACGAGGAGAGGGAACGGGCACGTCGGTGCGATACTCGAGTTTGTCGGGGCCGCCGTGTCCTGTCAGGAGGACAGCGGCCATGGTGTTGGGAACGGCGGGGGTGGGCATGCTGGATGTTGTGATGATGACATCGGGCTGGAAGTGTGATTGTGGTTTGGTTGCCGAGACACGTGGCAATGACAGATCTCGGCGACTCGATGATATTTAATGAAGTTTGTGCGCCAAGGGATCGCAGACCGTGAGCGATCCATTGCTGCCCGTAGGAGACGACTTCGTTCTAGACCGAAGGTGAATGTCGACTGTCAGTCTCAGGTGCAACTCTAGGACTACTTCGCGATCCATAAACAGTATCCGGAACATACGGGGCAGCTATACTATTTACAGCACGAGCACCGCTGACTAACGCTAAGCTACACTTCTTCATGATGGAAAAGACCACTGGCACTTCTGCGAACTCTGCTGGCTGCGTGCTTCGTCGGGGTCAAGAAGGTGTCCTTACTCCATTCCCTGAATGATCTCTTGTGTTTGTCGCTGTCCGACCTGGGCCCTAGCTGCAAGAGGCCATGGGCTTTCAAGGCTCTTACTGCTACCGCGAGATACAGCTGGAGCAACGGGAATTCTTCGGAAGACATGGGATCAGACCAGTAGACGGTGGACCCACGGAGCTCGGCAACGACGTGCGTTTCGAAACTGGTGAGAATCATGGCGATGTCCTTTGTGAGAGGATTCTTCAGCCGCCGCTTCCCCAGAAGCTCGCACACAACCTGTTATAAAGTCAGCGCGACGGTGGGGAGGCTTGAGATGCTCAGAGGCGTTCTTACCTGCTCCAGGGCGAGCAATTCAGACGGACGGTTCGCGCGTTTGTTGTTAGGACGAACAAGGGTAGTCAAAATAACTTTGGTGCTGCCGCCGGGGAAATCAGCAGGGAGAGGGTGAATTTTGTCAGAAGAATCGTCGGGGATGGTGCTATGGAAGGCAACACCTTTCCGAACAGCCCGCACTAACGCGTCAGCCTTCTCGGGTGCCAGCGTCAACTCAGTCTTGGTCTCCTGAAACGCGATCTGGTTTTCGTGACGCGTCGCACCCGTCCGCACCCGAACTCCCAGCTCAAAGTCCGGCTTCCCGGCCTCGCCGACCCCTACGGACTTCCAGCCGATAGCTTCGACGGTGGAGTCCAGCCTGGAGGTCTGCTGCTGCCTCTGCTTGCCCTTGGTTTTCGTCGGCTCAGGCGACTGCGGCCAGATTGCTACCGCCTGGAAGCTCTCCACGGTCAAGTTCAACTGCGCCCTGGCATAGGCTGCGTCGAGGATGGCGTTGGCGGGTCTCGCGACGTAGGCGTGAATGAAGGATTCGAGGCCCTTCTCTCCCGAGGCGCGCGTGACAGCTTCCTTGTTGCCGAACTGCGTCGAGCGCCGCAACTCCTCCACGAGCATGTCGTACTCGTCGTCGGCGGAGGGCACAAGCCACTCGGCGGCATCGTAAAGACCCTCTCTGAGTTCGAGGCAGAGATTTTCGTCGTAGAGAACTTTAGTCTGCCCATCGATGGCCGTCAGGGCGTCGGGGGACACTAGGGTGCTCTTCCGCTTGCTCTGGACCTTCTCGTGGGCGTGGCCGTAGAACGTCTGGTTTTTCGCTTGGTTGTGTTGCCTCAATAAGATCTCCAGGCGCTTTGCCTGAGTGAGCTGCGCACCACCGCCATGGAGGGGTGGTGAGGCGGAAAGTGAGCCGACTCCGGGCGTGGGAGTTTCAGGATTTCTGGTTGAACGCCCGAGCCCCAACATCTAGAGGTCGAGAAGGTCGGTCGGCGTAGTTCGTCGTTTAACAAGGGGAGTTTGCCAGCCTGTGATCGGGGAGATACCTATCCCTTCGGATGCGGGTAAAAGCGTAGAGTCGAGGCAAGAGAAAAGCGTGGTGGCGAGGGTATGCGAATGCGTCGCGGCTTCGCGAGATCTGGAAGAAGTCACTGCCGTTGATGGGGAACGGCGCTCGAGTAGTCCGGTGGGAGGAGCAGTTATGTTACGTTGTGCGGATTGCAGTCTCGCAGAGCGTAGGAGATCTTTTAAGTCTCTCACGTCTCGTCTCTTGGAATAACCTGCAAACGTGGATGCGATGAGTGGGCGAGAGCTGGGCTACATCAGATAATAGCAGCTGTGCATCTTTGTCTCCACCGTGAACACGCATGCGAAGGTCTGCTGCTTTGTTCAGCATCCGGGTCCGCGGATTTTTTCTGATGCACCGCGCCCTTGCATGATTATCCTCTTCCCATTGTGTCCATTGCCCACGGACCCAGCGCCCCTTCCGCCATACGAGCGTGTTCACCTGCCAGACCGGGATATGATCACTTACGAACAATACTACATCACATGAGAGGCGAATACAACAATGAGCCAATGCTACGAGAGACTATAGTTACCCAGTGGCTCTAAGTGTGGTCAATAGGAGAGCTCCTACGACTGTGTCATGCTGCGGAGCCGAGACCGCGCAGACCGATCATGCTGACGACATGCGACAGCTGCCGACGGAAGGTTGTGTGGTACCCGCCCCCGTCTGACAAGGCTCGGCGGCGCCAGAAGCCCTTCCTCCGAACGCGAGCTTGCTGCAGACGGGGATGGTGAACCTCTTGGGGGTCACATGATGACGATGCCTGACGTGGAACCGTCCACGGTGCGTCGATGGGCCACGCATTGACGTCGAGGAGCAGAAGTTCGCCGCCTTTTTGTGCAGCATCAAGTCCGCTCGTGCTCGCTCCTACAGCAACGCCGTCCGAGTTGTTGGACACCAGGCTGTTGTCGACCGCGCCCACATCCGCATTGCTGGGCATGTGGTCACTGTCGCGGGCGCGACAGATAGACTCATAGCGGCGAATGGCTGCCTTCTCGAACATGCTAAGCTCCGCATTGTCTAGTTCGTCGCGTAGTAGAATGGCGACGTCGTACAGCTCCTCATCAGCGAGCTCCTGCCAGAACGCGTCACTCTGCTTCTGGCGGACGCGGCTCATGTTCCAGTCGATGATGGCGAGGTTCTGCAGGTCGAAGGCTGGGTCGATAAACTCGGCGGGCGGCCATGGTGGGGTACCACCCCCGCGCATCGTGATATGGCGCCACGCAATGTCTTCGTGAAGGACACCGGCGGCGTGGATGGCCTTGTACATCTTCCCGAGCTGGTCCCTGAACAATATAAGCAGGGCACGACTTACGGAATGAGTTAGGACTCACATGATTCCCGGCTGGTTCTGCTCGGCCTCTGTCAACTCCCTGCCCATGTACCCCTCGATGCGACAGTACACTGCTTCACGCTCCGCCTCGACGTCCGAGAGAAGGCCATCAGAGGGGGGGAGCTCAGAGAAACGAAACAGGCCGTAGTTGCGGGGAACGTATTTGCGTGCTTCAGGGGCAAGGTGCTCCTGAAACTGCGCAAAGACAGCCTCTTCAGCTCGCAGCGCCTTCAGTGCCGTCTGGACATCATGTCCGTCCCAGCCTCTCGGACGCTCAGCATCGTTGAGCGGCATGGACTTCAACACGGCGAACTTGGCCACCACGCTGTGGCCTCCGAAGTCGGCGCGAAACGCTGTGTACAGGGCACCCGATTCGATCGGATCGTACAATCGCAGCGTGTGCACCTTGGAGTCGGCGGCGTGCAGACTGAACGAAGGGTTGTCCGTCGAACCCGTCCTGCGGACACGGTAAAGGGGCTCGTTGAGGGGTGGTTGGAGGTCCAAAGGACAGCGACAGATCCCGAAGTCACAGGAAACGACTTGGAAGGCATTCATGAGCTCAGGCTCAAGCAGTTCGTTGCTGCCGGACACAGGCATGTTGCCCAAGGGATGGTGGGTGGGGAGGGCGTCGTCGAGAGTTGAAGGCGATAAATAAGAAGACCCCTCTGTGCCGAGCATGGAAATGAATGATTGAGAAGAGAATGAAAGGCGTCTTTATGAGGTGTGTGGTGACAGCGCGAGAGTGAGTGACTGAGGACACAATAGGACAGAAGTTGGAAAGATCAAGGACGGAGGTGGATGACCATTGTTGTTGACGTCGTAATCGGCATCAAATATGGTCACGTGATAAAGTGTGTTGCGCAGCACGAAGCTGAACTGCCTTGCATACGCTTCTTCTTTGACAAGGTCGTCACTGGATTTGTCCCTGGGTCCATGTGCATTTAGGTACGAGTCGATGATCTCCCAAATGCCCCACATACGTTGCATTGTACGCTGGCAGCTGACAACGGCGTTGAAGAGTTACGGCCCCGGACTCAACGACTCAATGAGGAAAATCTGGATTTGGGTTTAATTGCCGAGATTAGTGCTTGGGAGGCTTCGGCAATCTGCTGGTCCGCAAAGAATGCACAGGGTTCCGCAACGCTTCAAGGATTGCCTTCACTTCGCATCTTGACACACTTAACATGTGGTCGGAGCAAGCCTCATACATATGTGAGTTCGGTATCTTTGTCTGATGGAGTGTTTGACCACTAAGCGGCGGGAGCGCGAGGACGGACCGTGCTCTGATGGGAAGGATTAGGAAAGCATCAATGGAGCCAACTCGACTTGTGACAGGGCGCCAAAGGTAGCGCCAATAGATGGAAGTGGGTGCGGAGTTCAGATAGGCATTGCCCATGATCGGTAAGAGGTTAAAAAAATGCGACGAGGTGTTTGACGGGCCGTTGTGCGATTGTTTGTCAGTTGCAGTTGTGTTTAGTGCAAGGCGATTGACCAACTACGGAGTGCGGAGATCGCGTAGCATACAGACACTGTGGCTATCCCGCCTTCTCATGGATTTTCCTCCAGATGTCCAGAGGCGACTCACAGCCGCGGTAGGGGAGCTCATTCCTCAACGAGTGCTCTGTTAGCTCGTTTCACTGTCAATGGAGCCAATGGACCCATTGAGAAACACGATGCCTACGAAGTCTCTGCTTCCTGTGTTGGCCGGCTATAACCACCCTACTCTCAAAACGCTCAAAGTCAGTGCATGTTGCAAAGTCGTACTGGCAGTCCATTGGAAACGATGGGCCCTGTGTAATCGACGCGGAACAACAATGGAGAAAATGTACTATCGGCCAGGTAGCTCAGTATCCGCTACCTCTGTGAGCTACGATCTGGATAGCTCTAGTGAAGGACCACTTCCACTGATGTCTCGGAACAAGCGGCGGCAATGTAACCTACGCGGCTACTTCCAAGTCTGTCACTAACGTGCGCGGAAGCTGAGCACATCGATCTATAGATGGTCTTTGAGAGATGACCGCGTTCCACGCTTGCCTAGAATTCCGCGGCCGAAGAAAGCTGTTGCGCTATGAACCGGTGTGCCGACCCGCAGATGCTTATCCGCAGAATCCTCATCCGCAGCATATAAGCTGGAATACAGGAGATGGGTTGTTCAAGTCCATTCCCCTTCATTCCTTCAAGGTGAGACTACTGCACATCGTACACTGACCAACAGATGCGCCTCCTGTTTCTCGCCGCCGTTGCCGTACCTGCCGTGCTTGCGGACGGCCCCTGGCGTTGTGTCAATCCCGACTTTGTTCATGGACCCGGGACTCGGGAGCAGCCTGCCATGACGCAGCGCCGCCAACTCTATCAGTTGCTCCAGACGGGTAACAGTGTAGCAGGCTGGCGCCATTGGTGTATCGGAAACCACTCTTTCAAGTGCTGCGTCTCATGGACGAATGACTGCTATGACCGCCGCTGGGTCGACGCCCTAGCCCTGGCGAGGTCCATGGAGGACCAGTGCGGAGTCCCAGGAGCCTACATCTTCACCGACATTGATCCGTGCTTCGGCCGTTTCTGTCTCAGCAACAACGAGAACTGTCACTAGATAGCTGCATCCCCTATGAATCTAGCTGGAGAGCTCGATACCCGAGTCCTCGGGCGGCGCCACAACACCCCAACGCTGCGCCTGTCCGCGCGCGTTCTTGTAGAAGGCAATGTCGGCTCCGTCCTCGATGAACTGGCACTGGCGGTGGCTCTTCCAAAGCGACACGAGCATGTTCTCCTCTGAGCGCTGGTAGTGCTCGCCGATGAAGGCCTTGAGGGCCTCGGTCGCCTCCCAGGCGTGGTAGTGGGGGATCTTGGAGCAGACGTGGTGCAGCACATGCGTCTCGCACAGGCCGTGAACGGCCCAGGCGCCGATGGGGCCGAGGAACGTGCGGTCGATCGTGCACAGCGCGCCGCGCGGGAAGGTCCAAAGCGCGTCCGAGTAGTGGGGGATCGTGGGGTCGGTGTGCTGTAGGTACGTGATCATGACGATCCAGAAGTTGACGAGCAGGTACGGGATGCCGTACACGAGAGCCATCTCGGTGAAGCTGCGTTTGACGGACCAGTAGGCGCAGCCCGCGAGAACGAGCGCAATGCCGAGGTCGGACCAAAGGATCTGCCACTTGTGGCTCGAGCGGAAGATGACCGACGAGGGCGTGAAGTGGTTCGTCGTCTTGGGGTAGCGCTTCTGACCGGCCGCGTTCATGATGAGGTACAGCGGGAAGCCGAGGAGCTGGTACATGGACATCCAGAAGACGGCAATGGGAACGTGGTCGAGCGCCTCGGCGAGTAGCGACTGCGACTCCTCGGGAACGTTGATGCCGATGACCTCGTCCTCGTTTTGGGCCTCGGGAAGGCCACGCTCCTTGCGCGTGCGGGGGACGAACACCTCGTCGCGCGTCAGACTGCCGGTCGCGGCATGGTGGCGGCCGTGCGAGATGCGCCACGCATGGTACGGGACAAGGAGACACGAGTGCACAACCCAGCCAACGGCGTTGTTGATCGTCTTGCTGGTCGAGAATGCCTGGTGGCCGCACTCGTGACCGACAACCCAAAGTCCGGTGCCCCAGAAGGAGACCACGATGCAGTACGCGGTCCAGAGGGCCACACGCAGCGCCTTCGTCGGCAGCTCGTCGAGCTGCAGGTAGCTCAGGGCGTCCTCGATGTGGTAGGCACCGTACGCGAGCGCGCCGACGATGGCGACATCCTGGACCAGCGTGAGGCTGGAGCGGAACAGCGAGCGCTCGAAGCAGTGAGCCCTGGGGTCAGCGGAATCGTTTATACAGCGACTCACGGGATGGCGTCGAGCAGCTGCTTGTTCGTGAAGTTGGGCACGACAAACTTGCGGTCGACAGGGAGCTCGCCCGCGTCGACGGTGACCTTCTTCGGCGCCTGCTCAACACGCTGGCGGGCGGACATGGTGTGGGTGAAGAGAAAGAGCTGGCATGCTCAGAAATCTTCACCTTTGCGGGGCACAGTGCACGACGGGGGACCCAATCGGGAGGGACGCAAAACTGATAGGGCTGATAATTCCTGATACGCGCCGGTTCCTGGCTCGGCAGGCGATCGGAGCAGAGATATCAGGGCCGCAGTCTCTGGCCGCATGCTGGCCAGTCGATATGGCGTTCAGATGCCCTGGAACTGCTTTTATTCGGCGGCACAGACTCCAGCTGGTCAGGGCCTGTCCGGCATCCGAGCTTGGGCGCCAGGTGGGTCCCGCGTCCTTTGTACCGCAACGGGGGAACAACCCGCATGTGCCCCGCGGCTCAAAGAGGGGTCTGCCATTCGCCCAAAGCGCTGCAGCACGACATCGCGGCGCACCTGTTGTCTCAGAAATCAAAATGAGAAGTTCGTGAGGAGACGAAAAGTGCAACGGTACCAAAAGCTGGTGGCGTTGACGGGCCAATCAACAGGTGGCACTGCCGAATCCGAATTTCGCTGAAATGCTGCAGGCAGTTCGAGCGCGTCTCGTTTCGCGAGCGCTTGCATAGCTCTGCAACACCTGAGAATGACAGCTGCGTCCTAAGTGGATAAGGTCAAGCACGAGTTCACCGCGTCCTGCATTGGTTTCAGAGTCGGACTCTGGCTTGAGCGGTGACGATTCGGACTGTGAAGGGCTGTCCAATTGTGATCTACACGAATCCGAGTCTATGCGCGTCGATTCCAGGTGCGCCAGACACATGTTATGGTCAACGAGGAGGGATACATGTCGCTCACTGCCGAGAGGATGACCCTCAGTAAGGGGGTTATAGCGACGGCCATGGGCAGTGCGAGTCTGCGGACGTCCACCGGTAGCTCATTTCCATAAACCTCGGACAAGGCGAGTGATAAAGCGAGTGAATGAGGTCGTGTCTACCTCGGTCAGCGTTATCTCGGCGTACCTGGAAGTTACTGAATCACGTGCATATTCCTCTTGAAAACGTCTCTCGAGATAAAGTTGCCGTGAGAGCCTGACATTATGACCCTGGCATTCGGAGTCGGACGTGTTGGAGCTCGGATCACGGAGTTTGACCTTCCTGTTATGGAAATTCTTGCGGAGTAGAGATGCACCTCTCGTCAGCTCTTGGCTGAAGATGATCTACATAAACAGATGCGAGAGGATCTGCACAAGACGATGCAAAAACACGATGACTCCATCAATACAAGATCACGATCCCAAGCACCAGACGTCTGATGTCCCGCAGACTCTCTCTGGATCCGAGTCGTGCTCTGACGGCGGGCTCAACAAGCCCGAGCAGACGACGCCGCCACCGCCACCACCGTACTCGCTGTTCACCAAGAAGCAACGCTGGCTCATCCTCGGACTGGGGACAATCTCCGTGAGTACAACGCACCTCAACCTCAACCTCCACCTCCACCCTTCGCACACCAAGTTCACAACATCTTCGCGACTTGTTCGTCTCTTTGACCACAACGTCTTCTCATGCATAAACATATGCTTACGCTCAGAGCACCTTCTCGGGGTTTGCATCTAATATCTACTTCCCCGCCATTCCAACAATCGCGAGCTCTTTGAACACGACAGTCGAGAACATCAACCTGACAGTTACGTCTTACATGATTTTCCAGGCGATCACGCCAGCATTCTGGGGGTAGGTCAACCAGTATAGAACCCACCCTGACATCAGCGCAATGGCAGACGTTTATGGCCGCCGCCTGACGCTCATGTGCACATTCGTGCTCTTCATCGGCGCCAGCATCGGGCTAGCGCTGTCCAACCACTTCTACCAGATTCTGATCTTGCGATGCCTGCAGAGCTCGGGATCGGCGAGCACGATTGCTATCGGTTCAGGCATGGTCGGCGACGTGACGACGCGCGAGGAGCGTGGCGGCGTCATGGGCATCTTCCAGACGGGTCTCCTGCTGCCGCTCGGTATTGGGCCAGTGCTCGGGGGTGTATTCGCCCAGACGCTTGGGTGGCGCGCCATATTCTGGTTCCTCGTCATCTACGCGGGCGTGTACTTGATCGTTCTGGTCTTGTTCCTCCCAGAGACGCTGCGGAGTCTCGTCGGCGACGGATCGATCCTGCCGCCGCGCATCGCGCGGGCACCGTTCGACAAGGTACTCGCGCCGCCGCGCCACGAGCGGACAACGGCGTCCAAGGCGCTCAAGCTCGACATTATCGCTCCCATCCGTATCGTCTTCTACCCTGAGGTGTTTGTGACGCTCCTCTTCCTCTCTCTGCACTACGGCACATGGCAGATGACGATTACGGCGCAGGCGTCGCTGTTCGCAAAGGTGTACGGCCTGAACGACCTGCAGAACGGGCTCACGTTCCTCGCCAACGGCTTCGGGTGCATGCTCGGCACGCTCACGACGGGCAAGATCCTGAACCACGACTACCGGCGCGTCAAAGACGGATTCACGGGCGACCCGGTCGACTTCCCCATCGAGCACGCGCGGCTGCGTACCGTCTGGCTCTGGTCGCCGCTGCAGTGGTTTGGCGTGCTGTTGTTTGGGTGGACGCTCGACCGGCAGCTGCACATTGCCGCGCCCATCGTTGCGTCGTTTCTGCTCGCGTGGGCCGCCATGTCGGCGCAGTCTGTCATTTCGACATATCTGATCGACATCTTCCCGCGGCAGAGCTCGTCGGCGACAGCGGCGCTGAACCTAGCCCGCTGCCTCGTTGGCGCGGGCGCGACCGCCGCGGTCGAGCCGACAATTAAACGCATCGGGACAGGGTGGACGTTTACGATGTGGACAGGATTTCTGGTCCTGTCGCTCGTGCTGCTCGGCGTGCAGCAGCGCTGGGGCGGGATTTGGCGGAAGCGGCGCGAGGCGAGGGAGACGGCGACTCAGTAGACATTAGATGTATCATATGCACCGTTACGACCGCTGCCGCTCATCTCGCAGATGGCGAGGATCCATGCCCCGAACTCGTCGAGGTGCCCGACCCAATGGTCAGTCCTTGCTTCGCGGGTCGCGTCGCTCATCTCGCCCCGACCCCAGAGCTCGTCAAGCAGCAGCCCGGGTTCGCCTGATCTCCCGACCGTCATGCAGGGCGACGCCCAAGCCGACGCGTACGCCTCCCACTCGCGTGCCCAGGAACTCGCCGTCGCAGTCCACAGAGAACGCGGTCCAGGGGCGAGCAGCCGGCCGAGCTCCTCAGCGACGTAGACTGTGATGCCGTTCAGGGCATTCCACGTGTCGTCGAACACGCACGCCGTGAAGATTGTACGGCGCAGGCTCTCGGAGAGAACCCACTCTGTTCGCGAGCGGACCTCCTCGCGCACTGGCGGGATCAACCGCGCAGCGTGGTCAGCCAACGACTGAATGTTGAGCTGAGTCTCGATCGTGACCATGCCCTTGGAGCTGGGCAGGTGGAAGTAGACGAGCATCGTCAGGAGGAGATAGGCCTGGAACGCAGCGAGGGCTGTCTGAGCGTCGTTGCTTTTGTACTGTTGTCAGTCGGGTATCGGCTGGCACTCACGGATGACATGATGGCGCTCATTTCACTGAGCACGGTCTGTGAGACGAGGCTCTCGCTGCCAGGTGCGCGCACCTGAACCATGTTCATCAGCGTCGTGGCATTGGCGAGTGGCCGCTGGTGGCGCAGAGTCGGGTGGATGAAGGGAGGGCACTCTGCGAGCTGTAGAGGGAACGTCCGCAGGAAGCGGCAGCAGTAGTAGATTGTTGTCTGAGAGAGTACTTTGGACCGTGGCGGTGTGCTGTGTTCTTGGGCCATTGCCGCTAGCCAGCGGAGTGAGATGGTGCCGACCGACTGTCCCTCCGGTTCTCTTGGAGTCTCGCGGATCTCATGTCGTGGGCCGTACTCGCAATCTGTGCCCCGAACACGGCAGCGGGAACAAGTTGGTCGTTCCCTGTTGCATTTAGCTTTCGCCTGGACACATTCGTTGCACGACTTCAAGCGTGACTTTCCCGGTCGACGCTGTGAGAGGGCTGGGTCTGGTCGAACGGGGGACATGATGTTGTTGTGATTTTGCAGCTCCAACGTCATGGCGACTGATCTCGAAAGCGATGGTGGAGGTGGTCACGTGAATCGGAATCACTACAGACGACGCGATCTGTTATCCTTTCTCGTCCTCATCTTTCATTGCCCTCTTGTTGCCCACTTTTGTGTCTCCTCTCGAGTATGCATAACTGATCTACAGGAAAACGTCCGTCTTGTATCGCTTCTTCGCCAGTTCGTCCATCAGCGCCGCCCCATCACCGCACTCATCAAGAATCGAAATGATGGTCTTTTTCAGCCCAGATCCCAGCCTGTTGCTGCTTCCGCACACGAAGAACTGCGCACCGCCGTCTACCAGACGCAAGAAGTCTGCCTTCTCCACAGCAACGCGGTCCTGGACGTAGCCCTTAGACACGGGGAGGCCTTGAAACTCTGCAACGTCTGAGCGGGAGAAGCTGAGTCGCAGGTCGAGCACCCCCGAGCGCGCCCACTGCACCAGCTCCTCCGCGTATGGCAGGTCTGCCGCCGAGCGGCACCCATACCACAGCGTCATGGCGCCGCCCGTCGCTGCGCGCTCGGCAATGAATGCCATGAACGGCGCAATGCCCGATCCTGCCGCAAACATGGCGATCGGGACAGAGGGGTCGGGGAGGTGGAATCCGGGGCTCGGCTTGGTCGTGCACTGCAGTTGCTGGCCCGGCTGCAGGTGCGCGAGATAGTTGGAGCTGACGCCGAGGACGGCGCCGGCGTTTGCCGTGTGCACAGTGTACGTGATCGTGGCCGTGTCGCCGGGACGCGACGAGATGGAGTAGTGCCGTGGCTTCATGCGCGGGAGCGACGCGAGCATGACGCTCAAAGGCAAATGCGTGTCCTGCATCAGGTCCAGGATGGTGTAGTGCTGCGCGCGGGCCTCCTCGTAGCTGATTGTGGGCGGGAGCAGAGAGCGCGGCGCCGTGTGTCCGAGCTCGACGTAGGAAGTGAACAAGTCCTGCGCGCGCACAGTCAAGGATCCCCATTTGACAACGTCGTTCGCGTCGAGGCCACTGACGCGCAGGGCGCGCTGTACTGATGCCTCTGGGTTCTTTGGCATGACGCACAGGTAGTCGCCGACGCGATACGACTGGCCCTCGGGAATCTTGACGACGGTGTGGACGGTCCACGGGTGCGACTCGGACGCAGGCAGGATTGTGCGCTGCTCGAGCACCGTCCCAAAGCTGTAGCCCTCGGCAATCGCCGCGTTGGCCGACGCTGGGAGCACCTCGACGTCGAGCACCTCGGTCGTCTGGCCCTCGACGCCCGCGACTCCGAGCACATCCCAGACTGTCTCGAGGTACGCCTCGACCTCGCCGGTCGCGTCGCCCGAGACGTCGGCGACAGTGAGGGGCAGCAGACGCTTCGCGCCGAGTGCCTCGAGTCGCTCGTCAACGAGCTTCGGGATGCGGTGGAAGGACGTCGTCCAGTCCTTGTGCCCGAGCCCCATGACCATGTATGAGGCATTGGTGAGGGGCTTATCGGCCAGACGCTGGAGGGACTGCACAAACTCGCGGGCATTGTCTGGCGGCTGCCCTTCGTACGACGGCACGAAGATGATGGTCGCGCCATCGCTCGGGAGCACGCCGTCGCCGGCCACGGTGTCGAGCGCACCGACGAAGGGCTTCAGCCCGCGCGCAGCCGCTTCCTCGGCCATCTCATTCGCAAACGTCTGGCACGTGCCCGCGTTGGACCCGTACAGAATGTTGACAGGCACCCCGCTACCGGCGTTTGCCCGCTTCTTGGTCTTTGTCGCCGCCTTGGAGGGCCGGGTGCTGCCCGCGAGCTCTGTCAAGAGGCTCTGGTTGCGGCTGAAGCGCGGCTTGGCAACCACCTTCATGCCACGCGGCTTGATCGTGAGCGATTCCTGGATATCGAGCTCGTAGCCGGGATCGGCAAACTCGACGTCGAAGCGGTGCAGAATCATGATGAGCGCGAGCACGCCCTCCATCATGGCAAATGTGCGGCCAATGCACGCGCGTGCGCCGTTGCCGAAGGGCCGGAATGCGGCCTGGTCCAGATCGTCGAGATGCTCCCAGCGCTCTGGGCGCCAGTCGTATGCGTCCTCGCCCCACACCGTCTTGTCGCGGTGCAGCAGCCAGCCCATGACCATGACGCCCGAGCCCTTCTTCAGCACGTACCCGCCAGGCAGTACCTCGTCGCCGTTGCGCGGCTCGACGCCCCATCCTGGCGCGGTTGGGAGGAGACGCAGCGCCTCCTTCAGCACCCAGTCAATGTAGCGCGCTTTGGAGATGTTGAGGTTTAGCATGTTGCCGTCCGCCTCGGCGATGAGCTTGTCCGCCTCCTCGCGCGCCTTGCGGTACGTCTCGGGATGCTTGAGCAGGTAGTACATTGTAAATGAGAGCATACCCGAGGTCGTCTCGTGTCCTGGCGTCAGCAGCGCCTTCTATCCACACTTACCTGCACTCAAGAAGGTGATGACCTGGTAGCGAATGTTCTCGTCGGTCAGCCCCTTGCCCGTCTTGGGGTCCTTGTCGTGCAGCATCGTGTTGAGAAGGTCGCCCGCATCGGGGTATGGGTTGCGTTTGCGCTCGGCTATGAGCTGGTCGCACATGTCGAACATTTCCTGGATTGCGCCGTAGTATTTCTTGTTTGCAAAGTAACGCAGTTTCAGCAGGCCGTCGGGGAACTTGCTCCGCTCGTCAATCTGCACAAGCACCTTCATAAGATTGTCCACAAAGGGGTGCACCTTCTCGGAGTGGAACGAGTTGAAGCGAAACCGGAACGCGCACAGCCCAATGGTGTCGAGGGTGAGGCGCGTGAACTGGTCAACGATGTCGAACGGGGTGCCCGCTGTGTGCTCCCAGTGCATGAGCATCTGCGTCAACGTGTCAACCATCATGGGCTGCATCTTCTTTAGCGAAAGCGGGCCAAAGGCGGGCAGCAGGATGCGGTGCGCAATCTCCCACGACTCCTCCTCGTCGAGCGCCGTGAAGAGTCCGTCGCCGAGCATGTCGCGCAGCAGCATGATTGGGCGGTGTGCATTCTTCTTGAACCGTGTCTCGTCACACAGCGCCTTGGCCATCTTGTACGAGCCCGCGATCGAAAACGCCTGGCCCATAATCTTGAGCTCGTAGATGTCGCGAAACTCGGGGCGCTCGCCGATCTCATGTATACACTGCACGCCGCGCGTCGGGTCGAGGTCGAACAGGTTGCCGACAATGAACTTGCGCGGCGGATACGGGATCGGCTTGGTCTCCTGCGGCAGCTCCATCGCCGAGGCGTACTTGGACTGCTCGCCCGAGACGGGGCACTGCTCGAGCGTTGAGGCCGACGCCGACGCTGGACAAACGTTAGACATGGTGGACAGTGTTGTTGGAAGAGGTGCATGCTGTGTTCGGACCTCTGTAAGGCATGGTGTCGGTCGAAAGGCACGAGACCGGAAAGAAAGAACAATAGCGCACAGCAGGAGAAACAATGAAGAGACGCGGGACGCGGACGATTAGGTTGGAAGCGGAACGACGGCCCAATCGGACCCCGAAGTTACCACGTGAGCCGCCGATCACCACATGCACGCAATCTCGTTACATTCATTACAGCGTTACACAAAAGCTACTTAGTACGGGTACTTGGGCGCGTTAACCCCGCTGACCTCGACGACCTTCTTGGCCCACTCCGAGACAAGCGGCAGGTCCTCGTGGTGCCACACCTTGGCCAGCAGGTCATAAGGGCGGACGGCCGCCGACGCGCCATACCATCCAAACACGTCCGAGTCGGCATGGGTCGGGTAGTCGGTGCCGGCGATGAAGGGGCCCTTTCCGGCAGCCTTGAGCGCGGCGAGGTGCTTCTCGAGCGTGCCGAGGGTGCCACGGGCGGCGGCAGCGGTCTGATCAACCCACGCGTCGTCCTTGGAGGCGGCGATCAGAGCGTCAATCTTGGACTTATCGCCTCCGAGCTTCTGCTTCAGGAACCAAGCGGACGACTCGGCATTCTGAGCCTGGTACAGCCACGGCGCGAAGAGGGGGACGAGCGCGCCAAAGAGGTCCTTGTCGACCCACGTGTTGATGAAGCGGTTCAGCGCCTCGCCGCCCGCGAACAGCGAGCGCTCGGGCGTGCCATACTTCTTGTCAAGCTGCCGTCAGCCAAGTCACATGCAGCACTCACGTATTCGGCAATGGTCCACGAGTCAGTGATCCAGCCGTCCTCAGTCTTGAGAGTCGGGACGGAGACTTTCGGGTTACCGGTCTCCTTCTCGAATTCGCCGCGGATTTGGGCGAAGGTTTTGCCTTTGAGCTCATACGGGACGCCGAGCGTGCTGAGGTCGACCTCGGTCTTCCACGCGTACGGGCCGACGTTGATGTTCTGGCCCTCCTCGAGGGAGAGGCCGTAGAGGGGGATGGGCGAGGTGTCCTTGGTCATTGTTGCTGGGGAGCAACTCTGATCCGGGTGCACCTTTTATGCATGATGCGGGCAAGCTAAAACGGCGCCATGGCGTGCTCCGCATGCGCGGATGGTGGTAGGTGTTGCGTTTTGTATCCTCAATCGCGGCGTCTGAACAGATTGCGTGCTCGCCTTCGGCTAGCGCCGCCAGTCGGCTACTTGAGCCGTGACTGACCTCCGAGATAACTATAAGAACTCATTTGTCGTCCTGGATGATGTCAGCCATGAATGCGATGGTGACTACCTGTCGACAGCTGCTTGGAAGATAGGTTGCCCGCTAGACAAGGCGTTGTCAGTTGTGTCGTCAAGTGTTGGCCAATCGATAGTCTATACTTGTGCGGAGACATATAACGCCGCCAAACGTTGACCTCTTCACCCACCCGCCATTAAGCAGCAGAAGACTCAGTACGAACTAGTGTCAGGTCGGGTCTCAGATTGTTAAGAATAACACTTGGGGTGCAACTATACGACTGAAGTGAGCGAACCGCAGGCTAGACATCGGTCGTGCGGCATTTGGTGTCAGAGTGCTCGTCGATAACGACGGGGAACTGCCGCCTCACCACAGGCCGCATCGCACCATGCCCTCAACAGGCGGTCTGCCATATTCTGACGCATCCCTAACAGTGTAGAAGCTTCTAGTTAACTCACGGGGCGCTTCAGCGGACTACGAGCTTTTGCATGGCGCATGAACGCATCGATCGGACTGCCGCGTGAGTCCAGCCACGCTTGGAGGTTTTCGATCGCCCACGCTTCTTCCTGAGTCACGAATGGCTGCTCCGCTTCTTCAACTCTACTATGCTGGCGGGTTCCAGCTCTAAACCCCTAAGGACAATCCCCGTCTGAGCCTAACCGACTGGGAAGCTCCTCGTTAACGACTTTGGCATCTCAATAGCTTTGAGGTAGCTCAAAGGGCAAACATGACATCGCCATGTCGCTCTCCAAGCAGCCCTTGCTGATACGGAAAGATTGCATTCGCATCGGACTGCAAACTAGCACTCATTGATAGATCTGTGATCGCTTAATGGCATTTGATAGTTCGCCTCGCTGCGCAAAATGAGAATCGAAGTAGGGCAACTTGATAAGAGTGGCACCTGCCATAATTGCATGTGCCCAGCGAGTCGAGAGACTTGTCAGGCATTTGAACAGCATCAATCTTAGTATCAAGAAGGGGAGCACAACGGTTGCCTTGGCCTTGAATTACAATCCCAGGGACCCAGAGCAACAACACTGCCGAAACAGTTAGGCCGACTACGGGATCAGAGCCACCGGCAACCCACAGCCCCCGAGTGGCCGTATGGCTATCAGATGCGTTATCGGTCAGCAAGTGGGCTTCATAGTCTCAACACCGAACGTTACTGGACGATGCAGTCCCCTACGCTCAAGCGTTGCCCAGGTGGCCGTTGCCAGTCAAACGTCAACACAGGAAGTCGGCTTGTTCTTAAGAGCGACAAGTGCCAGCTGCTCCGCACCACGTACCAGAGCCAGAGCCGGTGGACTGATAAGATTATAGCAAGTCGCCGCAACGATATACCGCCGTTCGGCGGCACGGCCGTTGACGCGAATGCCCTACGAAACATGGCTTACTGATGAGATCAGCTGCCCATCAGCGATGTGATGTGCCACCTCCACATTCCGTCAGTCGTGTCACCAGGCAGTCACCGCAACATTCCCCATTACACGCACTGCGTCGCCCGCTCTGACGCGCGCGCGCGTGCCCACCGTGCATGCCTGCATGCCGGTGCTGTGCCGAGTGCGGAGCCCTGCGCCACGGGCGTTTGGGTGACGCGCTATGCGGGGTAAACCAATGGTCACCCACCGGCAGAACCATGGCCTCCACCTCCACCGGCCACCGACGTCGGGCAGCCAGGCAGGTGACTACTACAGAGCATCTCGGTGCATGTCTCGTCTTCCCACTCCCCCAATCCACAATGACTGCCTCCTCGAACGTCGTTTCGCCATACCTCGTCGTTGCCGACGAGCCCATCCCGAAGGAGCAGAAGGCGGCCGTCTCCCACTCTGCTGCCGCTGGCACCGTCATTGAGACGGTCCCCGTCACGCAGCCCAGCGAGCTCAAGCCGGGCGAGGCGCTCGTCAAGCTCCTCTACTCTGGTGTGTGTGGAAGCAGCTGGCACCAGGCGTCCGACCACTGGGACGAGGGCAAGGGTCGCGTGCCCCGCCCCCTCATTGCCGGCGACGAGGGTGTCGGCACGATCATCGCCATGAACGACCCGACGACGACGCTCAAGCTCGGGCAGACTGTTGGCATCAAGTTTGTCGCGCACACCTGCAATGAGTGTCCCGCCTGTCTGCACGGCATTGAGATGGTCTGCCCGCAGGCCAAGTACACTGGCCGCTCCGTCAATGGCACATTCCAGCAGTACTCGCTGGCTTGGACGAGCCAGCTCACGCCGATCCCCGACATGCCGCTCGAGCTCGCTGCGCCCATTCTCTGCGCAGGTGTCACGGTCTGGCGCGCGCTCAAGGACTCGACGGCGCACGCCGGTGACTGGGTTGCTGTTGCTGGAGCCGGAGGCGGTCTCGGCTCTCTCGCCGTCCAGTACGCCAAGTACCTCGGCATGCGCGTCGTTGCCATTGACAATGAGCGCAAGCAGGCGTTCTGTAGGGAGATTGGCGCCGATGCCTTTGTCAACTACAAGGACGCCGACTTTGTGCAGCAGGTAAAGAAGGTTGCCGACGGCCTCGGTGTCCAGGCCTCCATCCTCTGCTCCAACGAGCCCAGCTCGTACCTCACCGGCACGCACTACCTCCGCCCGACTGGCAGCGCCATGATTGTCGGCCTCCCGCCCACCGGATCGCACGTTCCCGTCGACTGCCGCAACGCCGTTCTCGGCATGCACACTGTGCGCGGCTGCTTTGTCGGTAACCGCGGCGACGTCATTGACGCGCTCGACGTTGTCGCCCGCGGAAAGGTCGTCCCGAAGGTTACCGTCAAGCCCTTCTCGGCCATCCAGGAGACGTATGACTGCATGAAGAACGGCACGCTGAACGGACGTGTCGTCGTTGACCGTGAGTTACCAAGCCTGACAGCGCTGACATCCAGTCTGGAAGTAGATACCATTGTATGCATTTCTCTGTTGTGTATTACAGTCTGCAGGCACTGAGCAACGAAGTCGCTAGAACTGTCCGGGCCGGGGCCGGCGGCGGACTGATTTCCGCTACCCGAGCCCAGCCGCTCGGCTACTTTGTCGACGCCACCGCCGTTATCTTAGCGGAGGTTAGTGTACGGATCTTGGTCACGGAAAGCATGCACACCAGGAGCTGAGAGGCACAGCGATGTGCAAAGTCGCGAGGCACAGGGCAACGTTGACTGTCTGCTGACCATATTCTGCTAAAACCTAATAACATACATGCAATGACTATGCTTTGTTTTACTGCTCGTTGACGAAGAGGCCGGCGGCGCCCATGCCCAAGCCGATGCACATGGAGGTGACGAGGATCTTGCCGCCGGTGCGCTTGATGGCGTTGAAGCCGGTGGCGATCTGGCGCGCGCCAGTCGTGCCGAGGGGGTGGCCGAGGGCGACGGCGCCACCGTTGACATTGACCTTGGCCGGGTCGAGGTTGAGCTTCTCGACACAGTAGACCATCATGGAGGAGAAGGCCTCGTTGATCTCGTAAAGGTCGACGTCCTCGGGCTTGAGGTGGGCCGTCTCGAGGAGTTTAGGAATGGCAACCGAGGGGCCGATGCCCATGATGCGCGGGGCGAGGCCAGCAGTGACGTTGAGCACGTGCTTGGCGAGAATGGGGAGACCGAGCTCCTTAGCCCTGCGGCGGGTGGTGAGGAGGACAAAGGCGCCGCCGTCGGTGATCTGCGACGCGTTGCCGCCCGTCGTCTGCGAGGGCGGCCACTGCTTGAAGGCACCCTTGATCTTGGCGAGGCCCTCGGGCGTCGTGCCGTAGCGGATACCATCGTCCTTGCTGACAACGCCGTTGGGCGTGGGGATCGGGACAATCTCGGCCTCGAACACGCCCGACTTTTGCGCGGCCTCGGCACGGTTGTGGCTCTGCGCGGCCCACTTGTCCATCTTCTCGCGCGAAATGTTGAAGTCGCCGGCAACGTTCTCCGACGTCCAGCCCATGGGCATGACGCAGTCCTTGGCGACGGGGTGCTGCTTCGTCTCCTCGGTCAGGCCAACCGCGCCCTCGTCGGGGTTGTTGGTCATGTCCTCGAATCCGACAGCAAGGCCAATCTCAATCTCGCCATTGCGGATCTGGTTGGCGATCGTGCCGACGGCCATGAGGCCAGACGAGCAGAAGCGGTTGATGATCTCGACGGGCGTCGTGTCCGGGAAGCCTGCGGTGAGGGCGGCCGCGCGACCGGCGTAGGGCGCGCCCGGGGTCAGGACGGTGCCGATGCAAATGTCGTCGACCATGCTGGGGTCGACGCCGATCGAGTCCTTGGCCGCCTTGAGGGTGGCGACAAGGAGGTCGGACGACGACATGTCCTTGAAGCCTCCCTTGCGGGCCTTGCAGAGGGGAGTGCGCTTGGCGCAAGTGATGACGACTGCCGTTAGCCTTGACGTGGCGGCTCACTCACTGTCGTCGTCGTGCTTCTCCATGATGCGCTCGCGGGCGCTCTTGGGCTCGCCCTTGAGGTGGTTCGCAATGGTCTGGATACGCTGGGCCATGGTTGTCGAAGTGTGGTGAGAGGAAGAAAGTGACAGCTCGAGCTTATAAAGGAGGGCAGGATCCGGGGACGGGGCCGAGATGTCCGTCGGCTAAGGGCCACGTTACCCGGCAAGCCACGGCCGCGGAGTCCCCCACGAGATCTTATCCTATCATCATGACAAGCCTCTCATGCATGATCCGTTTGTTCCCCGGCGATTCCAGCGGCGAGCACCGCGATCAGCATGTCCTTGCGGATCGACTATTCACGATGATCTCGTCAACGAGACTGGTCACAAGCGACAGCCAACCAGAACCAATGCAACCCCGTGACGTAACCGAGCTAACACCTTCCACCACGATCGAAACCAGTCAACAACACTCCATCCACCATGGGCATCAAGCAAAAGGTCGACCACCTCTTCCACTTCAAGACCGACGTCCCTCCCGACGAGCTCGCATCCAAGGAGGATGTCATGGCCGAGGTCTACGGTGCCAGGCACCAGGACCGCGTCGATCAGGCCTTTGGCGCCGAGGACTCGAAGCGTCACAACTATGAGACGGATGCCTCGGACGCCGTCCCCCACGACCCGCGGCCGCTGCACAGGCGCCAGGTTGTTGTTATCGCATTCGAGGGACGCAAGGGCCAACCGCTCGTGAGCGATTTCCCAATCGCGCGCCGCGCCGTCGACATGATCAAGAATATGGGTCTGGATGCGTACCAGCTCGATGTCACGCGCAAGGATGCCGTCAACGCCGTTCTCTCCGAGACTGCACGCCTGCACGCCGACGTTGTCGTGCTCGCTGGTCGCGGCGATACAGACCACCTTACGCTCGAAGAGGTTGCGCACAACCCTGGCGTCAACGGCCCCGAAGAGGTCAAGGCCCGCGCTCCCCTGCGCCGCGCAATGGTCACGATCGGCGCCCTCGGCGTGCCTGTTCGCTTGTCGGCGGATGCTGGCGACGAGCTCGGCAATGCCCTCTTCTACGAGGCGCTGACGGGGCTGAGCAACGACATTCCCGTCTCCCTGCTGCACTCGCCGTCGCCGCAGCTCGTCGACCCAGAGCTTCAGGCACAATCGATTGCGATTATGGCGCAGGAGTCGATCATGGACCCGCAGGACCCCGTCAGCAGGATGAACTCGAGTGCCAACCTGAACGCGAGCACGACGAGCATGAGTGAGATGTACTAGAGAGATGTAGATGTTTAGAAATGTGCCTGGTTGAACCGCCCGCGGGCGCGGCACTCGATGCCTCCACGGATCCCACGACCTCCACGGAACTCCACTCCCCACCACTGGGGAACCAGAAGGGTCTGGAATGCAGGTACGCAACGAGGGGAATGCTTCTGCCATTGTTGCCCGCGCCCGTATGTTATCAGGATCGTGGCTGATACGGGAGATCGGTGATTTCTTGGTTTTCCCGGGGATACCAAGATTGGTTTACCCAGTGATGTCACCCGGTTGCCCATCATTTCTGGACCTTTATAAGAGCTAGTCACCAGTGTCTGTCGCTACTCACTCCCATCAAGCAAGCAACATGACCGTCTCTATCCCGCAGTCCTTCGTCAAGCTCGACCCCGCTGAGGGCTGGGGTCTGAACAACCTGCCCTACGGTGTGTTCTCGACCGGCTCGGACGACAAGACGCGCCCCGGTGTCGCTGTCGGCGACAAGATTCTCGACCTCGATGCGCTCTCGCGCTCGTCCCACTTCAAGGACTCGCCCGTCCCCGCCGAGGTTTTCCAGGGCGGTAACCTCGACGCCTTTGTCGCCCGCGAGCCCCAGGACTGGGCCAAGTTCCGCGCCTACCTCCAGAAGATCCTCGGCGTTGACTCGCCCCTCAAGGACGCCTCGGACCTGAACAAGCTCCTCGTCGACCGCGCCAGCGCCAAGATGCACCTCCCCATCCGCATTGGTGACTACACCGACTTCTACGCTTCGTACGAGCACGCCTTCAACTGTGGCTGCCTCATCCGTGGCCCCGACAATGCCATGCAGCCCAACTGGAAGCACCTTCCCGTTGCCTACCACGGCCGCGCCTCGTCCGTCGTCATCTCGGGCACTCCCTTCCACCGCCCCGTTGGCCAGATTCTCGAGAAGCCCGGAGACAAGCAGCCCATCTTTGCTCCCTGCCGTCGCCTCGACTATGAGCTCGAGACTGGCTTCATCTACGGCGGCTCTGCTTCCAAGCTCGGCGAGCGCCTCTCCCCCGCCGAGGCCCGCAAGCACATCTTCGGTCTCGTCCTCCTCAACGACTGGTCGGCCCGTGACATCCAGACCTGGGAGTACGTTCCCCTCGGCCCCTTCCTGTCCAAGAACTTCTGCACGACCATCTCGCCCTGGATCGTCCAGCCCGTTGCGCTCGAGCCGTTCCGCGCGCCCCAGTACGACCATGACCCCGAGCTCCTCCCCTACCTCCAGGACCCCGAGGGCTACAACTACGCCGTCCCGCTCAACATTGACATCAAGCCCGAGGGCGGCGAGTACGACCGCGTCTCGGTGTCGTCGATGCAGCACACCTACTACACCTTTGCCCAGATGATCGCCCACCACTCGTGCACTGGATGCGGTATCCGACCCTCCGACCTCATGGGCTCTGGTACGCTCTCGGCGCCCAACGACGAGGGTCTCGGATCCCTCCTCGAGCGCTCGCGCATGGGCAAGCAGCCCTTCAAGCTCGGCAAGCGCGAGGACATGACCTGGCTCCGTGACGGTGACTCGGTCCGCATCTCGGCGCTCGTAAAGAACGGCGACGCTGCCGTCAACTTTGGCGAGTGCGAGGGCACTGTCCTCCCTCCCCTCAAGCAGTTCGGCCAGTAAGGCATAGATTCCCGGTTAGCAGTAGTGCATGTATCATAATTCTCTCGGATTCCATGAGCTTCACAGCGGAACGGAGCACACGTTGCAAGGAACTCTAACACTCGGACCAGACCCCGCTGCACATCCCGTCCCCACTGACCGCGTTTACCGATTTCGGATCACATTTGGGAAGGTTATCAGCCCCGTGACACTAAGAACCGAGCCGCCGACATCGGGAGTCAGCTGATATCTGTAACAGGAACCGAGGCACGATTCAGTTGCTCTCACGTTCCCACTGCACTGTGCAATTTGCACATCACAAGGGTCAGAATGGTTAAGCGAGATCTTTGCCCGCAGCGTCATGGTCAATCATCTGACGAGTGGGCAGGCACGAGCCTCGGTCAACTCGTTCTTGGTATCTCATCTTGGTTTCCCCGTCGGTGTCCAATGCTAATCAGATTACTAATGAAAACCGCTGCATATGATAAGATTAAATTACAAACAATGGATAGCTCTGTTTTACTTGTACTGCTGCTGGGCGTCGTGCGGGAGGTCCGAGATGCGGTCCAGGCCCTGCCAGGCCTTCCAGTAGTCCTGCTGGAGCTTGCCGCTCTCGACAATGGCCCACTTGGTCGTCGCGACCTGGTACGCCGACTCGAACATGAAGGCCATGGAGCCCTCACCAACCTTGTGGGGCTTGAGCTCGGCGGTCGACGCCTTCTTGAACGTCTCCGTGTCAGGTCCGTGCGCAGTGTTCATGTTGTGCAGCGAAGCACCGCCGGGGAGGAAGCCCTCGGCCTTGGCGTCGTACTCGCCGCAGATGTTGCCCATGAACTCGCTCATGACGTTGCGGTGGAACCAGGGGGGTCGGAACGTGTTCTCGGCAACGAGCCAGCGCGGCGCGAACACGACAAAGTCAGCGACGGCAGTACCCGGCGTGTCGGACGGGCAGGTCAGGACAGTGTAGATGGACGGGTCGGGGTGGTCGTACGTGACTGTGCCCATGGCGTTGAACTTCTTCAGGTCGTAGCGGTACGGGACGTAGGTGCCCGAGAAGGCGACGACGTCGTACGGCGAGTGCTTCTGCTCGTACTTGAAGAACTTGCCGAGGAACTTGTTGACAATCGTCCAGTCCTCCTCCTCGGCGCTGTCGTCGTACTGGGCGCACGGCGTCTCAAAGTCCTTGGCGTTGGCGAGACCGTTGGAGCCGATAGGGCCGAGCTCGGGCAGCTCAAAGTGTCCCTTGTAGATCTCGCAGATGAAGCCACGGGCGACGCCGGTCGTGTTGACCTGGTCGACGGTGAACTTGAGACCACGCTGGACGACGGCAATGTGGAGAGGAGGGACGTGGAGCTTGCCAAACTCGGTGGTGATGAGGAGCTCGCCCTGGACGGGAACGAAGAGGAAGTCTCCGTCAGAGTTGTAGAACGACTTCTTGCCCATGTTGCGGCCAAAGGCGTAGAAGTGGATACCGAGACCGTCCTTCATCTGCGTGTCACCGGCACCACCGAGGGTGGTAATGCCGTCAACAAAGTCGACGCCCTCAGCACCGGGGAAGGTGAGCGGGTCCCATCGGAGCTGCTGAGGAGTAGGCTCAATGTCGGGGGAGTGGGCGTGGAAGCTCGAGACGACGCGCTGCGAGCCAGTGTAGGCCGAGAAGGGCTGGTGCTGCACCGATGGGCGCAGGCGGTAGACCCACGAGCGCTGGTTCTTGTGGCGCGGGGCGGTGAACGCGGTACCAGAGATGCACTCGGTGTAGAGCTTGTGGGTCGCAAGCTGGGGGTTGAAGCCGAGCTTGGGAAGAGTGCCGGGGATGGCCTCGGACTCGAAGTGGTTGCCGAAACCGCCTGAAGTCAGCGTTGCCCGACTTGCATGTCACTCACAGTTGTACTTGAGGTTGTCGGGGTTGCTCTTGCCGTTCTGCTCCTTGACCATTGTGGATGAGTGATGTGGGATGAGTGTGGGAAGCTGGCCGCGCGGTTCTTATAAGCTCTGTGCTCGGTGAAGGTAGGTCAGCTGGGTGGTGAAGTCATCACTCGGAATGCAATGTAGTGCGAGCCCAAGTCCGGCGTCTAAGTTCGAGCCAAATGGTTCTCCCGGCTGGGCATGGAGAGCGCGGAGACGGGGCATGCGGGAAAAGCAAGAGGGGAAGATCCGATGTGGGGGGTCGTTGGGGGGGAAGTGGTTCTGCCAGTGTTCCCCGCAGCGCCCAGGCACGGTTCCTGGATTAGCCCCCGCCACGCGAACCGGGGCCCTCGATTAAGAACCATGCCGAGTTCGGCACGCTCAGGGGATTGAGACAGGGCGCAGGGGCGCACAGAGGAGGGCGCAATCGAGCCCTTGCGCCCCTCGTGGTGAGTGACGGATGGTAGTGCCCATATTCCTTTGGTTTGTTCCCAGCAGGCGACAGAGTCCGCGCACGCACGACCGAGAGACCGAACATTCAGCTGACCCACCTCTGACGTTGACTGCTCAATGCTTTAACCGCCCGTACTCAACCTCTGGAGGGTAATGCAACGCATCTGATTGCTCCCCCAAGTTCCCATCCAAGAGACCTATATAACACACCCCCATCCTCGCCTTCCGACTTCTCCATCCCAACAACTTCTCAGCCCATCTCCTCTCTTGGCTGCCTCTCTCTCTTCACCGACAACACAAACTACTTTAGTACTTTTCCTCCCCCTTTCACACATACACACAATGGCTGGCTGGAGCTCAGAAGCCCTTTCGTTCGACAAGCTTGGTCTCCCGGCCATCGTGGCCGCCGCGGTCGTCTTCGTCCTCATCTCCGAATACTACCGCTATGCCAAGGGCAAGCTTCACCTCCCGGGTCCCATGCCCTACCCCATCTTCGGTAACCTGCCCCAGCTTGGCAAGGACGCTGCTCTCACCATGCACAAGTGGAGCAAGAAGTACGGCGACGTCTTCAAGGTCACCCTCGGCGAGCGCGAGATCATGATCATCAACTCGGCCAAGGCCACCAAGGAGCTCCTCTCCGACCAGGGTGGTGTCTACATTTCGCGCCCCATGTTCCACAACTACCACTCGACCCTCTCCACCTCGGCCGGTTTCACCATCGGTACCTCCCCTTGGGACGAGTCGTGCAAGCGCAAGCGCAAGGCTGCTGCCACTGCCCTCAACAAGACCTACGTCCAGGAGTACCTTCCCATCATTGACCGCGAGGCCCTCGCCCTCGTTGAGGACCTCTACGTGAACGGCAAGGGTGGAGCCCTCGAGATCGACCCCGCTGCCTACTGCTCGCGTTACGCTCTCAACACCTCGCTCTCTGTCAACTACGGCTGCCGTCTCGACTCGGTCGGTGACGACCTCCTTGCCGAGATCATCGACATTGAGACTGGTGTCTCTGACATTCGTTCCACCACCTCTTCGTGGTCCGACTACGTCCCCCTCCTCCGCAAGCTCCCCACCATCCGCAAGACCTCGGGCGGCTACACCACCCAGGAGATCAAGGAGCGCCGTGATAAGTACATGGGTCTCCTTCTCGATGACCTCAAGGAGAAGATTGCCAAGGGCACCGACGCCCCCTGCATCACCGGCAACATTCTCAAGGACCCCGACGCGAAGCTCACCCCCCTCGAGCTCTCTTCCATCTGTCTTTCCATGGTCTCGGCCGGTCTCGACACCCTCGGCAACACCTTCATCTGGTCGCTCGGCTTCATGGCCAAGCACCCCGAGATCTGGGAGAAGGCCTACACTGAGCTGAACAAGATCTCCAACGGCAACCCCCCCGACTCGACCGAGGAGACCTGCGAGTACATTGTCGCCCTCTACCGCGAGGCTGCCCGCTACTTCTCCGTCCTCAAGCTCTCGCTCCCCCGCGCCACCCTCGGCGACTCGGAGTACAAGGGCGTCCACGTTCCCTCTGGCACCACTGTCTTCCTGAACGCCTGGGCCGTCCACCACGACGAGGACCGCTACGGCGACGTTGAGAACTTCCGCCCCGAGCGCCACCTCGAGCAGAAGGACAAGGAGGGTGCTCTTGCCCACTACTCCTTCGGTGCCGGTCGCCGCATGTGCGCTGGTGTCCACCTTGCCAACCGCGAGATGTACGTCGGTTTCGCCAAGCTCATCTACTTCTTCAAGCTCGAGGTCGGCTCTGAGGACTACGACATCAACCCCGAGACCGCTTGCAAGAACACCTACGGTCTCTCCTCCACTCCCTTCCCCTACAAGGTCCGCTTCGTTCCCCGTGACCCCGAGGCCATTGAGCAGTGGATCCAGGACGAGAAGTCGCGCAACGACATCTCGATCGCCTCGGCCATCAAGTCCAAGGTCAACGCTTAAGCGAGCGACGATCACACTAAACCGCGCCAGCCCCATCCCTGGCTTCGGTTCAAAATCTAGTCTCATAAGTTTTCCATTCTATAGCATTGTTAGGGCCCGTGTATGAAGAATCGCATCTAGACGAACAAGCAGGAGTCGCACAGCGACGCCAGAGCAGCACTCACGCAATCTAACCTTACTACTGACGTTCTCTGACTGACGCTGCTATTCTGTGACAAACTCGGACGACACAGTGGGCAGGCACAAGTAATCAAGGAAGTGGGGGAACCGGCGTTCTAACCGGGTGACAACGGTATGACGGACACAGGGCACATGATTCGACGCCCGGGGATTATTTCGAACACATCGCGGTATGCTCACATCAGGCTCACCCAGCGCACCGCATGCTCTGATCCCAGCCCTCTCTGCTCCCCCCCCCACCGCTCGCACTCAGGTCCGCTAGCCCGTCGCTAGCCGGAATGCATCCGGGACCGACGACGGAGAGCCTGACCGGCTGTCGAGCGATCCGGCGGAAATAAGTTTGGGCCCACGTCGCCTGTTCGCGCGCGCCTCCCGAGACCACGCCGAGAGCTGTGTGTGAGCACGGGGCACACAGCGACAAGCTTATTCGCGTCCTGTGAAATGGACAGGTGATCAGCTCCTCGGTGTTGATGCGGCTCACACTCGCGTCGATCACGGCGTCAGGCGTCACCTGACGTCTGGGCAACGGGCCAGCCTTGTCCCGCCCCGATGTTAGCTCGACCCCAGGTCATGTGAACTCGAGAGAGGGACAGGCCGGATCGGACGAGACGAAGGAACCCACAGGAGAGGCACACGGTTCAAGCGAGACGGGCGAGACATGGCGAGCCGCGATGTGCGGGTTGCGAGTGTCGCACGCCTGTAGGTACAGAGGGACAGACCGACAAGGCATCAGAGGGACAGGAACTTGAATCAGAGCCAGGATGAATCAACGTGAATCAAGACATTCAGGCAGTCACCGAGGCGACGCGGAAAGCAGAGTGTTGGTCAGCTGTTACTACTCGTCGAGAACCCGAAGTCTTAAGCCGACAAGGCACGCGCACCGACGGCTATGATGTCACAGCCCGCGATCGTAAACAGACGGAGCCCGCGGAGGTCAGTCCGCTGCATGATACCAGGCCGGGAATAGGACAACGAGGTGCATGGTTCATGCACGTTGGCAACAAACAAGAGTGTGCAACAAAAGTGGGGGTCAATACATACAGAAAACTAGGTCTAGGTTGGCTACAAAGTCGGGCGAAGGGACGGCTCGGGGGGGATCGACGAGGTACGGATGCACATCATTGCTAGGCAAACGCGATTGGGCGAGGTGCAACTCGCGCTGCCAACTCTTCGCGTGCTATGACGCGGGCATGTCGGGGAAGCACTGCTGCCAGAGGTTGATGTCGTCTCCGGCTGTTGGCATGCCGGCCCAGAGCAGCATCCACGCGTTGAGATCGAGGTCGTTGAGCGTCTCCTGCCCCGTACCAGTCGTTGCACTCGTGCTCGCCCCGCTGGGGAGCATCTCGCCTCCGAGCTCGGCGAGGTCGTAGTTGCCGCCAATCATTGGCGCGGGACTTGGCGGGCGCGTGCGGCTTCCGACGGCGTTGAGCTTGCGCAGAATCTCGACGTGTCGACTCGCGCTGACCCACTGCATGCTGATCTGGTCGAGCCAGCGAATGCACTGTTCCAGACGCCTGTGCGATTCTTGCCGCGGGTGACCGCGCGTGACTGTCTCCGCGACGCCACCCTCGGATGCGAGACCGGCGTGAACAGTGGCAGCCTGGAAGACGAGGTAGACCCAGGAAGACGCAAACTTGCGGATGCGGAAGGTGCGCTCGTAGCTCTCCATAATCTTGCACATTTGCGTCGCCGCGGCGCGCGACACGTCCACGCCCGACGGGAGCTTGTAAGGCGGCTGAACGAGAGCGGAGCGGTACGGGTCGTTGGGTGCCGAGGGGCTTTCGGCAGACTCGAGGTAGGGGACTTGCGGGCGGTGCAGGAGGACGAGACAGAGCTCGTACCATCCGCGGCAGGTGAGGAGGTGCAGTCCAACGTCGGCATGCGCGTTCTCGTCCTCGTCACGCCACTGCAGGTGTTCCGGCAAGCTCGCGCGCCAGCGCTTCAGCTGCGCGTCAATATCCCGCACCGCGTCCTCGTAGCCCTCGACGTGAACGCCATCCATGCGCGCCCTGCGTGTTGACGGGCGGTAGACCTCGTCGAGAATCTGCTCGAGGAGAGCCATGACGTCGGCCCAGGCGTTGAAGCTGCTCAGCGTGTGCGACTTGAGACACGCCATGGCGTCGGCACTCTGCCGGACAACAGCGCCTGCGCGCCGCCAGACAGCCAGAGGTCGAGCTCCTCGCGCTCCATTGTGCTCACGCGGGGAGCGTCAATGTCAATGCGGTGCAGAGACGGCGGTCGCTGCTGCACGGCGGCAACAATCTTGTCGAGAATAAAGCACGCCCAGATTGTGCGGATGCGCTCCTGCTTGGTGCGGTTCTTGTCCGAGGGGTCCGCGAAATGCGTGTTGAGGCCGAGGTCAATGGCCATTCGGCACGCAATGCCAGACATTTGGTACGCGAGCGAGCTCTTGCCGTTGCCGAGGTCGGAGAGTGCAACGTAGATTAGCGCCTGGACCTGCTCGAGCGACGCTGGCGTGCCATTCATCATGGCGCACATGACACGCTGCCGCACGCTCTCGGTGAGCGTCTCGCAGATTGTGCTAAAGGGCCTGTCGGATCCAGGCGACTTCCCGGGGGACATGAACGGCTGGCCCGGGACGAGGTCTGAATTAGCGGCGCAAATGGCGAGGATCGCGTCGAAGAGCAGCGGCGACTGGGTGCGCAGTACGCGCAGATTCGGTAGCGCGGGCACGTAGACGATTGGCCAGCAGGGGTGGATGAACGTTTCGTACACGAGGAGCAGATCGTCGAGCCCCTCGGAAGTGAGACCGACGTCGCCTGCGATTGATGGCCCACCGATTGTCGACGCAGGCACGGACATGACGCTACCCACGCTCCCTGTCGGTGTCGGCGGTTTGAACGCAATGCTCGGCACGTCGCGCGGATACACGTCTGGCGGAGGCACAAACTCCATCGACGCCGTGTTCGAGAGCATGCCAAGGTCGGTCAAGAGATTGTTGTCGAGACTGGGCGTAGTCGACTGCACGAGCGGCGTCGTAATGCGCGGTTCCGGGGCCGGGAGCGCGGGTGGTGGAGGCTTTTCGTCGGGCGTCCCGTTGCCGCTGCCATTCTCCTTCTTCTTGTCGTCGCCGTTGGGCGTGCCGTTCTGGCCGTTCTGGGCTGCGGCAGCGGCGGCTGCGGCCTGGTTGAGAGCGCGCTTCTTGTGGCCTCCCCGCGCGGGGGAGCCTTTCGGGGGCCCGCGCTTCTTCGCGGTGGTGTAGAAGCACTCTGAGCCGAAGAAGCGGATGCAGTGGGCACAGGGGTTCTGGCCGTCGCACTTGATCTTGCGGATGGAGCAGGCAACACAGGCCTTTGTTGTGCGTATCCTGTCCTGTGGATCGACGGGCATGGTTGGGAGTGGGTGAGGAGAGGTTAGGGATGATGAAAAGAAGATGCAATGCAAGGGTTGTCACTTGACTCAGCGAGAGCGAGAGAGAGCGAGAGAGAGCACATCTCCGGGCCATGTTCGGACAACAGAGAGCGCTTGTGGGGGGCCAAGGCATCAGAGCAGAGGCCGGGGTGTGGGGGTTTCCCACGTGGCTCTTTCCTAATACGGGCGCGGGGCGTGCCCCCCTCCGCCCCCTGACCGCGAGCGACGATCACACTAAACCGCGCCAGCCCCATCCCTGGCTTCGGTTCAAAATCTAGTCTCATAAGTTTTCCATTCTATAGCATTGTTAGGGCCCGTGTATGAAGAATCGCATCTAGACGAACAAGCAGGAGTCGCACAGCGACGCCAGAGCAGCACTCACGCCCCCTCTCGAGTGACCGAGCTCTCCCAGTCAATGCTTCGATCCCAGTCCAGAACAACTGCTCGCCCATATCTGCCCTCGCACGCTCTCTGCCATTGGCCCACACCCCCTCGTGGCTTGGCAGTCTGCCTCTCATCCTGGTGGGCAGCCACCCCTCATACACTCTTGGAGGCGCTTGTCTACCAGTCCGCGAGCGCTTGGCAGAAGGCGTGTGTCAGTCACCAGGCGCCGCGAGGCTGCGCGGTGACTACGCGGTGACACAACTTGGGTACTGCTCTCGGCGGCCCAGTGCTCCGCCCGTATCTCACCACCAAAGCCAGTGCCGGACATGCCGGACGATCTTAAGCATACCACCCAAGGATCTGATCAGTAACCCGCTGCACAGCATGCATGCCCCGTTTATCTACGTGTTGGTGCGCGCGTGTCCACGGACTTGCGGCGGGCAAGATGGATCTGGTGGCCGGGTAAACCAAGTGTGGGGTCGCTGGAACGGGGTGTGGGCGGGGCTTGCTGGGCCCTCAGGGCGCCACAAGGGTCGAGAAGGGGTCGCGTAGGGTGGCTTGGTGGGGGTACGCATTCCAGTTATCCGATCGATCGACTTCGGCACGTTCGGCATCGCGCATGCACCCATGCTCATTCGCTGCTGCGGCATCTCGCACAAGTCGACGGCGGCTCCCCAAGGGCCCCGGCTGCAAAGGAGCCAATGCCGCAGGCTGTTCAAGTGCCGGTGTGAGCCGGCAGTTGCCTCGAAAGAGTTACTGGGTGTAACCCGCCACGTAGAGTCCGTCACCGGCCCCGGAGTGCCTGTAACCCAGCACCCAGACGGGGACGAGGGCGGGTGCTTGCAACGCCGTCATGTGAGCTGTGATCTAGACGGAATCGCATGGAAATCCGCGCACGGTGAGAGGTATGAGCTTGTGCGCGGTTGAGAGAGCAGTCATCGCTTGCAGAGTACCATGGTCCCGCCTGTTGCACGCGTCAAAGTGATGTCATGTCCTCGGTTGGAGACAATTCGATACGATCTCCTGATCAGTGCAAGGTCCGGCTAGTGAGAGATGAAGTCCGTTGACGCACGCACGAGTCCGCGGTCGAACGGAAAGCAAAAGGGTCTGGACGCGGTGATTTCGAATAGCTCGAACCTTGGACCCCCGGCGCCCCACGTTTAGCGACGGGGTCGGGTCAGTTACCAAGTCAGCTGAGAGTGGGTGGGTGGGTATTCATTCTTGCCGATCCTCGGATCTCCCACCGTCAGCCATACACAACCACCCTGCGAACACCACCTCACGCTCTCACCACACCAAACGGCAAAACCATTCACACGACAATGCGGAGCACCTGGTTCCCCAGGCGGCATCGTCAGACTACATAACAGCGAGCCGATGCACTTGTTCTTTCTCCAGACTTCAACCACCATGGACAACCAGACAGCAGCAGTCCTCCTCCTTCTTTTCATCTTCCTCTACTGGCGACGCGAGTCCCTCCCCTTCATCGGGGGCGGCGACGCCAAGTCTTCCTCCACGGCTGCCGGCAGCGCGACCAAGTCGCACAAGCCCAAGGTCCTCGACGACGACAACGAGGACGACTTTGTGGTCCAGATGCGCGAGGGCAAGAAGCAGCTCGCCGTCTTCTTCGGATCCCAGACCGGCACCGCCAACGAGTACGCTCTCCGCATCGCCAAGGAGGCCAAGTCGAGATTCGGCGTCACCTCCCTCGTCTGCGACCCTGAGGAGTACGAGGTCGCGACGCTCGACCGCGTCCCTAGCGACAAGGCCGTCATCTTTGTCATGGCCTTGTACGGCGACGGTGAGCCGACCGACAATGCCGAGGAGATGTGGAACTTCCTCTTTGACGACGACGTCACCTTCTCCAACGGCGGTCAGTCGCTCGACAACCTCAACTACGTCATGTTCGGCCTCGGCAACACTACCTACGAGAAGTACCAGGGTGCCGCGCGCAAGCTTGACGCGCGCCTCGAGGAGCTTGGTGCCCGCCGCATTGGCGAGCGCGGCGAGGCCGACGAGATTGTTGGCACCGAGATGGGCTACCTCGACTGGAAGGACGGCATGTGGGCCGCCCTCGCCGACCGCCTCGAGCTCCAGGAGGGCGAGGCTGGCGACATTGCCGACTTCGTTGTGACCGAGGTCCCCGACCACCCCGATGAGAAGGTCTACCGCGGCGAGCTTTCGCCTCAGGCGCTCAAGGCCGCCCACGGTGGTGCCCCCTCTGGATCCTACGACGCCAAGAACCCGTACGCCGCTCCCGTTGCCACATCGCGCGAGCTCTTCGCCATGGAGGGCGTCGACGGCGACCGCAACTGTGTCCACCTCGAGCTCGACATCAGCGGCACCAACATTTCGTATCAGCACGGAGACCACGTTGCCATCTGGCCTTCGAACCCTGACATGGCCGTTGAGCGTTTCCTCTCCGTCCTTGGCCTCAACGACAAGCGCGACACCCCCATTGAGATCAAGGCGCTCGACCCTCAGCTTGCCGCCGTCCCCTTCCCCTGCCCTGCCACCTACGAGTCCATCTTCCGCCACTACCTCGAGATCTCTGCCATTGCTTCCCGCCAGACGCTTGCCATGCTTGCCAAGTATGCTCCGACGCCCGAAGCTCGCGCCACCATGGAGCGCTGGGGCAATGACAAGGAGGCCTACCACCGCGAGATTGAGGGTGCCCGCGTCCGTCTCGGCGAGGCTCTTCAGCTCGCTGCCGGCGACGACCCGCACGTCTCGACCACGGCCACCAAGTGGGACATTCCCTTTGACCGCATCATTTCGCTGGTTCCCCGCCAGAAGCCCCGCTTCTACTCGATCTCGTCCTCGTCCAAGCTCCACCCCGACACCATTCACGTTACCGCCGTCATTCTCCGCTACCAGACTCCGGACAGCAAGCTGCACGGCAACAACCCTCGCTGGATCTACGGTGCCGGCACCAACTTCCTCCTCAACGTTCAGCAGGCGCGTCTCGGTGGCCTCGCGGGTGGTGTCACCCCCATCCGTCTCGACGGCATGCCCACGACCACCCCTACTTACCGCATTGAGGGCCCTCGCGCTGTCCACGCCAAGGACAATGTCTACCGCATCCCCATGCACACTCGCCGCTCGACCTTCCGTCTTCCTCAGCGCACCAATGTCCCTGTCATCATGATTGGCCCCGGCACTGGTGTTGCCCCCTTCCGTGGCTTTGTTCAGGAGCGCGTTGCGCAGGCCCGCCAGAGCCGCGAGAAGCGTGGCCCCGACGCTCTCAAGGACTGGGCTCCCATGTGGCTCTTCTACGGCTGCCGCAACGACAGCGACTTCCTCTACAAGGAGGAGTGGCCCGAGTACGCCAAGGAGCTCGACGGCAAGTTCTCCATGCACACTGCCCTCTCGCGCGGTCCGGACCGCAAGCCCGACGGATCCAAGATCTACGTCCAGGACCTCATCTGGGACCAGCGCGAGGCCCTCGTCCGCGCCATCACGCAGCAGGGTGCCTACATCTACATCTGCGGTGACGCCAAGAACATGGCCAAGGCCGTCGAGCACACCTTTGCCAAGATGCTCGCCGAGTACCGCGGTGGCAGCGCCGAGATGGAGGGCGCCGAGGAGATCAAGAACCTTAAGGACCGCAAACGCTTCCTCACTGACGTCTGGTCGTAAATGCGGCCCTCTCGCTGCCTCTGGGCACCTCAAAAACATAGCAGTAATAAGTTCTCATAGCAATCACTCAGTCCCGTCTTGTAAGATTATGTATTGGCATTGGATTCGAAAGATAGGCGCAATGGGGCAACTGGACCAGTATAACGCGCCGATGACCGACTTTTTAAGGCTTACTGGCGTCTGCGCAACCATTCCAAGCTGAGGCTTCGACTCTCTTCGGTCTAGGTGTCTGAGGTTCGCTGATAGTCTGTGAGAGCACGTGAGAACGCAGCGGGCGATCAAACAGTTGATTGATACTGCCACCTGCCCATGGAAACTTCACAATTCTTGGAGCCATCGGGCAACAAACTTTGCTCACACCAACTTTTGCCACGGCTCGGGCAAGCCTGGAACAATGCATTCCTCGCTGCAAACTGAATTACAAGCTGGAACCCGACGAGCTGCACTGAACCCAGTCAACAGACCTCCTTTGGCCAGGCACAGCCCAGCACGCGCACGAGGACGATCTGCGGGACGTGCCGAGCGATGCCGAGATGCCGAACGTGCCCACCGGCATGCCCGGACGCGTGACGAGGTGGTGAGCGCCCTGTTTCATGCCTGAGTGCCATGGCGTTGCGGCATGCGGGGGTCGAGGCTGGGCGGGGCGCTGTGGGGGTTCGTGGGAGACCGCGGGGTGTAACAGGTGGCTTGAAGTAGCCGAGATAACGTGGTTTTCCCGCCAATATGTCTTGGTTTTCCCGTCGGACCTGGCATCTGGGAACCACTTCCGCCCCTCGGGTGCACCGAGGTCACAGATTCGTGTATATTGGATGCATGTCACCTTGGCTTCTCACCATAGCTCATCCACCATGTCCAAGCCCGACGAGACCTACACGCTGTACAGCTACTTCCGCTCCTCGGCGTCGGCGCGTGTGCGCACGCTGATGGCGCTGCACCACATCCCCTACGACGTCAAGTTCATCCATCTCCTGAAGCAGGAGCAGTCGTCGGACGAGTACACCAAGCTCAACGGCAGCCAGACGGTGCCGACGCTCGTCGTCCAGCCCGGTCAGGGCGACAAGTGGAACCTCGGCCAGTGCATCGCCATCATGGAGTACCTCGACGAGAAGTGGGGACCTCAGAGCAAGTACGGACGTCTCCTGCCCGAGAACGCCAAGGACCGCGCCCTAGTCCGCTCCATTGTCGACCAGGTCGTTGGCGACCTCTTCCCGATGCTCAACTCGGCCACCCTCGGCGCCGTCACCGACTTTGGCGGCGACAAGATCAAGTGGGCCGAGAAGTGGAGCGACAAGTTCCTCATGGCCCTCGAGCGCCTCGTCTCCAAGACCTCGACGAACGGCAAGTACTGCTACGGTGACAGCCTGACGCTCGCCGACGTTTCGCTCGCGCCCCAAATGTACACCGTCCTCCGCTTCTACCCCCAGGCGCTTGAGAAGGTCCCCACTGTCAAGAGCATCTTTGAGAACATCTCCAAGCTTCCCGAGTTTGTCCAGGCCGACTACAAGCACCAGCCCGACACCCCCGACGAGCTCCGCGAGAACTAATGTACAACCTTGTAATGCATGTATTCTATGAGAAGAGCGGGGACGCCCAGGCTTTGCGTTCGCTTGCAAACAGGCCCACGGCAGCACATGGCACCAGCTGCACGCGGGCATCAGCACGGACCTGCGTGCGCGCGGCCTGCTCGGCACGGAAGCGGCGATACACCCAGCTGTCGTCTACTGATCGCGTCGTGTCAACGACGGCGTCTTCCAGCCGCGCAGACATCTTGAAGACGGCCGGCTTCACCGGAGGCGACTCGTCTTGAACCTCGCGCCAGCGCTCTGTGAGCACCTGAAGGAGGCGGCTCAAGTCTACACTCTCGCCGAGGCGGTCGCGGAGGATGACGAGCTCGTCGTTGAGCCGTAGCAGCGCCTCGCGCAGCAGCTCGGTCCACTTCTCCTCGAGCGTGCGCCTTAACCACGGCACTGCGGCCGTGGGGAGCAAGACGCGGTACAGCCAGTCGATTCCCAGGGAGGACTCGCCCACGCGCATCGACAGTCCGTTGATCGTAACCTTGGTGTGGAGGGGGCGAATGACGTGCTCTGCCCCAGGACGCAGGTTGATATCGAGATCGACCTCGACCGATAACCCTCGCTTTGCGAGCAGAATGTCGACGAGTCCTGTGTCGCTTAGCCCCAGCCCTTTGAACCAGATGCAGCCGAGGGCGTCGCGGACATCGGCGTGAACCTCGCTGACGTTCAAGCGGACGCGTGTCTTCGTGAACTCGTCGGGTCCATAGATCGAGTACCGCACAGCGTCGTACATCTCCCACGTGAGCACGGAGGGCAACACGTCGTCCCAATCCAGAGCCACGTTCTCGAGGACAACCTCGATGTTCGGCGAGACGAACTCGACGCGCGGGATGCAGAGCGCCCCGAGGTTGCGGAGGTGCGGCATGGCCATGTTGGCAAGGTCAGCCCACAGCTTTGGCTTCCATGCGATGAGACCACGAGCGTCGAGGGCAAGGCTGGCAACGAGGTCTTTGCAGCTCTGCTTCAAGCGCACTGTCAGAGTGTCCTCTTGGTCTGGCTCCGACCAGCCGAGCAGTCCGCTGACGCCGCGCACGAGCTCGGCCCAGTGCATGCGGTAGAGGGCGTCGTCGAGCCACTGACGAGCTCGAATATATAGCTCCCGGCCTCTCTCGACGCACACGCCAGTTTCAACGTAACCCGGCTCGAGCAGAACGGCGCGGATGTACGCATCAATCTCGTGCCAGAGTAGGCGGAGGCCGAGGCTACGCCCCGCGTCGGCGTAAAGTCCAATCAGCGCGCTCTGCAGCGGCGTAGCTGGGCCAGAGGCGAAGCGATCGCTGAACAGGGCAAAGTTGCGCAAGATGCGGCGCGTCGGTGTCGCCGCTGGCGTCCCCTGAACAACTCCGACGAGCTCCGCATCGTACGCCTCCAGCAGCGAGAGCAGCCACGCCATGCTCGAGGTATACCCCGGCTGCGCCTGTAGGCTCGCAACTGCCCGCTGCACGAGCGCGAGGAACGCTGACGATGCCTCGTCGAGCGACACTTCGGAGCGCGCGTCCTCGAATTCGTCGAACTCGGACCCAGACTGGCTGCCGCTCCAGCTTCGGCCCCAGCTTCCGGGTACGTGGTACGGTTCTGGCGGTGGATTATCCAGCGCAGGGCTCGGAGCTGGAAGGGGGGGTCGCAGCTCCGACGGGAGCATGTCGCGCGCAACGCCGATGAGCCCAGTTATCGCCTCGCGCACTTCTGGCGTCGTCGCAAAGATGGTTGCGAGCCGGCGCAGGTGCAGTCCGGCGGAGGCGAGCTCGCCATCGGGGTGGCCCCACGCCCATGCCGTGCCGGTGATGGCGGCGTCCAGGTCCTCGCCATCTGGGTCATCCGAGTCCCACTCCCACTCCTCTTCGCTTGCAGATCCCTGGCTCTCAGCCCAGAGCAACCGGAGCGTGTCCTGCAGGAGCTCGTCGCTATTCTTCTCGCGCAACACGAGGCGAAGCGTGTCGGCGAGCGAGCGCAGGCACGTGAGGGCGTGCACCGTGTCGCTACTCAGACTCGAGACTGGCACATTGGGCGGGGGCGTGCTCGCGGCGATCCATTCGAGGAGCAGATCGAGCTGCGCGTTGCTCGGAAAGTGACTGGCATTAGCTCTGCATAGCGCAGTACTCACCCGCTAGCCAACGCCTCCCACACGCTCGTCAGGCGGAGCGCATGCTCGACATTGTCGGCAGCAGCGCTGCTCACATCAGGGCGCACTAGTGTCAGCTGAGCAGATGAAAAGACGTACTGCTATGCATCCGTCGCAAACATAGAGCCGGAGTTCGGTAAAATGTGACGGAAAGAGTGTTGTTGAGAAGAGATAAGGTGTTTGTTAGCACGGCTGTGGAGGTACGCGGGTCGCGTGCCTGGGACTTGCGAATCCTGGCCGTTTCATTTCTCCACGTCCTCCAATCGTCTCCCATTCCTCGACCGTCGTTATCCGGACATGGCTTTCGGCGCTGGTGATGCGTAACGAGCATGGCGCGAGAGGAAGCCCTAGAGCCCCCGTCAGGCACGAGTGGACCGCCGGAAATAGCCTAGGTGCAGTCGGACGGGACCCTTTCAAAAGGTTTGCATTTTGCAAGCGCGATCTCGCACAGAATGGTGTGATGGAGCGATCCTTGCAGCCTTGGAGCCCAACTAGCCGCGGACCCAAGTCTTAAATGTGGACCTCGATGCAGTGTTTGTTTCTCCATCGCCCACCATGTCCAACGAGAAGGGCATCCACCCATACGACGACCCCGAGAAGGTCGACACGCGCGCCCCCGATGCCGATGCCATCGTTCTCTCCCAGGTGGAGGAGGAGGGACTGAAGCGTGGTCTCCGCCAGCGGCACATCTCCATGATGGCCCTTGCAGGTGAATTGATAAGCGTTTAAAGCTGACCACAGGCTCTATCGGCACCGGCCTCTTCCTCGGCCTGGGAGGAGCAATCGCGACAGGCGGCCCACTCGGAGCTCTGCTCGGCTACCTCATCATCGGCGCGCTCGTGTGCGCGGTCCAGTTTGCTGTCGGTGAAACCTCGGCACTGCTTCCGATCACTGGCAGTTTTGTGCGACACGCCGAGATCTTTGTCGACCCCGCGCTCGGCTTTGCGATGGGATGGACAATGGTGTACGGCAACTGGCTCTCGGTCCCCGGCGAGATCAGCGCCATCTGCGTCATGTTTGCTTACTGGACCGATGTGACGCCGGTCACGTGGTGTCTCGTCTTCATCTTCCTGACTGCAGTCGTGGCACTCGCGCCCGTTGGCGTCTTTGGCGAGATTGAATTCTTCTGCGCGATCCTCAAGATCTTGCTGTTCGTCGGGCTCATCATCTTCGGACTCTGCACCAACCTCGGCGGCGTACCCGGCGTTGAGCGAGTCGGCTTTCGCTACTGGAAGCACCCCGGTCCATTCGTCGAGAACATTGCTACCGGCGCCTGGGGCCGTTTTCTCGGCTTTTGGAGCACCCTCATCTCCGCTGTCTTTTCTTTTTCCGGTATGGAATCCGTCGCAATGGCTGCAGCCGAGACTAGGAACCCCCGGGTCGCTATCCCTCGCGCTGTCAAGCGAGTCTTTGCTCGGGTAACCATCTTTTACCTCCTATCTGTTCTGATCGTGGGGATGTTGGTTGCCTCGGACGACCCGCGCCTCCAGGGATACGCCGACACGGCTGCGCAGAGCCCCTTCGTCATCGCCGCGTCCAAGGCCAACATTCAGGCGATCCCGCACATCGTTAATGCCGTGGTGATCACGAGCGCGTGGTCGTCGGGTAACCAGGCCTTGCTCTCGGGTAGCCGTGTGCTGTTTGGCCTCGCTGTGAAGCGCCAGGCGCCGCGCATCTTCCTGACGACGAACCGCTGGGGCGTGCCGTGGGTCGCGGTGTGCACTAACATTCTCTTCTCGTTCTTGTCCTTCATGACGCTCAGCGACAAGGCGATCAACGTTTTCTACTGGTTCGTCAACCTCGTCGGATGTGGTGTCCTCATCTCGTGGTCCGTCATTCTGCTCAACCACCTGCGCCTGCGCATGGCGATGCGTCGCGCGGGGATCAGTCGACACGAAATGCCCTGGTCAAACAGTTGGACGCCATACGCGTCGGCGTTCGGCCTCTTCTTCTGCGTCATTCTGCTGCTCACGAACGGGTACACCACCTTCACAAAGGGTAACTGGGACACATCAACGTTCATCACGGCGTATCTCGATATCGGGCTCATCATCTTCATCACGATCGTGTGGAAGGTCTTGAAGCGCACCAAGTATGTGCGGATTAGCCAGATTCCGCTGCAAACAATCTTCGAGGATGTTCACCGCAAGCCTCTGAATGACGAGCCAGAAAAGCCGTCGAAGGGCTGGATCCGTTTGATTAGCTGGCTGTGGGACTAGGTTTATGTATTTGTATCAGGCCGTGCTGCGCTGGACGTCTGTCATACACCTTCTCACTCGCATGGTGGGTGTCCGTAATCGACATGCTATGCCGAGCGAGCCAAATGCTGGGCCGAGCTGGGCTCGTTCTCAATAACTTGGCGCGAGGTTGATCAGACCTTCGCGCGAACCGACGTAACATCACGCTGCATAGCGATCTGCGCTCGCCGAGGCGGGCCGCGCGATAGCTAACCAAGGCTGATAGTGAGTTGAGATAAACGCGCCTTCGCTACGATCACGGCAAAGTCTCGCGGACCAGCCGGCGATTCTCGTTCGCGGCAAATAGCCCCCGCTTCACTGGGTGCACAATTGCTCTCGTTGAGCAGTCGATCCCGTACGATGGCTCCGGCTATGGAACGACGCCAAGGCTGTATCTCTAACGACCGTCCGGCCTAGCCGTTCTGGCGTAATTCCAATCCCGTAGTGCAAATAGAAGTGGAATGCGAGAGACAGCGAGGTGACTGTTGCTTCGCGACCTAATTGCCACTTTCTTCGATGTTAATCGTGAACACGAACAAGGATGCAACGAGGGATGATGGCTGGCCCGCGCCGAACGTGTTCCGATGAGTGAGAGCCTTGACCATGAAGTCGAGGGCGAGTTTGAGGGGACCATGACCCTTGACGAAATCCTGAGTTATGTCTGAGATCCCAAGCCCATTCGATGCGCCTGATTTTGACGCTAAGAATGCACCTGGACATGTCTATATTTGAAATAGTTTTTGGTATGGATAGCCCCCGAAAACCGCCCTAACCCCCTAACCCCCTGAGGGGTTAAACCCTAACCCCCTCGCTTGGCTCGTAGGGAGTCTGGACAGTAGAGTCACAAGCATAAAGGACCAAGGTGGTCGGCCTGGCCTTTGACCACTACGAGGCTATGGTCAATCTCAAGTCTACTCGGCATGCATACACTAGATCATCCTAGACTAGGTGCAATTGTTGTAAAACTCTTTGGAAACCCTGTCTACCCATTTAAATGGGGGCAGCCCCACTTGCATGGGCAGCACCTTCGAGCTTGTTGACTGCAGCACTGGCAGCCACGCAAGGGGCTATATGGGGTTCTGGGGGATGA